CCCCCCCCCCCCCCCCCCCCCCCCCCCCCCCCCCCCCCCCCCCCCCCCCCCCCCCCCGCATAGCTGGAGTTTACCTTGACGCCGCGAATCTTGCAGTTGCCGCAACCCAGGCGAGACTTGCGATGAGTCTTGCGCTTGCGGACTATCGTGTCGTCCTTGGTGGCGACTTGGTCGGCCATGACGGGATGGGATGAGGCCGGCATCAAAGGGGGGTCCCCCCAGGCCACAGGCACAGGAACCGGATCGGCCCGGGTGATATGATTGCGGCGGACCTTGTTTCTGAGTACGATTCGGCCGGCTATACTGGCAGAAGTCCTTGCAGCGGATGGTACGGAGCTATAGCTGTTCGATGGAGCTGAGGGGATTTCTGGAATTGGTGGTGCAGACGGGCTACTGTTGTGCTTGGGTTATGCTTATTTTTGGGGTTGCAGATTGAGGTGGGATTTGGAATATGGGAGGGAGTGAGATGTCTTGTGTTTATTTCTTGATGGGTTGAGACATGTGTCTCGGATGAGCGTAGAAGGGGGTTGTACAATCTGTGTGAGTGAGACAGGGCCGCTGAATGAATGCTGGATTGAGGTGTATGAGGACGAGTATCTAGTTGCGGTGAGATCAATGAGTGTAACTGTCGAGGCCAAAGTGGTGAGGTTTGGAGTCCCGGGTAGGCTTGAGATTGATGTCATAGGACGCCAGCGGGAGGACTTGTGCAGCTACTGTAATACATTCGCCTACTATATCAATCAAAAACTACGAGTATGGCTGAATGTGAATGTGATATTCATTGCAATAGACCTGCTGTAATTCTGCGTGCATCTACAACATCTAGTTACAAGCAAAGCACCTTTGCCATCTCGACGCGTCGAAATCGGGTATTTCAGCCATGTCACCAAATTGCCGAAATCATGCTCCATCACGCCAGCTGGACTTTCGTATCTATCTCGTATACTCGCCTGTATACTCCGTACTCGCCGCATGACGCAGCAACAGCAACAGGCAACAACCAAAAATCAAACCAAATCAAGTCCCTTGCCCAATTGCCGCCGGTGACTGTGACGTGAATGTGCTTCTCGCCTCGCCCCAGCCCACGGGAACGGAGCGCCGGTGCTTCAATCGCCGTCAGCGAGAAGCACTAGTCCCGAATCCGTATCTTGCGCAAATGACGCGAATCGCGAGGGAAATAAAAAAAGCGAGTGAGTGAGAAAAAAATGCGAGAAGGGGCGGAAACGGGATTTGCCTTGGACAGACTCCACAAGGCCGACTCGAGGGATCCCCCCCTTGCCACCTCGGTCTGGGACTCGAGTAAGTTTGGTGTGCTAGAAAAGAAGCGGCCAGAGCCAGAGCCAGAGTCAGAAGGCAGCAATGCGGAACGAGGCCGGGCCTTTTCCGAGTGTGTGATCAATAATGGCGCATGATTGCGTTGTTTGATGGGTTTCTTTGTATTTGCCCACTTTGGCCAGGTTTCTGCGTCTTACTGTATTATCTTAGGTACATGTTATGTTTTTGCGCTGTACGAGTACGCTTTGGCTGTTTACTCTGTTGTTTCTATATATGCACTTTTCATCATTTTCTTTTTTCAATTGCTGAAGAAATATATCCCAAGACGTTGCCAAGGCGATTCGCCGGCCGTGCCCTCAAGACTTGGCGATGCTAGGCGATTTCTCACTTGTGCCTTTCTTTTTCCCTCGTCACGTCACATAGCCCGCGCTTGGCCGGGATTTGGGACCAACTGACAGCGGGCGACTAACGTGGGAAAGAGCGCCATTAATCGGCCGAGGACGAGGAAACGCACTGACGATCTTGGCAAAGAAAAAGCCATGACACTGGACTGAGTGAGAAAGCAAGCGAGAGGCAAGGGAGGGGGGGGGGGGGGGGGCTAGGGACCTGTGTGAGTGAGTGTTGTTAGCCAGGATATTCTCATTCATGTAGGTCAGCAAACTGCCTGATGGAGAGCCCTTTTCTGTTTCTGGACATTTGGGCTACTTGTACGGAGTACTTTTTACTCATTTCCGTTGGTGCATGTATACGAGTATTTCTCTTCCTGCTACTCGTCACTTGATTCATTTCTTTCAACTCCTTCGTCTGCCCCGGAGTTGATCCGTTTCCGCCGGCTTTCTGGTGCGAATTCGGTGCTTCGGCTCCGCTGCCCATCTTCATCTTTGTCCAATGGCTGCGCCGTATTGATTCCGAGCCGTGTTAGTGCCGGTATTCCGCAGACAAGTCAAGAAAGAGGAAAAGAACGAACGAAAGGGAAAAAAAGACCCCTGGCCATAATCTTTTTTTGTGGTTCTTTGCAACGCCAGAGTGAGGGTCTAGCTGCTGCACTTCCCGGAGAAAGAAAACGGGGGCCACCTCGTTGTTTTGTGTTCCTCGGAGCCAAAAAAAAAAAAAAGTTACAGCGTAAGGAGATGGTCGGAGGAAATGGAACGGCTTTGCTGTGACATGTATCTTTTTGAGGGATAACTTGGGGACCCGGGGCGTGGGGAGTTCCATGTCAGGTCTATTGTTGGAAAAGAAGCGAGTAATACCATGTAATCATCGGATCGAGGCAATGAGTGAGACCTGGTTCATCCGGAAGTACTCCGTTGGCTGGCTTTACTGTTGCGGGCGAAAGCACCTCGGCACCTCTTGCTAATGTACCCCGTACTCAGCTAAACTGGATGTTGCAATATAAAGCACTCCGTACGAGTACATGAAGCTATTATGCTTCTAGGAGCAGCATCGGACTCCATTCTACGTACTACGACTATCAGGAGTGGGAATGTCCCGTTCTACCCTGCAATCAAAAGCGAGCCTCCCCTTTTTTGATGGAGATTGGCTAGAGATAGGGCCAGAATAGACGGAGTGCCAAAAAAAAAAAAGTGAGGCTTGCTTCAGGTGTGGAAAATCCCTATACTACTTTGGTTGCTTAGTTGGCTACTAGCAGGTTTGAGGCTACTTTTTGCACATCGCCGGGAATAGCCAGAAATGACAGCGTCTGGTCTGGCCTTGCGACATTTTTTTGCTGCCCTTCTTCCACTCGCTGCCCTTAGTAAGACGAACGAGAGAGATTCTGGGCCTGGCGGGACAAGGGCCATTGGAAAATTGTCCGTAGTTTAGTACGGAGTACGGAGCAACGATGGGTGTCGTTTTGAGGCTAAAGAAAAAGGGCCACTGCTCCGTGTCTCTATTAGACGCAGAGGAGAGAGGGAGATGTGGCTTCAATGCGAGATTGCTGCTGGTAGTAACACCCGTATGTATATACTTCCTTATCAAGATTGTTGGTTTTTGTGATGTGAGGCAAAGTACATGTAGATGATGGTCCATTGGCCCTCGGCAGAAGCTCGTGTTTCAATTTCTTCTTCTTCTCTTTTCTTTCTTTGCCGCTGGTGATCATTGCCCTTGTTTTCACTAAAAGTTTGTTGCCGTCGAGGCCAGCCACCGCGACACCCGCTCGTCAACTGGGCAAAGTCAATTGGCTCACAGCGGCAAGCCATGACAAACAGCGTGTGCCACTGCCGTTGCCCCCAAGTACCTATCTTTTTCTATGTGCCAAGTTTATTCTTCCTTTGCTTCTCGTAATACTGCTTTGTTACAACGTTTGAGCTGAAGTGTACGAGTACTATCTATCTGCTTTAGTTGGTTCAGTTAGAGAAGGGGGGCGTGGATCGATCAAGGCAGAACCATGGCAATGCAAGTGCCTCCCCTCCAAAAAAGTCGAACCCCCCAGCCTTTCTATTTTTTCTATCTTATGCCGTTGCTATTTTCAAAATGACATCTACTTTTCTGCGTTGGCTGGCGCCGTATGCGTTGTCTCATCTCATTACCGCCCTTTCTTTCGCTCCCTTCCTCACAGTAGTTTGGAGTACGGGAGTAATACTCAGACGATAAAGCTGGGTCATGGTAATCATACGCTGTCGATGGCAATCAATGTCAGGCCCCCAATCCGGCATGCCGGCGACGCGGTCGATATCAGCTCTAGCCTCGAAGCAATAGTCTGGATCAGCAATTACGGATATTCCTGTCGGCTAGGCTGCCTTGGATCCTAGCGCGGCTCTGACGGAGGGCCCTGGTCTGTGGGGGAGTGTTCGTCTCCATGGAGTTGCTTTGCGTGACCAGAGCAACTTGGCTATACCAGTATATACTCGTACATACTTGGTTGCCATCGAGGCCAAAATAAAATCAATAAAAAATACAAAAAAAAAATACCAAATAAGGATGTGCATTGATTTGCGTGATGTCGGGAAAAAAAGGGGGCAAGTTCGCATATACCGGCAGTATTAGTGAGCTTTGCTGTCAGTCACCTCCTTTTTTTGCCCTTCAGCTGGTGGCCGATTTCCGTTTCACCGTCTCTTTATTCTTGCTCTGGTTCCAGCTGTAATCTTTATGCCGCGGCTTTAGTCGGGAAACTCCTAAAGACCCCCAAAATGGCACATCTCCATGGACATTTGGGAAAAAAGGCGGCCCTGTCGTGTCCCGTTCGGCTCATCAATTCGCGCATACTGTACTTTGTATGGCCCTTTTTTAACCCCCCGGATACGCAGGGTTTGGGATAGAGCCTTTTTGGCCTCTTCGCGAGGAAACACACAGCACACAAACCCCTGCGCGTCAAAAAAAAAAAAGCCGCGGTCGGAACTAGATTGAACCGGCCGATCTGATTGCGCCTTGGACCCTGCTAGCTCAGCCTAAGAGACACGCCCCCTTGTTTTCGACCGGCAGTAAGCTCGACTCGTACAAGTCACGATTCCCTGACTGGGTAGGTCGCAATCGCCTCGCCTCGTGCGGTGTCTGGTGTCTGGGCAGGTGATGCGGTTTCCGGGGAATACCTGTCTGTGTATGGATGATGCTGGGCTCGCTTGGCGAGGGTCCAAGTCTGTGCTGTGCTGAGCACGCAACGGCGAAGCTTGCATGGTCCGTGTACGAAGTATGAGGATGGAGATGGATTCGTAGTACTGGATGAAGAAGGAGGAGGTAAATGGAAAAGAAAACGTTTGGTGAAGTGGTCGCGCGTCCTCGGTCCAGCTAGAATTCCTGGAGAGAGCAATTGGCCTTGTCTGGAGTCGTGATTGAGTACTCGCATGGGCTATCCAGTAAAGATGAGTTGGTAGTGGTTTCTATGCAGCAATCCCGGCTTCAATCCATGGGGCTTGGGTCTCTTGAATTAGATGGAAATCTTTCAAGAGCGCTCTCTCTCTGTGTCCAGTCTCCCGGCGCCTATCTAGTGATTCAACCGTCAACTCGCATAAGAGAGGCCATCGCGACGACCTGTTTCCCGCTGGCTTGCTCCAATGCAAGTAAACGCCCCTCCATGTCCCTCTACTCTCGGCTATCTTAAATCCAGCAAGGGATCTGCGTATGGGTGCGGCGCGCGTGGGCGTTATGTGCGTGATCGGGGGCCTTGTACGGAACTACAGTTATAAGCGGGATTGGAAAGAAAAAAAAAAGGAGGAAAATAATAAAAATTAAAGAATAAGAATTGTAGGATGATCTTGATTTGCTTATGCCTCGAGGCGTCGCGTCGGGGGTGATTTGGACGAGACTAGATCGGTCATGTAGCGGAGACGGAGGTATCGTGCTGCGAATCGCTTGACTGAGAGGTTCAACATTTCATGTTAGCGCGCGTGACGATGTCTCACACACACGAATGACGTGCATGACGATAACAGACTGGGACATGTGAATTATCCGGCAGATGCAAATGATTTAAGAGGAAGAAAATGCCAAGGCTATAATGTATAATACATACCTCTAGACCGGCCCATGGGCGGGCTCCCCAGCGACGTTTGTGCCTGTTTCCAGAGGCGGGCCGTCCAGCACGTCACCAGCAGATCCAAATCTTTTTCGTCGAGCATCCGGAGCAGCTTCAAGCACGGCACGGGAGCCGGTGCGGCGGCGTATTCATTGTTGTCTGCTGCACTGCCATTGACAGGCGCGGAAGGCGACGAGGCCGCCTTGTCCTCCATGGCGACGATGCGGCCGCTGGCGTCCTTCCAAATCACCTGGTAGTGCTGCCGCCAGCGATCGCGAAGGGCCGTCTTGGCCGTGAAGTGGCCCGACGCCGAGCACGTCGACCAGCCCATGAGGCCTGGCGACAGCTTGACGTCCCTGTAGCAGCGGGCATCGCTGGCCTTGCCGTCGATGACGATGCGCCGGGGCGCGTAGAAGTTGACGTAGGCGTCGCGGAAGAGGTAGATGTCGTCGTGGCGAGTGCGCAGCCTGCCCACGGACAGGTCGCCGCCGCCGGCGAGGCGGTATTTCACCTTTTTCACGACGTAGATGAGCGACGTCGCCTGCAGAGGAGCGGCGCTCAGCTCGTAGTAGACCAGCTCCGGGTTGGTGGCCGCGTAGACGGAGCGGCCATCGAGGGCCAGCGACAGCAGCTCGCCAATGGGCAGCTGAACTCGCGGGCCGTGGTTGGACGCCTCTTGATATGATGGAGGAGCGTGCTGCCGTATCAGCGGCATGGTGTTGAGCTGCTTGGGCCTGGGGCTGGAGCTGGAGCTGCTGCGGAAGCTGCTCTGGAGCTTGCTGCTGCAGCCTCGCAAAGTGCCGGCATCGCCTTGAAGCTGCGGTGATCACTCTTCACTTTCACTTTGACTTGCATCAAATCGGACGCCCCGGCCGGGCCAGGAGGCATTATGTCTACTTTTGGCATTCCAGCAGATGCGGTATGATGTATGCGCCTTTTCACGCCTCTCTCACGCCTCTTCACATGTAAGAGCATGTACTGTACTCCCCGTACCTGCTTGGAAGCTAGAATGACCAGGTCTGCCGCTACTGTAAACTACTGGGTTCGTACTACTGTATTCTATCCGCATCCAATCGTGCCGTGTCGTATCGTGTCGAACAGGAATCAAAGCAAGCCCAGCCACGGCTATGGCGGAATCCCAAAGAGGCGCTGCGGCCACGGCGGCTACCGGAGCAAAATTGAGACCGGGCCGATCGGGGGTACGTACCGGAACGGCGAGGCGAGGCGAGAGACTGGGAAGCTCGAGTCGAGTCGAGGCGGCTTACATGTAGAAGTAGGTACGAGTTACAGGCTGTGAGTGTAGATGAGCAGTACGATAGCCAGTACTCGATACCTGCAAAATGAGGGAATCCGCAGTGCCTAACTCGAAAAGTAATCCCTCCACGGCCCTTGTTTTCTCGAGTTGCTGTTCCGTGCCTGTGGAGTCCCCCCCCCCATCCCATGTACAAGTACGAGGATGACCCAGCAGTGACTTGTGCCTGTGCTGACCCGTGCCTTGTACAGCAGGTACATCTCTGGTTCCCCCCGTCGCGTGAGCTCGACGCAGCGCCTGTAGCGGCACGAATGCGGGAAAAACGCGTGCCAAAACGGCGCCGTGACGAGCAGAGACACTCGCCGACCTCGATCCGCAATCATTTTTCCTTGTTCTCGCCTCGCCTCTGCTGCAATGGCAAAATTGCTCGTTCCTTGTCACTCCCAGCGCAAATCGCCATCGCCAAGCGACTTTTGATCGGATAGAAGCGCTAGAAAATGCAGCGAAGCAGCCAAGTTTGCGGGGCAGCGGCGCTAGGCCGGAAATGGGGGGGGGGTGGCGGGTGTGTGCGTATGTACGAGGTACGAGAGTACAAGTATACATAGGTACATGCAACTGCCTACACCACACATGGCCAAATGACGTCGGTTGTGGAGTCTGGACGAGGCATATCCGAAGCAGGAAGACGGTGAAAATGACAATCAGAGAAGGGAATTGAGGCGAGAAGGCGAGCGGCTGAAAATGATGGCGATGGGCGATTTGCTGGGGGAGATTCCGGGGTTGGATTCTGGATTCCGGTTCATGGGCCGCTGCAGGAAGGGACAAGGACAATGACAATGGCAATGGCGATGAATGGTAATGGCACGAACGAACAATGCCGAACCGGGTTTGTGTTGCTTCTGTTCTGTTCCGTCGTCATGACTGAACTGAACTTGGCCGAAGCGAAGGGGGGACGAACAGCATTGAAGCTCAGCGCCCGGATCAAGCGTTTACATCTACCGGCATTGCCATGGGGTTAAAAGGCGATCCCGGGACGCACCGAGGGCGAATTGGATCGTGAGGAAGGCCGGAAACACGAAGAGGTGCTGACGGCAGTATGTAGCCTACATGAGACTGTAGTGGTCAGGTCGCCGAGGGGGGGTGTTTACTTTGCTTCACTGTACAGTTACGAGTACAGCACGGGAGAAGGGGGTTGGTGGCTGCATCTCCGGAGGTGAGGTGGCTTTTCGAGATGCGCGATTTGCATGCCATGGGCTGGGAAATAGTAGCTGATTGATTCCGCGTATGTATTAGCATCTAGGCCTACATTTTTACATTCACAATCCGCGTTTGGAGGCTACCGTATTGTATGGGGATGTTGTTCGTGCCGCCAATGAGGCGGGCGGGATTCATGCTTGGCTATTTTACACTTGTTTCTGGTCCAGGTATGTTGCCGCTCACTAACACGACTGCTAGATGCAGCCTCCGACGTCGCTCAGACGTCCGTTGCCTCTAGAGCAGAGCCGTTGGAAGGAGGAAGTAGAAGAAGAAGAAAAAAGACGCGCCTTAGTATGCATTTAGTTCTGTCTAGTAGTACAAGATACGCTCGTAGTATCAGGAGATCAGCTTTCGTGATGGGCCTTGAATCAAGAGAGCCTCGTCTTGTCCTGTAATTAGGAAGGGGGAAGAAAAAAACAGGGCCCGTCTCCAAAACATGACGGCGCGCCGAGGAAAAGGAAAAGGCGCTGCTGCGTGATGCGATGCGGGTAATAAGCGCAAAACAAAGACACGCCTTTTCCATGGGCCAGTTTTTTTTTTTTTTACATGCGGGATTTCCTTCGTAGAATTTTCTGGCCCTTGGAAGCCGGCTGTCCCGGGATTCCGACTTCTTGATCTGGGGGGGGTGGTTCCTCTACCCAGAGCTCGGCCTTTGTTGGTTTTATTCGCTCGTTCTCCTGCTCAGGCCTGGGGCTGGGCGGGTCCCCGGTCGTCTCTTCACCTTCCCAGCTACTCCGGGCGCACAGGCGTGTGCTTTGGCTGGATGAGGCCTAGAGGGCGTTGCTTGGCCAAGAGATGGGACAAGAGGGTTAAATCGGATATCGGCATCGGTCGACAGCTTCGGTTGCGCCGGGGCCTGGCCCAAGTCGGGTCCACCAGCAGGAGAAGAAGGCCTTTCGGCGCCGCTCTTTTGGCCTAGGGCCCAAGGACGGACAGGATAACTCGGCCTTTGAGCGGCATGTTGGTAGGCAGAGTCGTTACTCTGTTTGGACATGGCTCGCGGGTTTACCTGCTTGTTCTCGAATCAGCTTAGCCCAGGCGACAATCTGCCGTCGGTCTTCGCTGGCCGATGGGGGAAAGTGGAAAAGTGGACGAGGGGGGGGGGGGCGTGTGAGAAGGCTGGTGGGAGTCTCCAGCTGTGTGATATTGGGGGAGTGAATTGGGATGGATGGATGGATGGATGGAGACGGCGCGACCAGACAGACTCTCTGGCGTTCTGGCGTATCATCGAAGGAGGGTACGAGTAGAGAGAGAGAGAGAGAAAAAAAAAACCAGACAAAAAGAAAAAAAAAAGGAACCACGGCATTGGGCCGGACCAGGGTGGTCCCCCCAAGAGACTACTCGTACGGGTTGGAATAAATATCTCTGGCAAGCCGCCTCGGTGGATGAACTTTTTCTCTCTCCCTTCCTGCCCAGTTGCGACTTGTTGCGTCTTTTCAATTGCCAGTTTCGCGGCTGCTTCGAGGGCGCAATTCTTCACAACAATGTCTGTCTTTCATCGACGAAAGGGCTCCCCTGGGGAGGACGACGTGGAAGCCGGTGGTCGTGAGGACCACTCTGGCAGCACCGTCGCTCCCCCCGAGGGAGACAACCTTCCAGAATACGCCGCTCTGGAGCGATACATTAGCACCTATCGCGAGGGCTCCCGCAGCGGCGACGACAACGACAAGGACCGTCGTGATGTCAAGTGGTGGCAGTTTTGGAAGACGTCTGGCCCCGACGTGATTGACGGTGCCGAGCCTGCCAAGCGGGTTGTGCCCGACGCCTGGCTGGATACCGACATCCGCACTGGTATCCGTATCAATGAGGTTGATGAGCGACGAAAGTGGGCTGGCTGGAACGAGCTGAGCGCCGAGAAGGAGAACATGTTTGCCAAGTTCTTGGGTTTCTTTACTGGTCCTATTCTATATGGTGAGTTGAGATTCGATTGAGCTGGTTGCATGTGTTTCAGTGAGCTAACAAGCATGTCCTCTATACAGTCATGGAAGTTGCTGCTCTGTTGGCCGTCGGTCTGGGTGACTGGATCGATTTCGGTGTCATCTGCGGTATCTTGCTGCTCAACGCCTTCGTCGCCTTCTACCAGGAAAAGTCTGCCGCCGATATCGTCGCCTCTCTCAAGGGCAACATTGCCATGCGCTGTACCGTTGTTCGTGACGGCCAGGAGCAGAACATTCTCGCTCGTGAGCTCGTTCCCGGTGATATTGTAAGCCGCAGCCACACTCACTTTGACTTCCATCGTGACGATAAGCTAATTGATTCCTTCTCAACAGCTCATTGTCCAAGAAGGTGACACCGTCGCCTCTGACGTTCTCCTGATCTGCGACTACACTCGTCCCGAGGACTTCGAGGTCTTCAAGCAGCTCCGTGCCGAGGGCAAGCTGGGCAGCTCCGACGACGAGGATGAAGAAGAGGATGAGAAGAACCAGGAGAGCGCCCTGGCCAACCACCGTGCCACTCCCCTCGTTGCCGTCGACCAGTCCGCCATCACCGGTGAGTCTCTCGCCGTCGACAAGTACCTCGGTGATGTCGCCTACTACACCACCGGCTGCAAGCGCGGAAAGGCCTATGCCGTCGTCACTGCTACCGCCAAGGACTCCTTCGTCGGCAAGACTGCCGATCTCGTCCAGGGTGCCAAGGACCAGGGCCACTTCAAGGCCGTCATGGACAACATCGGTACCAGCTTGCTCGTTCTCGTCATGTTCTGGATTCTCGCCGCCTGGATCGGTGGCTTCTTCCACCACCTCAAGATCGCCGAGCCTGGCTCCCAGAACCTGCTTCACTATGCCCTTGTCCTCCTCATCGTTGGTGTCCCCGTCGGTCTCCCCGTCGTCACCACCACCACCCTCGCCGTCGGCGCCGCCTACCTCGCCAAGCAAAAGGCCATTGTCCAGAAGCTCACCGCCATCGAGTCTCTTGCTGGTGTCGACATTCTCTGCTCTGACAAGACCGGTACCCTCACTGCCAACAAGCTGTCCATCCGTGACCCCTACGTCTGCGAGGGTGAGGATGTCAACTGGATGATGGCCGTCGCCGCCCTTGCCTCTTCCCACAACCTCAAGACCCTCGACCCCATCGACAAGGTCACCATCCTGACCCTCAAGCGCTACCCCAAGGCTCGCGAGATCCTTCAGCAGGGCTGGGTCACCGAGAAGTTCACTCCCTTCGACCCCGTCTCCAAGCGCATCACCGCCGAGTGCCGTCTCGGCAAGGACAAGTTCATCTGCGCCAAGGGTGCCCCCAAGGCCATTCTCAAGCTTGCCAACCCCAACGACGAGCTCGCCTCCCAGTACCGCGAGAAGGATCGTGAGTTTGCCCGCCGTGGTTTCCGATCTCTCGGTGTCTGCTACAAGAAGAACGACGAGGACTGGGTTCTCCTTGGTCTCCTGTCCATGTTCGACCCCCCTCGTGAGGATACCGCCCAGACCATCCTCGAGGCTTCCCAGCTCGGTGTTCCCGTCAAGATGTTGACCGGTGATGCCATTGCCATTGCCAAGGAGACTTGCCGTATGCTTGCTCTCGGTACCAAGGTCTACAACTCTGAGAAGCTCATCCACGGTGGTCTTGCCGGCAGCGTCCAGCACGACTTTGTCGAGCGCGCCGACGGTTTCGCTGAGGTTTTCCCCGAGCACAAGTACCGTGTCGTCGAGATGCTCCAGCAGCGTGGTCACCTTACTGCCATGACTGGTGACGGTGTCAACGACGCCCCCTCTTTGAAGAAGGCTGACTGCGGTATCGCCGTCGAGGGTTCCACCGAGGCTGCCCAGGCCGCTGCCGACATCGTCTTCCTTGCCCCCGGTCTCAGCACCATCGTCCTGGCCATCAAGACCTCTCGCCAGATCTTCCAGCGCATGAAGGCCTACGTCCAGTACCGTATCGCTCTGTGTCTCCACCTCGAGATCTACCTGACCCTGTCCATGATCATCATCAACGAGACCATCCGCGTCGACCTCATCGTCTTCCTTGCCCTGTTCGCTGATTTGGCCACCGTCGCCGTCGCCTACGACAATGCCCACTACGAGCCCCGTCCCGTCGAGTGGCAGCTGCCCAAGATCTGGGTCATCTCCGTCGTCCTCGGTGTCCTGCTCGCCCTCGGTACCTGGGTCCTCCGTGGAACCATGTACCTGCCCAACGGTGGTATCATCCAGAACTTTGGCTCTGTCCAGGAGATTCTCTTCCTCGAGGTCGCCCTTACTGAGAACTGGCTCATCTTCGTTACCCGTGGTGGCAGGACCTGGCCCTCTTGGCAGCTCGTCGGCGCCATTCTCGGTGTCGACATCATGGCCACTCTCTTCGCCCTCTTCGGCTGGCTGTCTGGTGCCCCCGAGATCGACAACCCTGTTGACCTTGCCATCCAGCGCCACGATGGTTGGACCGACATTGTCACCGTCGTCATTGTCTGGCTGTACTCTTTCGGTGTCACCATCTTCATTGCCATCGTCTACTTCATCCTCAACAAGATCCCCTGGCTCAACGACCTTGGCCGCAAGGACCGCAAGCGCAAGGATACCATTGTTGAGAACGTCATCACTGCTCTCCAGAAGCTCGCCATTGAGCACGAGAGAGACGAGACTACCGGTGTCAGCCGATACCTCCTCACTGACAAGGCTATTGACAACGAGGATGAGTAAACGGGTAATTTAATGTCGTGGATGTTTACCAGGCCGAGAGGACAAGAGTACTCCGTTTTGACTTCCTCTTATCACCCTGAACAACTTAATCATGGTCTTACGGAAACTACTCGCCTGCGAAGCCAAAAAATCTTATTATTGGTGATCTTGGGGAAAAGAAAGGTTGGTCAAGGGGACCAAGATTCTTTTGTGGGGAAGAGCGAAGCCAAACTACTAGTTTAACATGTTCTTCTGCTTTTTTTGGTTATATATACATATCCTATATATGCCTGTTGCAGAACCATCACGTTGCTACAACAAGTCGGATGGGAGGGAGACAGAACGATAGAAGAAGTTCTCCAGCCGTGGATGCATTGTTAACCTTTTGATTCCCCCAGTCGCTAACTTAATTTAAAACCTAGTATAAACTTATATATTTAGTTACTATAGACTTTTCATATCTCGCTAATGTGTTACGTTTTTTAAAATACTTCTTTCTGCGTCTCTTTCAATTGCAACTTGTGATGTTTCAAAATCGTTCCCTGAAAACAAAAAAGTTATACAGTCTGAAGAGAGCTTCTCTTCGCACTCTAACACTGGACTTGACTCTGGGGGAGCTTTCACGATCTTACACACCCTCACCACCCAATACGATACGAGAGAAAACAAAATGGCGCAAAGCTAAGTAAATTTTTTCTTCTCTCTTCTCCAACAAGTTGGTGAAACTTGCGGCTCCACGCCACCGGAGTTCGCGAGTATAGAAGGTTTCGGAACGGCGGCTCTAGCAACTCGAACTAACTGTCTAGTGTCAAGCCTTAGTGACCTTCCACGGCTCCATATTATTCGCGTTTTCACCTTGGTGAGGCTAATGAGTAGAGTGATGTCAAGGTGAAGGAGGTTTTTTCCCTCGCTGTTGCTGGCTTTGCCTGCCTGGTTGATATGGATACGATGGGGTGTGTTTGGATATGGCTCGGTCTGGGTGAGGGCTTTGTTTCGGCGTTCGGGTAGAAGAGGGCATGAAACAATGATCATCCAGAGGGCTCAAACTTGGTCTAGTAAGTAGTTTTACCATCTACAAATGCCAATCCCCATCAAGCTTTCCTGTTTCCGCGTAGATCTACTTTTCGTATCTTGCGAATGGGCAAAAAGCGTATTCCCCCTCAGCCCGGGGCTGAGTTTAAAATTGTCGGAATAAGACAAGTTCTGCTATTTTCGGGAGCAACATGTGCGCCCGGCTACGCTTGCGAAATGCCAGTTTGGCTTGTCATTACGTGCTTATGGCGTAGAAAAAGCTTTCGATGTAACGTGGGCTTGCCGTGTGGTGATTGGGTCAGTTGGCGTTTTGGAGGCTTGATCGATTCCGAGGTGACCGGATGTCGGGCGGAATGATCCCTGGATTGGACACCTGCCAGACTGGTTACTATTCCCATTTTGGTGTTTGTGTAGCTGTGCAGGTTGAGCTATGATGGCTAATGTAGATGTCTATTTACGGGAGTTGTTGTATGGCTAGCTTGTACGGGTGAGGCGTATATCGAGTGTTGACAAGATCTGTTGTGGGTTAGAAGGGGGGTGAGAGGAATGCTTGTTGCTTCCGTTGGGGACGATGATGTATTGCGGTGTACGGTCATCTTTGGGTATGGCTGCAGAAAGCATACACTGAAAACGTCGACTGGCTGTTGGAAGGAAATTAGGTGATGAGGGTTCTAATTGGTGGTTGACAGCATGAACTGGATCCCGAAACTTGATGTATATATATACAGTCTTATCAAGTTGTCATTTCCATTTTGGGCCAATCGGGGATCATTGTGTAACAGCGTGGGAGGAAGAGTAACAAGTAAGATGGAAACCTGCATTGGGTGATGGCTTGTTGGAATCTTGTTTGTAGATATACATATATTCACTGTGAGACTTGTGTAAATTTTGGCCTGCTGTTTCTCTTCTGACTTCCCTCATACGTGAACATCACATTTAAAGCGTTTTCGGATGATGATTTCACTTTCTTTTGTTATTTATGGTCTAGACAAAAAGCAAAAGGCATTATTTATGTCTAGATATTCCTTGCAGTCGACTATTGAGCCGCGGCGTGGAAAGCGGCTGCCTTCTGACCACCCAGCGACAGATAGAAGCTGGTGTCGGGGAAGTTGTTGTCGACGCCAACAAACTTCTGGTTGGTGGGCAGTTGGTTGACCTTGAGCGCGGGCATGCTCTGGGTGCCTGAATGAAAGACTTGTTAGGTGGCTGTAGTTTGAAACATGAACATTCTGAAGAAACTTACCTTCGTTGACTTCGTCAAACATGGCGTTGAAGATGAACAGAGGCTTGATGGCCATGGAAGTAAGCGCATCAGCCTGGGCCGAGAAGAACGAGCCGTTGTTGCGCGGGAAGTAGTCGAATGCAGACGGGTTGGTGCCGCCGTTGATGTGGTAGGCAGAGGTTCCGGGGAAGATGACGGGGGCGTACTTCTTTCCGAGGGATTGCAGCAGCTGTGAGTCTTGGACTTGGACAGAAGAGTGGAAGCCCTGGTAGCCGGCAGCGGAGTAACCACCAACAGTCCAAGGGCTGATAAAGTCTGCCGCCTTGTAAGCCTGGACGAAGCCAGAGTTGCTGTTGACATCGCCGGCCCACTGCTCAGGCACGCCAAAGCCGACGTACAGGCCGGCGTTCTTGAGCTGGTTTGCAATGTTGAGGCTGTCGGCAGCGCTGGTCTTCATTCCCTGGAAACCGATGCCGAAGACCATGGTGACGGGCTTTCCGTTCTGGTGGATGTAGGCCGACGACGTGGTGTAGGGCTTGATCTTGGAGTTGTAGTCGTTGAGGACTTGGTTGGCGACGCTGCCCTGGGAAGAGTCGCCGCCGGAGACGTCGTACTCGACGATGAAACCGCGGCCATACTTTTCAGCCGCTGCCTTGACCTGGTTGAGGATCTGAATTGTAGTCAGATGTTGATCTCTGAGAGGGGCTTGTGTGTTATCATGGACTAACAGTAATGAATGACTGATCGTTGATGGACCCAAGGAATCTCTGAACAATTACACCGTCAATGCCGTACTGCTGCATCCACTTGAAGTGCAGATCGACAACGCCGTCACAGGTTGCGTCGTAGAACTTGGCGGGCTGGCCGTTTGGCAGCGTGAGGCCGGTGTTGAAAAGGCAGTTGGCCGGATACTGGCTCACATCCGGGATAAAGTCGATCTCAACTACGATAGTGTAAGTCACATGAAAATTGTCATTACATCAGTCTTGTCTTAAAGAAGAGCATCTTCATACTGTTGTTGGGTCCTGGGGTGTTGCCATCGGCAGACCAGTGGTTGTTGACGCCGGCACCCGGTTTACGGAACCAGCCCTGGTAGCCGTAGAGCCATTTGCCTTGGATGGTGGAGGCATCGATGGCCGCCGCTGCTCTGGCAGGGTGTGGGTGTGAATTGTGCGACGAAGCTGATGCCGCAGTGGCGTAGAGGAGCCACGACAGAGATGCCTTCATGGTGAACGGATATGAGATGGCCGTGAAGTAAACTTTGGCTTGAAACTCCCTGCTCACTTCAATGCAAGGCTATGGAGCAGCGTGTAAGACCTGGTATATATACTCTACTAGTTCGACTGAGATTCCTGTCTTGAACCCCCCACGGAGAGATTTCCGGGTCCGATCGCAAGATGGCACGAGTGAAGCGGTGTCAAACGTTGGGCTCTGATTACTTCTTGTTTCAGTCCCACCACAGATCTCCATCGACCGCTTAGGCACAAACAGGCAGCTCGTATGGCGATCTTGTCCCAATTGTCTTTCGCCTGCTGTTCAGGCATGCAGACGCAGGGTATTAGCTGCGTCTCTCATCACCACAAACGCCAATTGAGCCTTCAATTAACACCAATTGACTATTATCCGTAGGCTCGTGTCCCTAAACTCCGATTATATGAAGCATACGACGGAGCACGAAGTAACATTACATGACAGGATGATTGACTAATCAACTGCCGACGCGGTCCAGATGCGATCTGCCTGCGGGTGACAGATGCTCATTCAGGCACAGAATAGACGATGGAAACGGCCCGAAGGGAGGAAGCTAAAACAAGGGATGGCCAATGGGGGTTACAATTTGTACGGGTTTCACCACTACCACCCGCTGTGGGAAATTATGGGTATTTATTTGTATGCCATGCCGGTTATTCGGTATAGTTTAATCTATCTGGGAGAGCAGGATAACACAGTGACATGTTTCGTGGTATGGCAAGGTCGTAAATGTTTCAACAATAGCATCGCAAATACAATAAGCGAACCGGGGTTGCGGTACTCATAGTGACGATGATCCTCAACATTTTGCCAACTGCAGTCATCAAATTGCGTCTTTGCAGACAGCGGCCTTTAGGGAGAAATGAACAAATTGTTCTGATTGGTCCAGGAGCTGGGAAATAATATGTCTTGATGCCTTTGCAAATCAGTCCCGACGGTTTATTAGGGTTTTATCTCCCGTTTATGTTCCTCCGGAGCACCTCACCTTGCTTGAAACCTCCCAAGTTATCCTGTGGTGTTCTCCTCCCAGGCGATATGTGAGCTCCTTTTTTCGGTATAAAACAACTACTCATGAGATGAAAGTACGCACTGAAATTTATATGCCTGCTGGCAATTACTGAACGCCCCAACAGCGTCCAGTTTGCCACCAAGTTTGGCTCGGACTGCTGCTTACATATAAGCGGTGTGCAAGGCATCGACTCCATATAAATGTCATATTCTGAAACCTGCTAGGATGACACAAGAGTTTCTGAAGCATCAGCAATAGTATCAGCAGCGTGCGATAATGAGCCGTGCTGATAGGGCCATCTTGTGAACTGGCGTGAGAAGCTCTTATTGGCCTTTCTATACTTCCAGTTGGCCAGAAACAACCCACTGCTGGGCTCTGAGCAGCTGCATACAGTCGTCTAGAAGCTGGCTAAATCATTCCGTGCTAACACCGCTGGAGCCAACGCACGGCGATCCCTGTTCGCCTCTTCACTTAACACTTACGATTCTTAGGAGGGCAAAAAGTTGTCATTAGCGCGATAGCTTGGAGAAACAAAGTTTCGATATCCGTTCATCTGATGACTATTGAGCTGGCTCTAGCGCCGGGCACAGTGAGACTTGGGCATCTCGATGATGATGGCTTTATGTCATTATGATAGTTGAAAAAAACAACGTAGTTTAATTTTAAAATTGGATGGCGATAACTGCGGCTGGATAGTCTTTTCAACTCCAGCACAACTCACATTCCACAGAACTCACAGATATTATCATCTTGGATATCGACAGAATAAACAATGTCAACTGCTAAGCCACCATCATTCTTCGTCTCCCTTCCAGTCGCATCTCTCAGCTCCTCCACCGACTTTTATAAGTCTCTTTCCTTCACCCCTCTTGATGATTACTCGGACGCCAACACCGCGGCATTCCGCTTCCCTTACAAGTCCAACGCCAATATCTGCCTCATGATACACTCTACATCGAGGTTTGAGGAATTCATTCGCCGTGGTTCAGAAATTGTACACGCAAAGAAGGCCACTGGCGCCATATACACCCTGGGTGTGCCGAATAAGGAAGACGTAGATGGGTTCCTGGAAAAGGCTGAAAAGGCGGGTGGCAAGAAAGACCCTTTTGAAATGAAGGAGTATGGGAAAGATTTGGGACTATATACGAGAAGCTTCGAGGACTTGGATGGGCATATCTGGGAAGCAACAACAATGTTGAATGAGAAGTCAAAGGAGGAAGCATGATCCCGGTTTATTGTGCTTGAACTCTTTGTATTTATTCCCACACGGTTGGTTACTGTATATGACCTCGCAAAGTTATGTTTCACCTTCAAACCCACATGTTTCAGTTTATTTCGCAATTCATCTATGATCGTGAACAATTGAAGTAATGCTGAATCACACTTCGTAATTCCCCAAGTAGTTCGTACCAAAACTGAACAAGCATATTAGGGCTATCTTGTACAATGGTCGTTTCTTGTGAGATATACGCTATAATCAATAAGATATATAAGAGAGAGTTATCTATCTACTTCTATTCAGATTTGTAGATATCTGAGACTAGCCAATTCATGCTTAGGAAGCGATGTCTCTAGACAGGTATTTGTCCGTTCATGTATAAGTAATCACGCCAAGTCAAAAAACAACACACTTATAGAGGCAATAATGAACCAGCGCACTGAAATTCATATTCAGCTTGAGAATAATTAATGCGAGTCATAAAATGAGAGAGTGGTTATTCGATATCCCTAGCATATCATAACTTCATAAAGTCAAATATCTTCCATCTATTGGGTATCCTGCTCTACTAGCGCCTGCAACTATAGCTACACTATTCCTATATCTCTGCATCACCACTATTCGAAATTGGAGACTCGGCATGTCGTATGGCCAACTTAGGCTCTAGAAAGCCATTCATTGGAATAATTACCGCATGCTTGGAGATCAATCGGCGATGTTCGCCTCGTCGCGGGGAACGACAGATCGTACATCTGACCCCGCATGCAGTCTCTCGACAGGGTTACACTCGGGGGCGAATGACGCGAAATTGCCGATGGGGTTGTTGTAAAGTTGGCTATGTACGGCTGGTGTTGTCATAGTCTCAAATTTTCTTATTGATGCTATTATTTACTATAAATTGAGTTGTTCATGAGACATTAAGACAATAGTTGTGGCACCTCTCAATGGATGTTTACTCATCTTCTCATCTTCACCATGGTCTTTAACACGTTTTTTGTTCTTTATGCTGGTCTTGTGCTATTAGGCGGTGTACGATCTGGCGCAACCGATACAAAGACAAGCTGGCATCGATTTGTCAGATCTCCTGTTTCGAATGTCGTTAAACCAATTGGCATTGTATCAGGTAGCACAATTGGGAATGTCTCCAACCCCAATGGCTTGATTAACCGCCAAGGCCCGACAGTGTTGAGTCGAGGCGACGAAAACGACCTGCTGCCAACAGTAGTGGTGGATTTTGGGCAAAACGTGGTCGGTATCTTGAGCCTCGAACTTGCCGGATCACAAAATACATCTGCTGGACTGCCCGGGTTGAGATTGGCGTTTTCTGAGACGATGGAGTATCTTACGAATCGGAGTGATTTTACACGGTCCGACAATGCTAGCGGGGTATGTTCAAGATCGGATACTTCTTTGTCGGGATCAAAAGACTTACACATCGGAGTAGAATGAGAAACTGACCAATGGAACGGACCAGGTAAGCTTCAAGTCTGTGTTTATGTCGCCAGGTGTCAGAATTGCTCATCTTCAACCCTTTCAATGATAGGTAGCTGTCAAGAACACAAACTACACCTGGACAGACGTTCATGGTTGTGAAGATGACACCAAGGTTTGTTCAGATGGGCTTCACGGCTTCCGTTATGTGAAAATATGGCTCGAAGCCTTGCCATCGGACGCACCATACACATCCTCGTTTGGTTCCGTTTCCATCTCGGGCCTGAGCCTCGAATGGTCCGCATTTCTCGGAACACCAGATACCTTCACCGGGTGGTTTGAATGTTCAGATGATGAGCTTACTCAATGGTGGTACGACGGAGTGTATACGGTAGACATGGGCACAGACGTGTTTCTCGCAAACGAGACAGAGCCTAGAGGCGCTTCTAGTCTAACCCTGGAGGGCAAACAAGTTCTATTTGACGGAGCCAAGCGAGACAGAGACCCGTATGTTGGCGATTTGGCTGTTGCGGCATTGACTTCATATTTGTCTCATGATTTTACTGAATCGACGCGCAATGTTTTGGAGGACTTGGCGCTGCATCAGCGAACTGATGGATGGATCCCTCCTGCGAGCATGTAAGTTGTATCCAATGGCTCCGATTTCTAAATATACTAAGAAACTACACATAGAAATAACTACACCTTGCCTCTGTTCGATTATCCACTTTGGTGGGTTGTCAGCAGCGTTGATCTTGTCATGTACACTGGCAACACCTCGTATGCGCAAACGTACTGGGATACACTCGTCAGCGTCCTTGACGAATATTATCCCTCGAATACGAATAATGCAACAGGGCTTTTGGACAAAAATGCGGACATGGGCTATGGAGATTACGCATTTCTGCCGCGATCAGGGCCGGTAACGTACTACAATGCCTTGTACGCTCACGCTTTGTCATATGCCTCACAGCTAGCTGAAAGCCTTGGTCGTAATGACGACGCCTCGAGGTGGTCTTCCAGAGCTGCCGAAGTTGGAGAAGCGCTACTGAAGCATAATTATGACAGCAGTGCTGGTGCGTTTTACGATGGCGGACCGTGTCCTGGAGGAGAAGCGGGCACATTCTGCAATGTCCATGCACAGGATGGAAATGCCATTGCTATTCTTGCAGGTATAACGGATGACGAAACAGCAGCTGAGATACTTGATTACTGGCAAAATGCGACGTCACAAGCGTATGGAAACGCGTTCTACGATAGCAGCATACTGAGCCCTGGAGATCAGTTCAACGATCGTGTCTACGCCTTCATCTCTTATTTCGAGATTGCCGCTCGATTTGTTACTCCTGGGAAAGCTTCATCTGCCTTTGACGAGGTTCGAAGGTTGTATGGATGGATGGCTACTCATGATCCCTACATCACACAGTGGGAGGGCATTGGACCAAATGGAACTGCTTATGAGGGTGGCTTTACGTCCATGGCACATGGCTGGTCAACGGGAGTTGTTCCCTTGCTAAGTAGCTATGTACTTGGAGTGAAGCCCCAAACGCCGGGTTTTCAGACGTGGAAGATATGCCCCGTAGTAGACGGAGGAGGGCTCACATGGGCGAGAGGAGACGTGCCAACTCCAGGGGGAAAGATTGGAATCTCCTGGGAGAGGAAGGATGCGCAATCCGGTTTACTGTTTGTGCTGGAGACTGAAACACCTAAAGAGTCTTCTGGGGTGGTCTGTGTTCCAACATTGGGGCTGGAGAAGCCGAAGATATATATGGATGGAACATCTCTTACACTATCTACAGGCCAGACTCAAGACTGGGTGACCGTCAATGTTACTGGAGGCATGCACACATTTACGGTTGAATCTTGAAAGGCTAGAATTCTGTATATTCTTTTCTATAGTCGTCTACTGAAGCCATTTTTATGAGCCGTTCCATGTTTGCGGCCTGGCGGAATGCGTAGTGTGTGTATAACGTGAAACACGCCCTAGTGTTAATGTTTATCCTCGATGAAAGCTTCGTCTATCTGCAGTCATAAATTGTGCCATGATGCTCATGGCGATGATGTATCCTCTCCCTCGTTTCGACTCTCATCTATTCTTTCACTTTCTTCGTCAATCAGCGTACTGCCCGGAGGTGGGAAATTGGAAAATAACAACACGGTCATTCCAATCACGGCGATTGCCTGGAGGTGCGACGCATATTAGAACCAGCTCATTCACAAGGATTGAACGTCTTTTGAAAACTTACCGCGTTGCAGTAAAACGTCGCATACGCTTTGCCCACACTGGCCAGGCTCGAAAAGATTAACCCAAATAGACCCTGCGTTGTTAATCTGGCAATATTCTCTACGAGTGTCACGGCGTTTAGGGCATCTGCGCGATGAGATTCTGAACACATATCGGTGATGACGCCTTTGGCTGCTGGTGCAGAGCCGGAGCCGAAAGGGAGGAGAAAGGCGGCTATAGAAATCTGTTAATACTACAGATGAACGTGTATCTATTTTGATTCACAGAGAGCTTACCGAGATAAATATGCCATCTCTTGGTGGCGAATGCAACGACAATGGTGAGTGCACCGTCGACGACAAGACTCCATCGGAGGAAGATGAGGTCAAAGTGGCCAACCTCGTGGTGGTGTTCTGAAGCGACTGGTCTTGTTGGCTCGATATCCGCCTGTTCACCGGTTGTTGCGTCAAATTCCCCAGGCTCAGTAGGCAGTTGATCATCCACTGTAGAAATAGACGAATCGTCTGTGTCTTCAGGCTTTGAGTCGGAATTACGCTTGAGCATGTAACGTCCGAAGTTGATGATACACGGGAACAAGACGATGAGGAAAAAGCTTCGCATAAAGGCGAATTCGAACATGAGCCATCCATTGTCTCCTTGATCAAAGTCGAATGCCGCGGTGGCATACAACTGGGTTAGGATAGGGGCATAGTCCGTTGCGAGCTGTTTAGAGCTCTGATCAGTATCGAAGAGAAAGAGTAAGGTAAAAGGATCTGCTACGCTTACCACTCCAAGGAAGATGCCGGCGCAGAGAACGATGACGCCGTAGTGCTTCTTGATGCCGCCGCTTGATGTTCTGACGCGCTGGGGAACAAGAATCTTGAGCGGGGCGAAGAAGCCTGCAATGCCCTGCTGGCCGGGCTTCTTCTTGCTACTCATGGACTCTGGAGAAATGTATGGGAGAGCAAAGTGTATGTAGGTGCAGGATATGAGAAAGGTGATGAAGGCGATGTCAAAGGGCGCTCGGATATCGATTGCGTCTCCAAGTATTCCGCCAGCTATAATGTCAAAGAGTTAGCTAGCGGTATAATGATCTATAAGAGGAGGCATGCATACCCAAATACCCGACACTCTGTCCGAGCATGATGCTTCCCTGTAGCTTTCCAAAGACAACCGTCCGCCGAGCAGGCTCAACCAGTTCACTGACAAAGATGTTGGTGATGAGAATGTAGCCGGCTGGGCCGCCAATAATGGTGACAAGCTGCGTGGCCTGGATGATCAGAATGCCTGTTCGCTTGCCGGCCATGACTCCGAGGATCTGTGCAAGGACTCGAAGAGCGGGCACGAAAGTCTGAATCATGAGAGCAGAGCGAGGGCCAATCTTTTTGACAGTCCATCCTGCAATAAAAAGATTGAGAGTTCCTAGAGATTACAGGAGCTTTGTGTCAATGCTGCTCGTGTAAATAATAACCATAGGAGTGCAGCCGAAGGCGAGGCGAGCACATTCAAAACTAACCACAAAGTGTCGTGCTCATTCCCAGAATACTGAATTGAGCGGCGGTCCCCGCTGCGATTTCGTCGCGACTGCATCGCTGGCCGGGGCCTTCAAATGGAGGGTTGTGGTCGTAGAATTCGTCGCATACCATAAGATGGAAAACATACATGAGCCTCTCTGGATGTAAGCATGGGCTACACTTTGAAGAGAACTGAAGACATGATATCACAATTGTGAGGCCGTGAACGAGAGGCGTGAGACTCACGGTACCTGAGTATAGCTAAACGCGACGCAGATTAGAAACCCGGCCGCCAAAATGCGGTTCTCGACATTGGTGAAGATGCCGCTGAGCGAGTCTCTGAAGCTTCTCTTCTGGCTGACCGAGACCAAGGCCTTGCGGCCAGGAAGCAGCGGTGTGGTCTCATCTGTTGCCATTGTGAACCGGCAGCGCCTCTCGATCGAACCAATCTTGGCGAGTCTGGTTGTCGCTCACGCTCACTGCTTGAGCTGAAATGGCGGATTGAGAAAAGTGTGCTTCTGGCTTCTGGCTTCCGGCTTCCGTAGGTCTAGCTAAGAGCGCCGGTGGATCAATGGTTCCCCAGATGGCGAATAGAGGCCGTTGATTGCGTGAGTTGACGCCGAACCCGCAGCAACTCCGATGGATTGTGGGCCGTTGAGCAAAGGTTTGTTGGTGGCCGATTACCAATTGATCCTTCATTGGATGGAGTTGGATGGAGAAGGGCGCGAGATAACATGCACTGGTTGAGAATATCTTCTGAAGTCACGGTGGCTGTGCCCGTATTCAACTTTGTCTCTTTGCTTTGGAGAAGTCACAGATTACATAGCATATACAGATGCATGTTTGGCTTTGCACACGGTCAAATGTGCCTTTCACTTGTATGGCACCTTGGTTTTAAGGTGGATTCTACGGAGTAATTGAACCGATTTTCGGGGCGATCCGTAACCGCAACTCTCATGAACTCTCCTTGATCACATGCATGAATCCACGTCCAACTTCTAGTTAAACGTCAAAAGCACTGCTTGCGAGTATCGCACCGGAACAGAAATCTCTCCCTTGTTATTCGGGCGAAGCACGCTCTCATACTGTTTCGCCACTCTCACCGGCTTTCCCTCAGCTAGGTCATAATCGTAACTTAATCCGGCGACCGTGATGTTTGTTTCAGAGAGCGCGCCCGGAGCCGTCATCAACTCGACAGTGGCATATTTCAGTTCCCGTTGGCCGGTGCTGACAGTAAAAGTCGTGCTCGGCGCCTTCGAGGCTTCGGCCTGATCGGTTGAAGGGTTCCACTCATGCAGGTTCAGAAGAACAACGCGGGCCAATCGTCCATTTTCGTATGCTGCGTATGCGGAATAGAAATCGCTGTGAAGATCAATGTTGTCGATCCTTGTGTTGGGGTGGGCTCCGATGAACTTGGAAACCATAACGTGACCGTAGTAAGGAGGATTCGTCGATGGACCTGTGCCGTTTTGTGCAATTGGCATCCAGGCGCCGTAGCGGTACGCCGTTCCCTGGTGCATATGCATGCGATTTACTCCCTATTCACTCGGTTAGAGCTGTCTTGCTAGAATTTGGGATCCCGTTGACTTACAAAAGATGCATAGTAGAGCTCATAGTCAAGGATGAATAACGCAGAGCCAAAGACGTCGGAAACCCCAAACGCCCCTTGACCAGAGACGCCGTTCGTCTCACCCAGTGTATAAGCACGACCAGCATTATGATTGAGTTTATAAAGAGACTGATGAACAGTGCCATTGATTACCACGCTCGTGTGATTCATGAGAGTGCCTGGTCTCAGTTAATAAAGATGGCCTATAAGGACAGAGTGGAATGCTATACCTTGTAGAGTTGGGTTCTGACCAGTTGAGGAGATGTATCTAGATCTCTGTCAATAATTAAATTCCATTCAAGAATGGCTGCAACTCACCCGTGCTGTGACACCTCTGAGATCCACCCATCTCGGTCATAGTCGAACGTGCTATTCCATATCGTCCATGGGGAGAAGAATGAATAAGGAGTCGTAATATTGTAACAGCATGTTGAAGGGGCATAGAATCTCAGAGACTTGGCTGGGGTCTGAATATTTCGCGCCCGGTCAACCCATTCCTCAACCCAATCCTGCTGGGTCCAAGTTGGGGGTCGGAATCCAGACAACGCGCCGTAATCATTTTCATTGCCTATTTCGAACAAGTGCAACCGATCAGGAGGAATCTGCAACAGAGATTGTGAAACTTGCCCCCGGAGATTCTCAAGATACGTAGAGTCGTTCTTGTAAAAGTTTAGCCCAAAGATGTACTTTGTGCCCCCAATGGCGGTAAATGCTTCCCAAAAGGTTGGGCCAATGGAGGTATTGCGTGGCTGATCGGAATTGTAAGATGGATCCCAAAAATTGTTAAGCTGCTCTTTTTGGTCCGGAATGTAGGTGACATGGTCCCTGGATAACATGGTAGGTTAACAATCGTCTTCTTCCGAGCAAGAGTTCGACTGCCATACTGAGTATTTCCTCCAATCCGAAGAATCTGAGGCACATCTCCATTGAAGGCTCTCAGGTTGGCCAAGAGGTTGTTGGTAAATCTGTTTGGATGTGATTTGTTTCCTGAATGAAATGTTGAGTATTTTACCAGCAGCAGAGAAATGGTCACATGCTACCTTGGAAGTCAACTAGAAACGCAAACTCGATGGAAAAGGACTGAAAGTCAAGCGAGACGGGTGGGCTCGATGATGCTGGGGGACTTCTGGCGACATTCAGATGAACTGTTTCGCCTGCAACGAGGCCTAGGAAGGTCGCAATGAATGAGGCCACTGAAGTTCGCACCATCTTGCTTTTACTAAAGAAGCCCAATAGGGTTGTAAATCCGTGAAATGAGACTTGCTCTCACCACCAGTGTCTCTCAATTGCTACTGCACTTGGAGTCTCTTATATCCAATTGATCTTCATCTAGCTGCTCCATGATACGTTGCCTCTTGCGGGGGGGACGAGATCGACGTCATATGGGCTTCAATGTCTTGCCATTTACTACAAATTCATAATAATAGGAACCAAATTAGCCTAAAGATATTTTTTAGCAGAAACAACTTGTTATTCCTGTCTTCAATGGTCTTTACAATGGATCAAACAGGGTTACATCCCGACGGATCGGAAAAAAAGATCTGGGATCCAAAATTAAGCGATCGTGTGAAACACCGACCTTAGCTCTTACATATGCAGTCATGGCAGTTAAGCAGTAAACAAAGTATACGGAATGGCAAAGGTACAGTCATTCAGTATGAATGTTGATGACAAGGAATAAGTCAGAGAGGCCTAGATTTAGTAGGGAATGCATCACAACTTCCTGTATAGTGCATGTAACCCTCGATGGCTTTGTTGCTTCCATGGTTGCCGCAATCTGAAGAGCCTTCTGGCTATGTGAGGCCATGGGGCACAGCATTTATAGATTAGAGTACCTTCTACGTTTGAATACGCCTACTTATTGCCATCTCTTTACGGTCATCATCAATGGTGAACTTACATACTGTCCGTGAATGCCAGACTACCCCGCTGATCATCGCATGAGTGAAGAATACGAGACCGAAGGCATAAGTAATCAGAAAACTACGGGTAAAAAAGGTACGTGGCTAATGTTATATACATCTGGAAAGAGATGGAGCATCGGTAGAAAGGAGTCTGCATTGTGACTGGTTGCACACATTGAACTACTAATATCTGTTATAGTCGGCGACATCAGTCTCACACTCTAATAAACAGCGACTTTTATCTCACTGCATTACAAAATCATAATCTTTGATGACTATACTCGGTGAGTTGAGCAAAGGATTCACTTCATGCAGATACAATCGTCAGAGCTGTTGACTAGCGAAAGTACGGTCTGGCAACCGCCTTGGCCACTGCCCATCCTTCATCAAACGCCGCAACTAGCTCATCCGGCAACGGGCCCTTCTCCAAGCTTGTCAAGTTCTCTTTTAATTGTTGGGCACTGCTTGCTCCAATGATGACCGCGTCACCATACTCATTCTTCATCAAGCTGTGGTGAACAGACCATCTCAAAGCTGCCTCTGCGGTGGGGATCCCAAGCTTGGCGGCTACTGGCCTGACAGCATCCAGGGCCTTGAAGTATGTCTCATTCCAGTATCGGCTTCGGTAGTTGGCACCTTGCTCTTTCGAGGGGTCAAAGCGGCTGCCCTCTTCGTGATCTTTGAAATCAAGCTTGTACTTGTCTGTGAGAATTCCTCCGGCCAACGGGTTATACTGGTAAAATGCGATCCCGTAATTTCGAAGGCAGGGGAAGAGCTCGGGCTCTACTGCTCGATGGAGTCCATTGTACACGCCTTGATAAACATCGGGCTTCTTCCATCCGTTGCGGATGCAGATTTCACAGAGCAGGGCAGTTTCCCAGGCAGAATAGTTGCTGATTCCGAAGCGTTTGAAGTAACCCTCCTCGTAGAGTTTGTTGACTTCACGAAGAGTGTCTTCGTATGGAGTATTGTGATCCGGCGCGTGTAAGTACCACATATCAACCTATTGCCAAACGAGTGAGCTAATGATGTTCCTCTCAGAATGCATATACGATGCGCTCTTTCTGTTTAGCTCACCTTTTCGGTCTTGAGATCCTTCAGACTTTCCAAAAGGCCTTTTCGAAGACCAGCAGGTGTGTGATCATACTGGTCATTGGACGGCGATAGTTTTGTATCCATGACAATACCTCGCTTTTGCCAGTCTAGCTGGCCAAGAAATCTCTCAGAACTTCCTCCGCCGTACACTCGGGCGGTGTCGATCTCCGAGTGACCAAATTGCTGGAATACATCGAGAATCTCAGCACTCTCCTCCAAGGTATGAATGCGAGCTTGAGTGGCGCCTTGGAATAGCAATCAACAAATGCACGTCCTTGGTGAATAAAATACAACAAACCTTTATCTCCAATGGTCATGGCGCCAAAGACCACCTTTAGTGCTGAATTAGGTCTTGAACCCATCGTGAGACTTTTCTTTCTGGCTTTCAGTCTTTGGCCTAGAGTTGAAAGTTATTTTGAAGTTTGTTTATTCTAGAAAACACGGCGATGATGGTGCAGCAATTGGGTCGCGATATTTTTCGTCAATCGAGGCTCAATCAATTGCGACACACAGCGGCTTTATTAGCAGAGGTTCAACCCCGCATTTCGAGATGATGCCATCCCTGGCACTATCAAGACATGGAGATAGGTGGAATTTCCGAGTCTGGATGCCCGAATATATCACGGTAATAAGGAATATCTGGCCCTGATCAACAGAATATGGGTCGCCGCTCTCCATAATTCGCCTAGTTCACTTCACTATTCAGAGAGCCAGCTTGCCAGCATCTGCAATCAGGCTAGAAACGCGCAAATGGAGGGGCACAGGGGAGACCACATTGGACGGAGCTCAGTTCACTAGTATTTCCATCACCACCACGGATACGAGCTTGTCAACTCGGGCAAATCCAGTGTCGACTTGCCAATGAGCATCAAGTAACATGGGACTATACTGAATGCAGTGACATGTGTCTTGACAAAACCTTTGTCAGAAATTTTAACTAATTACTCATGAGAGATATTGTACGTGTGCCTCTTCACATCTCATATATCACGCAACAAGCATGCTTCATACAGCATACAGCCTATTCCTTCAGCGGAACAGTGTCCGTAAACAGAGATGCGCTCCAGCCTGGAGGGTACCTGTCTCCAACAATGGCTGTCTTGTTGATAGCTTTCCTGATCTCTTCATTCTCCTCATCGCTAATGCTCAGCCGCAGCGCTCCCATGTTTTCGTCGTAGTACTTGATCCTCTTGGTTCCTGGGATCGGAATGACCATGTCCCACTGCTTCAAGAGCCAGGCAAGGACCAGTTGCGAGTTCGTGGCATTATGCCGAGCTGCAATCTCTTTCAGAGTGTCAACCAGTTCCAGGTTCTTGGGAAAGTTTTCGGGAGAGAAGCGAGGGATGTTGATTCGGAAGTCTCCTTCTTCGAAATCCTCAGGCCCTTTAATCTGTCCAGTCAGAAACCCTCGGCCGAGAGGAGAGTAGGCGACAACAGCGACGCCGAGCTCTTGGCATGTCTTGAGCATATTCGTCTCTGGCAATTCGATTTCCAGCGCAAAAGGGCTGTACTCCATCTGAACCGCAGCGATGCGATGCACAGCATGGGCTCTTCTTAGTGTTTCGGCCGAAACCTCGGAGAGACCCAAATGCCGAACCCAGCCCTTACTAAAGAACAGTTAGTATTATTCCTTCATCAGGCATGGCAGAAGTTCAAGAGAACATTCAGTCCCGAGACTTACTTCTTGAGCTCGATCATGGCCTCTACAGTGTTCTCAATGGGAACCTTGGAATCAACTCTGTGGACATAATACAGATCGATGTAATCTGTTCGAAGACGCTTCAAACTCGTCTCGGCGCATTCCTTTGCATACTCGGGGCTATTATCAGCCTTGCCTCCGCCCAGGTTCCCCCATTTGGTTGCTAGAACAATATCCTTCCGCTTTTCGGGGTTGCGGTCGAACCACTTGCCAATGAGTTCCTCGCTGTCTCCATAAACATTGGCAGTGTCCCAGAATCTTTCTCCAGTTTCGTAGAGATGGTCGAGAACCTTGAAACGCTCCTCATCAGACTCCGTGGCGCCATAGTAAGCGCTGATGCCCATCGCACCAAAGCCAATGGCTGTGACGAGGGGGCCATCGGTTCCAAGGCGCCTAGTAGGAAGAGACATGGTGGGATGAGTTAAACTGAACGGCTTTAGCTGCTGTCGTTGAAAGCGATTGAAAGCGCAGTAACTGCTGTTAAGTTGAATCTGTCGAGTATAGCAGTTTACACGTTTGTATGCTGATGCTATATATCCAAATATTGAATGGACCTTTGAGATTACATTTCACTCTCTTTTATCTCAACTTTCAACAGCATGGTTGTGAACTTGAGTCAAGTCTATCGGCAAGTCTATCGGCAATAAGAACCACGGATTTTCGACCCGAGCGGGGAATGGATCGCGGTTCCGGTGCTCGCCTTTATGAAATCGGCGTTAGTGATGGCACGAATCGCTAAAAGAGGCAATAATTACTTTTTCGAGAAGACCTGTAAATTTGTAATGAACGTGATGTCACCCCAGTGTCAACAACAAACAATGATTGAGCAGAATAGGCAAGATGGTTCATCGGTTTTACGTAGATTTCAGTTTACTTTTTTCCGATAACTACCAATGCCGCTTTCAACTTGCCCTTTCGAACAACTTTGGGATGTACGATGATACAAATCTGAGATGCCATCTAAGCCGAACTTCGGTACCGACAGCACCGTATCCATTATTAGGAGGACCTTTGACTCCACTGTAAAGTAGGAGCTCCGCGGTGAGATGGGAGCTCCGCGGTAAAAGTTACTGTGTTACTTGGTCACTATGAATCTGGGACGGAAAACTGGTGATTCAATAAGTTCCGATCAGTTGTGCCCCAATTAAGCAACGCCTTTCATTCGATGGAAGGCAAAAGGTCTTCGGCGTTAGTCTTCAAATGTTTCCCACCTTCGCCGATGAGCCAATGAAAAATCTCAATTAAGACTCCATCGGTTACCTATTTGGGACTCAAGATTTGTCTGAAAAGACATTGTCGAAGACAGTAATAACTGACTATTAAGTACGCAGCTTCCTCCACATTCCATCAAGAATTATAAATTGAGCTGTTGCTTCTGAACCATTTATCGAAATGTCTTACATTTTCCGTGTCAAAAAGATGAGCCTCTGCAGCGAATTATTAATGTACGGAGCTTTCACGTAGTAAAAACGGGATGTTGCAAGGAAATGGGACTGGTATAAATAGCATTCACCTGGAGAGCTAGAACGAACAATATACAATTTGAGAATTCTATACGAGTATCGCATCGGTCGTATTCACAATCCTATCCTTCAAGATTCTCCTTGAACAGGTGGGGAAATGGCGCTCTCTATCCCCAAACTTGTCCACCAGTGGACTGTGGGCGGCGGAGAAGGGTTTGACGCTTTGCACTATTCTGAACAACCTCTTCCTGAATTGGGAGACAGCCAGGTGTTGGTGAAATGTGAGTTTGATAGGGAGTTCGTTTTATAGAAGTCGCCCCCCTAACAACTAATACAGTGGAAGCGGTATCGCTCAATGTAAGTCGATACAGCATCTCGATTTTACATCATCATGATTAATAAGATTGCTTCTCAAGTACCGTGACCTTATGATAATACAAGGGAAATCAATTCATCCTGTGGCTCCAAACGTTATCCCAGGCTCGGATGGAGCCGGCACTGTTGTCGCAGTTGGCAAACACGTTCGTCGCTTCACTCCCGGCGACAGAGTTGTCACCACATTTTTCCAGGACTATGTCGCTGGGCCTTTCCAGCTATCCGCGGCCGTCTCAGCACTCGGCGGAGCATTGGATGGTACGCTTCGAACTTACGGAGCCTTCAATGAACAAGGATTGGTTTGCATACCGTCAATCTTGAGCTCTCTAGAAGCTTCAACGCTGACTTGTGCCGGAGTCACCGCGTGGAGCGCTCTTTTTGGGCTGTCCGACTACAGGGTGAGTGCTGGAAAATGGGTTCTGACGCAAGGAACAGGAGGCGTCAGCGTGTTTGCGCTACAGTTTGCAAAAGCAGTTGGTGCTAGAGTCGTCGCAACTACGAGCTCCAACGACAAAATCGACTTTCTGAAAGGTCTTGGTGCTGATCATGTCATCAACTACAAAGAGGACGCCGAATGGGGCACCACTGCCAAATCGCTGACCGGTGGAGGCGGCTTTGATCACATTGTTGAGGTTTCTGGACCGGTGTCTATGAGACAGAGTCTGAAGGCCGTCGCAATTGGTGGCGTCATCAATATTGTTGGGTATTTGGGAGGCTCCAGCAGCGATCAGCCGACCTTCTCGGACTGCTTCCAGCATAGATGCATCGTACGGCCGATCGCGGTGGGATCAAGAGTGCTGCTGGAAGAGCTGTGTCGCGCGATCGAGGCAAACCCAGAGAAGCTTCGACCCGTCGTTGATCCCAAAGTCTTCCGGCTGGACCAGCTCAAGGAAGCTTGTGAATACCAGTGGTTGGGCAAGCACAAGGGAAAGGTGTGTGTTGAGATTTCTTAGCAAGGCGATTATGAGAAGATGATGATGGGGTGATGCACCTACATATCTAGGTAGAATCATGTTCTTTAACTTGCGGGACTATGTGCCATGTAACATCAAATGGCATCCCTAACAAGATGTACATATAATCCTCTCAGTTAGCATATACCTGCATCTCACGTACAATATATTGACTGTAGCGTTGTTCCCGGCTAAAATTGATACCATTCACACTCTGCTAATACACGCGTATTTAGTACTACCACCACGTCGAATGGCGTCATGAAGACCGCAAGGGTCCCGTCCAACCCCGCGCCAATTCCGCGACCCCTCTCATTTCTCCCAAGTGCTCAAGATGGTTGAAGGCAGCAAAATGGGCTTCAAGTTTGTAAAGTTGGGCACGTCAGCAAAGACGGGCTTTGACTCCTCCGCTGTCAGAGCATTTACTGCATCCTCGGGCTTTTCCCAGGTCATCACAACACCTCCGGAGAAGGGCGCATCAGGGCCGCCCTGGATGACCTGCCAGCTCTTGAGGCCGATGGGGCTCCATTGCTTATTCACAATGGGCATGTGTGTGTTGATGTAGTAATCCATGTCGAAGAACTCGCCCTCCTTGGGCTGGTTGTAGAGAACCGTGAAGTTGGAGGCCATTGTGTTCAGGGAAATGCTCGCTCGGTCAGTGAGTCTATGGGAGAGTCCAAATGTTAGTTTAAACCACTTGCGATGTGCGTGTTGCCGTGTTGTTCGCTCGTACTTTGGTGCTAAGTTGCGAAATGGGAGTGGTAACTGTTGGATTGACAGCTTAGATGCTCAAAAAAAGCTGCCGAACAAAGTATCTTTATATGGAAATACAATAGTCGATTGGTGCTTGTGGTAACAGTGAAGCAGGCTGTTTTAAATTCTGGCCACTCCGAACGATGCCGGGCGGAATTGGTTGTTGAGTGATTCTACTAGAGCCGATCAGGCTTAACACTGCCTCAGCAAAATTGCAATCTTTGTGGGCCAGCGCCCAAATACAGAGAGCTTCCAGCGGTCGGATACGGCCGGAAAGAACCTTGTGGAATAGAAAGCCGGAGATTATCAGATCCATGGATACGAAGTCATGGCTGCCACAAGCGGGCACTCCAGAGGAAATACGATGACGGCAATTGTTGCCTCCAATAACTCATGTTATGGATACTGCGCTGTACAGTATAGGATTGCGTATGATCTATGGACTAGCAATTTGCTGAAGTGCCTTCAATTGTGACGTCTGCTATTACGGTTTACTTTTACTCTTATCAAATTCGGCACGCACCAGAAGCATTGAGCGATTAACCCACAAAGAAAAAAATAAAGTGAAAAGATGCTATATCCTCGGCCAAAAGAATGAAAAACAAGTAAAAAAAAAAGAAATATCATGCCATAACGAGGAATCGAACCTCGGTCTTCAGTGTTTCATATCCACAAACTGATATACTAACCACTATATTATTATAGCTTCTAGATATTCGATGGGTGGAGCCGAACTAAAATTATATGATAAACACTTGACAGTTCAAAGACGACTATACGCTGCTTTTGTCAAACCATCTTGACAGAGGAATATACGGTTATAAAGTTACTGAAGAATGTATATAACACAATTATATAAATGCGATAAAATACATCATGAAGGCGGTATAATCGGAGATACCTAGGTAATGTTTACGAACGAGCAATGAGTCCTGTCCTTTCGGCTCGCAAGCTTCATGCATACATGTAGTGTTTGCTTTCTTCTTCCCTTAACATTAGTACTGGACAATCGGACAAATTGCTTTCCTCTTCATTTGATCTCGAATCCTATTCAACTCATAACCCTGCTGTGGGCGTGACAAAGTCTCTATTAGTCGGGCTTCATATTTCGCCGACGTCGTATTTTGAGATCTGCAAAAACCTTCAATCATTCTTGCTACCGGCTATTATTGGCATAACATGCACCACTATAGCAACCCTCTTGCAGGAACGCAATAGTTTGCGCATTTATTTCACCATATACCCTCCTCCACCCAAACACTAGACACCAAAGTGCCGCATCTCCGGCTCCATCGATTGTCGGCGCGGAGTCAATCTTGGTTCACCTGCTATTTTGGCGTGGAACTTTCGCAAATGCTACACTTGCTTTGCTTCATCTCCTACTCCAGCTTCCAACACCCGCGACTAAGACCGACTGCCAAGGACAAGCTTAAAGGCCCCAAAGCCTTTGGGAGGTGCTCTGGGTGGCTGACAAAAATAGTCTTAGCCAATAAATTAAGCTTATATGTCTATTCTCCGCTCAGATTGATCCATCCTTGGCCCGAATGTCACCTAGCTTATCTGGGAATGTTTTCCAACAATGAGGGGAGCATCTGTCCTTGCGGACTCTGGTTACTTGATCAGGAAGCTCATTAGATTGCGGTTCGTCATCTGTTAATGCAAATGTGTGGATGTTAATGTTCTTTGGGATGGCGCAAAGCAGCGGTATTGACTGTATGCTTCTTGAAAGAAAGAGTATGGCGTCATTTTAGAAGCCGAATCATCTCCTGTAACGCGCTCAATGGATAAAATGGACCACTATCCCATAGACACTGGACACTTTCTTTCAAAACTTTTGACAACATCGATTTGTTCAGACTTTTAAAATGGTTACCAAAGCTACTCTTGCTCTGCTCGCGGCGGCTTTCCCGCTTGCTCTCGCTGCGCCCCTCACTGGCAGCAACTCGGAGCTTCGACTTATCAAAACTTCAGAAGATGACGTTGGCCAGTGGGTGACTGAACAGGAGAAATTCGACAGATTTACCTCAAAGAACATTGGATTCATTGACATTACTGATATCAAGGTAAGCATGATCAACTGGTGTCATCTTCTCGTGGTTATCATAGACATCATGATTGACATCAATTCACAGGATGATGAGGTGCTATCCATTCTGTCAAGGCCACCATCAGACACCTCTCTGACCACCCGTGCTGTCACTTATCCGACAAGGGTTGAGCACGTAGACGAAGCCCAGTCGCTCATTGCAAAAGTGTCCACCAGTGGTCCGCAAAGCTGGCTGACTACGTTTACTCAGTGCGTATTAGTCCATCACTTTCGTGTGAAGCTCCTATTGCGCATATTAATAGTTGATTAGATTCACTACTCGGCATTACCGCTCAACAACTGGCACTCAGGCTTCAGCCTGGCTATTTGATCAAGTCTCCAGCATTGCGTCTGCAAGACCGGAGATTATTGTGCAAAGGTTCACCCATACCTGGAACCAGCCTTCTATCATTGCCCGGTTGCCTGGACAGAGTTCAAACCTCAGTAAGATCGTTACCAAGATGCTGAATGCGAAATAACAGAGTTGCTAATGGAGCCCAAGTCATTGTGGGTGCTCACATGGACTCCACCGCTGGCTCGACTACAGCCCGCAGCCCCGGGGCAGATGATAACGGCTCTGGATCAGTTACTATTCTTGAAGCCTTTCGTGTCATTGCCCAGTCAGACTTCGCCCCCGAAAACACAATTGAGTTTCACTGGTATAGTGGTGAAGAAGGCGGGCTTCTTGGGTCCCAAGCAATCTTCGCCAACTATAAATCCACTGGGAAGACAGTCCTTGCTATGCTCAACCAGGACATGACTGGCTTCTCTCCAAGCAACCAGCTGGCTGTCTATACTGATAACGTTGATGCAGCTTTGACACAATATGTTAGAGTAATTGCTACCCAGTACACGGGTGCTGCACCTCTTACCACACGATGTGGTTATGGCTGCTCCGACCACGCAAGTGCTCGCTCTAACGGTTTCCGTAAGTCTCTCAAACCCTAAAAAGTCCATTCGGGATTTTATTGACGTGTGCTTGACAGCCTCTGCCTTTGTCAATGAAGACACATTCGAGAGGTCCAACCCCAGCATCCACACTGCTGGAGATGTAAGTACTATCACTGTCAAGACTGCCCAGTTCTGGCTGACATTTAGATAGTCTCTCGATAAGATTCAGTGGCCGGCAGTTCTTCGACATGCCAAGTTTACCGTGGGATTCCTCGTTGAGGCATCTTATCTTTGAGTAATTGCATGGTGTCATGTATATGGTTGGTCGATGATGTAGCGAGCAGCCTAGAAATCATATGATACCATATGACCTGGACAAAAATAAGTCAAAGTATACGTTCAGGAGTTGCTGTCTAGCACTCTGGTAGTATCATAGACCAGAGGAATTGGTGATAGCAGTGATGCTAGCATAATTGGCGATAGTAGCCGATCCATGGGTATGAGGCACCGAAGTGCTATGATAGGAAGAACAAAAGTATTTGTATTTACGCAAAATATTGCGACAGGGCTTCAACTATACGTCGTTGCTGAGCACTGCATAGCTTTTCCTCGAATTAAACATTTCAGTAAAGAGTTTGTAGTCACCTATGAATAGCACCGATATATCGCCCTCTCCCTAGAACCCGACATTCCCCTCTCTGTTGTTGCCACCCGTGGATTATAAAAACTGTGTGCCATAGCCAGTGTCTTTTCCTCTCTGCACATCGACCGTCAATGTTGTTCCATAGCCATAACCGCTCGAGTATACACCCTCGTATGTGGGATATTGGGTTTGCTTCCAAATGCTCTGAATCTTTCTTGCTGACTTTAGGAAATCTCTCCGAATATTGGAGTAATCCTTGTTGACAATTTTACCATCCTTTTTGACAAATTTTCCGTCAATTAATACGTGTAGAACATCGCCAACGTTTGCATGCAAAATAATCGCTGCGACAGGATCGTCCCATCCGAGCATCGAAGGAGAGTTTTCAGCATCCCAGACTACCAAGTCAGCCTTTGCACCTGGCTTGATGACACCAAGATCAGGTCGTCGAAGTGCGAGCCCTCCGGACCGAGTAGCTAGCAGGAACGCTTGATTGACGGTCATGGGAGAATAAGTCGGGACGTGCCAATTCTCCAACACTTGGTTGTAAAAATGGAGCCTGACGGACTGCAGCCACATTCGAGCCTGGGTCAAAATATCGGACGAGTATGTGAAATGAGTATCAATGCCAAGTGCGGCTTGGTCTTGCACATCATAAGAATGCGGGTGGCCATGTCCATACTGCATCTCCGATTCTGCGGTGATGGAGATGTACTGGTTGGTAGAACGAAGTAATTGCAAATCGTTTGCGGTGATGAAGCTCGAGTGGGAAAATACAATAGGCACGGTACCATTCAAAATGCCAAACTGCTGAACTTCGCTTGGAAGATTGCTTATACCCCACGGTCCGGCAAGAGAATGCGTTGTCATGACTGAGACGTTAAACTCTTTGATGAGATCTGCAATGTCCTGAGCCTCATTGACATTTGGATTCGGCCCCCAGAAGTCATATGCAACGCCGAGTTCTGTAGGGGAATCTCTCACCAGCGCTTTCTTGTTTGTTGCCATTTCTCGAAACAGTGGAATCTGATCGGACGCAGTGTAGTTGAGAGACGTGATGTTGTGAAAAGTAAATGCCCAAAAGACCCTAGCCCCGCTGTCGATTGATGCATTGAATCCAGCATAGGATGTGCTTGCAGACCACGTGTGAGAGGCATGATCAAGAAGAGTTGTCACTCCACCGTTCATGGCTTCGTACAGACCAGCAAGTTGGCTAATATATACATCATCAGCCGTGAATTTATCTGCCGCGACGAATTCTCCGTAGCGGCCAAAGTATTCCGTGAGAGATGTGTTTGAGGCAATTGTCTTGAAAACCGTTTGCCATCCGTGGCGGTGGGTATCAACAAATCCCGGAGTTAGTATCTGATTTGATATGTCGACAACTTTCGTTCCTGGCGGCAATTCAGACGGTTGAGGGTTTGCATCCACAGATGAAATGCGATCATCTGTGATCAAAACGGAGCCATTTCGGATTACTTTGAGATAATTTGCACCGTCGTCCCAGGCGATAATTGTCCCACCTGAGAGAAGAGTTGAAGCTGCGTCGACAAAAGTGTCGGAGAGCCCAAGAGCTCCAAAAATGACAGAGCTGTAGCGCATGAAGGATGAGGTAGGCGGTGATCTTGTAAAGTCAAACAATTAGCGTAATTGTTTCCGATTGCGCGCCGGAGTTGTCCATTCTCTCTCCAGAGCATCGTCGATTGCTTATATAGTCCATGTCAATGCTGTTGGTTTGAAGCGTTCTTGAGAGTTCCCATGACACCAGTTCGGCACCCTTAGCACCGTTATCCAATAGAATATCTCCAACATTGTCCATCCAACACTGCGTTTCACTCATCAATTAATTGGAGATCTTCTCCTCATGTTCAAGCGAGTCTGCAAAGCTCAAAACTACCCAATCCAAAATGACCTGTTACTAGTTATTGGGGTACGGCGTCTACTTTGTATGGGCATGTGGAACCACTCGTTCGCCGAGGTGCGGGTCCATCACACTCAAGTGATGAGAGATGCGTGTGATGTTTATGCAATTCGCCCATTTACATAATAATTGGTAATGTTTGCGACGGCATCGGTGGGCCGGCTGGAGCCCTATATATCATTGTAAATGGTTGCTGGAAGACAATGCTAATATATCATAAACTTTCAATGCCACTAGACTCTGGCCGATATCACCTAAAGGCTAATTGCGACCCAGTTGAATGCGGTGACATTGATCGTCACCAACGCTTTCGCAACCGGTGCCCCGCGAGCCAGCCTGATGTAACATAGCCGGGTAAATGGTGTCCTCGGGATAAAGATCGGATGAAAACTGTTGCACGTGTCTCAATTAAATAATCTCAAGCATGAGTAATCCAAACATGTGCTTGGAGGTGGGCCACGTTCTGGTGATCATGGATGGGGGAACGGGGGGATGATATGTGAAACAGCAGTATAGCATCGGCAACACGCTACACCAACACCGGATAGTGATGAGAGGGATTCAGGTGCCGGCCAGCGCTTTACACCGCCACTCATTTGTTACACGGCTTCGGGCTAACACAACCTACGCCCAGCTAAAGTGGTGTCTGGGTCGGGATTGGGGGCGAGATCGGGTGTGAGCTGAGGCGGTTCGGGTTCGGACTTTAGTTTCCAATGCTTGTTGTCTCTGGGTGGCTCAGGGTCTCATGTTATTCCTGATTTTGATCTTGTCCGACCATTGTTGGTTGAGAAATTGCCCGTAGGAAAAGCTCTTCTATCTCTGTATCCGCAAACAATGATGCTGAACTGACTCAGACATCACTCAAGAATTAGCAAGAAGCCCTTATCATACTGTTTCTAAAATCTGGACGCGTGTAGTGGGTCGTTAGGCTTGCAAAGAAAATTTGTAGAATACTAATATCTCCGCAGGGGGTAGCCCTCAGGGGCCAAACTAAGAGATGATGTGTACTCACAGGCATTTCTTGAGCTGGTACTTTTGAATATGCTCATAGATGACTTGCTTAGTTTAGAAGTTGTCTTACTTTCGCCGGCGCAAACGCAACATGTCAGTACCCAAGTCCTGTAATACACGACACGGCTGCGTGAGGCTGACCCGTGTCCTCATTTGCCACTGGCAAGGGGTTATAGATTCGTCCCTTCGACGACATTGGTCGTTTTGACCAACCGTATGCTGCCACATAGAATTGCATACCGCTTGTCATGTTCAATATTGTTTAGCTTCAGATAGCTACACCTCTTCGAGAGTGAAACTCAGGCTTTTAGGCTCCATATCGTGAAAACCAGACGCCAGTGTCCACTGGTACACATGACACTAGCCGTTCAGGCGTGTCAAGTAAGCCTCGGCAGTTGAGAATCATGAGAAAGTTGAAAAACTATTGGTTATTGTTAATGAATGCCCGACAATGACTAAATGATGAGACAAAGGGGAAGGACCTCGAGATTGGTAGCGACACTGTATACAAGGTACAGAGTGTTCGTCGGAGACTGAGAATTTTATGCATAGAGCGGGCACTAAATCTTTACACATTGCTGATGAATTAGTGGCAAACACAATATCTTCGTCTTCTAGCTGTTTGTCAAACCTGAGTCATAACGAGAGCTGTTTCACGATTCATACCTTATCTGATCGAAATCTCCTAGTTTGCCATTGAAAAAGTATATACCACAGACGCATATATAGAAGGAGTTCCTCGAGTCTCGTCTCGATACCACTTCGTAGATTCAGCGGTCGGTTGCCATCAAGACAGCAGTGCGGAGTTTGCATTAACCTTCGGAATCGGATGCGGACTTGGAATGTTATGAAATATGAACGCGCGTAACGGACACACTCGGCATTGTACACATTAATGCCGAGGCTTTCGAGACCCATAATCTGCAATGTATGAGGAATCTATTCCTTGCTCATGCTTCGTATAGAACCAGGATCTTTTGACAAGAATACATACCATTAACCCTGTGAACAGGCACGAGGAATGGGCTTGAGCAGCAGAAAGCCAGGCATTTTGGTTCAGTAAAGATGAAGATGAAGGCAAGATGAATGTTTGAAAAATCAATGAGCTAGGTATTTTCCACCAGCTTCTGGTTCTTCTCGTCTATCTCTCTCATGATTGTGTGTGTTTGTGGGTTTGCGCACTCAGGGAAAGCATGACCTTCACGCAAGAAGGGGGGGTAAATATAGGCTAAAATCTTGAACTTGCTCAAAATTTTTCCCATGGTCAACTATATGAGAGACAATAGACTCAGCCATTACATAGCAGTTGAAGTGTGGATAGTAGCAATATAGTTATGACATAGTTGTTGATAATGTGGCGACTGTGGCTACCAATTTGCTGCCCACCATACGATTCTATCCCTGGCGCCTTGGCTTCATTAATGTCAGCCACTTGTCAACATAGCATAATTGCTGAGCTAAATCATCATGATTGGTGGAACTTAGCCAACTCTATCTCGTAAGGCGCCGCTGTGCATCATTTGGAACCAATCAAGAAACAGCTGCGGAGCTGACACTAGAATTACATAACGTGGGCCAGGGACTGGTCAGGGTCTAGTCATCATTACAACTGAAAGTGATGGGAGGTTCAAGGCAAACCGGGCGAAGAGACAGATCCTGGTAGGCAGCTCGTTGTGTTACAATGCGTGGATAGCCTCACTTGGACGAATTCGCTGACTGCGGAGAAAAGACCTCATCGTGCATGCGAGGTGGAAATTATTGCGCTGGAAGCCGATGGAAGCCTGTAAATGCCCTGCAGCAGTGAACCATCTTTGAAATCAAGCATTTTTGTGAGCCATATTGTCGGATTGATCCTTTGTGATGGCAAGCTCCAGAGACAAGGGTGTTGGAGTATATAATTCAAGATGAATCTCATCAGCGATTCTTCTTTTTTCTTCAGACTCAAGCTCAACTCTACAAATCACACTCTCCAATCCTCTCTAGTTCAACTCAGAACCAATCACACCAATAAGCAACAATTCGCAGCAACAAGCAACAATAAGCAACAATGAAGTTCCTTTCAACCGTCGCCGTGGCGCTCGCCTCGATGTCTGCTACCGTCATGGGAAGCAGTGAGTATTGCGCGAAATCTTGAGGAAGCTTAAACAGTACTGACATTTCATGTTCTCTTGAAGAATATCCTTACGAAAGACTCGACAAAGAGAAGGCTGTATGTAAAATACCCCCCCTCCAAGACACACTCAAGCTAACAAACCTCAAGCTTCTCCTCGTCGTCGATCTCCAAGATGGCCTTTACAACGCTGTCCGGGACTTTGAACCTGTTACCTACAAGGAGAGCATCATCGCACATGCCGCCATCGGAAAGCTGTTTGATCTGCCAGTTATCTTGACTACTTCCGCAGAGCAGGGTATGCCATTCGGCGCTTGAAATACCAGTATATAGAGCTAAGCGTACAACTAGGACCCAACGGACCCCTGCCAAAGGAGATTACTAGCATGTACCCCAACGCAACTTTCATCAAGAGACAGGGTGAAGTTGATGCCTGGGACAACAAGGACTTCCGCGCTGCTGTCAAGGCTACCAACAAGACTCAAATCATCTTGGCCGGAATTGTTACCGATGTCTGCACGACTCATCTCGCTTTGTCTCTTCGAGACGAGGGCTACTCTGTGTGGGCCAATGCTGAGGCCTCTGGTAGCTCTTCTGCCTTTGTCCGCGAGATCTCCAACGACAGAATGCGACACGCAGGCGTCCAAGTCGTCAGCCTGTTCTCTCTCGTCTGCGACCTCATGAGGGATTGGCGAAACGTCCCTGGTGCCGCAGAGGTGCTTCCCTACCTTGACAAGTACTTCCCCGTCTACGGCATGGTTGCTCGGGCTCACGCCGCTGCCAAGCTTGACGGTGTTATCCAGCCTGGCGAAGCCGGTCTCATCTAAGCTTTCCGCGGGACTACTGTTGGGCAACTAACTCCTGTGGACTCTTGTGGGATTGGACGAAGGATGACTATCCATAGTTACATAGACTGTATTAGCTGACCTTGCTTGGTATGGAGGCTTCCCACGCCTCTGTGCGAATGCAAGGGTAATTTGAATGATTATGTTTTATATGTTATGATAAATCGAGTCTATATTAAGTACATGTAATAAGCATCTTGTCCAAGGTAGCAAACTTCCCGCCTCGCTTGTCGGGAGCTCCCGAAGCCGGCCAATTACCTCCACCCAAAATGGCGATATTTTGTCCTTGAATCCCGAAAACCGTTCTAAACGGCTCCCAATGCCCGGTTGTTCTATATAAGGCAATATTTTGCGCGCGAAAAATCACTTGTGAGATGACCTTCTTTCTCCTACCTAGGTATAGCGCTTCCCTGTGCCAGCCTTTACACTTCTCACCTTGCCTTGGATCTCCATATTATTTGGGATAATATCTACCTTCCGCTTCAATAAAGATTATTCCCACTCGGTTGAATCAAGATATTTATAGCCTATCTGTTTATTTGATGGACTGTGCACCTGCTCGAACGAATATGGTAGGATCTTTCTTTCTACGCGGGCGAGCTCGAGCACAAGCACAAATTATACAGATACATGTCATAAAAGTTCAATTGATACTAGACAATTATCCAGAAAGCATATTTACATTGTTTCTCAGGATCTTCTTGGCAAAGTACTAATCTTTGTTGCTGAACCAGTTAGAGTGAAATTGAACGTCACTGGCCCGTTGACATCCAGGGTCAGAGTATAAGCACCAGGGTAAACCCATCTATCACCGTTGGTATCCGCACGAGAAAGTGCTCCGAGGGGCACCGTCAAAGTAAGCTGTTGGGTAGCACCAACGCCTACCTTCTTGACACGCCCGTACGCGGCCAACTGCTTATTCGGGTGAGGCGCGGGGCCTGCATTTGTGGATTTCAGGAACAACAGGCCGACGTAGTCGGATGCCAGGTTTGCTTTGCCACCGGTGTTCTTGACGTTCACGACGATGGTTGCGAATGTTGCTCGGTCCTTGTTGGATCCGGCGTTGTTGACAATAGTGGCGACATCAGTGCCAGCAGTCTTGGTGGATCCCAGTGACACGGAGAAGTTGGTGTAATGCAATCCGTAGCCAAAAGGAAGGACAGGAGTGCCAGTATACCATGCGTATGTTCGTCCAGGAATGCCTCCGGATGGGCGAAGGTTCATGTCTTGGATGTTGTTGTTATTGACATAGTTGGCAGGGTATTGTGTGATGGGAAGTCTACCAGCTGGCGGGCTGGCACCGGTAAGGACGTCAAAGACGGCATTGCCACCTTCTTGGCCGGGATACCCAGCCCACAAGATGGAGTTAACCTTGGAGTTGCTCAGCAGAGCACTGTCATCAATCTGGCCACCTCCGAACTGCACGATAACCAAGGGTTTGCCAAGGTTAGCCAGCTGAGAGATCAAGTTCAATTGGTTTCCGGGCCAGGTGATTGAGCTGCGGTCAAAGCCTTCGTTCTCGACAGAGATGTCAATTCCTCCAAGATAAACAATAACATCGGAGGAGCTCGCCGCAGAGAGGGCAGCGTTGAATCCACTGGTGTCTTGAGAGTTGATGGCAGTTCCCTGTGCGTACTTGACATTGCGCCATCTTTGTTGGAAGACACTCAGGGGGCTCACCAATACTGGTGCAGTACCAGCATAGTTGCCTTGCAGCTGGTCGGTGGCATTAACCCACGGACCAATGATGGCGACATTCTGTAGAGTGGGTGAAAGAGGGAGAGTGCCATCGTTCTTCAACAGGGTCATTCCTCCAGTGGCGGCATCATGCGCAAGGGTTCGGGTTTGTGTCGTGTTGACGTTGCCCCAGCCAAGAGAGCTATACTCTGCGGGCTGATCGAACCATCCGACCTTGACGAGGGCAGAGTACAATCGAATCAATGACTTGTCAAGAGCAGCCTCTGTCGTCATGCCAGCCTGCACCGAGGCGTTCAGGACGTTGTAAGAGCTGCCACAGTCAAGATCAGTGCCAGCATTCAGAGACATGGCAGCAGCTTGAGTCAGGTTAGCGGCATAATGGTGAGGGTCAAAAACGTTCTCGACAGCGTCGCAGTCGGAGACAACGTAGTTGAAGTCTTCGTTGAACCCATAGCCATCGCGAAGCACAGATTGGAGGAGATAGCTATCTGCACAAGCTGGGACGCCATCAACCGCGTTGTACGCGCACATGATGGATCCGACCTTTGCGTCACGAACGCAGGTCTCGAACATTGGGAGATAGTAATCAGCCATATCCTGCTGAGTAGGCGTGAGATTGTTCCCTGTGCGACCGTTCTCGATATCGTACGCAGCAAAGTGCTTGCATGTTGAGATAGTTCTGAAGTAATCGGGATCAATTCCGCCCTGAAGGCCGTTGATCAAAGCCAACACATAGCCCTGGATACGGAATGCATCCTCTCCCGGGGTCTCCATGCCTCGACCCCAGCGGGGATCCCGGAATGGGTTGATGTTTGGCGTCCAAAAGTCCAACCCGGCAAATCCATAGTTGGCAAACGCACGAGCCTCAGTGCTGATAGCAGTGGCTACACTCTGGACGAGAGCATCGTCAAAGGCGGCGGAGAGAAGAATGGGCATAGGGAAGCTGGTTGCTGCGCTGAAGTTGGCTCCAAGGGGCGACTGGAATTGCACACCGGTGCTGCCAGCGACGCCGTGGAGCGCCTCATTCTGCCATTGGTATGCTGGCAAACCGAGTCGTCCACTGCCAGAAGCAGAACTGCCTACGTTTGAGACCTTTTCATTCAGCGTCATGGGCTGAACAATGGCGGCGGCTCTGTCAGCAATGCTCTTGGTGGTGTCACAGACATCATTGCTGCAAAGCGGATCGCGGGTGCAGTCAGGGAATGAAGGCGTCAGGGGAGGGTTCGACGATGGATTAGTGACCTGGTAAATGTTGATCCTGTGAATTCAAGTTAGATGAAAAGCCCATTTTCTCGCCATATCCGATCCTGGAGTTCAAGACATACATGTTGCCACCTCCGCAAATCTTACTGGGGTCCGCAGGGCATGGCGAAGTGCATTGGCTCTCGTCGGCTTTGACGGAGGTGCTTTCAATGCGGTGGCCACAGAAGCATTGGCTACAGAAATCAATTATGTTAGAGTCAACATCTTGGACTGGCATCATTTCCAGAGGTTCACAGCGACTTACATGGTGAATTCAACTCCGGCATATTGGTAACCAGCCGCACCACATAGGTTGGCACAATATTGGGGTGAATTGAGGTTATTTACAGTCAAAAATGGCCCTGCGAGATCGCGAGGCGAATTGGGATCATGATAGCAGCCCACGTAAGTTGTCTGCGCTTGGTACGCAGGCAAACATGTTCGGGATTGAGCGAGGTGGAAAAGGGCCATGGAGTACATCCATGGTAGAATACGTAGGCCCGTCATGACTGCGTTTGAAGGTGATACACCAATTGATCTGGAGTATCAGAGCATCGACCGGTGCGCCCGAGTTCCTGATGATAGCTTTTCCTTCTCCCTTCCGAAGCCATCAATTCCCACCTATTATATACATGTCTATTGTTGCGTGTGCATTGCTCTCCGCTCATTTCTCGCCCGCAGCTTTCTGACCGCATTGAGAAATGGCTTCATGTCTCTTCCCAGTTTCTTAATCGAGCAAGTTTTTGTTTTGTCCCGACGGATATGACAAACTGCGGGCTGGCAAACCTATTCTTCGTATGCCGATCCTCTCCATCTCCGGGTACACCGTCACTTACACACATCTGCCAATGTTACCCTGTACGAAGGGGTACGAACATGGAATCTCCTAAAACCCATCGCTTTCCCCAGATTTTCCCGTCTCCTAAAGGATAGATTACCGGCGGCTCCTTCATCGACAGCTCTTGCCAAGGCCTTCCCCGCAACCCGATCTGGTCTTTCGTACCTCTCCGCCTTGTTTAGTCGCGATGTTTCAACTGGTTGTGTGCCTCGGGTGGGTGAAGGATGCCGCTACTTCGGTTAGGCTTATTGTCTGGCTCGATCTTGTTGTCATTTAGCCTAAAGTGAACCCGGAGCAACGTGATATTAGCACTACCTGCAGCGTAGCGTTGGGAAATGCCGGCTTCAGGCACCCAAACGTTTCCACTATGCATAGCAAATCCGGCACATCGACTCAACAGAGTTAGTTTTCTCCCCCGTTCTTTATTCTCCGTTCCCCGATCTTGTTTTTTTTTTCCAGACGTTGTTACGCAACATCGTCACAAGTTACTTAATTCGAGGCCAATGAGAGGGGGTGGAACATGCATTTCCTTACTACAAACATGGTAGGAATCCGACCGAGAGTGCTGCCGATGGGTTTGCGGGAGGCGACTAAGACTCCGTATTCCGTACCACGTTTTTCATCGCCCTTGACAGTTCGCCATTCGCACGAGGCTATTCGGGTTTTCAAAGTCGGGCTTTCAATTGAGGGCTCGCAATTAAAAGGGGTTAGCAGTGAGCTTCTTGATCTGGACTAGTTGGTGCCCAGCTGTCAGACACGGCTGGGATGCGCCCTATTCAGTAACGATTACAACGGCATCAGACCTAAGCAATACCCATTTTAGCATCGGATGATTGTGGGCTTACTTCGTTCTTACTCCAGAGAGTCGGGGCGGTGTTCTAAGTGCTGAAACATAGTAAACTCCGGTTTTCCGAGAATCGGAAAAGGAAGCCGCACGGCGAACGAATGATATGGAGCAGTAGTTTGTGACGAAATGAATAGGAGAGACGAGTCGGGAAGATAAAAGCGAGCAAGGGAAGCGCTAGGGACTCGCTCTATTTCTCAGGATTCTTCAGTACTCAACAGGCTCACTCTTGGCAACTACACCAAAACTACTATCTTCTTCTTAGTTCGGGTTACAGAGTTTGCCCTATCGAGCCCGGTATGAAGGCTACTCTCAAAAACAGCCTGCTAACAGCGGCTACGCTGCCGGCCATAGCCTCTGCCGCTTGTATCTCCTCGGGTAACCAGGCTACGATCCAGAATGCTCTGCAATCTGGGGGCAATGGCGCTGTTGTTCAGCTCTGCCCCGGTGCCTTGATCCAGATCACCGATCAAATCAGCTTTACTGCCGACAACCAGGAAATCTCCACCCAGGGTTACCCTACGGACAGCTCAAGGGGTACCATCCAGGTTGCTCCAGGCAGCTCTGCCAGCACTTTGATCTATGGCAAGAACTTCAACAACATCCGCATCAAGAACCTCCAGCTTGAAGGCAACAGAGGCGGAGCTGGCCTTTTCCCAGGTGGCGCTGCCAACATCGAGATCGGCGGCTTCACCACAGGCCAAACCGTCTCCAACGTAGCGTCTCGAAACCCTCGCGGCTGGAGCTGTCTTCATGCCATTGGCTCTGGAGACAACAACAACCCCTGCAAGAACGTTACCATTATTAACAATGATATTGGTCCTTGCGGTCAGTCTGGTACTGATGCCAACGGAAACGGCCAGTGGGCAGATGGTGTCTCACTGGACTGCACCGCTTCTCTTGTGCAGGGCAACACTGTAAGTGGCAGCAGCAAGTAAAGATGAGTTCTATGAGCTAACCTCTCCGTGATAGATCAATGGCCCTACCGATGGCGGTATTGTCATCTTCGGTTCTCCCGGTAGCACCATTACTGGCAACACCATCATCTCGTCCCCTGACTATGTCGGCTTCGGTGCCATCAACATGGTGGACGGCGAGTACGATGGTAGCTATGCTGGCGTCAGCGTCACCAACAACAACATCCAAGGCCAGAAGCTATTCAACCTTGGCATTGGAATTGGTGCCAACGTTTGGTCCTTTGGTGATCCCCCGCCACCGCTGAAGGGCCCTGCCACCGTCACTGGCAACACCATCAGTGGCCATGTCAGCTTCCCCATTGCCATCAATGGATGGTCTAACGGCCTGACCGTATGTGTTTTCCAGCTCGCTTGTTATGCCCATTAATAGTCGGCTGATATGTTCTGCAGGTCACCGGAAACACTGTGTCGGGTGTTCCGTCTCCCAAGTCCAGCTTCTCGGATGCTTCCCAGTGCAGCTCTCCCATCCAGAGCGTTTTCAACCAAAACGCAAACCTCATCTACTACCCAGCTGGACTCACTGGATCCCAGAACCTCCAGTCTGGATTTGTCGCTGCCCCTGGCAATACCACCAACTTCTTGTGCTCCACTATCGCACTTCCAAACTCGGTCACCTTCAATGCTGGATCGTTGACCATTTCCACCGATACTGGCCCATTTGCAAGCCTTCACAACGTCATCGCCCAGTATCAGGGTGACAACAACCTTGTCGTTCTCCAGGCCGGCACACCTGTCTGGGCCAGTGGACACACCCTGAACCAGGGATGTGGTAGCCCTTCCGGATGCCAGTTGAGGTTCGACTCCAGTGGTAACCTTGGAACTTACTTCAACAACGCCGTGCAATGGCAAACAAATACTGGGGGCCGGGGTAAGACCATGGTCGTCCTCAACTCGGCTCCTTGGATCCAGATCAAGGACGGATCTGGCAATGTCATCTGGGACACCACCAAGAGCACCTAAGTCTGAAAAGACGACACAACTCACTGCTGTATATAGTATGACAACGTAAATACGCGTAAATCGCGAATGAATTGAGGAGTTTGTTCCGTCTTGTATCCATATGCTTCATGACTGCATCCGCACAAGCCGTGCTCCGTGCTAATATAAACAACTAGTTGCGGGACTGACCACGTAATTAACAGTGGTTCTCTCTATACACGTAAAGACATCCAATCAAAAGCCTCACATACTGGAAGTGGCTCTATAACGCAAATTAGGGAAATGCCCAGGTTGAAAACGTTTCCTAATTGATACCATTGGCCCTCGTATTCATGTTAGTATACGAGTACGAGTAGCGGGACAGGCTGAGCGCTAAATGCTCGCGTTTCTGATAACATTCATCAACCGGGATCGAGGTAGGCAAACAACAGCACCGGCGAATCAAATTGGCTGCATTTTCTTACCGCAGGGGTGCGTATCCCGCTCTCTCCCACGAAATATGATATACTCTCGAAGTAGAACCGGTTCGCAATTGTCAGCTTTACCAGGTAGACCGCTTAAGCCACTCAGCCCTAATGTTAAATTGACAAGTGTTTGCTAGTGCTGAAACGAAGTTATCGCAACTAGCTCATAATAGCGGTCTAGCCGTGGTTTATTACAAGTACTCCAGATGCGGCACGTCCCCGAGTCGTTCATCATGAATGATCTGATTACCCTGGTCTGTTACTGCTATCTTAACCATGGCAGATAGCATAGTCAGAGACGCTTTCGCGTCAATTCGAGGCCAGGACGCGCCACTATCTGCCACAACCTCTCTTGTCCTCTTAGCTGCTCTTTTCGTCGCGTCTACTTGGGTGTATTCACGCTTCCAGGGGGACAAGCCAAAGGATGACTTTCCTCCGTGGGTTCCGCTTGAGGTTGGCGTGAGCAGCGCATTGATTCAAGCTGGTGGCACTGCTTCAAACATTTTGTCCGTACTGAAATCGATACTCTGTATCATCTTCAACTAATTAGAAATTAGTTCGCTCCTTTCGCGCGGTAAAGGGTCCCTCTTCGGGCTCACCTCACGACACCAAATCCTGCATAACCTCGACAACATTGACAGAGTGTTCACCAAGGGACCACATATTCTGAGCGCCGACGTTTTGGGATTGCGTTTGGGCATTCGCGTTTTCGGTGCTAACCTGACTCAAGATGTCCGCCAAAAATTTATGGCCATGAACAGAAAGTTGACGCAGATCATCGAACGATACTTTGTAAACGAGGCCTCGGCAACAGCTTCAATCCAGGCCGCCCATATTCCAGAAAAGGTGGCCCAGCTGCTTAGTTTTTCATCGGATGCTCAGAAACAACACCAGTGGGAGCGATTTGCATCCGTTCAAGTTATATCGGGTAATTCTAAAGGACAACCGGATGCTGTTGAAGCAGATCTTGAGTTGCTCATGAGAGACTTTGGCGCCTGTGTCTCCATTCCGCGACTGTATGGCCAGGACTTTTTGGATCGCAACCAGGACCTCCTAGAAGACTTCTGGAAATTTGACAACAACGCATTCCCTCTACTCGTGATTGGCGTGCCGACGTGGGCTCCTATCAAGTCTTTCAAAGAGGCTCTCGCGGCTCGCACTCGCCTCCACGATGCGCTCGAAGGGTTTTACAACCGCTTGAATCAACACAAGCGCGGCCTCCCAGTGGACTTTGACGCCGATATGAGCGATGTTAGTGCCGCTGCCATGGAGAGAAATAACTTTCTCGAGGAGAACGATGTCCCCATGCGCGCGCGAGCAGAGCTCGAATTGGGCACTTTTTGGGGCTTAAACGCCAACATGCAACCGATGGTTTTCTGGCTTCTGCTCTATATACACTCTACTCCTAGGCTATTGGATGAGTTGCGGGAGGAGGTCAGCTGTTGCATATCTTTATCGACGGCAACTTACCCGCCACAGATCACCGCGTTTGACTTTTCACGACTAAGCCATGAGTGTCCTCTTCTAAAGTCCTGCCTCTTCGAAACCTTTAGACTGGTTGAAGAACCAACATCTATTCGATATGTGTCAAAACCCATGACGGTGCCCGATGGCAGTCACGAGCACCACTTCAAGGCGGGAACCTGGCTTTCAGCCCCTCACGCCCTTCTCCAATCCGACCCATCCATCTTTCCCGACCCCGACAGGTTTATTCCGGATAGGTTCATTGAAACAGATAAAGAGACAGGTGCCCGAGTCGCCCGATACGGAAAGCTTAAACCCTGGGGATCCGGATCGGCAGTATGCAAGGGAAGGACGTTTGCTGAGAAAGAGGTCATGGGCATTGTTGCTTGCTTCATCACGCTATGGGATATGGACAATGCTGAAGGCTCGTGGAAGCTCCCTAGCATGATTCCCGGTACTGGAGTCAAGCGCCCACAGAAGGCTATTCGCGTTGTCCTCAAGCGCCGCAGTTTTGTATAAATAATTATTGTCTGAATCAGGCTTGCCTATAAAAGATTGGGATGGGGCTATTCATGACCGTCATGATGTGGCAATCAGGGGCATTGTTGAAGCAAATATAAACCTCAACCCGACGAATGCTGCGGTATTTATACAGTAGGCAAGACGCGCATTGTCATGCTCACTCAAAATGGCACAGGGATCAGGGATCATTCTCATGTGGTATCGTAGATAGGATAATTACGGAGTAATAATCGAGACAGGGCTTTGGGAAATTTGGCAAGGTTGCAGAATGCAAGTACAAAAATGCTGTTTACTTTTCATTAGGTATTTGCCAGTACTCCAAGTTAGCCACCTAGCATTTTGCGTCTTGAATTTGATAGCGATAGTAGCAGAAAGTAAAAAATATTAGTGATAGTAGTACGCAATTGTAGATATGAGGTCCATTAGTAAAAGTTGATATAAGCATTTACTTTAAAGGGCTAAGCCGGCAGATTGAGTGTCTTTCTTTGCCATCTCATATGTAACGTTTAATAAAAATACTGGACATGCAGTTTTGGGATAGTATCTCAGAGGATTGGCCAATGGTCTCTTCCTTGAAGGATCTCAGTCGTTGACTACTCAAGTTTTACACGTCGCCCTTAACCAAGTGACATGGTAGTTTCGGAGCCAACACTTCAAGATATTGGCCCAAACGCTCAACACTGGCGAATACTAGGTACCAAACAGCCATTGTATCTCTTTTATTTCTCATTATTGTCCTCTGGACATATTCAAACTCTTTAGCCAGGGATCTCGCCATCGGTTGCATTCCAGCTCTAGGGTAGTCTCGCCTCACAGGATGACGTGGGACGAGGATCACGAAGCTGCCCGTGTACTGGAGAAGCGGTGCAGCATGGCTACCATTCTGGGATAATTAAAATCTCTTCAAAGTATTCTGCAGGACGCTGTGGCGACAAGCCCCCCGGTCTGAGCTTTTTAATGGCCGGGTGTCTTGGTAGCCTTGTAATAGCACGCCGAACAAACCAAGTTGCACGTCATTGAGAATATTAAACCGACATCTCAAAATCATTCCGGCGTAACGGGCCTCCTTGTGACCGGAAATTTAGGATTTGGCATTTCTCGCGACGCTCTCAACTTGTTGACAAAGTTTGTTGAACCCGAGTCTGCCCTCCTTTGACGCCAATGTCTGCTGCATACAACTATCTAGGTAGCATGAGGTACGATCCTACCGAAAGACACTTTTCAATAGGAATTTTGCCATCAAATTTTGCTCATCTATGAGTATGTTGCTCATTGGTACAGGTATCATTCCCCAGTGCCCAGGGTAATTATAAGTCTCCGATTGTCGAGAGAGATACTACAAATGACATAGTCACCGCTGTCAAAGAACCACTGGTATATATATCTTTTTGCACATGAGTGCGCAAGCACATTATCAATCTCTTAGCGGGAGCAAGCAAAGGACCTGGAACGATCGGGTCGAGACCACACTGCAGACCTCAAATCCCTACCCCGGCGGAACCCGTGCTGTTTGATTCGCGGAGTCCGCTGATCTAAGTCGCCGGAAGCAGGGAGGGCCTGCGCAGGAACAGGATGAGATCCGATTGGGATGGCAACGACTGATTGATGGACTCCAAACTTGGATTCCGGCGAGTTCCGCATCACTAAACGGGCAAGCTGTACGTGGGGCAATAGCATCATTCACTCCCCCGTAGCTATGTTTTGAAGCTATTCTAGGCACTGGGACATTTGCCCAAACGCAGCTAGATTGAAGGCAGGTTTCTTCTGCCATTCCGAAATACCGCTAGCAGCATTGTGATTTTCTCCTAGCGAGAAAGAAAGGGCGCGTAGATCTGCGTGGCGCACGGGAGGACAGACGGCATCTAACCACAAACTAAGCATTCCAACTTAAAGTTGGGTTTTTTGCCCTTCAATGTCTGTTGGGCGGAGACAACCTACAATAATCTTGAACTATATCCAGTAATCTTAAAAACAACGTTCTCATAAATCTTTTCCAGCGGGCTACTATCTTAAGGCGTGGGTTTGTGGATCTCAAGCCATACTCGATATTCAGATTGAGAATCCACCATGTCCATTACAACCTGTCCATGTTACGTCCATGCTACGATACATCGCCAAGCAAAGCTGTTTCCTCCGGAGTGCCGGCAGATAATGCGACGCCAGAATACCGACATAATTCCGGGCCGGAAAGGTGTTGAAGCTGAGAACGGTACATGACAGTACCAAGTGTGTCTGAAGAAATCTCAGGGAGGATGCTATGCGTGTGGTGTACATTTCCAAGGCTACGTGTACCACCACGTCTTTCGCCCTCCTGCACGACACTGGATGCTACACAATATGTGTCCGGCTCGGCTTAGCGTCTCGGAGGCAAAAAATAGCTGCCAATCCCTCCTCTAATCCCCGCACATCTTCATGGGTCAAGGCACGGCCCGCCAACGGACCAATAGAGAAGCCCTGACAGCTTCAATTTTGAATCAAAACCGGCAGACCTCGATGCCCTATGGCCGATGATTGAGGGAGGGGGTTGCACAGCCGTCTAGCGTCTGACATTTATGGAGTTTGCTCTGCTGAGTATAAAGGATCCGTGGCCCATTGAACGGATAATCGGAACGAGTTTGCCCTGATATTTTCATGGGTTGACCAAGACACTCCACCGGCTTATACGTGAACGAACGTCACGATGTGACATGGTGGGCTTTGATTGCTGCGAATTCACGGATGTTTCGGCTCTGAGTAGGCCAATCCTGTTTCTCAAGCTTTCCATTTCGAGACATTTCGCTCCGGTTCGTGACAAGTCGATACTCCTTTGTGAGGGAGAGCAGGACGATCTTTCTCTGCATAGGGAACTCGCTGTGTAGCAACAGAGACTCGGGGTTCACAAGTGAACAGGTAATATCTCGTGCAACAATACATACTATAGTCGGTCTCGGGCCTAAGTTCGAATTGAGATGGAAAAGACTGCTCCGTCGGGCCGTTCGACGCGAATTATGAGTGCAAATCACATAGGACATACGGTACACAGCCTCCATGACGAATCACCGAGATGGCAGGGATAATATCGCACAGATGGAGTACCTCATCGGTGCCTGGAAGTGGGCTACAAGCAACATTTGACTACATGGAAGTTGACGTGATGCGCTTACATATCGTGAGACCCAATCTCAACTGGTCCTATCTTCGAGTTATTACCGCTAGCATCTTGTCATATCGGCGTTTCTCGGCGAGTCGGAGAGTCTATCATCATGGATGAGGTTGATGGAGGCGATGAGGAGCACGGAGCACGGAGCACAGAAGTCGAATCTCGGGCCCAGAATTGAAGATGTGTTTAGAATTCGATTGTTATAAAGACGCCAGGACGCTGCTGTTGGAATCAATTCATCACTCGCTTCTCATCCTCTGCATCTACAGCATCCGGCAGATTCTAGAGAGAGAAAAGACCACTCGAGGACATCAATTCAAGAAATCGCCTTCAAAATGCAGCCAAAGCTTTCATCTGCCATTGCCGGCCTTCTGCCTGCCATGCTGGCGGTAGCGGCTCCAGCTCCCCAGTATGGAAATATTCCTTTTCGAATTTTCCCTGACGACAAAGAGTTTCAAGGCTAACAAACTCTATAGGATCCAATCCATTGGAGAGAATACCGGACCTGTTGCGGGCGTCACTCCTCCCATCCCTACTGTTACTGCTGCCTCTGGCAGTCTATATGGTAGCACCGGGCTTCAGGGGGGCGTTGCTCCCATTCCCGACACTAGCGATGGAAGTGCCGTGATTAAGAACATCAAGGAAGTCCCGGGACAAGACGCAGATGCCAGCCTCGGCGTGTATCTCGATTTTGAGAGTGTCGATGAGCCGCAACCCATTCGCGGTGCATTCGGTGGCAGTGACGCCGGCCCTCGTACCTTTGAGTATGAGAAGTTGAACCCCGATCTGTTTGCGGCTCCCGGAACCGACTCGGGCGCTGTTCCCAATGCCGTCTGGCCTCTTGGCCTCTCCCACAACCGCCCTGGCGCTTCTGGTAGGGCTGGTTGGGCCCGTCAGCAAAACACCGCCGTGCTCCCTGCTGCTACGGCTATGGCTGGTGTCGATATGAAGCTTGAGCCTCACGCTTACCGCGAGCTTCACTGGCACACTGCCGGCGAATGGTCCTTGATCTTGAAGGGATGCGTCCGTGTTGCGGCCGTCAATGACAATTCTCAGACCTTTACTGACGACCTCTGCGAGGGTGACGTTTGGTTCTTCCCTGCTGGTGTTCCTCACTCCATCCAGGCTTTCGAGAACGGTGCCGAGTTCTTGCTTGTCTTTGACCAGGGTGATTTTGACGAGAACGGAACTTTCCTCATCAGCGAGATGTTTGCCCGAACTCCTCGCTCTGTCCTGTCCAAGAACTTCCGCGCCCCTGTCGATGCCTTCAAGAACCTGCCCAACAACCAGCTCTACATCTTCAACGGAACCCCTCAGCCCAAGGACATTAGCAAGCAGAACATCACTGGCCCCAACGGCTCCTTGTCCGGCCCCAGCGGCTACACCTATCACTGGTCTCAGCAGAAGGCATTCGAAACCCCCGGAGGTTCCGTCAAGATTCTGGACCCCACCACTTTCCCCATCGCTTCCACATTCTCTGCTGCTCTGGTCACCGTTCAGCCTGGTGCCATGCGAGAGCTTCACTGGCACACCTCTTCCGACGAGTGGGACTACTTCCTGCAGGGTTCTGGCCGTGCAACTCTCTACAAGGCCCCTAGCTCTGCCAACACTTTCGACTTCACTGCTGGCGATGTTGGCTATATTCCCCAGGCTGATGCTCACTACATCGAGAACACTGGTACCGAGGATCTCATCTTCCTTGAGGTCTTGCAGGCTAGCCACTTCTCCGATATCTCTGTTGCTCAGTGGCTTGCCCTGACTCCCGAGCAGACCGTTATCGACCACTTGAACATCTCTTCTGAGGTGCTTGAGGCCATCCCCAAGGAGAAGACCATCCTCAAGACTGGCAACACCAACCTCACCGAGATTGTCGACACGGGCAAGGCTTACTAAGTTTATTAAAAGTTGGCGAGGGAGTCATTGATGGGGTGGTTATGGGTGATTGATTGATGTTTCATACAATCCATTGTTTTATTACCTGATGTTTTTAGATGTAGTAGTATGATTCCCAATGTGATTTATAAACCTGCGAGTTAAGGATACTACATCGCATCGACTTTCTTTCTACTGGTGACATGATTAGAGAGCTTGGTATTGGCGAACTTCAATTGAGGCTGGCCATGATCTTATCTTCGTTGTCGATGGCAGCCGACAATGCCTGTGGTCGTATACTATCAAACTTGGGCTTAAGCTTAGGAATGGCTATTCAGCACCTCAGTGATTGCGAGAAGTTCAAGTGACAGAACGAGATAGTTTCTTAGTTTATGCTATGAATCATTGGGATTTGTAGAGCTAGTTGATAGGCCTTTTTAGATAACTCCATTGAATAACCTAGAAGCATCATTTCGTGTCTACGTTTGCAAACCCTTCGTCTTTAAATCATCAAACAGTTGGTCATAATAGAGTTTCGCGTTTGGCGCTCCTATTGACCCAGCGGTTGGAGGACGCGCATTGAATTTAGGAATAACTCTCGTCGCACCGGCTGTCACTTCCAATATAGTCCCATTACCATATTCTTCATTAACGACAAGTTCGTACATGGCCGCCGTAACTTCTTCCATAGGAACAAACGTCGCATCTTTCATTAAAGTATTCAGTCGGGCTTCGTCGCTATTCCATAAGGCAGTCTGTAAGCAAGTCAGTCTCGTCACTTTACTCCTCTAGTTACTCATGTTTCGTGGGACGCATGTCGTAACAACGTATGAAACTTACGAGTACGGGTGCAGGGGCGATTGCGCTGATTCGAATGCCTAGTTGATCGCGTAGATCGCCTAAAGACTTGACGAAGCCGTGAATACCATGCTTGCTAGCGTAGTATAAAGGTGTAGCTGGACCTGAAATATATCCGGCGATGCTTCCAAGGTGGACGATACAGCCAGGTAACTTGTTACGCGTCCAATATCCAATGGCCAACTGACTTAGACGTATAGGGGCGGTTAGATTGACGTCCAGAATCGCATAGTGTCCCGGCTCAGCATCAGCAAGGTCGAGAGACGCAGAATGCGGGTTTGTCTCAGTGCGAGGAGGTTGCCAAAAGCTAGACCACGGCGGTTCATATAACCCAGCACCAGGTATGACAATGTCAATTCTGGGGAATGCCCCGAGTCCAAATTCCCAGAACAATGTGAGCTGCTGCCACGATACTACGTCGACTTTGCAAAACATCGCGGCGGGTTGACCTTTATCTAGATTGTAATGGGGAAACTCGTTCAAGACAGCTTGGACCTCATCTGTGAGTCTAAGATCCCCAATGATGACCGAGCAGCCTTTGCCGAGCAGGAGGCGGGCGAAGGCGAGATTAATGCCTATCATTGGATGTTAGCTGGGTAATTTAAGAGGCGATGTGAAGGGGTTTTTTTTAGTGGTGGTCGCGGTGATGCTGTACCTGCGCCGCCGCCTGTGATAATCGCGTATTTTCCTTTAACAGACATTGTAACTGTGAATTTGCACAAAGTTCGTGAAAGCTGGCTCAATTTGTAATTTAAATATAGGAATTAAAGGAAAATTCCAGCTGCTATATGGCGTGAAGCGGCAGATAAAGGGCAGGGGGGCTTGAGTATGTTGAGGGGAATAAATGAAAATGTAAAAGCTCTATTCCTAGCATGTCAACGACAACCGACCTTCAAAGGTTCAAACATGTTCAAGGCCATGTCTGCAACTTGCGGGGTTGAGAGGCCCGGAAGCGGGCCATTGCATTGAAACGCCGAGGTTACAATGGCGCTACCAGGGATGGCGGCTGTCGCTGTTGTGAGGATGATGAAACAGGCGGTACCGCAGTCCCTTGACATACATTGAGCCCAATTCATAAAGAATGTGTCTGGCCATTGCCTCGTTATGTAGCTTGGTAGCAAGTATATGGCTTGTAGAAGGTACTCACAGCTTCCTTTGTAGCTATTCCCAAGACACTACATTCTAGGGAAGGTTGAGATAGAAGTAGATATTAGAAAAGAAAGATGCTCGTAAAAGTACTTCCTCTTAATATCACCGTTATGTTGGAACTGAAGTCGATAAAATGCTCGATGAATAGCTGCTTTCTGTATAATTGAGCCTGGTTTTCTTCCTCTTCCATTCTGACATTGTATTTTGTCGTCAGTAGGTCGTGTAGTAAGCAGATTGCGCCTGTAGAAGTAGTATTGGCATTTATCGTTCTTGAAAAGTCTGCTTCCTTGCTTCTGCAGACGATGATCTTATCTAGTATTCACCGATGTCTTGTGGCCTCAGATAATCTCGCCAGGCAAATGACTCTATCTCTCTATGCGGCACTTAAGTATTTTTCTAGGGGAGATTTTTATTTTATTGGTCATCTCAATATCTCTATGTAGGCAATAGCAGTAATCGAGACAACCGAGAACATGATCCAAATATAATAACCAGACAATAGTCTAGTATCGTCGTTTTTCAGTTAGAGACCACGTCAAAGCCTGACATATCGTCAAGCGCCTTGCGAATCAACTTCGCATACGTATGTACTCCAGCTGGAAAACACATGGGCTCATATGCCTTGCCAGGAATGCTTCCACCCATATAAGTTGATCTCGTCGTTGGAAATAGCGTCGTGTTGTTGATATCGATAATGTCTTTCTTCCAAGCGTCAGATGACTCGCGCTTCGGGTTTATGTACTTGATGTTATTCTTCTCCATCTTTTGGATGCAGTCAGCAATCCATCGGCCCTGCACCTCTACAGCGGTTGGACCGTTGCAAAAGAGTGTCGGTCCTTGGGGTCCGAAGATGTGGAACATGTTGGGATATCCGCTGACGGTGAGACCCAAGTATGTTTGAGCGCCGGTAAGCCACTCTTCTTCAAGCTTGGTCTTGGATACACTTTCAAGTCCTAGTTGAGTCATGACTATAAAAAGTTAGTTGGTCATTGTACTAGAGAATTGTCGGCGTCCTTTTAGGGGAAGAGTTTACCTCCGGTCACAACATCCTGTTGAGAAAATGTTAGAACTGTGATGCTGATGATAGTGGACTGGTTTGGTGAATACTTACAAAGCCAGTTGCCACTGCAATAACGTCAAAATCATGATGCGTTCCATCTTCAAGAACGATCCCTGTTTCGTCAATGTCCTTGATACCATTCTTGCTGATGTCTACTACATCAACGTTTTGTCTGTTAAACTGTTCATAGTAGGTATGCTCAAGACATGGTCGCTTAACTCCGAAATAGTGCGGCATGTCAAGTGGAGCGAGAAGATCGCGCTTTTTCGGGTCTTCAATTCGAGCTCGAGTTTTCTTTGCCCAAAACTTGTATGACTCCTTGTTTGCCTCAGCGTTGAGGAAATTGTCTTTGTAGATGGCGACCCAGTATCGGAATCCGCCATCTTTCCAGGTTTTCTCGTAAAATGCTTCGCGCTCTTCCGGAGTATCATCGAATGTGTTCTTCTCGGCCCAATCATACATGAGGCCCCCGAAAGTCGTTTCGCGATACTTGAACAACTCTGGGTAATATCTCTTGGCTTTTTCTTGCTCATCCACGGTAAGATCTCGCTTACGCATCGGGATAGCAAGATTAGGAGTGCGTTGGAAAACCTTTACTTCTCCAGCTTCCGGACCCCATGCCTGGGTCATCTGCACACCGGATGCTCCTGTACCGATGATGGCGCACTTTTTGCCGCTGACATCTATTTTTTCGTCAGGCCAAAACGAAGAATGATGAATCGCGCCCTTGAATTTAGTCATTCCAGGCCATTGGGGGATATATCTCTTCGCAGACTGTATTATTTCCAGTGTTAGTCCAAGGCCCAGGAGCAAAAAGGTCACGGATGACGGAAACTTACAAATCCAGTTCCCAGCACAAGATACTTGGCCTTTGATGAGCGACCATCTGCGGTACGTATGTTCCATTTCCCTTCAGCTTCGTCGAAGTGAGCTCCAACGACAACTGTATTGAAAGCGCAATCTTTCTTCACCCCGATCACCTTGTCAACATGATCAAAGTATGCTCGTAGATCCTCGTAATTGGGATAGTTGCTCGGCCAATTCCAGGTCTTCCATACTTCAGGCCAGGAATATTCGTACTCGGGCACCTCAGAGTCGACACCGGCGCCTGGGTAGCAATTCCAGCGCCACGTACCACCAGTGTCATTACCAGCTTCAAAGATGTACGTCTTTAAACCGCGATCACGCAGTGTCTTGAGCATGAATATACCGGCTATGAGGTAATAGTAACGGAGTTAGCAATGTATGCAAATATTCTCCCCAAATTGATTCATCATACCGAAGCCTGCTCCAACGACAATCGCGTCAACATCGAGATTGTCTGCATAAGGACCCGTTTTCTCAGTGTGTGACACAGAAAATTCCGTAAGCCCAGTATTGAACTTTTTGGACTCCGATGGAAAGTTTTCACCCATAATGGCGGAATATAGAGTGCAAGTTAGAACTCCAATGGAAAGTATGGAAATATTGTACTCGAGTGCTAAATCAGATGGGAGGGCCGTTGAGGTCACTGTTTAAATGCAATCCAACCTTGTGATATCATGTTACCTCATGACAACTAATACATAACTCCCTGCATTTGCCGTCTCCGCCACCAGCCAGCTCATCACACATAAGGTACTGATAGTGGCGTCGAGTATTTCGTTGCCTGCCTTGAAAACATCCCTGCAGCTGACTGTTGAGCGCATAGCGTTACATCTCCTAAGGGTTGCAATGCAGTAACTGGCACATCGGGATAAAAAGAGGAAGTTCGTGCATTCGGAACTACATGCAACATGCAGGGTGGGACTAAAACGAGAATCCGTGTCGTATCGAGATGCGGAGGCAGAATACGACATGAATACGTGCCGTGTTGTGTCGCGTTGCTTGATCATAAGACTCGCGGAAACTCGCGGAGAGCCGTGACGAAACAGTTGAGAACCCCGGACTTGGAGTTGCAATGTTACGCAAACGGGCATTACGTACCACCGAATGCAACAGAAACTACAAAAGGGCGGGCATGTCCCTTGATGGATATGCAAAGCACAGACAACAATCTAACTCTTTATCCACCTTTCGGCAATAATCAAAATGCCTTTCAATACTCAAACTCTATCAGACCTCCGGGATACGCTCAACAAAGCGTGCAGTGACTCCGAAAGTGATATCCCTGGTGCTACAGTTGTAGTCGTTGACAAAAAGGGCGAAGAATTGTTTGCACACTCAGCTGGTAAGCGGGGCTCGGCATCAGATGAACCAATGACTCTCGAAACGGTGTTTTGGATTGCATCTTGTACCAAGTTGCTCACTGGAATTGCTTGCATGCAACTTGTGGAGCGGGAGACCTTGAAGCTGGATGATGGTGGGCATCTTGAAAATGTCCTTCATGAGCTTAAAGAGATGAAAGTGTTGCGTGAAGACGGAACTTTGGAAACAAAAAACAAGAAAATCACCCTTCGAATGCTTTTGAATCATACTTCTGGATTTGGCTACACCTTTTTCAATGAACGGCTCAAAAATTGGACTTATCCAGTCGGGTTAGAAGAGTTTTCCGGACGAATGGAAGATATTACCTCTCTCCCTTTGCTATTTCAGCCTGGAGAAGGATGGGAATACGGTGTAAGCTTTGGGAATTATCCCTTACGGTGTTGCAAACCGGAGATCCCTGTATAATTTTTATTACGATCAAGTGACTGACACATTATGATTCATATTAGACGGGCATCGATTGGGCAGGAATAGCCGTCGAACGCACTACTGGACTTGGTCTTGACGCATATCTGCAGAAGCATGTATTCCAGCCTCTCGGTATCACAGATATGTCCATGATCCCAGATAGAGACATGCGAAATCGTCTTGCGTATATGCACTTTAGGGCTACGGATGGAAAAATACGACCGCGGGATCATCTATGTCGACTCCCGTTACTGGTCAATCCAGATGACGAGTCTGAGACACGCCGGGTGTTTAATAGTGGTGGCGCTGGCATGTTTGCAAAACCTCAAGAATACTGCAGTAAGTTGTGGATTTTTCTTATCAGCTTTATACACGTAAATACCTTAGGTCATAAAGCAGTAGCTAAGCTGGCCACATAGAGGTATTGGCAGCGCTATTAAACGACGGCACTTGCCCCCGCACTGGAAGTCAACTGTTGCGCAAAGACACCGTGGAAGAGATGTTCCGTAACCAGATTTCACAGTTCCCGAACTTTAGTCGCCAAGGTATTCCCGCTGCTAAACCAGAATTGACCAATGCCATTGACGAGCTGTATGCTGTGCAAGGAGGTGTACCGCAGGGATGGGGTTTGACCTTTATGTTGGCTAATAGCAACGGCACTGGAAGGTCTAAAGAAACAGCTCACTGGGCTGGACTGGCAAACCTGTGGTGGTGGTGTGATCGTGAAAAGGGCGTGGCTGGGATGATTTGCACCCAGATCCTCCCATTTGGAGATGCCAAAGTTGCTGGATTATGGGCTGCTGTGGAGTCTCAAGTATACAAAGCTCTGGAGTGAAAGATGATTTTGTTGGGTATGCTAGGTTGTCTAATTTTGATATACTCGGCTGGTTGACTGGTAAGCAGGGAACAACCCGCCGGGAACCAGCTATCCCTGCATTTAAAAATTTTTTTTTGTCTTGTCCGGACTTTATAGAAGAAGGTGATGTCAACAGGATCGTCTCTTCTCTTTCATGGCAAGTTAAAAGCTGTTTCATTTCTTCCCCCTCTCCAGTATCTCCCCAACTACCTTTGCGCTCGCCCTCACGATCAACTCGTGTTCATGAGCATGAATCTTGGCTTCCAGGGCATCGAGTTCCTCTCCATCCCAGCCGATTTCCTGGGTAAGAATGGGCTCGCCTCTGTCGACTTCCTGAATGACATAGTGAACCATGATGCCAGTGTGTGTAATCTTTCCCGCTTTCAAGTCCTCGTAAGCACGCTCAATTGCATGGGCACCGTCGAATTGACCTACTGGCATTAGCTGCAACACACCCACCAGTCGTTGTATGTATGAGTGACTTACCGGGTAAGGCTGGGTGTAAGTTTATTACAAGAATGCCTACTTCTTCCAATGGCCGTAGAAACTCAGATGAGAACACCCACATCCAGCCCGCTAGGACGATCAATTGCGGCCTCTCTTCCAAGCCTAGAATCTTGTCTGCCAGGGCGGCATCGTACTTCTTCCTTGCCTCAGCCGTCTTTGCCTCATCCTTTTCTCCCTTGGCCAGAAATCCGTTGCTGATGAGGTTGAAATATTCCCATGGGATGCCTGCTTGCTCTGCTCGAGTGGTTGCGTATGCCTTTGCGCGATTCACTATCAGGCGAGTAATTCTGCTGTTGGGGATGCGGCTAGATGCGACACCATCTATTAATGCCTGGAAATTTGAGCCATTGCCAGAGGCCATGACAAGGATTCGACATCTTTCGTCTTGCTCTGCCATTTTTGTGGATTTTTTATGCTGAGATATTTCAACCTGAGGGGGGTGAGGATGAGGAAAAGGAATCGGCAAACTGTGAGCCAAGAACAAAAAAAGGAGGGAGATTCGCTGTCAATCTATAGAGAGAATGCTCTTTTGAGAAGAAACGCGTTAGTTGCACTATCGGCAATAAAGGAAAAGAAGCAATGAGTGATCACAAAGGATGAGTTGTGTGATGTGATGCAAGCAATGGTTGATGTAGAGGGGTATACTTTTGGCTAGTGCAAAAAATGATGAGCTTTCAGAAAAGAAGTTTTTTGCTGAGCTGGAATAGCGTTGTTCCGGCCCCGAAACTATAAGTTGAACAGACCGAATTGCGCTCATTGTTTTGGGGCGGGATTTTGCTTGGATTTAGTGGTTGAGTGAAAGCTGTGAAGAGATATTCTGGAGAGCTTCTGAGCGTATCGATGCTGTGCGGGAACATGCACTCGCAACAGTATTGATAGCAGCTTGGCCGTTCTTCTACCAAAATGAGGCAGCTTGTGATAAATCATTGTGTCGTTATTTTGTTGCCGGACAACGTTCTCTATTGAGAGAAGATGAAATGCAGCGGCAGAAGAGATATTAAGTCTCTGCTAAGTGCCTGATTTGTATTTAAAAATTGCTGCTGGCTGCAGCATTATAAATCGCCATACAATATTTTGGAGTCGTCATCACGCATAAGCCAGTCAGCACAAGCTTCGAGCGCATTCGAATGCATGTGTCATCTCTTCATCACACTGTGCAGATTCCAAATATTAGCGGAACTAAACACTTCTGCCCTGGCCTATAGGCGCTTTCTTTGGGTGTCTGGACACCTAAGATTTCGGCAATCGGCGTCCATGGATGAAAGACACACACTGTGTGGTCCTAGAGCACTGCATGATGTCTTCCAGCTTTCAACCATTCTGGAAGCTACATGCACCAATCTACAGCAACCAAATCTCATAGGCAAGGCATCATGGCTGATTCAAATGTTACCATCAGCAAACCTCGAGGGCAGAAATCATGCCTGAATTGTAAAAGTACGCTCAAGCCGTCCCTCTGAGAGCCAACTCTTACATGCGGGGGGTGAAATGTCAAAGTCAGCTGGAACTAACGGCTTCCAGATCGCAAGATTGCCTGCGATAGGCTGATGCCGGTCTGCTCTTCCTGTAAAAGAAGAAAGAAGATTTGCTCTGGATACGACTACAATCTATCATGGCCACGTGATGGTGATGAGCGCCGGGCGATGACCGTGCAGGTTCGGGGTCAAAAGTATCGAGCAAACACATTTGCCTTCCTAAACACCTCCAATGTCGACGTCATGCTTTATTACGAGATGAATTACCAAGATTCTCTCAGTGAGTGACCATATACTCGAGTGGTTGTCATACTGTTTCTCACACTAACAATACATCACTTGATGTGCAGCCAACAAGAAGAAGATGAGCGTGTGGATACCATCGCCTACCCGCTCGCCACAGCTTCCCCGATTTGGGAGTAACAAGCGCCCTATATGTGAGTATTACCCAATAACACTACGTGGAAATTTATCTGATTATAGATATGCTCGCTAGGTGACACCGAAATATCGTCTGCTGTTCGGCTAATTACCTCCCGTGGCGATCTGCGACAGGATGTATGCGGCCTCCTCCGCCGGATGGCACTCACAGACAATGGCGTCTCATCTCTTGCAGTCCGCTATGCCATGAACGCCATTTCTTATCTTTATCTCAGAATGCCAGGTGAGGCCATGATGCATCAGATGCGTGCTGTGTCTGCACTACAAGGAGCAATCGACCGGATTGTAGATCCCAGGTGCAGAGCTCAAGCTATTGCTGCGAGCTTGCTCTTAAGCTTATACGAGGTTTGTAGCAGCCCTACTATTGTATACCTTGTATGATCCGTATGCTAATCAAATTTTGACTGGGCTTCAAGGTTCTCTGTCCGAGCGGCAAGACGACCGTATGGTCCGTTCATTTTGATGGTTGCATGACCATTGTCAAGTCGAGCTATCACGGCGGCCGTCGTGAGACTGATGGTGAAAATGCGGTTCTCTTGGACTGGGTCTTTTATCACAACGTGCTTTACAAATTTAGCTTGCAGCATTGGCAAAAGCGCACCCCAGAGATGGTAGCGATTGCACAGCGAGACATGCTCATCGCTAAGATTGTGTCTCTTGATCATTTCCACACGGTACTCCTTCTCCTCAAACTCCAGCCCAGATTGAAGCAATTGACTAAGAAATGGTTAGATCCATAGCACACTCGGTTGTTCGCTCGAGCTTATGGAATTCCTAAGTCAAGCTATCGACCTGATAAAAGACCGGGATGATCCAGACGACTTGTCGAACAGCCATTCGCATGCCATTTACAACCTCGAAAGTCAGATCCGAGACATGAGCCAGCAGCCGTGTAGCGGTATCGATAGAGAGGATTATCATGTCGTTGGAAGCAGAAAACGTTACCTCACGATTGCTCGCATGTACCAGCTTGCAGTTCTCATTTATCTTGATCGCGTAGTTCGAGGGTCACAGGCTGATTCGCGCTTGTCGCGCACTAGTGCTGAGGAAGCGTTCGGCCTTTTGAGAAATCTTGGATTGTGCGAAAGACCTTTTATCATGATTATGCTGGCTCTACAAGCGGAAAACGACAGCGACAGATTACTGGTCCTTTCGGCATTGAAGAATGCGATAACCGAGCGACCGCTAAGCAACCTGTCGTCGACGGAGCAGATTATACGGAGAATATGGGCTCAGCAAGACCTCTGCGGGAACGGACAAGGAGACGCCTTGAAGATGTTGAATACCATCATCAGTTCCAACGATGTACCGCCTTCCTTCACTTGAGATGATGCCGACGATGCCGGTATCATCATAAGCGCGGGAATAACCGATGGATACACCATCAAATGTTTCGCCGATGCCTCTCTGGTTAACGTATCCGCCATGAATCAAACAACAAGAAGAAGAAAAGGGCTATTTTCCCAAGCATAATCAAGCAGCCATCAGGAAATGAGACATGAAGAAGCATCGGTCATTGTGCAGAATTACATGCGTCAGTCACCCTTGGAGCATGAAAGCATTGAAACATGGAGCCCCGGGGAAATTCCCCGATTCTCCGCTAGACCCGACAACTGCTCAACCTTTCGATTGCATGTCCAACTTGACGCAACAAACTCAGAGTGGGGGGGAGAGATGGTTTGGCGTTATTTGTCACACTACGAGCTGCACCATGTCAGGGTGGGGGATTCTTACAGCTTCCAATGTTTGTCCCCGCATCGGATCGTGATCCTATTTGTCGGGGGACATCGGCTTCGCAGCGGTGAACGGAGCTCAGCCCCCCAGCTTGCATTCATCACGATGCTCAAACTCGAGCTTGGCTAAGATCTCCTGCTCCAGATATTAAATCCAGCGTGCTCCGGGATCATAGCCTCTGCATGCTTTGATTGCAACGGTCAATACATCAGAGCAAGATCTGAATTGCGACCATGCGGCTGTACGCACTATCCAGCTGTGCGAGCTTGGTTCTCGCTGCGGCAGCCCTGCCCCCAGGCACTGTTGCAGCCGAAGATGCACCACAGATCTCCTTGACGCGTGAGTTTGCCATTGTTGTCATTTTTCATCTGGCTATTTGGTGGAGCCACGGCTGATACTGACACTTACACTTAGAGAAGGGCAAAGGAAATGGGCAATGGACATACGCATATCGCCGTGCCGAAAAGCTCGTACAGCAAATGACACTAGAAGAAAGAGCCAACATTACGCGTGGCTACCGCAGCGATAACGTCTGTGCTGGCAATACCGGTTCTGTTCCTCGGCTGGGATGGCCTGGAATGTGTGTTCACGATGCTGGCAATGGAGTTCGCGCAACGGACATGGTCAACTCTTATCCATCCGGGATCCATGTTGGGGCGAGCTGGGATAGAAACCTTACATACGAAAGAGGGTTCTACATGGGCAAGGAGTTTAAAATAAAGGGAGGTGAGTGTTTCATGGATGCATTTCCTTCAGCTTAATATCCTCGTTTACTGAGAACAAATTGTTAGTCAACGTACCGCTTGGCCCCAACGCTGGCCCATTAGGACGAACGCCACTCGGTGGTCGGAATTGGGAGGGATTCTCTGTTGACCCATACCTCTCTGGTCAGTTGAATGCAGAGACTATAATAGGAATGCAAGAAGCTGGTGTTATTGCCAATATCAAGGTACAATTCAATTATACAACTATTGGGGCCGCCGAGGCAGAATGATGCTAACCACCAAACCATAGCATTTTATCGCCAATGAACAAGAGACTCTGAGGCGCCCGTACTTTGGCGTTGAAGCCGTTTCTGCAAACATTGATGATAAAACATTACACGAGTACTATTTGTGGCCTTTTATGGATAGCGTGCATGCTGGCGTAGGGTCTGTCATGTGCTCCTACAACAGGATCAACAACACGTACGGATGCAAGAACGACAAGCTCATGAACGGTATCCTCAAGACCGAGCTGGGGTTCGAAGGCTTCGTCATGCTTGATTGGGATGCCCAGCACGACATACAAAGCGCCAACGCTGGGCTTGACATGGTGATGCCTCTTGGAGGTTCATGGGGCCAGAATCTGACTGATGCTGTTGCGAATGGGACCGTCAGCGAAGATCGGGTGACTGACATGGCGACACGGTGGGTTCTTTTGACTCTCTTCTCTATTTCAACAATGCTAACTTTTTGATGTGTCAAGAATTATCGCTGCATGGTATCTGGTCGGCCAAGATGGTGACAAGTTTCCCATCCCCGGCATTGGCCTCAAAGAGCTTACCCAGCCCCATGAACGAGTAGACGCACGAGATCCCGCATCAGAGCCTGTGATTTTGGAGGGCGCTATTGCAGGACACGTCTTGGTCAAGAACGACAACAATGCGTTACCATTCAGAAACAAGCTCGCCATGATATCTGTGTTCGGTTACGACGCGACGATTCCTCGTACTAAGAATACTGATCTTTTGTTCTCACACGGATACACTTCATCTCCGGAGATGGAGAATGTTGCATTGGGCCATGAAGCGCATTTTGACCAGGCAGCAAGGGGAGGCACCATTGTCACAGGTGGTAGAGCGGGTGCAAACGCGCCGGCGTATATTGATGATGTATGCGGATTTCACTCTTTGAAAGCCGAGTTCCTTATCGCTAACATTAATCCAGCCTCTTAGTGCTATCCAGCGCCGTGCTCGTCAAGACGGCACATGGGTGAATTGGGATTTGGACTCCTTCAACCCCGATGTTAATGCTGCTTCTGACGCTTGCTTGGTCTTCATCAATGCCATCGCAACCGAGGGCTGGGACCGCGAAGGCTTGCATGATGACTTCAGCGATGGACTTGTCAAGAATGTGGCCTCCAAATGTTCCAACACAATTGTCGTGATACACGCCGCGGGTGTCCGTCTTGTTGACCAATGGATCGAGCATCCCAATATTACAGCCACCATCATTGCTCATCTGCCTGGCCAGGACAGCGGCAGGGCTCTTCTGAAGCTGCTCTATGGCGAAGCAAACTTTTCTGGCAAGCTGCCTTACACGATTGCCAAGAACGAGAGCGATTACTCGGTGTATGCCCCGTGCACGCGAAGTTCTGGAGATGATATTGACCCGCAGTGCGATTTCACCGAAGGTGTATATCTCGATTACCGCGCTTTTGATGCCAAAGACGTTACTCCGCGATTTGAGTTTGGATATGGACTCAGCTATACGACCTTTGGATATTCATCTCTCTCTATTAAAGCATCAAAGTCTCTTCGCTCGTCCAAGTGCAGCGGCGATAATCTCTGGCGACATGTCGCAACGGTTACTGCAGCAATCACCAACAGTGGCTCTGTATCTGGAAGCGAAGTCGCACAGCTCTACCTGGCCATCCCAAACAGTCCACCAAAACAACTGCGCGGATTCAACAAGATCCTCTTATCTCCCAAAGAGTCAGAAACCGTTCGCTTCGAGCTTACAAAGAGAGATTTCAGCGTATGGGATGTGATTTCCCAGTCGTGGGTTATTCAGGAGGGAGAGTACAAAATCTTTGTTGGGGCAAGCAGTCGGGACATTCGACTTACAGGAACACTGCGAGTTGCTAGTGATTAGACGGATAGTTGACATTGCTTGTACGTACACGACGTTGGAAGATAAACCAGTTTGTATCATGCGAAGCGATATAATGTATTCATAGACTTAATTGTTTTTTCGGAGTAATATCTTGGAAGTCTATATAGGGCTACCTAAAAACGTTGACCTCAGAGCAACTGAGGTCAGCGTTAAAAATTTGAGCTTCTCATGTATATCGAACGGGCTTGGCCCCTTTCAGGTTGACGTTGAGACTCAAAAGATCCGGCCGGGAATAATGTCCAACGACATCAAGCATCTGCTTGGCATAGTCAATGGTGCTCAGCTGAATCTCCGCAGTGAGGATACCCTCTTCTCCAGGATCCAATGGATCGACCAGCGGCGTACCATCAGGTCCGAAGATCATGGCGAAACCTCCACCTGAAGTCATATGGGGACTGCCAACCAACTTCAACTTCTCCCTTCCTTTTTCGCCCATCACTTGCGTGCTAACCACCACAAAACAGGCTCCCTCCATAGCCATGAACTGACAGGCGAGACGATCTCCTTCGCCAGTTGTAGTATAAAGGATGGGGATGTTTTCCGGTCTACCAAAAAACGGTGGCCATCCTGCGATATGGATATCAACTCCCTGACTGTATTCGTGGTATCGCAGCAGGGGCTGGAAATGCTCCCAGCAATTGAGACCACCAATTTTGCCAAAGGGGCTATCGATCACATTCACCAGGCCATCTCCATCACCCCAAATGGCGCGCTCTACGCCGGTCGGCTTGATCTTCCGGCGATGGAGGACAATTTTCCCTTCGGGACTGATGAAGGATTGAGCAATGTACAAGCTATCGCCGTCTCGCTCAGAGTAGCCCAAGACGATAAAAATGCCGGCCTTCTTAACAGCTTCGCAGATTTGAGCCATCTCAGGAGAATCTTTCACAAGCGAATTGGCCATGTACTCGTGAAACATGCCAGTATTATCAAGGTACGGCTCAGTCCAGATGCTCCTAATGAAGTCAGCAAGGTCTTTTGTTTTAATCTGGCAATCTGAATAGTACAAACCATGGATATCCAGGCACAAATAGCTCAGGGAAACCCAAGACATTGACACCATCTTTTCCGGCTTGCTCAACAAGCGAGGTGACCTTCTTTACGGATTCTGGCAGGTTGAGCCAAGCAGGCTCAGCTTGCACAGCGCCAACTTTGATAGTTTCGCTCATTTATCTTCTTCTCTAGTTCGTAAGCTTTATAAAATGACGGGAAATGGGCCGTTGCTTATAGGGATGATGAGTTGAATGGATTCTCTGACGAGTAAAATATTCTGAAGATGCCGCATCTATGAGACAACTAAATATCTGAATAGCTTCATGTGCTTGAGTTCTTGATTAGTATACAGAAGAATATATGATTACTAGCCGCTGGTCTAAAATAGCTGCTGAACAGGGATTCAAGTTCCGTATTTCCTCATCTAGCCAGATCTGGGACTCCAATTGTAATTGAGCTTAATTGAGTGCCGGTCAACCACTCATGCGAGCCAATTGTTGCCGTTTGTGGCATGTATCTTCTGATGATCGTAGGATTTTATGGACTACAAAGTCTCCGATTTGTAATGAAGATTGATAATATTACACCTCTAGCACTCATGACTCAAGTGCGTTTAGTTTGGATCCTGAGAGAATGCTTCTTCCCGCACTGCTTACTGCCGCAAAGCTCAGAAGTGACTTGCTAAGAAACACACTGTATTGGCGATATACGCCCCAAATAGGCTTATAGTAAAGCTAATTTGAGCAGGAAGATCCTTGCAGTTGCTGTTTTAGGTCATCTGAAATACTAATCATCTTTAGCCGTGAATATTTTATCTTGTCGTAAAAGTGAATTGTCGATTGCATGGTAGGTTTGCGGCATGAGTCTTCCGCAAATGTGCCGCAAGCAACGTTTTTACCGACGGTAGCGAGCGAGCCTAGCGACTACCTATGATATTGAGCGTCCACAGCAAAGCAAGGTATACCGGGAGAACTATTTCTACATGATTGTCAAATTTTCTATTACCGGCCCCGTAATCTCATCATACGGTGTCGCTCTCGCAATCTTCCCGAAGTATGAGTCTTCTGCTACCTCTGCCTTCCAAAGTTGTGTATCTGTGATGTATTCGCGGATACTGGACGGACAGTTGGTCATTTTTGAACACAGAATGTGAGGCACATCTGGATAAAAAACATAGCGAGTATGACTAAGATTCATACTGTGGTAAATTGCCTATTAAAAGTAAAGGAGTGTGCTTCGGGACCTTGCAATGGAATGCTACAAAGATAAGTGACATATCATAAAACGATCATCAAGTTTCGTTAATTTTAACAAATGAAATTTCTCCAATTTCTCCCTTCAAGTAAATATCCTCTACTGATTGCCTGTTGTATCGGCTGAACCGTCTAGCTTATACAAAGGCTCAAGCTTCGCTTTGCGCTGGAAGAAGATGTACTTCTTAATGAACCAAGGTAGCCAAGTGCCAACTTGATAAGAAATATGGCGTCTTGTTGGTACACCAAAAATGTAATCAAGCTCTTCTAGAGTGCGTTTCCTAGATTCAATAAGTTAGCGTCTATGCAGGTAAAATGTAGATGAATATTGATACGTACATTGTTTCTGGAACAATGAAGAAGATGACAACAAAAGCAAGCATATTTAATCCCGCGTAAAAACCAAATGCACCAGTAGGCCCAAGTGCTTTCAGCAGCGAAGGGAACGTAAGACTCAAAGCACTGCCGACAGCGTTATTAATGCAGATTGTTAAGCCGGCGCCAAGCTCGCGGTGAGACAAGGGAAATGCCTCAGAAAAGTAGATGGATGGTAGCGGACCCATACCTAATTCTGTTTAGTGATTGTACTTCAATGGTGATATGGATACTAACCAGGGCCATAGAAAGCAGTAAAGAGGTAGACAAAGAACGCTATGCAGGGAATCCGAGCGCTGTTCTCGGCTGACATGAGAAAACAGAGTCCAGCCGCGAGAAGGCACCAGGCCATGTTTGGGAAGGTTGTGAGAAGTAGATTGCGGCGGCCGAAGGTATCCATGGTATAAACTGCTGGAAAAGCGAAAATGAAGAGAACAAGGCCAAACCCCATGGAGGCAAGGAGGCTGCTAAGTGTTGAGTAGCCGGCCTCAACGAAAATTGTTGAGCTATAGAAGGCCATGCTTTGTAACAGACAGTCAATATCAAGTATTGGTCCATGATCAATAAAAAGGGTTCACGTACATGTTGATTCCTGAAAACTGTTGGCTGATGACGATCCATCCACTGGCAACAGCAGCTCGTCGCAAACGGGGGATCGTAACAAGCTCTAATGCTCGGTGCCAAAAGCTTACACCGGCAAAGGCATCTCTCTCTTCCATAACCTGGCAGTGTGCGTAATACAGATCTCTTGCCGACTGCATCTCACTATTTCTTAGCCGGCAGAAGGACTGGTACGATTCGGGATACCGTCGCTTCTTCATCAGCCATCGAGGCGATTCTTGGTACAACTGTCAGTGTTTCATGCTCTCTCTGTGAAGTTGTTGACTTACCAGGGCAGAACCAGACAAAGATTACCACAGGAATGGCTGGGGCAAATGCAGATGCAAGTTGGAATCTCCACGCCAACTTTCCAACTCGATAGAAAATCAGGTTGACACAATATCCCACAAACATTCCGAATGATACCCACAGTTGGAAGCTTGTAACTAATCCGCCTCGAATAGATGCTGGCGCGACCTCTGCGGAGAAGACCGGGATTGTCGAGATTTTGATACCCATTCCAAGACCCATGAACAAGCGGCAAATCATCAGACCCCACCAGTTCTGTGTAAAGGCTTGAGCCAAGACGGGAAAGATACAGAACAAGCCTGTAACAAAGACAGTCCCCCTTCGACCAAGAAGGTTGTTCACTGGATCAGCTGCCCAAGCACTGAGGAGACCGAAGAGCGTCGGTCCCGAGTTGATGACGCCAACAAGCCAACCATTGTCCTCGATGCCAAATTCTTTGGGGAATGAAAGATTCGCGCCATTAGCACCCGTGTTGTCCCAGCCTTGGATGGCAGAGCCCAAAGAGCAAAGCGCAATGGTGTAGTAAAGAGCTTTGGGCAAATGCCACCTGTTGGTAACCTCGCGCCTCAGCCAATACTTGTCATCGTCAGTCAGCTCTGGAATATCTTCATATTCAACTGGGTTTTGAGCTGCTAGAGCGCCTCTAAAGAAAATGTCTTCCTTGTCTTGGAAGCCATACTCTCTACAGAAGGCGCTGACTTGAGAACGGAGATTATCCTTGGATATCCCCATCAAGGGGTTCCAAATCCTGTCAACGGTATCAGTTTTATGACCTTGGTTAGGATGGCTCGGGGGGTTGACTCACTTTGCGTTGACATTGTGAGAGATACTAGGACCTGTGTCTTCAACATGAGAGAGAAACTCATCCTTTGGCTGCTTCAGATCGGGTGTGTGAGCCATGCTGTCTGGTTGTCTTCAAATACCCACGTTTGAACTTGTGGATGCGTGTCTTGATGACTGCTGCGGAGCAGATGATGGATGTCAGATGCATTCCTGAACAGCGATATATATATTTTTCAAGTCTTACTTCAACTATCGCGATTATGGTAGAGTCTTTACCCCCCATGGGGTTCAGTAGCGTATCCACAAAACCCCAGGTTTTGAGTCCGGCTCGTTTTCTACGGCGCCACGGCTTGGCTGGTTTTGCCCCCCTCGTAGCCACATGGAAGAGGAATCGAAATGCGTTATGAGTTTACTTTTTCACAATATGGTGAGAAAAGGTCAATTCTATTATAGTACATGCAATTATATAGAATTATTAGAAGATATTCTTGAATTGGGTGCCTTATTTACCCCTTAAACCTATCACATAGAAGATGAACTCTCAACAGGCGAATCTTGCGGACATGAATCCACGATCACGCCGCAAAATTAAAGGGAATGCAGCCAGTAATTACATATTCAACTCCCAACTTATCTCCATCTAATCCCCTGCGGATGTCCCCTCCCACTCGGCCGCCATCCGACATGCCGACGCCAGAGTGGTACGTTCACGAAACCATCCCCTCACAGCTGCCCTGCGTGTCTTTCGGTCTAAAGCTGAATTGTGGGGAGTCACTCTTCTGCCCTGCGTGTTGTTCACTCAAACAATTTAGCCATTTAAGCATTACCGGCTAGTCAGCGGCTATACAACTCGGCACAGCGAGATAGCTTCATGTTAAACTTTGGGAGTGGCTGGTGGCACTCTAACCAGTACAGTACAGTAGTAGATGCGAATAGCAAGACACAGAGGAAGTGACTTTCATCTCCTGAGATTGGCCCTTCTAGAATCTGTTATTACCGTTACATTCTTCTGCTATTTCCTGCTCTTGGGATTGAAGGAATCTCGACGTCTCCCCATACTAATTTAGATCCACACTCTAAACCATTCCCCGCTTCCACTGCCGTTGTCATGGATCCTGCCCTGCGTGTCTCAAGCTCATGCCCTGCGCAGGTTCCTGTGCAAGACCCTGTGCAGGTCATTGAGGGGCATAAGATCGGCTTCTTGGCAGCAAAAAAGGAACGTGGGCGGAATGTGGGAGGGTCAGAAATGGGCTTTGTCGTCCAATGAAAGAAGTACGTGATAAAAGAATTCTGGAGATGGCTTGTGAAGAGCCGTTAAGCTACACTCTTCAATCCACCCCATGTTCAAGTGATCGGTAAATTTGAACCCGAAGTGTGGTCTGGGTAGAATAAAGTGAATGGCAGTCATTGCGAAATGTGGGTAGGCTCTCGAGGCCGTTGATATATAATTGAACCTACCTCTCCAAGCATTGCCATCTACCAAAGCACATTGCACAGTAGACGAGGTCTAAAAGCTTTCATTTTGAAGATACAATAGTCGCCTGCAAAACTACTCATCAAATCTGACAATTTTGATTACACGTCGATTAACTACCACTTATCGCGAAATGGGTAGCAAGGAAGCCCCAACCTGGCTGGACAAGCTCGAGGAGCAGCGTAAGCCCACCTCGTACAGTCCAAGGCGAGTGACGCATTCAAGCTGATGGCAATCTCAGTCAATGTCGATGTCGACTGGATGGACCCCGAATACATCAAGAATATGCCCATAAAGCCGCACGACCAAACGAGCAACCAGCTGTGGGTAGACATCCAACTCGGCCATCCTTCCAACGCTGATCTCCTAGTTGAGACGGCGAAGGAGCTCAAGGATAAAGGCTGGTTGGCGATCTATACTAGAATGGTACATCAAACACCGTTGAGTATCGATGAAAAGAAACGCGGCTAATTACATGATGTAGGCGGTTTTGATGTGCAAAAAGAATATCGATCTGATCCAAGGCCGTGTCCTGCTTCAAACCCTCCCCTCCAAGGCATACGACATGCAGGCGACTCTCGACCACGCCCGACTATATGACCAGGAGTTTGCGAGAGCCAACATTGGCCGAGACAGATACTGCATCAAGATCCCGTCCACTGGACCAGCCTTGAATGCGGCCAAGATTCTGAGTGCCGAGGGCATTCCAACCCTCGGAACGGCATTGTTTGGTCTTCCGCAGGCCATTGCCTGCAGTCAGGCAGGCATGCTATACATCAGCCCATATTTCAATGGTTCGTTGAAGCTCTTGTATTTCATGGATAATATGTGACAAAAGCTAAGAATCATTCAGAAACCCGAGCCCATGACGATCTATCTCTCTGGCCCGACGTCGAAGACCCCGCCACCCAACATCCCATGAGCGCCCGAGTCTTTCAAATCCTCGAAACATACAGACGACTGTACAAAGAGACTGGGAAAGAGCAGCCACTTCTCAAGAATGCAAGGTGAGATAGAATATACACAGTCTGCAACTTCTAAACATGGAGTCAATCGACTGACTGCATACGCTCAGCTTCATCTCTGCCAAAGAGGCCATGGCGGCGGGTGAATTGGGCTGCCACTCGGCCACAATCTCCCATACCGTTTTGAACCAGCTTGCGAAGCTCAAGTATGATGGAACTAAGCAGCCCGGTGAAGGCACGCCCAAGCCCGTCCATGTGTACAAAAACCCTCCCCCAACCCCTGAAAGGCTTCGCAAGCTCGCCAATGTCGACCCTCTTGCCGCCGCGGAGTGGGATGGCAAGCTGGCCAGCACTGACATTGACTACCTCGCCAACGGCGGAGAAGAGCTGGCCAAAGCGATTGCTGCTGACCCCATCACCAAAGAAAGATTGGCGATCGCTCTTGAGCTCTTTACAGGAGGCGAGAACAGCAGCAAGGACAAGATTGACGCGGCAGTTCAGGCCCTGTGAGGGCATCTATTGCATGTCGAACGCTGCCGCGCATACATATGTATGCGGAGTTGCAGGGAGATGGGCCTGTTCGCTGAAAATCACGAGTAGCTAGCTATATTCAACCAGTATAAATATATGTTTCGTTGTGAAACGTCGAGGGATCGGCCATGTGCATCATTGATGTGCTGAATCGTAGGGGCTCGTTTTCGAGGTTATTGTTTGCCATGTCGTATGACATTGGCAGATGGGTGTAAGATGGTGATTTTGGAGGTGCGTTTGTATCGTAACCGGCAGCCAGCGTCAGTGAATTTGGCATAGTAAAATCCATCTCGGACGACATCCATGGAATGTCCATGCTCATCGACGTTGATGGAAGGTTTGCCTCGACTGTTTCATCCAAGACAGGCTCAGTTGGGAGGTCGTTTTCCCGAGCCACAAATGAGGACTGCTCTTCTAGATATAGCGATCGGCTCCCAGCTCCGCGCTCATTGTTGGCCCCGATGGAGATGGATGAGACGCCGGTCCTTAGTATGGAGGCGCCGGCCTCGTCTAAAATCGGTATTGAGGCAGTAATTTCCGAATCATCCGCCGTAACTCGAGCCTGGTGAACCTCAAGCCCAGCGTTCAAGCGCCACGTATTCAGCTCGGAAAGGAGATCGTCTCGCTCGGCTACAAGACGGTTGATCCTCTGAAGAGAGTCGGCAATCTCTTTCTGCTCGACCTTGTGCAGCGCAACGCTTTGGTCAATAACAACGTGTTTAGACAGGCGGTTAGGGTCCGTAGATCGAAGCGACGGTATGAGGCTCGCAAGTGTCTACGTCTACGTTAGCTGGGCACACCGAGACACAGAATCCAAACTTGCCGTCAACCGCTCCTTGAAAGCCTCTCGTCGAGATCGTTCAAACACGCGATGGGCTGCGCGATCATCTGCAGTCCAGTTTCTGATGCGTTTCTTCTTATTCCGATCGGGCGACGAGGGCACAGCCATCGAGTTGGACTGGTCCGCCATGGGAGGCGAAGTGTTGTCCGTCGATGACATACTGATGGATGTGGCGAATATCGCACCGAGATCCTAGCAGAGCGGAAGCGGGAGGCTGGGCAAAGAGTCCTGTGGGCGATTCTTTCGACCACGCTGAAGCTATTTCGTCTCTTCAGGTACCCGCGAGAGGCCAACGGCTGCGTCCAGCTACAAGGAGAAGCATCCGAGCATCGTGAGCTGACAAAGAGGGGAAGCTTGGAGTTGAGTGGCGAGGCTGGGGCTCGATATTAGCGCCCCATGTGCTCAGTCGCTCAGGTGCTTCAGCGCTTCTAGCGGCCGCTTTTTAAGCTCCGATGGGAATCTGGGGTGCATGAACCGCTAAGCCGGCAGCGGCGAGGGACCTGTGGGAAAAGAGTCAGCTGACCGCGGTCATGATGGCAAGCAAACACATGAACAACAGGAGACGAATGGCTCTGGATAGTGAGATTCTGAGTGCTAGTTGTGCTATTTGAGGGCACTGAGACGGGTAAGTGTAGACATAGTAAATCTGGTAACAAATCCGCAGCAAGGAAGCAACACAACGACATGAAGATTGCGAGTGTACACCCATGAGCTAGTTTCGTACAACAAGAATGGACCGTTCACAATATGGCCACTCCGATTCACCGATTCCCAGAAGATCAAAGGAGCAGTTCAATAGTTGAGTTGATTTTTTGCTTGATTCAGCCGTGTACATTATGCCTATCCATACATGTATTCAAAACGCCGTTTCCACAACCCCTAATCATCACAGTACGCTCATGTCTCCTTGGTACCATCCAGACACATCCGTTCCAGTCATCATGTCAAACCCGCTTAGCCCACCCATTCCGCTCAGTCCGCCCATTGCCCCAAAGGTATTATCCATGTTCATGCTTCCAAAGTCTTCTGCATTCATAAAATACGAAAGCCAGTCCGTCGTCACAAAGGAGTCGAGTACTGTATTCGGGTAAGGGAACTCGGCATTCATGGCCGGTGAGCCATCTGTCAAGGAGAGCCCCAGATGCAGATCTGGTTCTCCGTGCGATACGCCAGAAGACACAATTCCATCTGCCGAGGCGATGAGTCCGTCTCCCGGAGCAACGGCATTGTCTCCGTAAGCGCTACTGCCAGCCTGAGATGAGATGCTGGTGCCATCCGTCATGCCTATTGATGCTGGGCCACTACCAGGCTGAGAGTCTGATGAGTTGATCAGGGGCTGCAGCTTTGTCAATTCCGGCCGTGGAGAGAAGCGCCTCATGGTTGCCGTGAATATTCGGTCCAGAACATCGCGGCTTCGCTTCGCCTCGGGCCAGTACTCTCCTGTCGCACTGAGAATATCCGACGCCGCCTTGAGAGAAGTGGTCAAGCAGTCGAAATTGACCTGGTCAGCAATGCCTTCCGGAGTCCAGACGCAGTAGAAGATGGTCATGATGCACAAAAATAATGAATGGACGGTTAGCCAGCCGTACCGCAGCTGGTTATCGGCGTACAGCTTTGCGTAGAGCTTGCTGCAAGTAATGGCGCTGGTAAAGCATTCGCCCAGGGCCGCCTTTGATGGCTGTTTGAACAGGGGATTTGGGCGGAGCATAAGCATCATCAGCTCATGATATCTAATCTCGCAGAGGTCGATCAGGTAGAAAGTTCGCTCGCCCTCGGCGTGTCTGGGAATGTCTTGTCGCCATTTTCGCAGGCGGCTAATCATGTCTGTCCGCCATGCCGTCACATCGTTGATGGCCGGAGTCAAATAAGGCGGGTAGTGTCGATCCGTACAAAACAAAACCGTCTTGATCTCGGAGCTGAACCTCGCCCATTTGAAGAGATGAATTGCGCTTGACATGGTAGTGGGGCTTCCAGGAGGCTTCGAGGAGGGCCGCACACCCTCCTCGGTCAAGTCATCGTCGTTGACATCCATGGGTAACTAGGTAGCCGTAATATTAGCAAGCAGATAAGAACATATCTTGTGGCCACAATCTTTACTCACTCTCAAATCACATTGCTCGTCAAAGAATCCCAGCGGCCGCCCCATGATTGTGCACAGCTGTCGATTCATGGTGTATGTGCACCAGAAGATTCGCGTGCGGAGTTCCACCTGCAGAGGGTTGAAATGGCGGGGGTTCCGGACATCACGGTGCAAGCCCAGCTCCAAGCATGACGCCAATGAGTGGTAGTGGAGGGTCCATATATTCAGTCCAGATGATGGGTCGTGAAGGGTATACATCTCCAACAGCAAAAGACACTGGCATGTGACGAGTGACGGCGTCCTAAAGACGGTATCTAGACGTTGCAGCGCGGAGGCATAATAGCCTTCACCCAGCATGTGCCGTCTCGAGCGACGACCGTAAATCGTGGCACCGATAGCCAGAACCATGAATGCTTGGAACTCCTCTAGCGCATCCAGGGTCTCCCCATTGTAGAGCTTGTGGAGGATGGCATGGTGTGAGGGCTCGTGGAGGAAGGGAAACTGTAGGTGAACAGAGTCGAAATAGATTTGAGTGAGGAACATGGTTTGTCTCTTGTCATTCGGGAAATCCTTGGCTTGCAAGTCGACCAGATCTCCAGGGAGGAACACATCGGCATCGTCGCATCCATTGCCACGAAGGTTTACCGTCTCGATATCTGCGACATGTGCTAAGCCCGCGAGCACGAACTTGGTGAAGAAAAGGCCGCTGGAGGGTCCCAGGTAACGAAGGTCAGAGCCGCCTGAAATGGATATCAGGCCTATCTGCTCTGTGATCTCATGTGGCGAAGCCTCTTCCGGGGAGTCCTGGGAGCCTTGCCGCGTTGAACGCTCAACACCCGATGAGTGAGCTCGTGATGGCCGCCCCGGCCCTGTGGTGAGATCGACATCTGGACACCTCTCACGGACAACGGACTCTAGCCATGCTACTCGCGACTCAAGCTCAGTCAAATAGCTGTACAGGGTTGCACGAGGTCAGTCCAGCGCAAATACAGGCACATGATGAGCTTTAATTCAGCGTCTTACTTTCGCGGAATTTCACGAGAAGTGCCGCCATCCACACATCGAACGCCGGCCTTTTGACAGCCTGAGCATGATGGCAGAACACCGTCACACTGGATACGGCATGTTAGTGAGTGAAAATTGGTGCAAAATGGCCACGAGACCGCCAGGGGCTCGGTGTACTTGCCCGAATCTTTCTCTTTTGGCATCTCACACACGCTGCGCTTATGCGAGCTCGGGTCCTCGCTCTTCGGTGAGGCTGAGGGGCGAAGTTGGTTGGCTGCGCGTCGCGATCCGGGTTCGAGGAGCTCGGACTGGTCTTTGACTCCATTCCGGGATATTAAGCGGCAATCTGAGATAATGAAACTCTCATCCAGGAGAAGTGTCTTGGACTCAGAATTCTGTTTTTCCAGTACTATAAACCAGCATGTCTTATGCGGATCGGATGCGGAGCTTACGGATCATTATTATCAAGCAGAGCAAAGTCGAGAGTCACGTGAGTGTGAGCGTAAGATTGACTCCAGCCCGGCGCTGATTATTTTGTATGACGGACTCATTTTGCCCCGTGGGCATTTGTCAGCCCGCCCAGAGGCCAATGGGCTTTGCCGGGGCTATTTCGAGCTATGAGCGGCCATTGTGAAGAATGAGGAATGTGGCGGCACGTGGAGTCTACATGGGACGAGTACCTCCTTGTGCTCTTATCCTGGGCGTTTCGTATCAAACTACTGCTGCAGACGGATTACTCTGCATGGTAGGAATCCTCTAACTGCCGACTACGACACCTCCTTGCCAGGCATCAGTGACGATGCGCATGTGCGGTGTTTTGTTGCTAGTTGGTTTCGCTACGCAGATTCTACATGTTTTCAAACATCTACCGAGTGTCTCATAGAGAGTACATTCATGCTGTTTGTTGCCTCTTGCTTCTATAAGTAGCCAAAGCATCAATGTTTCAAGTCTATGTAGTATTTAGGTTGTAAGACGACGTCTTGGTGACGAAGCAAGAAATTGACAAGTAGAAAAAGACCCACAAACAGTACCAATCAGCATCGCAAGGCAAAAAAAAAAAAGAATAAACTCAAGTGTGCTTTCTAAAGTTTCTATTAATCGCTTAAATGTCTATATCCAACAAGAGTCTAATATCTAACCCCAATCTAGTATATCCCTGAGATCCTTCGCTTGGCAAAGTTTTTCATTACATCATTACCAGAGGATTGCATGCCTCGTGTTCTTGTTGCCCCCTCATATCCGCCAATCATCTTTCTAGTTCTGGGCAACCAGAACGGCGCGGTATCGCACATTGCCCTCAGTCAGTCTGCGCATAGCGTCGCTCATGCCAGTCTCGTTGAGAGGGAACTTCTCGATCTGGGGAGTAATCTTGTGCAGAGCGCAGAACTTGAGCATCTTGCGCATCTCAGTAGTAGAAACAACAACTGAGCCCTGGATGCGGATACCCTTGAGGGCGACGAAGAACATGGTGATCTTGGAAGGGTTGAAGTCGACAGTGAGGGGGTAGATTGAGCTGTTGGGAGCCATCAGAGGGACGAGACTGGAAAGTAGATTGTCAGTACTAATGATGCGTATACTGGCTGTGCTCATGTGTGAAACTTACGCCTCGTAGTCAACCTGGGCACTTCCACAGAGGAGAAGGTGGTTGATGGGCTCCATCTTGCCCTCAAACTTCTCGCCCTGGCGGAAAACGTGGAACTCCTTGGCACCAAACTTCATGGCCTCTTCGCGCTTAGCCTCGCTGCTGGAGAGAACGACAACGTGGCAGCCCATGGCGGCAGCCATCTTGATGGCAATGTGGCCGAGACCGCCAATGCCCATAATGGCAACTCGGTCAGTGGGCTTGATTCCATACTGGTCGAGGACAGTCCAGACTGTAGCACCGCCGCACATCAATGGAGCAGCATCGGCGGGGTCGATCTCGTCGGGGATCTGGAAGACGCATCGGGCATCAAGAACAGCACCTTCGGAGAAGCTGCCGGTGTCGGTATCAGCGTTGCCATATGTGACGGCGTTGGCGCAGTACTGGTCCCAGCCTTGAAAATCATTGTTAGCAACGGTCTGCAAGTTTGCATTGGCCATGCGTGCACTTACCAGTCAGGCACTCCATGCAGTTGCCGCAAACTTGTCGGACGTATCCAAAGCCAACGACATCGCCAACCTTGAGGCCGGTGACATTGGGGCCGAGCTCCTTGACTCTTCCAATACCCTCGTGTCCAAGAGTCATGTCGGCGTGTCTGTAGTGAAGATCTGTGCCGCAAACACCAGAGTGTGTCATCTCGATGAAGACATCGTTGGGGCGGAGTTGTCTGTTGATAGTCTTGCGAACGGGGACATCGCCCTCAGCTCCGCGGTAGACGTCAAAGGTGACTTGGCTGCTCATGTTGGATGTGGTTGAAATGATGTGAGATGTTTTTGCGCTTGTTTTGATTGTAGTGAAACTGGAAGAATTCAAATGCTGAGTGCTGAAGATGCTTTTGTATTGTACTGTATTGTATTGTATTGTATTGATGACTGTGTTCTGGATGATGGAAAGTTGCTTTGAGGAGCGGATCCACGGCTCTTTAATACTTTCATCGTCCATCAACCATTGCAAGCAAAATCCCGACAATCTGTGCCCAACACAAAGAAGAAGACAATTAATTACAAAGTTGCTTCGTAATGCCTCGGATATCTCTCCGTGTTAATACACCTATTTCGAGATACCGGAAGATCCCACCGACGGAAGGAGTTCCTTGACCGCGGATTGTCCCGCCTGCGAAAGACGGAATGGGTTTAGCGTCGAGCGTTTTCTGCTTCTAGAAGGTTTTTAAAGAGGTCTGATTGGAAGTCTGCCTTCTCTGTAGAGGATTTGTGGGGCGCTGAATACGCAGTGACATCATGTCCGGCGCCCCGCTTATCTCATCACGGAACAGAGTTTGTGGCCAATGAAAAAGATTTCACAATGCCATCATGCTCTATCCAGGGAGGCGGCTATCCATTGCAAAGGGTCTCGAATCTCAACCGATTATTAATTTCTGTGATATGTAGCTTAGACTGTCTTTGCTTCAATCAAATGGGTTCAACGTGGCAAGTGAGCTGGAGAAATGGAAAAAAGGCGCACAATTGAGTCGACTCTGGCTCTCATTTCAGGCTGTCATGCAGATTATGGGTCATTACACGAGTTGTTTTTCACTCCTTGGTTATCAAAATAGCTACCTACATAATACGACTAATAGATTGACACGTAAGGATGTGGCCAAGCTATCAAGTGTCAATAATCACATCATCATTTTCATGTTGCAATCAAGCGCTTCGGAGTAGGTGTAAACCCGTTTGATTACCTAGTCGGAATTCAGAGCCCCATGCATGCATTTCAGGTGGAACTTCAAAAACATGAATCGAAGAGGGACGAGTCAATTTTTCGGATGTTACCTTTGCAACAATGCAGCTTTTTGGCTCATACTCTTGTATCGTGTTATACGGATCGACGGAGTACAACTAACACGAGTATCAGGGTAGATGGCTCCATACTACGGAGTATTCGTCCCGCGAATTCCGCTCTCAGTTGAGAGCCGAGGTCTGTAGAACAGTAAGCGGGTCGGGACAAAAAAAAAGAGTGATATAGATAGAAATGAGCCTCGTCAGGGGCCAAAAAAAAAAGATATTAAAAGAGAGACATGGCAAAGAGAATTCTACCTAAAAATCGGGGCGTCCAAGGCAGCAGTGTGGTCTGTATTGCTCATAGAGATACTTGCATGCAATCCAGTATTCGGGGTTTAGGGTAGTCTAAGATTGGCCTTACTTCCAAGATCTTGATCGGTTCTTCCGTCTTGATCCACCACTTGGCCCACCCGGCAGAGCTCAGCCGCGTTTTAGTTCTTCCAACGATAAGCAACTTAGAAGACTACGAGAGGGAGATTTACCTTTCACGAACATTGTAGTGTTCTCAAGCTTTATTACAGGTACTTTGGGATGTACGCAACAATCGGTTGACAGTTCTTCGCAAATGTAATATTAGAGCCTAACCACGTGTACCTAAGCCAACTAGAAGTCAAAGTCTTCTGGAGAAAGCTCTTCAATGCCCGTCATCAGGTCGTTGCTCATATCAGTGAGGACGCTCCAGCCAGGGTCCCATTCCATCGCTGCCGAGGCCAGATAGGATGCTGACTCGTCCTGAGTGGATGCCACTTCTTCCGCCGCTGCAAACCCGCCGAAGTGACCCCGGTCAAATCCGCGATGGCTGATATATTCCAGCGAAAACCCGTCCAGGCTCCATGGATTCTCTACAACGGGGTTGTTCACTGTCTGATCCGTGGAATTGTAAGGAGGCGGAGGAGGCACGTCTGTTTCGTCGAGGTCATGTCCGACCGGCTGAGACAGATGTCGAAGATCCGTGCGGCGAGACCGCTTGCGGATGACTGCTCCGAAGTACGGTATCACCACTTCCCGACTTTCGTCCGCCGTCTCGGGATCGTTGAGGCTCAGCATTTGAAGCACTTTTCGACACTGCGCTGCAACTTTGCAGTTGTTTTGAACCTCTTCTCCATGCAAGAGTCTGTCGGTAGTGGCCACCAGCTCCAAATCTTCATCTACACTGGACGAGTGACCTCCTGCGCTGCAGTGGAAGGTGCTGATAAGAAGAACAACGGCGGCAGTAAAGCACGCGAAATCCGTTGTCTTGCATTCGAACAAGCAACAGCCCGACTTGTTTTTGCAGCGCAAGAGTCGATATCTCCTTAAAATCTGCTTGGCCGCTTCGATGCAGGCCGTTCTGCTAAAGTAGTGAGGGGAGCTCGCTGTCGGCTCTACTAAGAAGGGTAGGTGAAGGAACAGCTTGACCCAGAAGAAGTAGAATTGTTGCAACAGCAGCTCTCTGAATTCGCTCAGTTCTACTCCATGTAAATGGAAATTATCCATGCTTTCTGGAACAGACCACCATTCTTCTGGCTGTGTCGACGCGACGGACGAGAGCTCTTCATCTAGCTCCATCGCCTTCGCAAAGGAAGGCTTTCCGTCAGTCATATTGCGGTCAATGATCTTTCCACTGATAATGGCGCATCCAAGGACGAAGTAAAATCCTTGACCCATTCCAGCCGCTGTGAGAACAGACTGGTAATGGTTGTCGTTCAGCACGTAAGGTAAGCCAAGGAGCATACTGCAGAATCTATCGCCGTGGTAAACGGCACACCACAGTCTCAACTCCGTCCTGGAGTAGTTTTTCCCACAGCATAACCCCTAATCTCAAGTTAGATCAATTTGTTCATCATTTCGACACGGACCAGAACAAGTACATACCATCAGCTGCGTTGCAGAAGCACCTTTTCTCCATACAAGCCAAGCTCTCTTGGGCTGACCGCAATCCGTATACGATTTTGCAAGCAGTATAAGGCATTCTAGGCCCTCTATGGTTGCCGTATAGTTGATGTCTGAGATGATAAGATCGTCCACCAGAGTATATAGATGGCGATGCTTATTCAAGCTACGGGCAAATGCAATTGCAAGAGCGCCAATGTCGGCTGGGTTGCTGCTCGTATATGTTCGCTTGGCAAAGGCCTCTATCGTTTGAGAAGGGGCTTCAGAAATAGCATATGCCTTTGAGCGGAAGCTGTCCCACCACGACCCATGTTTGGTAAGAACAGACATGATGGCGTCATAGCTTGGTAGCATTGAGCGTAGAGTTGAGCACACGTATGCAGATTTGCTTTCAAACGGTAGCAGAAACGGAGGGTACATCTTCTGCTCTCTGTCTAAAAGCTGGTTGAATGTTGAGCTGCCATAGGTTGTCTGCAGTGTAGGAGAGCCGCTCTCCCCGTTTTCCCCTGATGCCGAGAGCTTTGTATACACCGTTAGCCTCCTTAATGACTGTAGGTACATGTGCATATCATGACATCTATCTTTAAGCTTACCTTGGCATCCACAAGCAGAGACACGATTGGCGCATAGTCTGCCCTCTCTGTCGCAAGGACATCTGACGTCTCAGCATCTCCACTGCACGTGAATTTGGGAGGCTGGTCCGCGGATGTCCCATTTCGGCCTTGAGATGCCTTCCCATTGGCAGGCTGTTTCCGCGGCACACTCGGCTTCGACTCTGAAATGCCGACTTCCTCGTAGCCCTGCTCAATGCAACGGCCGTCACGAGATTTGCACAAGACGCACACAGGGTCGCCGGGGGGATACACACAGCGAGTTTTGCGTCGTCGGCCTTGTTAATAGCAACCATCAACATTTACAGGCTCTAAACGGATATCTTCGTAACAACGAAGACGGCCTACACGGAACCCCGTACAGGCACACGGAGACGCAATGCAATGCATGGACTTACACTCGGTGCAACTTCGGGTCCCCTTGCGCATCTTCCGCACTCGATGCGGAAGCGGGTTCGATATCGAGACACCTGAAGGCTCCTCCATGTCGGACGAATGGCAACAAAGTTGCTCTGGAATTCAAATACCGTGAATACGACTCGGCGGACAAACTCAACTGCAACCCAGAGAAATCGATTGATCCTGTTTTGGTGCGTGAAATGAGGAGCAACGCATCTTGTCCGTGGACGAAGCCTTTATTGATGCTTCGTCCGCTCACGTGATCGGACGACGGTCTCTTCATCAGCTGGATGCATGTCAGCTTGGCGTCTGATTGTTTCTTGTCCGGCTGTTCGTCCAGTGCAAGTGTCGAACTAAGTCTTGTCCATCTCCGGACTTAGCGGCATGGCGTCACGGAGGGTTGAAGTGCCCCGAAGAGAATAGTAAACATGAGCGAAGAAAAGTTCATAGACGGGCCAATGTGCCAGGACGAAGAAACATGAAAGATATATATATATACGGCCTTCGGTGCCCGATTGAAAATGAAGTTTCTCATCACAATCCTCACACTACAACGACAACTACAACGACAACAGTACTAAGCAACTTACAACTTCTCTTCATCGAGACTTATACACTTTCAACGCCTTTTACTCTATAAATAGCATCTCTTCACATTCACATAAAAATGGCCCCCCTCGTCTTCCTCGTAACTGGATCTACATCCGGCATTGGTGCTGCTTTGGTGGACCACATTCTCTCTCGCGGAGACAAGGTCATTGCCAGTGGCAGAAAGGTCGAGGAGCGACTTGGCCATCTCAAGTCTAAATCCGACAACATTGCTCTCTTGGAGCTTGAGGTCACTGCACCTATCGAAGAGATCAAGACCAAGATTGAGACGGCATGGAAAATCTTCGGCCACATTGATGTCTTGATGAACAATGCTGGTATGTCAGCCATGACAACCATCGAAGACGCAAGGTATGTAGCTATTCATTCGGGGCAGATTATCCACACCATCAGTCTACTAATTCACCATTCGAAATAGTGATGCATATGTGCAAAACATGTTCAATGTCAACCTCTTTGGACCAGTTCACTTGACCCAGGCCATCTTGCCCTTCTTCCGTGCTCAGGGCAAGGGTTGCGTTGCATTCACTTCTTCCAGCTCAAGCTGGATGGCCCTCCCGACAATGTCCCATTATTCAATGGCAAAGGCAGGCCTCAGTTCCTTCGCAGAAGGCCTTCACAAGGAGGTCATTGGCCTGGGCATTCGAAGTGTCGCATTCGACTGTGGTGGCTTCATCACCAACCTCATGCAGCCTCGAGAGGGTGCTCACGCCAGCCCCCCTGGTGCTGAGCCCACCGACGCATACAAGCCGCTGCTTGGAAGCGTTATCGGCATGTTTTCCAACGACCCTATGGGTCTCATGCCAGGATCACCCGCTAGAGCCGCCTCTACCATGATTGACGTGATCAAGGGAGAGGGAGTCGCGGCTGGCCGCCCATGGGCCTCTCGAGTCATCTTGGGCTCGGACGCACTCGATAGCGCTAAAAATCGACGAGAAGACGAGCTTAAGCTGCTCACGGCTTGGGCGCCTGTCAGTGCGAGCACTGATGAGCGGAAGTATACGCCTAGAGATGATCTCCGAAAGTTCACCATGGTGACTGGTTCGGAGCAGCTTTAACTGTATTCTTATCTTGGATGTATCATATAGACAGCGATAGAGATATGGAATGTTTTTGTTACTCTTTATGTTAGTATATGTATATTTAGATAGTTATCAATGCAAACGCAAAATGCAGCTCTACTGAAGGCTTTACTGGCGTGACGACAATGAAGTGTGTTGGCTGCAACGGCATTGTATAACTGGACTGTAATGGGTGATATCATTAAGGTAACGACTGTATGCTATTTATATATATCACCGTCCTTCTGTGAATGATTTTCATCATTTTTTGTAATTTTCCCCCTGCGCATATATAGTCTCGAGGTGATGCTAGCTCAAAAGACCGGCATCAATCGAGGATCTCATATATCAGCGCACATTTATTTTCGGTGAAAAGCATGAACAATAGTATAAAACGAGTGTCACGAAGAAGACGTATCTCAAGCCTCTGCTTGACAATGCGATCGCATGATGTTTCCATCAGGATCGTGAATCGCAAGACCCCGATTGTAACAATCAGTAGTCATCTCCACGGCTAATGACCTCCTTCACGGTAGGTCGGAGCAAAATCGTCTTGGATAGTTTGTTAGCATTCGCCTTCCAAGTATGCACATGATATCACTCACATGCTCGTATTGGGCAGTGTAAGACCCTTTCTTGTCGAGCAAAGGCGGGTAATCTTCAACAATGCCAGATTTCACAAGCGTGTTGAGCTGCCAAAACCGTTAGCTACACCGGGAACATGGTTTGAGGTTGATATAGTCATGACATACCCCGAGGAGATACTTCTCCTGCCCAATTCGATCCAAATAGCGCCGGCAAAACGGGACTGTGCCGAAATTCTTCTTGATCACATTCAAGAGTGATCTGGCTGAAGACAGACGAAGTTCTGCCTTTGGCGCATCTGCACGAAGGGCATAGTGTGACACGTCGCCGTGATCGTAAACCCAGCCGTTGCCAGTACTGCCGAACGTCTCAATGGCAAAGATGTCACCCTCTTCCATTTTGGTCATGTCGTCCGACTTTACGGCGGGAATGCTCTTGGTGCCGTGGATGCGATATGGTAAGATACTGTGGCCGCCTATGTTGCGAATCGACTTGATCGGATAGGTGGTTCCGTGGATCTCGCATTCATAGCTCTCCATGGTCTCTTGGATGTATCCGCCGAGTTCTCCAAGGCGGACATCAATGCCTGCCTCGCGGACGCCAGTGTTCGTGGCGTCCTTGACGGCTGCAAGGAGGTTGTCATACATAGGGTCGAACGCTATTGTAAAGGCGCTATCGACGATGCGACCATTCACATGAACGCCAATGTCAATTTTCATGACATTATTCTGCCGAAGCACGACCTTGTCGCCGGCATTTGGGCTGTAGTGAGCAGCAATCTCATCAATGTTCAGCCCGGTCGGGAAGCCCATGCCGGCAATAAGGGAGTCGCCTTCAGTCAAGCCATCGTGCCCAAGCAGACGCCTCACACTGTCTTCGATGCCGTTGGCAATCTCAGTGAGGGTCTGGCCTGGCTTGATGTTTCTCTGTGCCCACTGGCGGACCTGACGATGCGTCTCGGCCGCCTGGCGATAATCAGAGAGGAAGTCGCTCTTCAGGTTGTCTAAATGACGCTTTTCTTCGTCAGTAGTGCGATAGAGGTTCTCGTTTTTATATTCGACCTCTTCGCCCGTGGGGTAGTTGTTGTTTGGGAATAGTTTGGACACAAGGATGGATGGAGGCTCCGTCTGCGCAATAATCTTCTTCTTCTTGTTCTTTCTCTTCCTGTTCTTCCGTTTCTTAGAGTCACCGCCCTCACCGGCAGCAACTGTGACTTCAGTGACATGTTGGTCTGGATCGTCATCCGAGTCATCACCAGATTGCTCGGCAGCGTTTGCTTTAGCGGTTCCATTAGCACGAGCGGAACCAGCCACCTTTCCAGATGTTTGCACTATCTAGGCTGTTAGCTTGTGACCAGTATCTTTTGCCCACAAATGAGGTCACGAACCGTTGAGCACCTTACGCTCGTCAGAGGGAGTTTTGGCAGCCATGGTGTCGATAAAGACGATTGCTTGAGTTTACAGGATCAAAATGGCTGAGATTGATGTCAGTGCACATATCAAATATTCATCTTCAACATGTAATCCGAAGGGCGCGAGGCTTCATGGAGATGCATATAACGGGGTCATGTAATTAATGCCAAGAGGCATCAAAAGAGAGAATCCCTCCAATCTCAGGCTACCTAATCATGTGGTAATTGACTGTCGTCAGCTGGGGAAAACGCTTTACAATGACTTGTAAAGGGGCGGAGGAGAGATAACTTGTTGTTATCGCTGCTGTTGACTTGCGATACGAGCATAGGACGACGAGACACTGATGAGTATCTGGCCATGTGCATGTAGCTTCAGCACTCTGGCGATTCACAAAAAGTGATATTGACATGCCGACACCCTTCGGCTTAGCCCTCTACGATACAACAAAAGCTACATTGTTTGCACGCATACATACTATACATGTATAGTAATAATATGTCTTATACCTCATAATACACCAACACTGTCGTCAATCACCCCATTGCCGGACTGTGCGCCACCTAACTATGGCTTGAAGACAACCTTTTGTACCTTCATCTCATCAAACAGGGCATATCCTTGAACAGCCTCGTTGAGCGGCATGATGTTTTCAAACATGAAACTGACATCATTCATTAGATTACTAAACGCTGGATATGAAAACGACGGATAGATGGCTCACCCAAGTAGGTGCTGCTTCTTCTCAAGCAGAACAAGAGCTTCGGAAAAGATGCTCCGAACAGGGCATCTGCCCATTTGTAGGCGAATATTCTTTCTGTATATGTAGTTTCATTAGGAATTTGCTTAGAACTTTCGTATAGAAAGAAAGCCACGAGATACACTTACCCGTATGCCTCAACTCCAGACCATGGAATCTAGCAATCGTCAGCTCGAACTAAACAACACCTCTGCGCATCTTGAACCTACCTCTGCATTGTGAACACCAATACTGCTGATCACGCCAAAGGGCCTGACAATGTCAAAAGCAGTCCTCAATGCTGGCGACAGTCCGACAACCTCAACGACCAAGTCGGCGCCTCTTCCTCCTGTTGCTTCCAAGATCCTCGCCGTCATACCCGCCTTGTCACTGAGGAAGTTGAGGGGCTCGGCACCAAGTTGTCTTGCCTGTTCAAGTCTGCTATCCACGCCGTCAATGGCAAACAGATGCTTGGGTTTCTGCTCTGCCGCAGCAATGACTGCACACAAGCCAACGGGACCACATCCAATCACCACCAGAGTAGATTCTTGGATGTTAAGAGTGGGAGGCGCCATGCTGAGTGCGGATTTGACGCCAAAGAATCCGGTGGGGAAGATGTCAGCCATGAGAATTAAAGCCTCATCTGAAATGGATGGTGGTGCTTTGGAGACTGTGCCATCAGTCAGGGGCACGCGAACATATTCTGCTTGCCCACCATCGAGCTTGGTTGATCCGAAAAGCAAGGATTTCTCACAGCGCGCAGTGGCGCCATTGAGACAGAAAAAGCACTTGCCACTGATGTTTCTGTAAGTACAAACGTCATATATCCATTTAAAAGAAATTGAAATGTGCAGAATGAAGTCGATGAAATCTCATGATTCAAGGTACATACCATGATGCGGTAAATGGCGCTACAACCTTGTCGCCAACGGTGACTGACTTCACAGCTGGTCCTGCAGCTACGACAGTTCCTGTAAACTCATGTCCCATGATGAAGCCAGTATCGGAGGACTGATGGCCACGGTACACGTGTAGTTCGCTGACGGGATATTCCGCGTTAGCGAGTCATGCGTTCATATTGCACCGGGAGGCGTCAACTTACGAGCCACAGAGAGCAGTTGCGCTCACTTTGACAATGATATCTTCATCGTCCTGGACTGAATCAAGTTAAAAATCTCGTATCGTAAAATCGAGTGCTTTGAATTGGCCAGAACTCACTCTGAGGCACCGGTCGGTCTTGGATGGAGACGCTGCGGGGTCCATCAAATACGACGGCCTTCATGGTCTGAGGAAGAGCCATTTTCCCGGAGAAACAACACAGTGAAGAATGAATAATGGGATAGCCTGTTGTTATACTCTGTGTGAGTATCAAAGTGATTTCCGAGGCCGGGAGGGGCTTAAATATATACTGAAGCGCCCGACGTCAATATGGGTCGAGATGTAACACTATTTCCCCACAATGTGCCCTCAGCTCATTCACCCCTCCCGTCAGTTGGGCACTAAGAACCGCTGCCGAGGGTAGCCCGAGATTTGGGATAGATGGGGACTACAGCAATGGTTGATAGAGACGAATCAGAGCATCTCGGGATAGTTGCGGCACGCTTCTCCCACCCACCCATACGGCCGTTCTAGAACCGAGCCTTGGGTAACTTAAAATGGTGGGCTGGGGCTTGAGGTATATGCACCTAGGCTTATGCCTTGTCATATTTTACTTTGGCCGTGAAGGACCTGTGCTTATGTATATCTGCTTCCTTTGGACAGAGGTCGGTATGGACATACACCACATTAAAGGCTTTCGAATATATAGGTATCTTGATGCTGCGGTTCGATGTAATCATTCTGTCAACGTGTGCTTCGACATTTCAACTGTAACCCTCCCACCCTCCATCTGTCGATCAATGCTTTTAGTCTACTCAACCTCCTTCCATATCATCTCGAGCTGGAATATTTGCATCCATTCATCCGTCCGATTCGCACTGGCAAACCCGGCTTGCATGTTATTGAACATTTGCGCTCCCTGGGCTCCCTCATCTGTGGCATACCAGCCCACTGAACTGTTTCCATGAAGGTTTCCGTCCACGGCACCAGATACCGACTTCAATCCATCCATGCCGTTATACATGACACTCAAAAGGCCCTGGTGCATTGCATTCTGCATTTTCATAAGCTTCATCTCGCGGATAAACTTCATCTGAGGCACAGTTTGAGTGTATATCTTCAACCGCTTGCTTCCGAATTCTGTAAACTCCGCCAATTTCTCGTTCGACTCGGGGGATCCGGGTGGGCTAGCATCACACACTTTCAACCACATTGTGCGCATACGTGACGACCAAATCTGGCAAATCTGGGCACGCTCATCGTATGCTTTCTTGAATGTCACGGATTCGCCAAGTTTGGTGTCAGCAACGAAGCTCAGATAGCAATCTTCGCAGAACAAAGCATTTGGATACCCCCACCAATGTCCCTTCTCCACGACTTCCAGGCCGGGACAAACGGGAACCGAGGCAAATGCCCGAACATAGTCTAGGTAGTAGCTGAAAACTCCCAGGTCTACAGCTTGAGCGTACTTCCTGAGGTATTGCCGGAATCGGGGACTGGCAACACAAAAATCGCAAACAAGAGTTGCCTCGGGATTGCGCTGCGCGGGCTCGAAGAATTGAGCAACTCCGCTGGTTCTCAAAACGGATGTATAACATGTCTCACACACGTCAAAGTTGTCGCATCCTCCCTGGATTGTCCACCAGTTGCCACGAACAATTCCGTGCTTGGTGCAAGGTGGGAGACGACACGCCACCTCCGCCGAGCTGGTGAATACAGACCAGTTGCGCTGCTCAAGGGCATTCTCCATGGCCCATACCAAGGGAAGGTTGGTTTCAGTCAATTTGCAAGACCAGAATTGGGTCATGTGCTCAAAGTATGAATCGAAGCCTGGGGGCATGACATACTTCTCAAACTCGTTCTCAAACCGTGTGAAGCCAACTCGGTCCAGATAACAGGCTTCACAAGCTCGCATGTTCTCAATCTTGCGCCGTGGCATGTACCAGGTGCAGTCGTTTGACTGTACATCCTTTCCCTCGCATTTTGGCAACGAGATGCGATGGGTCGCCAAACTAACAAAGCCGGCCCAGTCATTCTCTTTGGCCTTCTTGACAACGACTCGAGAGATGAATGGCACGGAGATGTCACAAGACCACTGCTCACCGGTCGGCTGTTCACGATATGGGGAGAATTTGGTCTCGAATGGTGTCCCCGCTATCCGATCCTCGTAGCAAGCCTCACACGAGATGAATCCGTTGATCTCATTGCCCGCCATACCGAACCATTTAATTCCATCAGAGGCTGCCGTAGGGTTGCGTCCTTTGCACGCCTTGACATTGAGTCGCTTTTCCAAGAATTCACGCAGTGCATCCACATTGCCGGTGCGAACAGCCTCGGGCCAAATGAACTCTTTGACCCTAGGGAACCAGAAACAGCACGTGGAGTTAAAGTTGTCAGGCCGTTTAATCTTCTCAAACTTGCTTGCCAGTTGTGTAGGTTGGATGTGATCAGCGTGACATCGGGTGCAGATCAACAAGTCAGGCAAGTCAGGCAAACGGTACCAATAGAGCGAATAGTCCACCGCCCTCGTTTCTGGACAATACGTGATGACTTCTAGAGGTTCCCCCGTCGCGCGGATATGGGGCGGAGGCCGGGGTGCATTGTCATCCAAGGCTCTCACAGAAGGCTGGGGTGCCGCGTTTTGTTCCACAGGGTTCATGTTGAGATTGTTCATTTGCGTATAAAGATTAGCCATGGGATCCTGGGACTGCACCGTAATAGGTGCTGGGATAGGCTGTTGGGTCTCTGCCAGGGGTGGAGGAATCGGCATGGCATTGTTTGTTGGTTGAACTGGTGAGGTATGATCAACAGTCGGCGCCACTGTCTGTTGTGTATTGGGGGCAGCGACTGGTCTGCGTGGATATTGATGCTGATTATTTGCCGTATTGGACGGCGGCGGCGGCGGCAGACGTTCTGATCCTGTTGGTGCTTGCTGCCCTACTGCATTTGGAGCAGCAGGCTGAGGGGGGGCATGGTTGTTCGAAGTGTCCCGTGCTGGAGGACGAGTTGACATTGGTGGTGGAGGAGGAGACGAGGGAGTATATGCTGGCTGTTGCCGGGGCAGAGGCCCATCATATTCCCGAGGAACAGGTGAATTATACTCTCGAGGAACAGGTGCACTATATTCTCGAGGAATAGGTGCACTATATTCTCGAGGAATAGGTGCACTATATTCTCGAGGAACGGGTTCAAAAGCACTATAATCCCGAGGAATGGGCTTAAAAGCATCGTTATCTTGAGGAATAGGCTCAAAGGCCCCATAGTCCCGAGGAATAGGTTCAAAAGCTTCCTGTTCTCGAGGAATATGATTAAAAGTCCCTTGTGAAGCAGCATTTCTCTCCGGTGTAGGAGGCTGTGGTGAGGTGGGAGGTATGTTTGGTGGTTGCGCTGCCGCAGGAGGTGTATATTGATATGTTGCCGTTTGGACAGAAACAGCTGGTGTTGGTGCATGCGAAGCTGGTGAGTACTGGGCAGCAGGAGAGGGACTGTTGTAGTACGAAGCGGGCTGTGAGGGAGAGTATGTGTGTGAGTGTGAGACCGGATTTTGCGTATTTTGAGCTGGATTATATGGAGGATGTGGAGGATAGCTGGGCAGATTCTGCTGAACTGGTGCCCGAGCAGGAAGAGGAGGGGGAGGGGGATAGGACTGAGCTGGAGCCTGAGGAGGAGGGGGGTACGAATGAGATGGGCTCTGTGGAGGAGGATACGACTGAGGTGGATTCTGAGGAGAGTACGTGTAAGATGGACTCTGCGGAGGAGGATAAGACTGAGACGGGCTCTGCGGAGGCACTGTCGCTACAGGGCCGGGAGTTGTCGATGCCGGAGCGTATGAGTACCCGGAATGTCCAGGCGGCGGTGGACCAGGAGGGGGTGGATAATACGGCGCCGGTGCGGCTGCATTCGGATACGGCGATGCAGGAGGAGGCGCCGTTTGGTATCCATAATGAGTTTGCTGCTGGGGGCTCACGTTTGCATATGGATATTGGGCATTGCCTCCGTATGTCTGCGCTGGCTGGCCACTGGTCTGTCTCGGCGGGGTGGGAGGAGGAACAGACCCATTGCCATATCGAGGAGGCAGCGGCGGTGGCTGCTGGTAGTAGCCTGACATGATGCCGCAAGTTTAGATGGAGTTATCAAAATGCTCTGGCTTCAATGCTCTTTGTTGCAGCCCCGTCAAGAGTTTTCAAAGACGTGTCCAGAGCAGAGGATTTGCATCTTGAGAGATTAAATACAGGCTGCTACTGCTAGTCTCTAGCCCGCGTAAGACGTCTTCGGAAGTCTAGGCCTTTTCGTGTTACGAATGGGTGGTTCAGCTGCTGCTCAGCCTCCAGTGGGGAAGACGCACTCACGTATGGAATGCATCTCACGGACTGCGGCGAGGCTCCCACGCCCTTCCGATCTGATGGAATAAGCCTTGCCAACACGTGGTCCCAGGGGATTGAAGCTAGCGAAATGTTGCACTAGCATCATGAGTGAGATTCTTAAGTTCGGAGTGCTGCTACTAAACTAGCAACAGACTGGCCAGACATCTATAATATATGTAAAGTTGAGGCTACAAGTTGAAGTAATCTCGAGGCACTATGTGATCCGTCTCGCTGTGAGGGTGGTCATTACACGATGGATCTGTCGCCATTGCTAGGCATCATTTTGCTTGGCTCCAACTTCAAAAACCATATGTTTATATTCGACAGATACATTCGACCTGATATGTTGGTGCGATGTGAGGCAAATAGATACATGTACTATTACGTGCAGCCACTCATGTCTCGCGGCAGATTGTCTCCGTGCTGCCTAAATCATACGAGCACGGTATTGTGTTACACTGTTGGCAACTTTCCCCTCACCTTCAAATCCTCGACACCTCTTGGGAGAAGCGGGAATTTCTGGTCAGCGCTATCGTAGAGCCCAAGTTGTGGGTCGTGAAATGGCAAGTTCATCTGCCTCACATTCGCTCTAATTGACCTGCGTTGCCCGTCGCTGATTGGGGAATCATGGCATTGCACAGCTCCGCAATCGATGTGGGTATTTTGATTTCTGGTTCTCGCATCTATCGAACAAGTGAGATAAGAATCTCACCCGAGAGCAGTCCGTGCCTTGGTAGAACCAGTAGCTCCAGGACGATCATCCGCATCCACAATCACTTTCACCTCTTCTGCCACTTGCATCGTCATTGAACGAACTGTGTCTATGGCCCAGCTATTAACGAAATGTCCAGGACACAAGCCGTCAAATCAGGTGATGAGAGCTTCTATATGAGGACAATTTCTTCTACATCCCTCGATATCCTCTAGATCAAAATATACTCCCCTTGTATTTCGGCTACCCAATATTAGCTACCTCATTGCATTCTCCTTCTACATTTTGCTGATTTGGTCTGTCGCTTGAGGATGTAGGCAAATGCATGAGACATCCGCCAGTCCAGGCAGATCAAGTTTGTTTTAAAGTAAGGATGGGAGTGCTTTCAGAGATTGGCAGTTAGGACCAGGTTTTTACCAGCACGGTCAAGTCTTACCTAGACTCGACTATCAGAAGAGCCAGCATATTGGGAAGACATTTATAGCTATTAGAGTCTTATGAAGAATTAATTGATTTGCATGCCTAGTTGATCCTTTCGGAGTCATCTTGTTATTTCCGCCTCTCAACTACTCAGTCATCACATTTACAAAAGCCGGGTTTTTTGTCTTTTCCATGTCAAGCGTGCGGACTTATGCGAACACCTGAGGTTTACTTGAGTGGATTTTACGATTACTGGGACGGTGGAATGATTTGTCCCGGCTCCAACGATGAGAACACAACCGCCCCGCCAAGTCCGCACCCTGGACCCTCATCACCAACCCGAGTTTGCCGAGGTATGGTCGCCTTGGTTGGGATTTTCTTTCTTTTTAGATGAAGCCTTTCCACGATGTTACAATTTGCGGAATTAGACTACCCGTTCATTCTGTAGTTGTTAATAATATCAGAAACTGGAGGCAAACAGCTATAGCAACAGATACTAGAAAAAAGGCTATAATGCAAAAACGTAGCGATAATAGCAGATCGGTGGAGATAATAACCTATCAAGTCATGGATCATCTTGAGGGTGGCAGACCGCATCCTTGTCTATTGTGGAGCTCGGCTTTACCATCTGCTTTCGTTGAGTCGTTGTCAACTTTTATTTGAGTCTGGTCCTTGTTAAGCTAGGCCGATGACCTATGAGTACTACTAACAGGCACGCATAGGATTTGAAGCCCGGGACATTCGTTAAATCCGAGTTGGAATCGCAGCATGCTTGAGTTCCAAATGCTGCAAACTTGTAATAATTATACCTAGGTAGGTTCCTGCGATGTTGAAGAGCGCCTAATGAGTGATACTGCATCTCATGCGAGTATTCGAGACCGACGCTTAGTAACTGGTAAAACGCAGTATCATACCTACTCAGGCACCCGTAGAACATACTCGTAATCATTTCGTACATGTACTTTGCTTAAAGTGCACATTGGTGGAGCTACTGTTGAACCACAACTTGCCAATCGGGGAATGTCTCCTGTTACCGGTCGGGTTGTATTAACTCCAGCTCACAATTTCCGTCATAACTGCGAGAGAGCTGAGACTAGGTTTCAAACGGTGTATAAATCAGATTGGCACATGGTTGCGTAGGCCCAAAGATGAAGAGGCAACTTTAGCCTGGAAAGTCCGAAAAATTTTCGCAATCGCCGATTAGCCACAAATCAGTGTGGCTCCCAATCAACGGAATGGGACAGTAGCTATTTGTCGTATTCACCACCTTTATTAATCAACCAAAATGGTGAACTATACGCTTGTGGCTATTGCTTTACCACCGTGTTGGAAGGCGTGGTCTTCAGGTGTGGGTGTCATCAAAAATGAGTGATGATACAGCCTGGTGTGAAAGTACTATCGTTTGAAACCTGTAAGGTGGGATCGCATATCCAGTTTATCGATGCTAGAGGCCCCTATGACATAATAGAAGCATCCGGAAGCGTAGAAGATATGAGGAGATCCAGTGTATAAAGACCAGCTCACTGCCAGTTGTCTCTGAACTCGAGCCAGATCGTAGCTTCACACAGACTTCATCAAGAATAACACCAAAAACAACTAAAACAACTAAAACAACTTTCAGTACCAAGATGTCGACTGACTATAAATTCGAGGGATGGATGGGAGATGATGCCGCTTCCGTCAAGGGCAACATGGTTTGGAGGGAGTTTCTGCCAAAGGAGTGGGAAGAGACTGATGTCGACATCAAAGTCACTCACTCTGGTATCTGCGGTTCAGACTTGCACACTCTGCGATCAGGATGGGTGGGTTGAGTCTTCAAACGTTCTCCACAGGGGCTTCCACCCGAACAACCATACTGACTCGAGACATCTTTAGGGCGCTACCGAGTACCCCTGCGTTGTTGGACACGAAATCGTTGGTGTTGCAGTTCGAGTAGGCTCCAAGGCTGAGGGTGATATCAAGGTTGGCGATATTGTTGGCGTTGGTGCTCAGAGTGATTCTTGCCTTGGCCGCGACGGACCTTGCTCGACCTGCGATGCAGGCCTGGAGCAGTACTGCGCTGGCAACGTCAACACGTACAATTCCAGACATCGCAACAACGGCAAAGCATATGGTGGCCACGCTTTGTATCACCGAGCTCCTTCTCACTTCGTCGTCAAAATCCCCAACGGCGTTGCCCTCGAGTTTGCTGCCCCTCTGATGTGCGGAGGCATCACCGTTTACTCGCCACTCAAGTTCCACGGCGCCGGTCCTGGTAAGAAGGTCGGCATTATCGGTGTCGGTGGTCTTGGACACTTTGCTGTGTTGTTTGCCAAGGCTTTCGGCGTTGATGAGGTTGTCGGAATCTCCAGGAGAGAAAGCAAGAGGGCGGATGCTCTCAGCTTGGGATGCGACGACTACATTGCAACAAGCGATGACAAAGATTGGGTTAAGAACAACAAGGAACGCTTTGATCTTATCATCTCAACCGCTTCTTCTGAGGATGTACGTTGCGCAGTTCCCCCTGCCCGTTACCCTTGTTCGGTGCTGACTTTTTGCGACTATTAGATGCCTTTGAATGAGTACCTGGCACTCCTCAAGCTCAACGGAACGCTCGTGCAGGTTGGCGCTCCGGAAAACCCCGTCCCTCTCCGACCTTTTGCCCTGATTGCTGGCCGCAAGAACCTCACTGGCTCAGGCATCGGCAGCCCGGGTGAGATTCGTGAAATGATGCAGCTCGCCGCTGACAAGCAAATCAAACCATGGGTTGAACTGCGACCTATGAGCGACGCCAACCAGGCTATGGTCGACTTGGAGGACGGCAAGCCTAGATTCCGATACGTCCTGGTAAATGAGTGGTAAAGAATAGGGCCATATGTCCAATATTCACTCGGATAGCAGAATTACCATCAGCAAAAGATGAAGAGACAGGTGGATTTATGAGTCGAAGGGAGATCAATAAGCGTTGCCAATTTGTTTAAATACCATAGAGAAAGAATGCATTGCACGTCATATAACAAAGACGCTGAGATTATAAAACTGAATGTTATGTTCCCATGCATATGGGAGCGGGACTGATAAGAAGGAATTATCCCTGTAGCCAAGGTATAACCATTTATGAAGCATATGTACACTCAGTTGAATCTAGCTATTAACTCAATACAAAAAACTAGCAATCCACACCCCCTTCTCTCACGAAGCCTACGATTCCACATCTGGCCTGCTCATGCCGACAGCCTTGACCAGTCGGACGACGGCAGAGCCTGTGACCAACGGTAAATTCTCTCATGACGCCGGCATAATGGAACAGATTCAGTTACAATTGACCTCTTCCGTAGCCCTAACTCCGCAGGCACACATCAAGCTGACGTGACTTGAGCTCCGTTGATATCAGCCGCTCCATCACGCCGCTCCTGATGGACGCCCACCAACATCTTTTCGGATCTAGCAATATACGTGCAGCGCGATAAAAATGAAAGAGAAAGACGAGGGCCCGCGAGTCCCCCCTCATCATCAGTTTAGAAAATGGTCCGCAACAGAGAATCGGAAATCCATAGAACAGCTGCTCAATATCCGCATCTTGAGGCACGATGCCGGTGTGTGCTGGTGTGTCTGATGCCGTTTTGAGAGATGCGTAGCACAAGAGAGGCGAAATGCGGCGTATGATGTTTTCGAATGATGAGCGAGCTGATTGAGATTCTAATGTGAGTGATGTATCGGGTTCGTCGACCGAAGTATAATTGGTAGTAATTCTTATAACAGCGTCCCTGATGTAGACCAGTTTCTTCTTTTCGTCACGGCCTTCCGACAATGACGGCGGAGCATGGGACACAGAGCTACGACATGACAGTTCCGTCTCCAGCCCGAGAAGAAGACGCCAAGCATAAGACGTAGGCCCACAGACAGATGTCTCAGTAGCTGTGCAGCCCCAAGTCTGATGGCGCGGATCATCCCAGATTTTCATGAACGGCTCTACAAAGCGTGCTGTATCCTCACCTTGTCTGACCAAGACCTCCTCAATGCTGAGTTTTGGATTCTGGTTTATAATTTGAGTAAAGACGCTTCCTTCGTCAATGAAGATAGGCATGGCCTGAAACCATACCTGGACGATACCTGGGCTGAGAAGAAACAGCTGGTCCTGGGCGAGATCCAGCCTCGCTTCGGAGTTGGTACCCTTTTCACCGTCCAAGAAGCCAAGGTCAAACCATGATATATAGTTGATGAGAAGGGCTGTCCCCATTAGTGCTTCGCAGTTATCTTTCGTCAAAGGGCGCGATAGATTTTTCCGAAAGAGCTGAACTGTCTTGGCCATTAGCCGCATTGACGCATGCGAGTATTTTGTCCTCTGCGGGCAAAGAGTTGTGAGATGCATAGCAGCAACACATAAGATGGCGGACATGATAAAATCCTCCTATAGCAAGTTAGCATAGGCCTTGCTCCTCAGGAAGAGGCGCTATTACGTTGAATGCCCGCTGCATGACAACGGGCCAAATTTGGGGAAACGTGAGCGTTGATCGGGTCTCTTTATCCCAGTGATGGAATAGCTCGAGATGCAAGAGGCTTATTTGCGGATCCATGTCCATCTGGAAATGGGCACTAGGTACAGAGAGACTTGGGGCAATAACATGTTGATGGAACGGCGGTAGGCAGCTGATGTTGCGCTTCACACAGCTGGAACATGGGACACGTTCATCACACTAAACTATTAGAGGCCTTCGATCTTATGGCATTCATTGGAAGCGCACCGCAACGACATACCTTGACCCTGCGTCGTTTGCATGCGACACACCCTCGCCGGCTTTTGTTATGGGGGCGCTTTTTGCGAACCTGGTCCATGACTCCGATGGTCTGGAGTGTTGGAACTTGGCCCGCATCTCGAGACACCAGGATGGTGTTGGCAAAGAGGGCAGGTGATGTGCTATTAGACATTGGATATCGAAAGGTTCGGATTGACGTGTTTGAGAGAACGAGGTGATGACCAGGAGATTGAGATGGGAGTAACGATTTTACCCAGTCATCAAGTGGAGCGAACTGAGCCTTAGAGTTCCTCGCATTCCGAATCGGGAATGCGAACGCCGCCTTGAGTGGTCGGAAGCCGGACTGTGGACCGAATGGTTACCGGATGAGGTAAACAAGTAAAAACGACTGCAAGATGGGATCGTATCGCAAACGAGCAGATGGATCCGAGAAGGAGTTTCAGTGTAGAAGTATCTCCTTCGTGCGATCAAGCGGTGTGCTGCGCCTTGATCCTGATTGCCTCTCCACGACGCAAGTTGTCTCTTATCCTGTGTATATAAGATGGATCTGTCGCCGTCAATTCCATCATCCAGATTTCATCCCCATCGCTTCATCTCCATCGCTTACATCAACATCTATTATACATCGCATCATTTCAAATGCAAAATGTCTTCAGTTCCGCCAGGAGGCCTCATCCTCGTTACCGGGGCTAGTGGCTACATTGGGAGCGTCACTGTCCAAGTTTTCTTGCAACGCGGCTACCGTGTTCGCGGCACTGCCCGCTCTGTTGCCTCGAATGCCTGCATGAAGGAGTATTTCGGTCCCAAGTTCGAACTTATCGAGGTGCCTGATCTTAATGCCCCTGATGCTTTCGACGAGGCAATTGAGGGTGTGGATGGCGTTGCACATATCGCTATGGACATGGATATGGACCCGCAAAACCATGCTATCATCGAAAACACGATCAGATCTAACTTGCAACTTCTACAGGCTGCTGCAAAAGAGTCCAGCGTCAAAAGTGCTGTTATAACATCGTCTCTGGCTGCGTGTGCCCTCCCCACAACCGGCACTCCTTATAAGATCGACCCAAACACCTGGAATACTGCAGCCATTGAGCAAACGGTCAATCCGTGGAATGGCGAAGGCAACCCCCGTTGGCACGGACTTGTTCTCTACGGAGCTTCCAAGGCACGTGGTGAACAAGAAGCATCTGCTTGGATGCGCGAACATAAGCCTGCTTTCTCCTTCAACACAGTTGTGCCGAATGTGAACTTTGGCACTGCGATATCCCCCGAGAACATGAGTTATCGCAGTAGTTCGGCAGTGATTGATGCTGCCGTTAAAGGCTATCTTGCCGCACCATCAATTCTACCACCTCAGTGGTACGTTGACGTTGAAGATACGGCACTGCTGCACTTGGGCGCCTTGACGCTCGATGACGTGAATGGCGAACGTCTGCTGGCATTTGCAGGGAAATATTCGTGGACACAGATTCTTGAGATCCTTCATCGGCGGTATCCAGACAAAGTAAAACTGAAGTCAGTTGATGAGCCAGTTGTGGACGCCGGCGAAGTGGACAATGGGCGCAGTATCGAGGTACTGAAGAAGATGGGCAAGAAAGAAGGGTTTACGTCTTTGGAGGATACTCTCGTCAAGGCTTTGGATATAATTCTTGCAAAGCAGTCCAAGAATGTGCCTAAAACGAGGATAGATCTCTATTACGATTCTCTCGTCAGCACACCTACCGAGGATAAATGAGAACAGTTCAACTGCATCATGTAAGGGGTAGAGGATTAGATATCTGTATTAACACTACGACAAGATACTGTGTTTTTTAATGAATCTAATCAAGACCAGGGGCAGCGACGGTGATAATGGGGTCGGTACCCTGCCATGTCATTAGATTCCGTGTATATACAGCCCGATCCCATCACTGCTGATAGCCTAATAATTGACAAACTGTGGGTGACTCCCGAGAGCTTCATCAGTGATTCCATAACACAAATTGTTTATTAATCTTGGCTAGTTCAAATAGCAGAAGCAATGTTGTGTGTTTGACATTCTCACAGCATTTGCGGGTATGTAGAGCGACTTTGATTTAGTACTGATCATTCGTTTTAGTTCATGGTGAATTCCAACTATCTACAGCAGATGCCTTCCCCTCCTCCTACCAGGAGCTTTCAAGTATAATATATCACAACATTATTTAATTTTACATCTATTTCTCATGGCTATCAAGTTTGGTCATCTATAATCCTGACGCGGTACGTACCACCTGTAAATGCAACAACGTCAAATTTAAAGCTGGCGGTTAGTATTGGTCGGTTGTAAGGCATATAATGAACAACCTAGAACACAAACGCTGATTTACTATTCATAAAGATGCAAAGATAAAACAACATCATACACTAATGGAAGCATTAAAGATATTTACAACGTGCAATTGCAATGACGGGAGCTAAGGGACAAAATATTCACGAGGAGTTCGAACTGCAGGAGATTATAATCCAGTTTATTTACAAGAATCATCAATCGGCTATATACGTTAAAGCATCTCTCAAAGCAAACTCGCTGCAGGAGTCAACCAAGGATAGCTATTCATTATCATCAGGCGAAAGTGAAAACCCGTAGCTATATACAAGTCTGCTGAGTGCTAATTTAGCAGTGGGCAGGGTTGCTGGGGTAGACGTGGTTGGTGTTGCAGGTGTTGGGAGCAACGAAGAGAGGGGTGGCTAGCAGAGCACATTAGTCATTTTGGCAATTGAAGGGAGCGTGAGTTAGAAGCATACTGTCAACACCGTAGTTGGTGGGAGGGTTGCGGACGATGGAGTAGCGACCACCGAAAGTCAGGTTGTTCTCGCAGTTGATCTGGTTGTTGCCGCCGTTGACCGAGTTGGAGCCAGTCCAGATATCAATGTGAGGCTGGCCATTCTGCCAGTCAGTTGTGCACTGTGCGCAGGTGTCCTCAACACGACCATACTTGGTCAACAGAGGAAGGTAAACGATCTCGCAGTTGTTCAGCTCGCCAGGAGCAGTGGCGATGGTAATAGGGTCGGCGTAGGTTCCGGTACCTGGTCACATCTTTAGAATTTGTTTGTCTGCTTCAAAACCGACTAATACTGACCACCAGCCTTGCCGTTGCGGCCTCCGCAGTTAAGAGCGGTTGCTGGGCCGGGCTATAAGAGCATTAGACAGACGTCAAAACAAAGATTACAAGGTAAATCTTACAGGAGAGTTGTCTGGGTAGCCGTAGAAGGTAACGATGTAGTTGCCGGGAGTTGAGCAAGCCTGGCTGAAGCCGGCGAGGACGGCGGTGGTGATGATGGCGGCGACGGACTTCATGGTGGCGATTTGGTCAAACTTCTTAGGTAGAAGGCTGAGAATGATTGAGTACAAGTGACTTAAGATATGGAAGATTCAGAAAAGAAACAAGGGCGAGCGGCAAGCGCCTTTTATCTATCTTCAGATGTATCTTGACCTTGGGCCCATCTCCTGACTCCATCAAAGTAGAAGTTGTATAGCACGACAACCGGATCCCGGCATCCCGCCATTGGATCGACGGACCGATAGCACAGTTTCTCATTGCACTAGCGACGAGTTTCCTCGTCAAGGATACGTAAACAAAAAGGTAATGTCCTAGAGTAAAACGTTGCAGAGCGCCGCTACTCGGATGTGGCTGGCTCTTGATTGCTTCAGCTTCTTGTTTGGGAAATGGGAACGGAGAGCCTAGAATGCTTCCGGGCGAATTTGATTTGTGGATTTTCCAAACCCCAGATCTGCGCCCCTGGCTAGCTACTTATTTTCGTTCTACTACTGCTTGTTTGTGTCGTGGCACATACTCGCAGTGTTGTAAAAGCGAGAGAGACCGAGCTATGGAAGACTCAAGCTAAGCTACGGTTGGAAGCTACAAGAATCCGGTAGTCATGGTGAGCATACAAATGCTACCTCAGGCTGTTGTAGTTCTATACGAGTTCAAGGTTGTGTTGTTTGCATGCATATGTTACCTGTAGCCTCATGTCAGGGATTGAAACGATTAGCTAGGAGGTGCTGCAGTCAGCTGGAATGGACTTCCGTTTTACTACTACTTCATCGAACCAGCTCTGCATACTCGCAGCACAAAAGAAGAAACATTCACGAGCAGCCTACGAGTATGCTGAGTATACAGTTAAGCTGTTCTAGGGTCCCCCATGAAACCTGGACCTGTACATGTACAGCTTTCCTTTTTTTAGCGCTAAAGGAAACCTGTACATGTACAGCTTTCCTTTTCTTAGCGCTAAAGGAAAGCTGTACACTAACCCATACAGTATATTTTTCTTCCAAAACTTACCGATGCAGATGAGGATTCCCATTAATGACCGCTCTGGTCGACAATCCAGCAACACCTTCACTCCCTACGGTCGTTCCGGACTAGATTGCTCCCGGCGCTATAAAATACAGTGCGAATCTAATAGTGCACGTACTGTATAGACATGTACAGCTTTCCTTTCGCGCTAAGAAAAAGGAAAACTGTACATGTACAGGTTTCCTTTTACGCTAAGAAAAGGAAAGCTGAACATGTACAGGTCCAGGTTTCATGGGGGACCCTAGAACAGCTTGTCTTAGTACTCGAGTATGCTCGGGCCATGCATGCATGCATAACAGTTAGTTTGCGGGATATTGCGGATACAAAACAAATGAAGCAGCAAGCACTCTTGATGTCGATGATTCGCCTTTTCCGGCACGGATATGTCATAGACTACTACTAGTATGTAAGAGCGCAGGTGTTCCCCTATTAGTAAGTAGGATCAATTAGCGTATATTGGGATTCATGCGATTCAGCAGACATCTCTTTCGCAGAGTTTATTCAACTCCGAAGTGGGGGGAGTGACTTGTTGCATGTTGATTAATTTGCTTCCAGCATAGGCTCACGGAAAACAAGCTGCGAGTCAGCTTCCTTTGGGAACTTCCAATGGACGCTGTCAAGGCCCCTGGCCATGATCTCCATGCCAAGATGAGAAGCCGAGTCGGCCGCTATATCGACAGGGTGACAGAATCCTTCGGTGGAGCTCAAAGAACTCCTTCCCGCCTGTCAGCCCTTGGACAAATGCTGCACCAAGAGTTTAGTTCAAATCTAGATAAAGACGGTGAGGCATAATTACTGTTTAAAGTCCGGACATGTTTCCGCGGCATTGCTGGCCCTTGGATCCATTTCTAGCTTGTAGGTGATTGGACCATGGTAGGCTTTCCCTGCCTCAGCCTAGGTTTCAGCAGAGAACCTCGGCGGACGGCAGCTGAATCCTGGAATAAGCATACGAGTACTCATTCTCCGAGTTGTGAAGCCCATCTATTCAGGTGCTGCCAACACGTTGTTATTCAACTTGGTGCTCAAAGAGTGAAAGCAAAAGACGACCGGCTACCCACGGCTTTGCATGCATGTACTGTATGTACGGAGTACATGGATGCGTGTCACATGTTGGACGCATTGTACGAGTACGCCTGATGCTGAGCCCGACACTTCACCACAATCGTCAATAGCAATTTTCCTATTTCGTGTTGCTTCCTAACCTCTCAAGATGGGCAAGCGAGAAAAGCACAATTCCACCTCCCTCGTTTTCCCTCCGTCCATTTTTATCGGCCCGGTCTCTGCAGCCTCATCTATCCAATTGCTGCAGATAAAGTCGATATCGCATGTCTTGAGCATTGGCGCTAGCCCATCAAGTAAGGTCCCAGGAGTTGTTTACGGCCGCGTAAGCATTACCGACTCTCCTTCTTCGTCAATTGCCAAGATTTGTGACACCGCTTGCGACATCATCGAGACGGCGCTGCAGTCAAACAACAGCTCGGGAAGGATCTTGGTACACTGCTCTGCCGGCATATCACGCTCTCCAGCAGTAGTTACGGCATACCTGATGAAGCATCACAACATGTCGTTGAGAGCGGCTCTGGGTCAGATTGTTCGCGCTCGTCCACAAGCATCGCCCAATCCGGGGTTCTTACGAGAGCTAAGAGATCTCGAACTCCAGTTACGTGGGGTGCCATCTTTGGACGTAGACGAGTTGCCGAAGCGGGAAAGGGAGAGGTTGGCTCTTTTCCCTGTAGATGACTCTGAGGGTGGAGAGAGCGGTTTGCAGGATTATGCATAAATAAACATATTAATTCAGCGCTACCCTAAACTTAGATCTATAGTTAACCAAAGAAGAAAAAACATGAAATACATAGTATAAATACACTACTTTCTACTGCACCAGATGTAGGTGCCTCAGAGGGAAAGGAAGCTTCCAGAGTTTGAATGGGTGCCTAGCTATTAAATAATAACGAGCTCGGACATAATTTCTTTTGTCATGTGCCGGAAGAAGACGGTGATAGTAGTGGATCAAAGGTACTTGCTTTACGAGTACATCTCATGATGACTCTAGGTAGGTGGTATTAGAGTCGCCGGGATGTCGGATATCCACTCCAAACAAAAGAATCGATCAGTAGTACAGCGCCTTTTGCCACCAATCACATCTTTCGTTCGTCGTTGGATCGCGAATAACGGAGTAAGCGTTATCCCGCAAGTTCAGAATAGAATCCTTCTGGCCGTATGCAGGAATCGAGGCGCCGTGAGCCGGGGGCTTGATCGGGGAGCCATTGTTGACAAAGCCAGCAATGATATCCCACATAACGCCCGAAACTTGGCTGGCCGCAGCTGTCGTCGGTCCTGAAGGGAAGAGATAACGTTGGTCAGATCCATGGATCGCTGGCCAGATGGAGTTTTGAAACGCGAATGCAGCCACGCCTTGTTTTTGCGCAGCCTTGACCATTGCGTTTTGGTTGCAGAAAATTGAAGCTTCGGCAATGACCAACTGCGCTCGCCCCAAAGAGTTGGTGTACGGCATAGATCCATCATATTTGGTAGGGTAAAGCGTCTCAAAGATAAAATCGGCATCATCGCCTGATAACGTGGTGAAGATGTCTTGAATCTGCTTCCTGAATAGCGTGTCGTCGTTATAGGCAGCAGGGTCGGTGAACAGCACTCCCTCATTGGCGTTGAAAGTGGAAATGATCTCTATATCCTTGGCAAACGCGCCTTGGAGAAACAACTTTGAGGGCATTCCCGGCACAAAAGCTCCGTCAACCGTTGGACCATGTACAAAACCGCCATAGGGAGCAGCGCCGACTTGCTTTGCATTCGCAGCTATCAGCTTTGCTGAAGGCAAGGCCCGCGCTTCAGCCAGTGTCGTAACATTAAGAAGCTCGAGGAACCCATCGAACGCTTGCTCTGCTTTCTTATTTCCAGGTACTGGAACAAGGCCGGCCGACTGGGGGATAGCTCGACGAAAGGGAGCAGGCTTTTGCCCGCCATAGGCCGTGATCTGGTGCATGATCGATCCGCCACCAGCAGAAACACCCATAACAGTTACGTTATCGGGATCGCCTCCGAACAAGTGGATGTTCTTCTGAACCCATTCAAGTGCAAGCCTCTGGTCTAAGAGCCCAGCGTTCGCGACGCCACCTTGCTCCAGAAACGTGGGGCCAGAAAGGAATCCAAAAGCGCCAAGACGATAATTCATAGCAACCCAGATGGCGCCGTCGCTACTCTTTGTCTGAGTTGCAGCCATAACACCATCTGGGACCCCCATCATTGTCTTGTCCCCAAGGATATATCCACCACCCTAGTCAAAGTTTCAGTCTAATGTCTAATGTAAAGGGTCGCAAAACGGCAGTGCTACTCACATATATCCATACCAAAACCGGGGCCCCTTTGCTACCCTTACTACGCTTTGCATCGAATACCTTTTGGGGAACCAAAACATCGAGAACAAGACAGTCTTCTGTAGTCCGACCATCAGGCGCCTGTGGCGGTAGTTGGGAGAGCAACTCTTGTGTTTGCGTCACGTTGAATGATGACGTTTGGTTCGCAGTAAAGGCTGTCATGAAGACTGAGGACATTGCCAGCCAATTGGGAAACGCCTGTGGGCAAACTTTGCCAACGCTTCCATCTTGAATGCCCGATTTACGTCCTTTGGGTGGAACCGGTGCATTGAACCTGAGAGAACCTAGGGGAGGCTCTGCAAAGGGAATGTTTGTGAAGTTGTAAGCTTTGATAGTTTCCTATGAGGACGGTCAGCAACGCTCCCGCTACGTAAAACTCTATCTTAAAGTCTTACATCGAATGAGATTGCTCGGTGGACTTGATATCCAAGGTCTACCGTCGGTAGCGGTTGCTTATGAACGGTGGTGCCATTGACCAAAGCTAGCCAAGAAAAGAACGGTAGTGTGGATTTCATGGCGGATTATTTAAAGTCTTATTCAGTGTTAAGAGAATTATAGTTGTCGATTGCAAGAGTATCTAAAAGGCAAGAGGGAGAGTCCCATATATACATGGAGATGCTCCTTGTTTCGTCATTGAGATTTTCCAATAGACCAAGGGCCAATTCAATAATCCAATCCCTCCGCATCCCCTGAGCTGAAGAATCGGAATTAAGGTGAGTTCTGGATTCCATGTTGTGTCATCGCGAGTTACTCGGAAGAGTAAACAGGCCTCGGCATGAATTGAATAATGTGGGAATTACCCCAAGAAACAGCAGAAGGGGCGGAGTTTGTGTATTTTAGAGTCGCGGCGCCTCCTGTTCACTAGACCTTTTTTCGAAAAAAGTTGTCAGCGGTCAGCCGCTTTTACCCTTTCTGGATGCGGACTCCCAATAAGCTTGATGCGGAATACTTGATGACAGCGCAGATCTTAGGAGAAGGACAAAATAACTCCATGTTTACACGGGGAAAGGAACATCGTGATTATTATTTGGAGGCGTCTCATTCAGCTTGATGTCCGCAATTAATTTTGTGTGTCATTGATGCGGAGCGGCGACCATGCTGCGGATACTCTGAAAACCGCAAACGTGCCATGACTATTGAATCGGCTGAACAATTGGTAAAGTAGAGAGCAAAGAATGGGGGAGCAGCAGAGGAGAAGAGGAGAAAAAAAGATAAAATTTTGACGAGACGAAAGGAAATGATACAGATGCACTCGGCCATTAGCATCTCCGCTGAAACTGAATTCGGTCTATTTTGTTGTCTCTTTTTACAACGCTGCAGCAGAGAAAGTAGTAAATGCAATAGTGACATAACCTAGTCTTGGCTCTATTAGTGCTAATATAAATGAAAGCAATGCTGCCGAAAGCTTTTACATTTCATGTTATAGTGTTTGAACCGCAAGTCCCGCATGTGGCACCCGTCATCTCGACATTTTTGATACGCATTTGCATGTATCAACGTCTGAATATGAAGGCTGACGTATTGGTGAATGCCAAAGTTGATACCCTATACTGGGAGATTGGCGGGAGCATGAGCACAGGTTGTCATTCCCGAGGTAGCAGTCCAAAGTGAGATTCTCAGTATATATGCAAGAAAGAAATTAACAAATCATGGGGGGATAATTTTATTTTATCTCATCCATTCTTCTTCAAATAGAAGAAGAAGAGAAGTAAACCGTACCTGTGTTTTTGTCTTGGGAGATTAATAATCCATTGATGATATCTTGCAGAAGCATAATCCTGCTACATGATTGGTTATACATTCGGGTTTACCTCGGGTGGACTTTGCAGCCGGTGTTACTCTTCCTCTGTCTTCAAGTTGTGCTCGCCTCTATCATCCCTTCGCTCAACGACTCCATCCTTTGAGTAATTCCGTTCTAGCCGTTGAGTGACATTCTGAGAAAATTTCATAACGTATAGAATTTGCCTTTCTTCAGTAAAATGGGACTCACTAGCTAATGGGAGGCAACAATGGCGGATGGTTGTCCCAATACTGGAAAATGCTCCGCATACCGTATTTAACGAAACACGTACTGTAGGTCTTCTGTGTAAAACTTCTCGGATTTAATTACTTTATTCGGCAACAGTCATTCACTACTTCTTCCCGTCTTCTCGATAGCTTCCAAATTCTCTGGGATCCGTACAGTACGCTCATACCAGTCGCGCTTAAGAGGCCTCACTTCAATTCAACCGCCTTGAATACCCACCCTTAACAAGGCGCTGCTCGAGTGGCGTTGGCACTGTAATCGGTTCTGCCGAATGAGGAGCCATGCCAGACATGATGTCTCTGGTTCGGGCAAGAATGGCCAGGGGCAAACGCCACGGGGCGCCTGTCAAGTCACCAAAAGGCTCAATGAGAGTCGCAAAAAATTTGCTCTCGGTGAATGGAGTTTTTGCAAGAACAAGTGCCACTTCTTGTCTATTTCATCACGCAGGCAATGATGCGGAAGTGGAAAATTTTCCATGTACTGTGGCAACGTCGGAGATCCGGACATGCCTCATACGTGTTGTCAAGCGCATGTTGCCAGTATAATCTGTCATGATCGGTGATAACGTCAACAAGTTGCGATGTAACTGGGAAGAAGTGGAAAGAAGTGGCTCGAGCAGATATTGCATCGTCTAACACCGGCAAGTAACGCGATCTCCCGAGAATCTGTAACAATGATCGATTTCGTGCTCAGTACCCCGGATTCTTTACACAGAGGTTCCCTGTCTGATCGTCGTGAATACGAGGGCGGCCTCGGGCCTCGTTGCATTAGCCACTCCGGTACCCTCGGTCCGCTCTCTACCCCAGTATGGATAACAAATTCCCGAATCTGAGTAGACCCTGTCAATCCGGGGCTAATAAGACTGAAAACTTTGATTCTGTCCAGGCGCCTGAACCTTCTGAGATCACTCGGAGTAAGCTGAGAATTTCGTTAGGGTGTATGCTTACGAATGTCATTCTCAGAGAAACAGTATATTGATCATTGTGATGCCATGGAAAGGCGTAGCTGTCTATCCAGCTCGAGGCGCCAAACTTCCCCTTGCTACCTCTCAATCCAGAAGGCGCCATCGCCGACCATTGTCCTTCAGGCCCTGCCTAATTGAATGGATGACTCGCTCACAATGCAAATGTATGATTCGTGTTCCCGATTCGTGTTACCGACCCAAGACCGATAACCCCATTTGTTCGGTATCGGAGAAAAAAATCAGGGGAGCCCATTTAGCCAGGAACAAATGACTGAGAGCGCCTCTAATTCGATAACGTTGACGCCTCGCGCAGGATTGTGGGATTCACCAACACCGATTCGCCAGCTGTACATCCACTTGTCCATTCTAGTGGCCTTCTAAACGCCACTGCACAGGTTGACATAGAAAGATTCTGGACCGCCGTTCAGGAACATTCAGTGTTGGGTGTTGGTGACATGGTACTAGTATGGATTGGATATACAATGTCATGAATAACACCCCTTCTATGGCTACATAGTTTTTCTGTTGATAACACCGTGATTAATTTGCAGAAAAGGGAAGATTATAGGGGCAAAAATGTTTAGCCTAGATGACATATATGTAAAAGGTTGACTTATATGGCTCGTGGAAGCTGTGGTAGAATCAAGGATAGATATTCCACGACAATTGACAGGCGGGCGATTGCGACATTTTCCCCTTTCATCCCACGTGGATTTCACGCTACAAGGACCGTTTGTATCCACTGTCAACGAGTCGGCTTCAGGCCGGACCTTGATGTGGGAAAGACCCTTGGGGTGGCGTTTTTAGATTGGCCTCGACGCTACCAAGGGGTTTATGCCGGGTATGGCTTTCGGCGTCCCTCTTCGCATGTCGGCTTTCTCATTGTTACTGTATTGCAGTCCTCCTCTCGGCGCTTTTATTTGCCATGATGAGAGAAATTTTTTCTTCTTTTTTCATTCTAAAAGATGGCGTTTGCCTTCTTGCTTCAGCACGGATCGTGCGAGGACGACATTTTCCGCTAGGAGAATGTAGGCATCAATAGAGATGGATTCATGTATAAAAGACAGAGCACTTTCCTCCCTCTCAGGCTGTTTTCATTTTCCTTCATCAAGTCATTCTACTTCCATTCCTTTACTTAATCACTTTCCTTCAAACACTCCTTTCTTTCTAAATTCAACCATTGATACCCTCGGTCTCAAGGAGTCCATTCTCTCCTTTTCTTCCATATATACATCTCAATCAACACTTCAAAATGTTCGCCAACATTGCTATCATTGTTACCGGCCTTGCCGCCGTCGGCACTGCCCTCCCCGCTGCCAGCAGCGCAACCAAGCGTGGCATCGCAGACAAGTACACCTTCTACCAGGGTGACGGATCTTCTGCCGCCGGCTGGCCTTCCCAAGATTCTTGGGGCACCTGGGATGAGCTCTGGGATGCCAACGTTCCCCTCATGCAAAAGTCCTGCGTCTGGAATGGCTGGGTCGGTGATGACTCTGATTCCGAGATTCAGGATATCGCCAACGCCATCAAGTCCACTGCCAAGTCCACCGGTATCGATGAGCGCTTCATCCTCGCCATCATGATGCAGGAGAGCAAGGGCTGCGTCCGAGTCCCGACTACCAACAACGGTGTCACCAACCCCGGTCTCATGCAGTCCCACAACGGAGCCGGTAGCTGCTTCGGCATCAGCCCCTGCCCCTCATCCACCATCAGCCTCATGATCAACGACGGTGTTTCTGGCACATCCGAGGGCCCTGGCCTTGAGAAACTCCTGTCTGAGGCTAAGGGAAAGGTTAACAGCGATGGTAGCCAGGCCTACTATGCCGCTTCTCGTCTGTACAACAGCGGATCTGCTGATTACACCAACCTCGACAACGGCCTCGGTAGCACTGCTTGCTACGCTTCTGACGTCGCTAACCGTCTCACTGGTTGGACCCTTGCTACCAGCACCTGCCACTAAATGGCTTGATATCTCATAAGCATGGCTTAGAGGTCGCGTTCTTTTGTTATTGAGATTTATATATGGGCCTTCTTTCATCCGTATATAAATTGTCCAACTATACACCATTAAAAATATTCTTGTACATAGATTTTAAGAGAACCTGCCTACACTCGTTTGACACGACAGGCTTGAATACATATTGCGCTTAGATCTGGCGCATATTTCAAATCTTATAAACACACAGACTGCTCAATCCTTGTGATCGATCCATCCTATGCTCGAGTGGCCTAAACTAACAACACTTTGGCTAGGAAGCCACGCACGTCGCCAATTTTCCATTCTCTACTTCTAATGGCCTCTTTGCCGACATATCGTATGTGACATAGATCATAGCTAAGATCTAAGCGTAAACTTGACTCATCCAAGCAATAAGAAAACGAAGCACTCATCAGAGTAAAGTTCCACATGTGATGGGACAGTGTGGATATTGTATGAATACCTAGTAGTTTCATTATGCGGATACATCAAGTGGAGACTCTCTTTGCTAGATGAATAACAAGTTGGCGAGAAAGCGAGATCAGCCCACCACGAGTCTAGCGGAGACTATTTCGCGCAAACAATGCCCAACTGACCGTGATCCCGCTCATCTTGTTGGTTGGGTAAATACGTCTGTGCCACTAGTTGTATTACACGGCCCTCAAAACTAGTTCTCTCAAAAGCGACCTAGCAATCCAACGGTGGCTGGCTCAGCTAGGCTAACTGCAGACAAGCTCAAGAAGATGGCGAACGTGTATCCGCATTTGTCAGCCTTGATTACACAGTACACCTTCTATTCACCGTCGGTGAGATGGCGAAATCACGGGTTTGGAGCTAGCCGTCCGAAGCCGGGCTTCTATCCGGTTGTTGGCACTCCACGGCGGGTGTTCAAGTGAGCCTAGCATAAGTGTAGTAGAGATGCGTCGTGACTATGAAAAGGAAGTGGTAAAACATTTCCGGTGAGTTCTCATTCTTTAGTCGAGTAAGCTATCCAGTTATTGAATTCATTCAGTTATACTTTTCACATATGGCAGGCGTCGTCAATCATCTCCTTGCATATCTCGTCCATGAAAAACAACGCTGATATGTGACCTCCAGGCAACAACTTGAGCCTCGCACACTTATAGTTGGCTACAAGCCAATCGTTAGTCCCTCCCCCGATGTAGTCCTTCCTGGACCCCACAACTAACACAGGCTTTGAAGAGTGCTCTGCGTCTAAAGTACGGGGATCAAACCCCCAGTCAGAATGAATGATGTCGGATACTTCCATGAAGCCATCCCAGTTGTTGCAGCATTTGACCGTGCGTTCTGCCATTTCGCTAATAACCGTATGTTCTGTGAAGTCGTTCTTTTGCAGCCATTCGTCAAATATTTGTTTCTCCTCGTTATCCATCTTGTTGAATATGGCTTCTTTGAGAAAATGCGTCGCGCCGTCGATAGAGTGCAGCTTAGATCCGATGGCAATCTTGAACAGATGCTGTAGTAAGCGAAATGGGATAATCCTAGTTGGTGGCCCAAAAGAAAACCAATTATGCCAATTAATTTTCTTTGCGTATCCTACATGGTACTTGAGCGGAGAGAAGCCGCTGAGCAAAAGACAGCCGACAATTTTTCGACCAAAGGGAAAGAGATCATATGGTGCCCCGTATAGCATTTGCGCTTGAATAGTGCCGTATGAACCACCTGCAAGATATAGAGCATCAAAATCGCCCGTAGGATAAAAGTGACTTAGAAGTGCATTCATATCGTTGGCCAAAGTGACCTGGTACGGCAGTGAGTGATCGCGATTGCTTGAATTCCCCATGCCAGAGAGTGTTGGGGAGATCCAGAGAGCCTGTTTCTCACGGAACGACTCAGGGACGTGAGCAGCTGTGCCGACACTCATTATTCCCACAAAGAATATGACAACGGTTCGGGAAGTGGTAGGACCGTTGTAAGTGTAGGCCAACTGTCTGCCTCCTGGCAGAAGAAGAAGGTGTTCTTCATCTCCATTGGTTTCGTCATATCCCTGACTAGTGGTTGACTCATTCAAGGCCATTTCAGTATAGAGCAAATAATAGGGGCATTTGGTGTCGACAGTCCAGCGAGGTTACTGATCACCAAGAAAGAGGTCTTTGAATCGTGTGAATTAACCTAAACTGTGTTTGAGAATGATGAAGAATAATTTACTTTCGACATAGAAGATAATCACGCTGAATTTAAAGAATTCCCGGTTGGCCCCCTCGTGATCCGCTGTATGGTCACTTATCGGCAATGAGAGGCTAAGTATCGTATTCATCGGGTTATGAATTTTCATGTAACCTACCCTGCGTTAGCTCGGTCGGCATTCATTTTATAAGCCAGATTTCATGCAACTAAGCCTCAAATCCTTCTGCGCTCTGGCAAGATGAATTAAAATTATTTTCGGCCATTTTCGGGGGATCTCGACCTTGTCTAATTGTTCCTTGTGAGTGCATGCTCGCTGACGGCCACGATCACCAGACGAGATATTAGCATAGCGCTAAGAAAAGAATGCTATGAATATTTATCAATTTGTAAATGCAGTGCTTTTGAATGACCTAGAATACAATTTGTGGCTTCTCAACGAAGCTAGTTACCTAGTTGGACCAGCCTTTCGGTCCTCCCCAGGTTCCCTTCACCATGTGGTTATAGTAAACCCATGGGAAAAAGTGCTTCTTCAAGTAGTAAAAGGATCTCCGAGGAACTGCCTGGTCAATACCAAACCAGTCACCAAAAGTCTCTTTTGGTACTCCCCCATACTTGAACTCAGCAAGGAGGACCTTGCCGTACTCCGTCAATAGAGGACACGAAGCATATCCATCATAGGTTGCTTCAGCGGCTTTGCCCTCCATAATTTGCAACAGATTATGAACCAGAACGGGTGTTTGCGAAGTAATGGCGGCCGCAGTCTTGGATGTCGGAAGACTGGATGCATCACCGGCGGACCAGACATTTGGGTATTTCTTGTGCCGAGTTGTGCCGTCGTCAACATCAACATAGCCAGCCTCGTTCGCCAGAGCACTGCTCTTGACAAAGGCATGAGGGCCCATTTTGGGCACAACGTGCAAAAGGTCAAACTGCTTTGTGACGGCCTCCTTTCCATCCGGCAGGGCAAAAGTGGCCTTGTTGCCGTCGATGGCAATGAGATCGTGCTGGAATAATCCCTCAACTCCTCTGTCCTTACGAAGCTGCTCCAGGGCGGCGTTATACTTGGCAACGCCGAACATCACAGGCATTCCGGTGGCAAAGCCGATTTGGATGGCAGAGCCGGAGGGATCGCCGGGGTCATACAGTCCCGCGCGTTTCCAGTAATCAAGAGCGAGCCACAAGATCTTTTGAGGAGCGCCTGCGCACTTGATGGGGCCTGCAGGCTGAGTGAAAATGGCAGTGCCCTTCTGAAGTCTCTGAATAGTGTCGTATGCCTTGTCGCAGGTGTCGTAGTTGTAGATAGTTGAGACGGAACTTTTGGAGTCTGCTAGAGCCTCGGAGAGGCCCTTGACGCTACCATAGTTGATGGCGATGCCGGGTACAACAACCAGCTGCTCATACCCAACCTTGTCGCCGTTGCCCAGTGTAATTGAGTTGTCCTCAGGAGAAAACCCGGCAACACTGTCATTATAGAACTTGAACTTGGGGTCAACAAGACTGTTTAGAGGCCTTCGCAGCTCTTCCTTGGTCTTGAGACCACCGCCCACGAGGGTCCACCCAGGCTGGTAATGGTGCCACGTTGCGGGATCAACAACAGCAATGTCATCCTGGGAGAATTTGCCAGATCGAAGGAGCTTATGGCTAATATCCAGGCCAGCCGTACCGCCTCCAATTACAACAATTCGATGACTCCGGCCAGGAGAGACACTGGAAACAGTTGCAAAGCTCCGAGAAGCGACGGCAGAGCTCGCGGAACGGCTAGCAGCTCGGCAAGCTAGAGACACTGAGAGTGCTTGGAACATGATGAAGATGAAGGATTTAAACCACGCCGGAAGAGAGCAGGTAACTAGAACAAAAGCAAACCACCCAAAGAAAAAAAAACAAGATGAGAATAAGCCCAGTAAGAAAAGTATCCAAGAAACTTAAAACTCAAGCCTCATCAAAAGCTCTGCAGGCTAGGATGAATAATCACCGATCGCGCAATCGACTAACCACCGCGAGCCGTCTCCAATCACCGACTTCCGGCCCTCATCAGATGCAAGGGATCCGAGGATTTACCGGCCGCCCGTAGCGACGAGCTGAGAACGTGGCCCAAGATCCGGCCCCAGGCCAAGAAACCATCTTCCGGCCGGAACTCGGTGGCGGCGCTGACGGGATCAGCATGCTTGCAAGGCTCGCCGACCTCGTGCGTGGCTCGCCGAACAGACGGAGCAACTCGGACGTGATGTGGCATGACCTCAGCTTTCGGGCTTCAGACACGGCAATTCGATTCTAGGTTATTAAACACGTCCCCGTCACTGCCGGGCTCTTGAGCTGCCTCTTGCGCTGATGCAAGGGAAAGACAAGGAGGACGACAAACAACCATCGCAACACGGGCTATAAAACATCCAGAATGTCTCTTCGATCTCGAATTCCGGGCTGCAGAAAGCAGTTGGCGGCGAGCTTGAATCTCACTCCAACTTCGGCTAGGCGTCCTTTATCACATACCAGATGCTTCAGCAACTGCAACGTTCGCCCCCTTGTTCAGAACCGCAGACATTCATCATTCCGCTTTAGGGCAACATCGAGCAGCACGGCAAGTGTTGGCAAACCTCAAGGCTTAAGCACATTCAGAAACATGTCGTCCACCACAGCGTCTCAAAAGACCATGGAGCCCATCATTCATGACGTGTTTGAACAAGATACTGGCACGTGGCAGTATGTTGTGGTTGACCCGTCGACGCGCATCGCTGCCATCATTGATCCGGTATTGGACTATGATCGCGCAACTCAAGGCATCACCACACGTACTGCCGACTCATTGCTAGCCCTAGTCAAGGAGAAGGGATACAAGGTCGACTGGGTATTAGAAACCCATGTCCATGCAGACCATCTCACCGCAGCATCATACCTGCAGCGCCGCCTGGGCCAGGAGCAGGGATATAGTCCATCCGTTGCAATTGGCAAGCGGATTGGTCAAGTGCAAAAATTCTTCGGCAAGCGATATGGAGTTCCAGAGGAACAATATGGGGTCGTCTTTGATCATCTTCTTGATGACGACGAGATGTTTGAGATTGGTGATCTGCAAGCCACGGCGATGCATCTACCTGGCCATACGCCTGATCATATGGGATACAAGGTCGGAGGTAAGATGTTACTACACTTGACTACAACGTATTCCCGATTTCTGACCAACATCCTCAGATAACGTCTTTTGTGGTGATTCTGTTTTCCATGCCGATATTGGCACTGCGCGGTGCGATTTCCCTGGAGGCAGCGCCGACAGCCTCTTCTCTTCAGGCCGCAAGCTGCTCAGCTTGCCAGATAATGTCAAGATATGGACTGGTCATGATTACCCCCCGCAAGGACGCAGCGGTCCCAAGGCATACATGACTGTTCATGAACACAGAGAGCAAAATAAGCATCTCAAGGACGGCATCACAGAAGAGGAATTTGTATCTATGCGAAATGAACGTGACGCTACACTGGCCGCACCACGGATGCTCCATCAGTCTCTTCAGATAAACATCCGAGGAGGGCGACTGCCTACTCCAACCGAAGACGGTCATCGAATGCTACGGCTACCTCTGGATTTGAAAGGTACAGAATGGTAGGCGGGAGACGTCGAGGAGTGAGATTGTCCAGGAAGCCTCACATATGTAGGGACATATAGCTCACTACACGGCATGAGCGGATTGGAAACTCATAGGACTTCAATGAATATGTAGCTGTAGCATTCAAATATGGAAATGCAATGCCAGCCATCTTTCGTCTTTTCGTGTAAACAGGCGTTCTTAGTTTACTTTTCCCTAGCATACTTGAGCTAGTGAGATACCAAAGCTTCAATCCACCTTTCTCCTCCACCCCTCGTATCACAGCGCAACACTTCGAGTCTTTGATCACGGGCTATTCATAATCTATTTATTGCAGCTAAAACCCAAAAGCCTCACCGCTACTCTAATCGACATTGCTGAATAATGTCGTGCCATGTCTGCTTCATCGCGATAGTTTCTGCAGATCCCCCTTGTGACCGGTACAACCAACAACAGGATACCAACATATTCAATACCAGCGGGCTTACGTAAAAACCAGAATATTCTGAGTCCTCGGATGCAAATAACCAATAATCCATCGTCTGTTGAATCAGAATCGGCCCAGAGGTGGAAGTGACACAAAACTCACTTCACACAAGCTACTTGGCCCTCGCTGACTTATGCGGACCCTTTCCGGAGACTTTCACCGCGATGTTTCTTCTCCTTTGTTTCCTCGCTATATCATGGCTACATCATCACGCTCTTCACCTTGTTCAACACACAAAGGATCGTTGCTCTCCGAAATGGAAAACCATCAGCACGGAAGAGAGGCCATGGCAGCCGCCAACCGCGAGTTCTGGAAGTTAGTGTCCAGACGCCACATTGCTCAGCTATGAACTAACTTTGAACAGCACTCACGGAAACAAGATATTTGGCTCGCAATGGACGCTGAACCTCGCCAAGAAGATCGGTGATGCCCTCGCCAGTAATGTCGAGTGGATGGGCATTCGTCGTCGATCCGACAGTGGCCCTCCGGTGAAGCTTCTCGACTATGCTTGTGGCTACGGTATGGTGTCGAGCGCGCTTCTGGGACAATTTGACGTCATTAAAGGGATCGACATCTCCGATGCTAGTGTGGCAGCCTACAACGAGATGGCTCAGCAATCGGGTGTTCCCCCTGGCGTCATGGTTGCCGTCCAGGGCTCCATACCCTCCATATCGACGAACCCCGTGCTGGCCACGGAAGAGTTTTTCGACTTCGATGCAATCGCAATAAGCATGGCCCTTCACCACATGGATGACCGTGCCGGCGTTATATCCGGCCTCTACGAGCGACTGCGCAGCGGTGGTGTCTTGGTCGTCGTTGACCTGGCACCAGAGGCTGACGCCCACGATCATTCCCACGACCACTCTCATAGCCACACTGGCTGTACTTCGGGTGGCCATTCCCATGGCACAGTTTCGTCTCAGCCCACAATCTCTAAACATGGGGGATTTGAGCCTGAAGACATGAAGGCTCTTCTGACCGAAGCCGGTTTCACCCCTGAAAGCTTTGACTACAAGTTATACCCCGAGACCACGCCGCATGTGTCCAATGTCCCGCAGCATGGTACTTGCCAGACACCCAAATTGAAACCATTCTTCATTGCCAAGGGGGTGAAGCAATAGAGGTGCGGAAGGAATTTTTTTGTAACGTTATGGAGAGCAATAGGGTGGAAACGCATAATTGCATTTAGAAACAAGCAGACACTGATTTGGCGCTTTTGACCATAAGACTCCTTTCCCCTGATGATAGAGGGGTAAATATATTCCTTCTTCTTCTTGGTTTCTCCAGTTGTGTCGCAGCATATCCTGTGGACTTACTATAGAGATTGTGTTAACAGTACCGGATTGCCTGCCTCGGTAACGCTTGCTTTAGTGAAGAGCACATGTTATAGGAAGTTCCTGGCCGTAAAGCACAATGCCTATATCAATATCTGTACTTGAAGTGAGAACCTCAATAAATGACAAATGTTGCGAAGCAACCTCAAGGATCAATATGTCAAGCCCGTCTCGGAAACCTTTCCAATTTACGCGGAGCAACAAGACTCAACGAAATGCGCCCTGGTGCTCATCGTTGTTGTGCATTATCTAGTTGCGCGTCCGTAGCTACATGAAAAAAGGCGCGGGCATCATAGCAAAGGCGCGCAATGCTAAAGGCGATAAGCCGCTTACAACATACCGAAGGATTCACAAGTGCACGTGTTAATAAAGAGAGGGGATTGTCGGATAACTCAACTAACCCATTGAACCCGCTCGCTATAACCATCCTTTTCCCATTTCTTCTGGCCAAAGTCTCGCGACGCAAAGTCTTTCACTCAGCCTTGCTGCAAACTATACGCGAATCCATGATGACTGAAACAAGCGTTGAGGCTCCATTGGTTGCGCCGCCACAACACCAAATATTCTTGTCGCCGCTGGATGCAGCGTGGGATCCTTCGTTGCCCACCGACGACATTGATGAATACTGCTGGACACCCCTGCAGCTTGCTGCCAGGAGTGGAGAGCTACAGATCGTCCAAGAGATCCTCGCCTCTAACCCCTCAACTGTGAACGACCCCCCGAGTGGCTACTATGGCCAGACGGCTTTGCAAGCTGCCTGCATGCAGGGACATGAAGATATAGTAAGATGTTTACTTGATGCTGGAGCAGATGTCCACTTCTGTGGCGGGAACAACTTCCAGCGCACTGGCCTCCAGATTGCCTGTGGGCAAGGAAATGAAAACATTGTGCGAATGCTTCTAGCAGCGAGTTCCGAGATCAACATGAGTCCGGCAACGAACCACGGCATCCGCGTGTTGACGCAAACCCACCAAACAACTCAATCAGTACCTAAAACTTTTGCCGTCGCTCGATACAATGGAAGAACTGCACTGCAAGCAGCATCCGAACGTGGCCATCTTGGCATCGTGAAGCTGCTCTTGGGACTCGGGGCAGAGGTCAATGCCCCTCCGTCGCCAACCGCCGGTCGCACGGCGTTACAGGCGGCATCGAGGGGCGGATTTGTGGCAGTCGTGCAGCTTCTGCTAGAGAATGGAGCACAGGTAAATGCCCCATCGGCTAGATACAAAGGGATCACGGCTCTTCAGGGAGCGTGCTTGCAAGGGAGCCCGGAAATTGTAGACCTGCTGCTCAAGTCTGGTGCAGATGTGCAGGCGTCTGGTGGAGGTTACGATGGCGAAGGAACAGCTTTGCACGCAGCTGCTGAGAAGGGATACACTGAGCTTGTGAAAAAGCTTGTTGGGATCGGGGCGGACGTTAATTCAAGCTGCAACCGCAGAGGACAGACGCCGATCCAGGGGGCTATGGCAGGCGGACATGAAGAGGTGGTTGAATATCTCCGAGACATGGGCGCTGTGGGTAGGACAGGGGGAGGCATCTTCATTTTCAATCACTCAGCTGGTCAGTAAAGTCCGATCGTGGGCGAGGTTCCGCTCATACAAAGGCAGAGTGTCAACAGGTGCAGACGCTGCTGGAGCAATCCATCTGCATCTGGTATTGGAATGAGATGATTATTTCATCGGTAATCAATGTAGCAATACCAACAGTGAGCATCATGCGCTGCTTTGGAATCTCACGGCATCTTGTAGTAAAGCTGTTTATGAAGGAGCACTTGGATGTTGTGATCAAGGCCGACAGGGGAGGTTCGAGATATTTTAGCGTCAGATTGTCGTACGAATGCCCTAACGGCGGGCTCTCGGTGTGAACCGGCCTTCCCGGAACCCGGATAAGCGGTTGATGGCAGCAGGTCTTCCAGCAGTTGCTCTGATACTGCATCCTAGCAATAAAGTAGTACAAGCGTCAGTTGCATGGTTACATACTCCGTAAAGGTAGGATTGCCAGAGTCTGTATGTATTTTTCGAACGATACAGAGCGCGGCTTTGAGTCCCTTGGCATAATCAGCACAGGAGGATATGAAACCCGTGGGGCTTTGTGATAGTGTTTAGCTTCCACATCTAATATGATACAGGGGGTTTAGGCGTGGAGGGAGTGCCGAGCAATCTCGTATCCGGCTCTGTCTCTCCACCAATGAAAATCCTTGGAAGTCAACAAGCTTACCAGTAAACCAACGACATAGTGGTCCCAGTCATGAACACGGGGGCGGTCGCGAGCCGTACGGAGCGGACGACAATTACACAATAGGGGCGGCCTTGCACTAGAAGCCGCTCAATCCTGGACAGTCAGGTGTTCTAGTCTCACCGAAGCAGCCTGCTACAGCACTATCTTAGCGGAATATCGGACTCCATGGCATATCGAAATTCCAGTCAGGACAATCCAAGGTTAAGAGACAACTTTGCACAACGTACGAAACAACATCAACTACCCTATAAACCAAAGTAAGACATATGTTGAGTTTACGCAGCATGTCTTAGTACAAACAAATGCTACATGTAACTTATACACATAGATCTCGTCCGAGAAAATAGTCAATGACGTAATTGCATCCGACGGGAGATTTTGTTCCAGAAGCCTACAGAGTACTACCTTCTTCATTAGATTATGACCACGATATTGTCGTTATGATATGTTCAATGTGTAACGAAAGGTTTCTTCAAACTGTTCAACCTTCTAAGCGAACAACTCGTGATCATTAAGGTACGAGTACTGATGTGTTGTCGTTATTTGTTTAGCCTATGTGCCGCTTGACAGAATCTTCCGATTGGGGAATACAAAATAGCCAAAATACTGCATGCATATTGCTACCCTAAACCCAGAAATAATATAGGTAGTCTGGGGAATAGCCAAGAAGTAACATTGCAGTTGATCGACAAAGTTGTGAAATGGTGCTCCTTTGTTCAATGGCTGCCTACTCGTATTTCTTGGACGACCGAGAAGATGCCGAGCGTATATTGGACTGGGTGAATATTTCAATTCAATGGGGTCAAGACGCAAGCGGCGAATGGTAGTATCAACACCCCCTTTTTCTTCTTCACAATGATTTCATGAGCTCATCTTGACGACGGGTAGGCAATGGGACCAGTGATGAATAACTACACTCTCTGAGCAATTTCCCGTCGTGTTATCGCCTGTAACCTCAAATGGGGTGCTGATACTCAATCCGAGACTTGTGAATTATTGTAATTCTAGTTGAGAGTTGGGCTTCCTGACCGGATGGTGATTAATGAGGCCCATGAATAGATAAAGCATAGATTGGCGGAACGGAAAAGATGACTTCTATTAGCCTCTTCAAGCAATTTGATGAATGAAGAGATATTTTGCTATCATGAAGGTACTTTGTGACAAAGTGTACTCCGTACGATGAAACTCTCCCTGCTTGCTATAGTACTGTCGTAGTCTATTCTGTAAAGTAGCTAATGTGCTTGAGACGGTGTGATCGGCGTTTTGCTGGCTATACCCTTCGGGATACGAGTACAAGGCTGTGAAATAGGATGGGGACCCTTGTCTGGGAAATCCCAACGTCTTTTTGAAAACGCTGTGTTGCTTTCGTTTTATTACCTGATTACTAAACTTGTACAACAATGCCGTCTAAACACGGAGACAGTGAAGTCTTTGGTTGCAAACGCACTCATCATGGGATAACTGAAACGCGGACCACATAGACAGAGAGGCAAGAATTTGACTGGCAAGCAGTGCTTGCTCTCGTCATCAGGTCCCTTATACTTCGCCCCCCGTCTTCCGCTGACATACACTTGAAGTTCTCTTTCACGATCCGCCCCCGTATACACGAAATAGAACTCTGAAAATATATTGGCGGCTTTTTTACACCAACTCTTTTCCCGTTTCAAAAATTCTGATTCCGGCGCCAATGTCAACAAATGCGGGCCTGGCCGCTAGTCGTAATGACAGGCGCAAGGATGTAGCACAGCGCGATCAAAAAAGTAATCCGTAAGAATCACAGCTCGATGCCAAATTTTACTTAGTTTCACGGAGGCAAGGTGCCTAAGCGCTAGCGACGACTCGCTAGAATTGAACCCATCAAGGAGAGCAGCAGCGCTAAATCTGGGCATCATGTTCAACGTTTGCGTGTCTTGTGAAACGGGCCGACAAGAGGCGCGTCGAGTGGCTGCGTCCATGTAGGTATGTGTTGTATCCAATCCTCCTTCTACAATGCGATAGGATTTCGTTTGTTTTACGGGGTGGTTGGTGTGAAAGCAATGCATGTGAGACCGTCCCGTGAGGTTTGCTGATCTTACGGATCATCGACCTGCCCTTTGCGTTGGTGAGATTGCTATGCGAACTCGTTCGGCATTTAAAAAAAGGGACGGTGGCAAAGGTGGCAGCTGAAAGACCGGCAAAGCCCGGTCAGCGGCAATGGATGTCGCTGATGCACGAACGATCAGGCACGGAGCAGGCGGTAAGATATGCTAGTTTGATGCTTATTTTCTTCAACTGCTTCCAGATCAGGCGGACGAAGCGAGGCTTCTGGGCGTTGGTGTGGAGTTCATCTGTGGGGGTTACCATCTCCAGCTCGTTTCGTTTCGAAACGCTTGGTGTCACATCGATAGTGAGTGAGTGTCCGCCGTGCAAGAGAGTAAGGCGTTGCTGCGGCATGGCGGCATCCCGAAATCCATGACTCTCTCACAGAAAACATCCCGGCGGTTAATTACTCGTTTAGAGGCTACGCCTTTATTGGTGCCTTACTAGACGCCGTCGGCCGTGATGGGCCCTACAATTTCGGTACCGTTTCGCTGGGCAGGTTACATTCGAGTCTGGAAAGATGCAAGAGGGAAATTTACCGATGGCCTTGAAAGGGGCGGCCGCACAAGTGATCCATAATTGGAACAGCCTCATGGGGTGATAGATTGGCAGATCTCTAGTCCTTTCGGGCAGTCCATGTCAAAGTTTGGCCAGCGGGAGATGCCCCATGCCCTGCGATCTGTTCCCGGCTAGCCTCTTGGTTGGGATCCAGACAAGATAGGTCTCTCAGGAGTAGAGGATAGTATAGAGGAGTAGCTATATAAGTATCTGGCTATCTCGTCGATCCATCAACTTTTTCTATCATCAAGCCAGTTCGAAGCAAGACTTCCCCTGTCCGTTGTTTCCATTCTTTTGTTCCATAAGTTCCATCATTCATTCAACCAACTTCGATTCTTAAGACTGTCAAGATGTTCTGGACAATCCCCGTTGCACTGGCTCTCGCCTCTGGGGCTTCTGCCCACACTGCTGCCTTTATCAAGGGCATGTACTGCGAGGTTTGTGCAGCATTCTGCCTCTTTCTTCACGGCCGTTAGACAAATTCTTACTGACTCCATCCAGGGTGGTCCCGACCCCAACAACTACAACGCCAACTCCAACACTCCCGTGAACCCCCTCTATGATCTTCCCTTTGAGCAGTGGTGGATGCAGGCCGATCGTGGCTGCAACAAGGCTCCTCCTCCTAACGGTGCCTCCGTTGCTCTGCCTGCTGGTGGCCAGTTCACTGTTGAGCTTGCCCACAACCAGGCTCAGACCAGCTTGTCCTTCAACGGACAGTTCGCTGGCGAGTGGCCTGATGGCCAGAGCCACCCCGAGAACTGGCAGGGTCCTGGTAGCCCTCCTGACTGCATTCAGGATGATGGTGCCATGCACACCCAGAACCAGACCATGGCTGCTGGTACTGCCTGGGCCATTTCCTACCAGTCGGACATCACCAAGGTGACCCTGGACAACCTGGTTGTCTTCTCCGTTCTTGAGCAGTAAGCCTAAAATCCCCTGTTTGTTCAAAAGTACAGCTTAAAGTTAACGCCATGATAGCACCCCCTGGAAGCGTATTGCTACCTACGATGTTCCCAAGGACCTCCCTGCCTGCCCGGCGGGTGGCTGCTACTGCGCCTGGCTGTGGGTTCCCAACGGATGTGGCACGCCCAACATGTACATGGCCAACTACCGATGCCACGTCACCAACACCAGCTCTACAAAGACGGTTGCTCAGGCTAAGCCTCCTGTCTGGTGTGGCAACGATTCATCCAAGTGCCTGCCCGGTGCTAAGCAGATGATTGCTTGGAACCAGGCTACCGGCAACAACGTCCAGGTTCCCAACGGCGCTTCTCCCGCTTACGGCAGGAACATGGGCTGGACTCCTGGTGCGCAGAACGACATCTTTGCCTAAATCTCTGGCAGCAGCTCCGCCATTAGCAATGCTGCTATCGGCTGTGACAATAACACCGTCAACCCTAATACGTCTTGCTCTACCACCAACTGATTCTAGCAGTCATTATCCTTTTTCCATATTCCTGTTAATATTCTATTTATTGCCCCGTACATACAAGATTTAGGGTATCAAAATATAACTGTTGGATATTTTTGGATCCAGTTCCGAATTCCCTGTTTGAGGCAACAGCCAGCAATTTGTGTGATGTGACTTAACCGATATTCCAACCTGTAACAAATAAGCCGTAAGATTGAAGCCAACAAGCGATATATCTAGGAAGAACTATCCCAGTATGCATTCTATAGTTCGTTCGTATTGGGAGAGGGAACAAAAGGTACCGTACTGTTTCGTGCTCTCATTCCCTGAGTCCCTCGAGCCGAATTCGGTCATGAGTAAAGCCAAAAAGATTGCTATGACAGCGTGAAAGCGTACTAAATTATAATTATCCACTTGTCCCTACGCACTGCGGCATCATTACTTCCTTCTAGTCATATTACCTACTCAACATCCAGTCTTCCTCAAAAAACATTAGTTTGTTTGCCATTGAACGTGATTTCTGCGTAACGGGGAATTATTGCCCAATAGGATCCATCCCAACAAGACCTGCTCCCCAGTTGAGCGATGGAAGCGACATATCACTGATGGGATTTCCGAAATCTCCCAGTTCAAAATCCGGTATACTGATAAAGGGTCCAAACGGATAGTCCTCCATTGGTGAAAAATCGGGAAGTTCTTGGCTCACAGTTGGGGTTTGGTTAATTGGCAAATCGGCGTCAGCCAAAATCTCCATATGATGGTGTGTGAGAGGACGGTCTAGCGAAGATAGAGTGGCGGGCAGTAGATTTGGGTTTTCCTGTTGATGTGCAGTCCCTGCTTGGATTGTCGATGTAGAAGTAGCCAGTGCGTCTCTGGCTTTGCTAATCTTTCGTTGCTCTCTTTGCCATAGATTCCTAAGCAACTGACTGTACCTGTGACTGATATGAAACTTATCCGATGCGGCCCCATCCAATACTGATATGAATTTGAGAACCAACGATGAAGTCTCTTGGCGGCGTCGGGCAGGTTGGAAAGCTCCAGCGCAATCCGCTCTATGCAGAAAGACCGCTGCATATACACCATATCTCCAAACTTAGTGAGTCAAGATGGACACCAGAACATGAGGTTGGATAGCTTACAAGTAGTAGCGATATGGTAAATAACATAACTCATGTTGGGGGTGGAAATCAGTCATCAGCTTCAGGGTATTTATGGCTGCTGTAATAGCATCCCAAACGTATCGCCCGTCGGAAGAATTCATGATACCATTAATGAATGGCTTGAATGACGGTTTAATGGAGGGATTTTGCGTCGACATCCTCGTGAGAACGGCTTGGAATGAGAATGCGTTAACATAAAGGCACAGATATTCATATACCAGAGACAAAGAACGCTTCACTTTGACAGATACTGCAAGATCGCCCCAAGTAGCATGCCAATTCATTGATGCGCGCTGAAAATCGTCGAGGTAGCGACTGTAATCTCCATCGTGGACCATCGCCAAGGTCCGCTTCGGCGAGGAGTAAAGAATGGCTTGGGCGTTGTGCATGAGCTGTGTCAACTCCATCGTTGCTTGGTGAGCAGACGCATAATCCTCTTGGCCAGTATTAGAGGTAGGCTGCAAGCTGGGAAAGTCTTTCGCGGTGAAGCGAGTTGAAAGAGATGGACCGCGAGACCAAAAGGACTGGCCCAGACGAACAGATATTTGCCGATCCGCGATGTAGACAACTTTTGTGTAAAAAAACGGAAAGACCAAAGTTAGACAGCGTTTCTATTTCATTCATCCATTCTACTCACATGTCCATATTAATCGTTTATGCTCCACCTGCTCCTTTGTCTCCTGTGTAACAACATTGGGAAAGGCACCTTGATCCAGGCGCATCAAGTAAGCTTGTCTGACAGCCAGGCCGACGAGTGACCATGACGTTCTATCTTCGATGAACATGCTTTTACTTTCGTTTGAGACGGATTGCGTTAATTCAATATGAGGAAGCCATTCCGATAAGAGCAATAAACTCTCAACTGTTCGGGATCTCAATGTCCAAGGATACCCGAGCAGCACCTCAAGCAGTAGCTTCTGGGTGTAATCCCAGCAATACCGGTGAATAAGAGAATGATTTGACGAGTCTCTTGACGCAATTGTCAAGATAACTGTGAGAAGGAAGAAATCCGATGTACGGATTTTGTCAATGCCAGATTGTCCAAGCATGTACCCTGGCACAATAGGACAGTAAGAGTGATAGTTGTGGGAATACCTGTCTTCGATTAGCCACGAAACTGAGTTATCTCTGTTCGATGTGTACTGACAGGTGTAGTAACTCGGATATGTTACTATGGTGAACTAGCCCTCTCTGAACTAGCTCATACTCGTCAACAGCTACAACATTCGATGGCCCACGTAAAAGACCGTCGTCCTCCTCCTCGTTTGGCAATACAGGCGAGCAACTTGCTTTGGATTTCTCCGATTGGGCGAGTATATGCAGCGCATCGGAGGGATTCCTAAGCTCGGAAGCGAGCTGCTCATCAATGACATCTTCGTTTAAGCCGTCGAGGCCGCGGTCCACTTCCTTTTCAGTTGACCTGGTTGTTCTCGATGATGCGCCTGAGGTGCGTTGCGAAGCCTTGCGACTCTTGGTGGGTTTCTTGCTCGGCTCATACGTCCGAAAGTTCCCACCCCGGCGGGACTCGGCCAGCACACACTCACTATCCGACTCAAAGCAGGACACGCAGGGGATTTTTCTTGGCTCTCCGATGCCACCACTAAGACAAGGTCAGGGGCATGCTCACAACGTGATGATTCTTTGGGGCTCTTTACAGATCGCATTTTGTCTTCCGGCGGCGGCATCTGACACATGCGCGATAAGAGCGCTTTCCTGTGCTGGCCGTCATTGTCTAATATCTTCGGCAACTCAATATACGGGCCTTGCCAGCGTAGTAATGTGACGGTTCAAGGGCTGAGTGAGTCGGTTGTCGGCATCGGCAAGCGATATGTCTACAAGTTTGATCGGCTGTAGACGGCGCAGAATTACCGAAATCGGCCCACGAAGCGTCAACACTGAAGCCCTCATTAAACAGTACTTTATGCGGGGTAGCGGGGTGATATGGTAGGGCATCAGCCAGTTAGAAAGTCTTCATAAACTGCCTTGAGTCTCTATTGTGCCAGCAGAAGCGTTTTGTATAGGAATATTTGACGTGTACTTTTACTTTGGCATCATGCTAGTTGCCGTAGTTAGTAATAAATCCCGACCTCGCGATAAAAGCTTACGCAAGCCTGTTCTACATTTAGGTTGCGTTTCGAATGTATGCTCTACATCTGACAGCGAAGCGTGGCAGTGGCGAGATGTCGGTTTTGGCAGCGTCGGCTATAGGCGGATTTTCTCCGTCTATCCATCCATTTGATCACACGATGATGCTCCATATTCTGGGGAAAATATAGAAGGAAAATTACTACTATTTCCCATCAATTTATATATATGCGGAGCAGCGGCCGTGGTGCATCTTCTGCGATTCAGTGCCACTCGGTATCCTGAGCAGACATCACCTGGCTGGGTATCTACAATTTCTATCTCCAAAGTACTTTTATTATCATTCCACAAGCAAAAATGGTCGCCGCAATTAATGGCTTCAGAGTCACCGAGATTAGCCCCGGGTTTGGTGCTGAGATTTGTGACTTCAATGCCGCGGACGACATGACAGAAGAAAATTTTCGTCGTCTCCAAGAGGTTGTAACTACGGTAATTGATTGGTTGCCTATACAAGAATCCTAATTTCCGCTAATGTTAGTCGTATTAGTATGGGGTTGTAGTGATCCGCGAGTCTCAATTAACAGACGAAACTCACATCAAACTAGCCCACATGTTTGGAGATCTGGATGATGTCAAGCCATATGTTGCTGCAGGACGGAAAAATAGACTCAAGTATGACGAACTCTTTGACGTTAGCAACGTTGAACTGGACGGCACCATTGTTGATCCAAGCAGTCCTCGCGGGCAGGCGAATAAGGTACGTATAGATTCGATATACTTTATATTTATCTGCGTACCAACCTTTGGGGAGTAGGGAAACGGTCTATTTCATGTCGATTCCAGTTTCAACCCTCGTCGAGCCGGATATTCCCTCTTGCTTGCTCACGAACTACCGCCTGCCGGCACGGGCGGCAAAACGGCATTTGCCGATACAAGGACTGCATTTGACGAGCTAGATGACGGCTTGAAGCAAGACCTCCTGGCAAACGATTATGTCGGGGCGCATTCTATTCTACACTCGAGGAAACTTGCCGCCCCCGAGTATTTTGCAAATGTTGATCCTTCTCAACATCCAATGGGTCGTCACAGAATTGTCCAGCGCCATGAGAGATCTGGCCGAATGAATCTCTACATCGCAGCACATATACACCACATTGAGAATCTCAGCGAGGAAGCATCAAAAATTCTCTTTGACAAAGTTTTCACTCATGCAACCCAACCAAAATACGTCATCGAGCTTGAGTGGAAGCATCCTGGAGATTTGGTTATTTGGGATAACACTTGCACAATGCACCGTGTAGTAACGGGGCCATTCAGTTCCAAGTACAAGAGAGACATGCGACGAGCAACTGTTCATGACTCTAGTAGTAGCGCATGGGGACTAAATGAGCATTCGGATATTCGACAAGGGTTGCCATAAATACTCTGTAGATGGGGGAAGGTACTTCAGTGTATTATATCACTATCATGAAGACGTGGGCTTAGCCCTATTTCGGATAGCCAATTGTTCTGAATAATGACAGTTTTATCACAATTCAAGATGAAAACAAACATAGTATTTTCGTGTAGAACCTTCTTTCCTATGCTATGTCTACATAACGGAGACTTGCCCTCCACGTCCCCTAATTTTCCCGTTAATCTAGCCCTAAGGGGTAAACCGAAGGGACAAACCGCCATTTAATTTATTGAAAAAGGTGGCAATTTGTCTCTTACAACGCGATCCTAGGCAGTACAGAATGCGTATTTAGTGTAGAGTGAGGCGATAGCAGTTGATAGCTTGAGAGTTGAAACAGCCGACTACCACAGGTCAATAATTCTATTTGTCAAAACTGAATTCAAGTTTGTAACATACCAGGAGTGTTTTGGCCAGCAGAGTACAAATATTTGCCACACCAGTCACTGCCAGCCTGGCGGCTAAAGTCAAGCTGCTCGTTGCTGCGAAGCCCACGATAGCTGATGCCAACGCTGAACATGTTCAGCGTGACGTAGTGCTGGACGTCGTATGTAACATCGTCCCACCAGCCTGCCTGGCCATTGCCTATTTATTGAGTGAGTTAGAATAACAGACTTGAATCGATCTCGCAGGCGTGGCAAAATTCCACTTACACCAATCTTGGGCGAACATGCCAATGCCAATGTTGGCGTAATTTTGGCGCTTCTCAGTTGCTGGGCGAGCATGAGACGGGATGTCAATCTGCGCACGGATCCATGCCCAAGCGTCGGTGCCTTCTTCCGCAGTATAGTAACCCTCGTGAGCCTTGACAGCGTCATCAGGGATCGGTCCGAAAACATCAATTCCCTTGGCCGTGGCGTTGGCAACAGACTCGATTTCTGCAATCTCACGAGGGAGGATTGCAAGACCAAGAGCAGAGTTGGCACAAGAGAGGCCAAAGGCAATGATGTTAGAAAAACGCATTTTGAGATGTAGTGATTGTTGGAATTGTTTTGAGGATGTCTTTGTGCAAGATGAAATGAAACTCCTGATTTGAAAGATGTGATGGTGTCGACACAACAGCAGGGACAGCTTTAGGGGAACTGTCCCTTATTTATACTTCTTTTTGCCTGGGTTTGCCCGTTTTGTCGCCATCATTACTCGTATTCCTATAGTCTCGGTTCTCTTGAAGCCCAAACTTGCGGTAATGCTGAGTGGTTGGTAATAGGCGAGACAACGCAGTCATCTCTTGAGTGATGCCAAGAGCCATTGAAAAATGCCTCTTTGTCCTGAATCAGCAGACAACTCACAAGAGCTATAATCTGACGTGAGTAGGTGAAGCCATTTCCACCTGTCCTGTCGCTGCTTGGTTGGCCGCCAAGTCTATCAAGTCTTAGCATCAAGTCCCTTGTCAAGTGGAAATTGAACATATTAAGAAGTGGCACCATGCAAGGAAGTGTATAAAGTCAGCCAATAACGGGCGTAGCTTCACATTAAACTTCCTCTGCTCCCCTCTGCTAATTATGCTGTCCAAATCCTTTTTGAACCATATCTCTCGTTGTGGATTAGGGTAGCTTACCTTATTTCCTACGCTTAAACTTTTTATACCTATCCCTGGCCTAAATGGCCTATCCGGGATACGGCGCATGCTAACCGAGGTAAGTATTGATTGCGGCTGGAAATCCTTCTATAATTTCTTGCCGTGTTGAATAAGCGCCGTTTATTTTTCATCAATGACAAATGAAAACTATTTAAGGTGCATTGTCTCATACAAGAAAAATTACGGAGAAAGGTATTCTTAGTTGCAGTGCAAATAATGCCGTGCTCATAGAGGAGAAAGATTCTAAGCATGCAGTCATGCTTGGAAATTCGCGCAAGCTTATAAAAGGTCTACATGTATATAGTAACCGGTTATTCACGGTTCCCAGAGATGGAATTATGCATTTGCCTGAACAGCACAGATCATCAAACAGAGGTCGTGCAGATTACTCTCTTAGGCTAGTCAATGCAGTATTGTGGCTGAGCAAAAGCTTGTCTGCATATTTCTGTCACATTTGAGTGTATGATACAGCAGACTCGGAAGGGATCCCGGATAAGTGCAGTTCGAAGAAGTTGTGATGTGTTATGAACATATCTGCTCATGCCTATCTTTGTGCTCCGACAACGAGTTATTTGTATCTGAGCAAATAGTAAGCCATAGACTTGATTGACAAAACCGTCTGTTGGGCACCATCGGATTTCATGCTGTAGTGCATAAAGGCTTGGACAACTTGGGAGTCTTGGGGTTCACGAACAATCCAGTGCGGGGGCAAGGGGGCTATGTGATCACTTGCCGCGGTGTATATGCCGAGTCTGCGTTCCGGCTTGGCCGAGCTGTTTCACTAAACATGGCCTTCAGTAGTCAGAAGAGAATTCGCCCCTCGTTTCGTTCTCCACTGCTCAGCGGCATAGAGATTCACGAATTGAGCGTGAAGGAGGACTAAGTTGGGGTTCCCGACCGCTGCGGCTCGTCTAAGAATAAGTACAAAGAGCCCGCGTCTATATAGCAGCACTTAATCGTGGAATTATACGGCAGGCCGGATAAATATATGAGGAACCTTCAGAGTGTGGAGTGCGAATCGGACAATTACTGTATCGCTGTATTGGGTGTATGAGATCGTATCTTAGCATGTCACCCGCCAACATCTACCGATAATGTCTAAATACAGCATGACAGAACACTTGGGCAAGCATTTAGCCTCTCCATGACAGAGGGCTTTCCTATTCCACATTATAATTGTAGCAAGCACCTTCAGCTGCTTAACTAAATCATTGAATTTACTAGAGCATCACTCGGAATTTTACATCTTAAACGCATCGTTAAAGTATCCACATTCGTCCCCCGTTCCGAGTTGCCTCGCCCCACTGAACAGATCGGCGTTGCCAGATTGGGAAGCAATTGAACGCTTTTTCAATCCTTGGTCCACATCGCGGCAGAGGCAACGGGGGTTTGTAGTGTATAGGATCCTACAATGAATCTGAAATGGGCAAGATTTAGACGCACTGGAGATAGGAGACGATGTGTTTGATGGCGCAGCTTCATTCCTGTCGAATGGGATTACGCGTCTGATTCAGTCCAACGAGTATATATAATGACTTTGACTCTGCTTTACGTTCATGTCCAAACTCTCAACATCTCAACTTCGCTTTAACACTCTTTTCCATACATATTCTATTCACTTCACTCATTCCAACGCAACAATGTGGTTCGCTCAGATCCTCCTTACTGCCGCTATTGCGGTGCCTGCTATTGCCACCAAAACTCCAAAGTGCACTCCATTTCCCTCGTCCATGATCGAGTACTCATCCGGCTTCAAGCAGCCAAAGCCGCCTTTGGTGCAGCCTGAGTTCACGACAAACTTTGTCCAGCATAAGTGGTTCGTAGCCTAGTTCAACTGGTATCTCACTAACTAACACGAGTTGTAGGGACGAGACGCTGTCTCACATTATGACTGGATACATTGACAATTCTCCCGCCAAGGGCCTTGTTCGCGTGAATGAGGCGTACGACGATGCTCCAGCCTCATCAATCTTCAACTACGCGAACGTCACCAAAGATGGTCTGGTGGATAATTTGATGACAATCTACAACGGGACGAAGCCATACGTGTGGCAAGGCTATGTTAACTCTAATTATCCTATCTTTGAGAAGGATTTCCTCGTCAAGAACGAGGCTGTCTTCGGCGGCCTCGTTACAAGGCAGTTTACGGACGGCTATGTGGCATCTGTTAGTAACTCCCCATTCCGAATCTCTGCAGTACTCTGCTAATCCATGCCATAGTGGGACATTATGTATCAGGGAGTAATTCCGGTGACCATCTACGTCAACACTTGCAACGAAATTGTTGGCTACGACTATTTCTCGCCTGGCAGGCGCACACGTGTTGTCACCGACTTCTTCAATATCCAGATCAGCTAAATGCTATCACCTGGAGCATGTTAATCATCACCAATGCAAAAGGCGTTAAAAAATATCGACTTTAGATGGTTTTTCTTTTTCTTCTTATTTCCAAGTAGTTCCTATCTTTTGATATATCTACATAGAACATCTATTCAAACACCAAGTTTAATACTATCTTGATCATCTTAAAAGCCCCAGAATTCGACTAAATCTATCTGTATTCTTTCTGCCACAACGAAACCGCTTTTGTATATCTGAATGAGTAGATTTCGCACATTATCTCTTTGCCACTCGGATGTAGAATGCGCCCCCGCGATTCTTAAAGGAAACAAGAGAATAGCGCCTGGAATATTTGAAGATTGAAGGATTTTTTCACACAGATATATGATGGCCTCAACACATGCGTCAATCTCCATTTGGTCGAGTTGAGGAATTGTCCCGGGGTGCCAGCAGGTATAGTAGGTGAAATTTCTGCAGTGGAAAAGCCGAACGGCATGATGTTTTGCGAGAGCAAGCTGAGTAAAGGGGTCCGTAGGATCTGATTGTAAAGAGGCACTATCGTACCAGTTGCTGATTTTGCGATTCAGTTCAGTCCCTTCACGTGCTAGAGCGGTGATTGTAGGACTGAAAAGTCTTTCTTCTTCCGGTATGCCTTCAATTTGCTCAAAAAGCCTGGTTTGAGTTAGTATAGTGCCAACCAAGCCTAAATTCTTGTATTTACCCCTTGCTGAATGCCGATGTCTGTATCATCAGCTCAGTAATACTTGCCATAGAATCTGGAACTTCTGCAGCCTTGTGATTTATGCTGGTGTATACCCTCCATTTGCTCTCGGACAAAAACGTAGCATCTCCGAACAAAATCGTTCTATTGGCTTCAAGCACTCGAAATGCGTTCAAAAGTCTCTGTTGCAGCGATGACATGTACGCATCTGGGCCAGCCAGCTGCAAAACCTTCGAGGTGCCATAGAACATGTGCTTTGCCCATCCTTCTCCAGATGATTCGGACATTAACTGTTGCTGTCTTAGCTAAATTGATCATTTCAACGAGACGCGATAATTTTCACCTCGAATAGTCCCAGTAGAAATGTGCTCCACGCCACATCTTCGCATACTGCGGCGTCACTTGTTTGCAGTCGCTGTTGGAGTGATTTCAATGACAGGTTATATGAGCGGTATGCAACGCATTGAGGCGATTCCTTTTGCCTGAATGATCTACTTGATGGGTGTCTACTTGCGTCTAAGGCCCCAAGTGCGATTGCTAAGTTTCGCAATGACGGTGAGGTTTGGATCAACGGTAATAAATCTTGCGCTATATCAGTGAAATCTCGGGTAAACTGACACCGTAGTAATGATGCGGCAAAGCTGCTTAGGTACAAATCGTTGCTATGAGTCTGTATTGGTAAGGGCAGTGTTGCAGATTCTAAGATCGATTGCTGCGGTGGCGTGTATTTGACAAACTTGACATTGAAGGCTGCAGCTGAGGATACAGCCTGTGGAGTGCATATCTTTTTGGTACGTTGGCAGTATTCACACGGAACGCCACCTTGGCACTGTTGATTACAGAGTTATTAATCATGAATTTCATCAATTGTTTGCGTCGAATTGCGAACCTTGATTTGTCTCTTGGCACAAGCCTGGCAGCGAGTAACCCGCTTCCTTTTATCTAGAGGACCGACTGCGCGTTTCATAATGTGTGATTTGGTCTTCCTAGTCGGACTCAGCAGTAATAAATTGTTTCATCGATGATTTCTTCAAATAAAATGGTTAGTATTGAGTAGAAGCGTATGGCATTTGATGGGGTTGACCGCTTGTGTGTACGGATCCAATTTCTCCGCCGTCCAAAGGTCAACACCTACAAGGCTCAACACTCAACTTGTGGTACGTATGCAATTGCACGTAACTTCAAATCCCACCTAGTAACTCCTATCCAATAACACTAATAAGCAGATAAATTGCACAGCAATTACGAGATAGCCGGTAAACTGGCGCCCGGCTGGTATTGTCTGAGGTTAGCATCGTTCATCAGGATTCCAGGACGCCATGATTGAAACCATCATTTGACACGTCTGTGTGGAAATGTAGCGCCTATGGATGACGTACCTGATTATAACGATGAGAAGAAACTACTCTTAGAATAATTGCTCGCTTTTCGATATAGTTTCAAGGATGTAAGTGTTATTGCTCTCTGGGTATTGATTATTAGGCTTTGGTCAAATTCGTCATCAAACTGGCTGGTGCCCGGAAACTGAAATAGCGTCGAGTCACTGGCCGCAGCACGAAATTACTAAGCGAAGCTGAAAGAATGATGGCATCCGCTGTGGAGATATTTCCCCCCACGTTGTTGAGGTGGTCTAAACCAAAGGAAGTATAGAAATCCGAGAGAATTGAGTCTGGATGCTTGTCATCAATGGACAACTCTGAATCGGAAGTATAGAAATCCGAGAGAATTGAGTCTGGATGCTTGTCATCAATGGACAACTCTGAATCGGAGCATCGGGAATATGCCTTGACCGAGGCGCGGCATAACTCGTGTGTGCCAACGCGGTACTACATGCGAATCTGCAAATGAAGGTAAGAGATTCTGATTACAAGGGATGGTTTGTGCCTGAATAGAGGATATAAATAAATTACGACAGAGTTTGTGCTTGTGCATCTTAAGTATTTGCATCTGTATGGTTCGAGAGGCGGTCTATTGACTCAATCTTTCACGTTTACAGTCACTTTATAACCTTGTTCATTGACCGAGACAAGTTGTATAGATGCGTCATATGTTAATTACTGCCTTCGACTATGACAAACATTTCTAAAACAAGATAGATCGGAAACTCCAAAAGAGCGGCATATATATGTTCGACCTCAAAAAGCAAAAGAAACCATTTGCAATCCACCCTATTCCATCTCGCCAACGGAAAACTACAAGGAGCTTGGCTAAAGCTTCTATAGAATCCCATTCTCTGAACAGCAGAGCTAAACTATGTAACAAAATTAACAGTCAACTCGCCGTTATTAATGTCATTGCCATCGTTGGTAGGGAGACTGCCGCAAACGTCGAAGCCGTGGTCGAGAAGCCATTGCATGTACGCCAGGGTTTGGTCCTTGTCGAAAAGACGATCGACAAATAAGTCATTTAACAATTATTTGGTACCTTAGGGGTAAATTGCACAGCGTTACAAATGCCTACGAGCAAACGCCATTTGAGCTGAGAAGCAAAACACAAACATTTCAGTAATACTAGTCAGATGCCCTAAAAAATGGCAGTGAATATGCTTTATTACCATTGGTCAATCATTACTTTGCGTGGAATATCGCCTCTCTAATCACCGAATAATACTGTCGCAGTAGTTTTGGCACAGGCTCGCATTGGCTCTTCGATTTAGAGGTTCTTGATCCGTCCTTTTTGCATTTGAATTAGTTGAAAGGCTATCTGTTGGTATAGGCTATGCACAGTTCCGATTTTGACTATGCATAGCCTATACAAAGCCATGTCTCCACGCAATTCTCGCCGTCGGATACGGCCATTATTGAGGCGGCAACCGGCTACCCACATTGTGCAAAATTTGACGACGTGAATCCCACCGTGCATGCATTCATACATATATATATATTTGTATATAAAGACAAAATACCTCAAATATGGTAACTGGATGATTCCTTTCGCCGTCATACTATTATTACTAATCGTTAGCATGGCGTATCTGGCCCACATCGTTCGCAACATAGCCATGATTTCTCTTGGGCTTACTACCGTGTCCTCTTTTGCTTCATCACAATCATTGGGTAACTATATTCCACTCTACAGTATGTTACCTCCAACACCAAATCTTCCAGATGCGACATTTTCCGGGACAACTCGGATTAACAACATCGATCTTTGGTATGCCTTATTTGGGCCGCCTCTAGATTGTGGGCGAACCCCCATAGTTTTTCAGCATGGCGGCAAGATCAATTCCAACTGGTGGGGTCTCCAGATCAGACACATTGCTGGAAAGGGACACCCTGTTATCGCAATCGATACGAGAGCTCATGGTCGATCAAATGATGACACAGAGGTGCCGCTATCATATGACTTATTCGCCAACGATACGGTGGCCTTACTTGAACATCTCAAGGTGTCCAGGGCTTCGGTTGTTGGGTGGTCTGATGGCGCCAACACCGCTCTCTCCTTAGCAATGTACCACGGCGAAAAAGTTGATCGCGCATTCATCTTTGGCGCCAATTATCAGCCTGATCAAGCCAATATTACTGGCATAATGGGATTGCCTTTCCTGGACGATTTGCAAAATAGGATGAAAAGCGAATACAAAGCTTTATCTCCGAATCCAGAAAAGTTTGACGATTTCATGGCGAAAATGGCCACGATGCAAAGCACGTTTCCAGACTGGAATGACAAATCATTTGCCCAAATCAAGACACGCTTTCAAGATCCTGGCCGTGCACCTATTATATGGATTGGGGATGGGGATTCGGAGGAAGTCGTACAGCGAAGAGTTGCAGGTGAGATGAGAGATATGATCAGGGGATCAAGCCTAGTAGTATTGCCGGGTGTCGGACACTTTGGCCCTCTCCAAGATCCTGATACGTTCAATGCCATCCTTGATCGATGGCTTGCGGATCCGCGCCATTAGTGGTGGCTCAATAGATGGTCCCCTGAGGGAAGCCAATGCTATACATATCCGTCAATAGCGCCGATGACCTCCGTGGGACTACGGTAGGTGTCACTTCGTGGTCGCAGCGTTGAGCGGTATAAGTGTTCAATGGAAGGTTGAGGCAAATCTATGGAACTCATGTATCACTTAGACGAAGGTCATCAGATCTCTAGCCTTGGCATAATAGGCAGCATTTAATTCACAGGATCCAGGGTTATCCGTATAAGAACTGATTCCCCCCCCCGCGCCTCTCCAAGTCGCATGGCGTACCACCAGCTAATTGCTCACGAAGTGTGTCACTGCAGCAAAGTCTTCTTTCTGTACACGATACGAGTTGATTTCCGAGTCCGGATTCTCGTACCCGACGGCAACTCCACAAAGAATTTCGAGGTGATCTGGAATGTCCAACTCTCTTCGCAAAATTTCAGGATAGCCCACCACGGATACTTGACAGCATGATGCAATCCCTTCTTGAGCTAGGCCTAAGAGAAGAATCTGTAAATACATACCTACGCTCAACGTATCTGACGTAGAAAGGTCTTTATGCATCGTCACAATTATCTCTGTCGGAGCATCGAAAAATTCGTAATTACGCAATTGAGCCGCCTGCCAGCGGACATGATCAGTTCTGGAAATGCCCAGAACATCTCCATACAAGCCCTTCCCGTAATCAGACCGGCGTTGCTGGAAGACCGCTGGAACCGCTGGAACAATAACCCCCCCTTGCATTGCAGCAGTAGTAAGGGAAGCAGCAAGACGGTCACGCGCAGCACCTTCAACAATAATTAAGCGCCATGGCTGTATATTGGAGCTTGACGGTGCATTCTTCGCCAGAGTCAAGGCTCGTTCGAGTACTGATCGTGGAATGGGCTTTTTGAGAAAGCTGCGAGTTGAGTGCCGATTCTCAACGCATTCATTCAAAAACAGTTTCTTTTGAGTAGCCATTATGATTGTCCTGATGACAGAAACGGTTCGCGTGCGAATACCGCTATTGTGTTGCTGTCCAATTATTGAGATAAGCTTATGAAGACGGGATCATGTAGTTTGAGTTGGGGATCCTTTTATTTTAAAATTGAGACCACATTTAGTTCAAAATCTGTAAAGTGATATACGATCTAGGTAGGCTATGGGACGGGCCGCAAGCCTCAGGTTAATTTTTATTTAAGATACCTAATGTGTTTGCGGAAGCTTGAATACCAAAGAAGAAGGTCGATGCTTGTGATCATCTTCCTTGCAGCATGGCACCCCCAACTATCTCGAGTAGGCTCTCATTCGATTATCCACGGTAGCATCAAGAAATATGCTACCTAATCATGTCTATGAATAGGCTTTTCAAAATCTTTGATGTGACATTATGTACGTACATATGCTGCACAGCATGTTACTCTCCATGATAGCATTGCATTTCCATCGAAGTCCTACGTGTTTATGCAGTGATACATACCATAGATAGTAAGCTATAGAGAGTGACAAAACGCAATTATGGAGATTCATCCTAGCACACTCTACTGCGTTAACCGATAACTGTATCTCATCTCTTGCTTTTATATCCTGGATAGTTGCCCCCTATTTCACCAAGTACCTCGAGACCTAATCGTCCCTCACTTGTAACCCAGATGCCATGTAGCAGCTTACGGGCAAGAAGCATCCCAAGTTAGTGCTGCAGAGTCAACAGACCTGGTCGGTAAGGTAAGAGGCCGTAGTCACCACCGGAATTGGCTGCTCGTCCCTGATACAGGAATTGCAAGTTGCAAGGATCAATTGTCATTGTCTGATCAGGGTTGGTACGAATTAAATCACCATGGCTGATGTCGTTGGTCCAAGTCGCCCCGCTGTTCGCCTTGCCGGCAAAGGGTTTACTTTCGCTTGTAGTTTGTGCAGTCCATGTGCCACCTAGACTAGTAGCCGTAAATGACCGGAAATAGCGTCCATTGGCTCCTATTGCCTCGACAATCATCAAATACTGATTTTGACCCTGGACGGAATAGACTTGAACAGCCTCAAACAGGTTGTTTGTCGAATCGCTTAGGATGACTGCTGATGATGAACCGAAGTTTCCTGGAAAATTTCCAATTGGCATGCTAGCCCTGTAGATTTTGCCGTTGTCTCCTGCAAAAAATAGGTACATGTTGCTACCATCACCGATGACTGTCTGATCGATAGCGCTGGCCCCGGATATGGTACCGGAGAAAAGTGGCTGTGGCGAAGACCACCCACTCACGCTTGAGGGATTGCTTGAAGTCAAGTAGGAAAACGTAGTTGGTCCCCATTGATACGCAAGCACCCAAATATTCTTTGGGGCAAAGTAGAAGACAGTTGGGGCAACAGTGCCGGGTGTCATTTTGTTCTGGCTTGCTGATGCCATGTTAGACCAGTCTCCAAAGAGACCAAAGTTCATTGAACCCCAGGTTGATCCAGTGTCATGAAATGATCCAAAGACAAGATGCTGTCCGTTGTAGACAACATGAGAGAAGTCTTTCAGGGAGGCCCATCCTGACTTCGGACTGGCTAAAGCACCAGTGGAGTTCCAGCGATATGCCGATGGAAGCGCGCATGCAGCTACTCGTGCGGCGACAACAGTCACCGAGGCAAGTAACAAGGCTCCAGCTTGTAAAAGTCTCATTATAACGTTTTGATATGTTTTTAAGAACAGGAAGGTATTAATAAATGAAGAGTTCAGAATCATCTATCATAACAGAATATCTCAGGTCTTTTATACGCTTATGAATTAGTATATCGTGTAGTCGTGACAAGCTTTGATAAGCTGGAAGTATTTCGTCACGAGTCTCGGTCAGATCGGTTCAATCCATTCTTCATGAATCGGCAGATATGTAAATCGATGCTACACCACGCTTACAGAAAAGCGCTCCAATCGCATCTCTGCCTCGCCCACCATGTAGTGTTGCATTGCGAGATTGCGGGGGGTTGTAGTCTTGGCAGATATTACAGCAACCGTAATTCTATACACATACTGAGGCTCAATTGCTTATGTTAAAAGGTAGTAGAGTTTGCCCTTAAAATAGTTCATATTCCAATCTTTAAGAATCGTTTGATATCAGAGGATTTTAACCGGCTGCCGCCCGGCTATATGTGGCTATAGATCCGGCGGTCTCTGATTATCTATAGGTAGATTTTAAAAGCCTGTCATGATACAGCCATTACGGCGTAACGGCTGCCACCTGAGCGCCATGTTATGAATGCGTCGTGATATTTTTCACTCATGGGCAATTTACTATGCAAGTTCTTCATTCAGTGGATGGATATCACAATCTTTGATTACTTGGTCGTGAATCGAGTTCTATAATTGTCTCACAGCGTAAAACGGCAGTAGTAATTTACTATATTCGCACTAATCGACGGTTCTAAAGTTAAAATAAGCAGATATTAGCATTCGGGTATATTGGCGAGTATCCTGTGTGTTTTATAGTCGTCAAGGTCTGCTATTGGTGCGCCAATAGAGAGCCTTCTACTTCCAGAATTCATTACCCAACACAACCTCTACGGAAGTTGTAATGCCACTCGCTCTCTTCCGAATGCAACACACCCAACTTCACCATTTTGTCTACCACTCGCTGTTCTATACCATTTCAAGCATTAAACATGACAGCTGGTATAAGAAAAAAGAATTACAAAATGAATATTCACACACAAACATACAATGAGGGCACATGTGTGTGGATCATTTGTGGGTATTACGTACATATCATTAATTCGTGATGAATTTAACCATTCGGGTTCTGTGGGTTTTTTATTTCAATTTGCTATGTAAGTTAACAGAATTTTAGAGCAATATATTTATTTAGCACTCGCGTGCTTGCTAGCTCTATGGTATCCCGGGGCACTCATCCGCCCTTTTAAAATTCGTTAGATATCTCTTATTGATAGGTAAAATTGTGTAAGCTGCATCGCTGAACATTGTTGCACTCTAGAGCTGTTTAGTATTTGACGCCTCCGAGATTTTTGACAGTGAATTGAGACTACTGATTACATGCCATCACCATTTTACAATTACAACTCTCTCATTGTATTATCGCGCAACACCATATTGTAATAATCAAGATTCATAACTTCGTAAAGCTATTTGGTAACGTAGTTGTAGCTGGAAAGTTCATTTCGTTGGCTGTCTAAGCTGTAGTTTAAAGATATCGCCGAACTAAATGGCTAGGGAAACATAATGGCCGTGGATATTCCGATCTGTAAGCTTAATACATAGCTCATGAGAGATTATTCTAGAAGTAAGCTGTTAACTACATTCAGAAAGAGCAGAGATATGAGGAAAACCTGTATCCCCAGCGTATAATTCCACTGTAAAACCCACATTGGCGCTTTTTTTCCCCCACTGCGACGTTCATGCCATAAGCTCCCACTCGACATCATGTTTTAATAGCAACAATGGTGATTGTTGAATTAAGAAAAGAATACAAAAACAAAAAATAATTCTATTGGGGTATGATATTCACATTACCTACTCGCGGTGAGCATCTATTAAGTAGCACGTTTTGATGTTTACCAATCATTAAAGCTACGCTATGCGAGCGAGATCACGGGAACCCAACAGGTCGCTCGGCACTAGATTCCCGGTCTAGGCTGTGGGGCCGGATGGCAGCAAAATTTGATACTCGGGTGAGGAGAAATGGAGTATCATCTCTATATCATCCCAAAAGATCGATTACATGCAGGGGCCTCAAGCCATCACGTAACGCTCGTATCTACATCCATGGGTAGTTGCGGAAGGTATCAATGGGTGGTCTCAAGACATCACATCCCCCCACCTTAGACGTTCAACTGCTCTTAACGGCGCTGGTCCGGCAAATACGGCATCGTTTTCGCTACTACACATAAATATAATTCCCGCGTGCGTTTCCTTGTTGTGAAGCTTGCATGATTCGGTGAGCATAATGAGCCTCAAGCCAGAGACTAATAGCAAGCTAAGCACCCCATATTTGCCGCTACAGTATGTCAACACATAAAGAGGTTGGGAACGTATATCCACCGCTCAACACACACTTCTAAAAGTGAACCCTAATGACTGAGTGTGAGTGTAGAGACTATGAGACTCAGAGCATTTTGCAATAAGGACTCGTAGGAATTTTCATGCATCTGCTCCGGCAAATTAAGGGCAAACGGCTCGCCTGACCCTTTGCCGCCCATGGCGATCTCGATTATAAGAAGGGGTTATATTTAAACTAAGCCCTATACACCAATTAGCGCCGTTTGGTTCCGATGCAATAGAACGGGCAATAAGAACCACGTGGGCGCCCTATAATATCCGAACTCGGTCACGAAAGCAGACGGCATGGGCATCATCAGTACGGCAACCTGCCTCAATGGGAATATCTACGCCCATGTAAACCCCGCAGCTTCACGGGGGTAGTTTCATAAGTCGCCTTGGGTATGATTCCAGGAGCTGTGCATGGCAAGTATATAAAGTTGGATCCATCGCCTCGTAATTCGAGAGTGTATGTGACAGGAGTGCCATTTTCAGTTCATTTGCAAAATCTGGCGCGTTATCAAGTTGAGCAATTCGTTACGAGACCATCCACCATCCGCAAAAAATGAAGCACACGCTCATGAAGGCTGCCACTGCGGCACTCATTTTGCCTTCTGCAATGGCAGCGAACGGCCCCATGGTCCCTGACTACGAAGTGCACCTTCTGATGGACCCTACTGTGGTTCTGGGATCCGACTTCAAGCTTACCCCCACGGTACTTTCCACCTTTGCTATGCCGACAACTGTTACAAAGATCAACGTGCAATACCTTGACACGGTTGCGGAAGATCTTCACGTCAATGGGTGGAGTTGCCGTGTTCGCAACATCGAGAACGACAGCGGCTTCGACCTCACCTACAAGTGGCGTCTTCCAGTTAACAACGGAGATATCACCGGTGCTTTGAACACTGCTTTCAGTTACGGCTGGAATTCTGGACAAGGCAACTACGACGCACAAATCGACTGGCTCTATTCTTCACAAACTCTTTCTATTCAACGGGATTATACAGCTTCATCAAAAGGATACAGCGGTACAGATGATCCGAGCGAGAAAGATTCACGGAGCATGCTCGAATCTAACGCACCAGATATGTTCAACGACTGGGTATCCAACGATTGGGGTACAAACATGCTGAAGAATGCCGTCATTTACGGTCCTGTTCTCACCAAGCGCTCTACGGGAACGTGGAACGGCGTCGAGCTCGATATCGAAGTTTGGCCGATTGAGAATTCCGGTGGCACTGGAATTGAATATCTCGTTGAGGCATCTTTCAAAACCTCGGATTTGGACTCTGCTTCATCTGGACGCGATCAATTGATGACCCTGTTGCAGAGCAAGGGTTGGTTTTTGGCAGAGAGTGTGTCCAAGGAAGATCTCGTCTTGGAGAACTACCACCCAACTTCATAGGATCATTATTATGTATAAAATTCTGCGAGATAGAATTATTGTTATTATAGTGGAATCTTGAAGATATCTATAAGTGTAGTAGTACTAATAAAAGTAAATTTTATTATAAAAATGCGTCATAGAACCATCAGGGATGGAGCATACGTAATATTACAAACTTAGAGTAATTAGATGGCCGGGGGTCGAGCGAAAAGATTTATCGCCATAATATTGGCTTTTCTGTGATGGCTGTTACATCCATCTCTCTACAGATTTAACGTTACTATCTTTGGAGGGATGAAGATGAAATGCTCTACAGAGATTTCGTGATGTTCAAGGGTATGTATAGGTATAGACAACCACGATTGGAAATATATGTTAATTGCATTTTATTTATGTTACCTCCTACTCTACAGGATTCGTCCGCCGATAGGAACAGCAACCTAGTCCTTCAGAAGCCTCCATACACTCATACTGAGATAGACCCGCCCTAGCAGTATTGACATGCCGTTGGTGGGCAGTAATTATGGTTACAACTGAAACTGCACAGGCCCAGATAACTATCGCCTTCTCCCGGTAGAGGACAGCCATTGCGCCCATTAGATGCTGGTGGCGAGATGGGAGCACCGAAGGCGGTGCACTTACACGGTCCTGGTGGGCAGTAACCGTAGCTACAAAGGATTAGTTAAGAAATCAAGCAAGGGGTATGGGGCAACCTACTTGCAGCTGAAATTGCACAGGCCAATGTAGTTGCCAGACTCGCCGTCAGCAACGGTGCCGGCAACGCAAACCTGACCCGATGGCGGCGTGCTGCTGGCCGGAGGGGGAGTGGAAGAAGTGCGAGAGACTGGAGGGGAAGAGACAGGGGGAGAGGAGACACGAGTTGAAGAAATAGGAGGCGACGATGCGCGGGTGGTGGAGGATGCTGGAAGCGAGGACACGGGGCCAGAAGTGACAGGAGGGTTGGTTCCAAGAGATGGCCTGGCCTGACAAGTCGTGACATGCAGCCCGATGGTCAAAGAGAAAAGACCGTCAGCCTGTAGAGGGTCGTCAAAGCCGGCAGGAACGGTACCAACATATGGGTTGAAGTTGTAGATACCGCAAGAGCAAACGTTGGTGATATCCATCAACGAGGTTCCGCTAAAGACAGTCTGACCGTTGCGAGTTAGAGCAAACTTTTGCTGGCCGACGCTGGCAGGGATCTGGAAGAGGTTGGCTCCGGCGTTGCCCTGGAACGTTTGAGTGGTGCCGCCAGATGTGATCGTGACACTACCGGCGGTCTTGAGAAGTGCAGCAACATAAACGGTGTCATCCATAGTTTGCCAACCATCGGGGCGTCCCATAAAGTAATTACCGCTTCCATTATTAGCTGGGCGGTTAGAGGTGGTGTCGGTGGCGTCGCAGTCCAGTGCCTTCAAGTTGCGGCGGTACCAGTAGACAAGCTGCTCGTTTTGAACATACTTGGAGATGTCGGTATCCCTGTTCTTATAGGCAGCAATAAACGGCTTTGAAAGATCCAAGAACCCATCGTGGGGCATATCATTAACCCATTTGGAGTTGCCATCATCAAAATGCTTCGACTTGAGTGGACCGACGTAGTGAGACTCGCCGTAGTCATTCCAAGTAACAATCTCAACCATGGGGAAACCCTGTTGCAAGACCTGTTGCCACCGGTTGTAGATCAGAGCGCCGCCTGGGAAGACCCAATTCTTGGAATATGAAACTTCGGGACCGAAATGGGTAAAAAACCAAGGTGAAACGGGCGCTAGGTAAGGCTTGCCACCCAACCAATTCTTATACGCGTTATCACCATCTGCCACTGTGACAGTTTGGCCCGGCTTGGGTGCTTTGTTGTTTCCATCATTATCCCAGGCCTAAAAAAACACATCAGCATCGCTTTCCTGCTCTCAGCTCTGGAGTTGCGGCTTACCATCCAGTTGAGGGCGCCGTCAATGTTTGAGGGAGAAGATTGGCCAGGGTGGAAGTTGGGCACAAAGTAAACGTTGGAGCCTGCAGCAGAGCGCAACGCATTTACATCCAGGCCGTCACCGGCGAAGGAAGAGGCGAATGGACGGTTGTCAACATACAGCTGGGCGGGGCGACTGGCATACTGCGCAATCTTCTGCCCAACACCAACGGCATTGCCGGGGCTCCACCAGTTGAAATCGAATGAAATAAAGACTTTCATGCCATTACGATCAGCAGAGTCATAGGCATACCCGAGCTGCTGGTCGGTATAGCCATCAACACCGATATTCAAGGCGAAGGCGTCAATGCCAGCGGCTTTGGCACGTTGCATATCGTCGTCATAGTCTGCCGAGCTGCCACGGTCACCAACGATGCCAATCTGTCATGACATTACACCACATTAGTTCTGATTTTGATGCTTCCTAAGTCAATACTAACCATGAAGTGACAAAACACCAGACGGTCAGCAGAAGAGGCGCGCTCCTCGAGAGACCGGATAGCGACATTGGCGGGAGCAGCACTGCCAAGAGAAGATAGAGCTGCGGCGGCGAGGGCGCCGAGCCCGAGGCGACGGAAAACGCCCAACATTGACAGTTTTTTGGACGGTTTTGCTTGATAGAATGGATGTGGTCGTTGAAGACCCTTTGGCTTGGAGTCTTGGGTATAACATGGGCCTCAACCAGTGCCTTTATATATTCTTCCCATCTCCTGGCTTCGCATGAAACTCTCTTAGAGACTTAACCCCGAGAGATGGGTACCAGATGCAAGCAGAAGTCGGCAGATGCGAGCCACGAGAGATTGAAACATGTCAAGATCGGTCCGAAGAGGTATTGTACATAGTTACCGAGGATGCCATCTCACCGTCACCTAAGCGACCAGTGTGGTGACAACGTGGGTGACTATTTCGTTGCGCCAATGGCAAATAGGTTACTCGTAAGAAACATCCTTTGCGTGGTTGGTAGAAGTACAAATCACCTGGTGGATGGACGGCGTTTTGCACTGGAATTGGCTAGCTCTGGTATGATTATAATCATGAGTCTGAATAATATATACGAATAAGTAATTAAGCTTCTTTATTGCCATAAGCTTCTTCTATAGCTGTAGGGATCTTGCAGCTAAAATGCACCACTGTTGGGTAAAAGGCCGAGCATTAAACCGAGCGCCATGGGGTGCATGCGATGATCCGTTGAGGAGCCAAAAGCAGCTGCAGATGTCAGCTCGTGCTCACAAAGTACCGTGGACACAATGCCGGTTCATGTACCACGGGTTGTTGGCGTGAAAACCATGAGTAGTATGTAATGATGTTAAGCATAGCTGCTAGAGACAACAGTGTATGCTAAGTGTGTGTCGTTTTAGCCGTACGAGAAGAGTCTTGCTGAAAAAGAAAGAAGCGTTCTGCTTTGCAGTAATACTCTCTCTCTCAAGTAGCGAACTAAATACTACATCTCCCGAATACCCTCGTCGGTTATGCGTCCGGATCTACACCAAAGGTCTGGAGACAAATGCGGACCAAAGCTGGGGAAGCGGGCGCACGGAGACGGAAATCAGATGAGCTGATTCCCCGCAATGTCCAGCCCACGGATATCCTGACCTTGTGGGCCCCTGAATCAGGAACATACAGCTCGAAATCGGGCCATCAGGCGAGTATTGACACGTCTGCCGCGGCCTTCCATTCTGAGTCAAGGTCCGGTATGGCTACCGTAAGCTATCTGCTTTGAGTCAGCTAATGTGGATCTGAGTTGTCAATAACCCTTGAAGAGGTACTGGCACTTTATTTGTCTCCAGATATGCGAGTATTCGTATACATATAGGACGTCCATCGGCAACTTCTACTGGCAACTCGGGTGGGTGTCCTGCACCCCGCTGCAACTCCGCTCCAGGTATCACAAGCAGCCCCAGATGTGATGGTATGGGGAATAAAGCCGAAGCGAAACTTATCGCATATTTGATCTAGTGTTAGCTCGGTAACAATATTGTTTCCGACCGAGTTGTGTTGAATTTGTGTTTGCTATATGTAAAAGTCTGGGATCAATGACTACGCGTTGATATCATCATCTGAAGAGTGGTAAACTGGGCTCCTTGTCCACCGTAACCTCCAACGGTAAATAGCTTGCAGCTCGACCAATTATCAGCTTCTCTGGAGAGTCTTGTTCTTCATTTTCAATGTTGCTGCTATTAGTGCTGCTAGCATGAATGAACCTTGGCAGTGTAGGGCGCGTTGGCCGGAGTTCCGCATCGGAGGACTCAAACCCCGTAGGATTCGTTTCATGCTCCAAACCACAAACATTTACGAGTACTCCGTACAATGCTACCCTAAGTGTGATGCCCCATGCAGCTGCATCACAATGAGTTCTGCCTAAATACTCGCGTAGACGAAACATTTCCGTGAGAGTATTTTCCGACGGCATGTAATCATTTGCGCCGCAGCGTGACGACCATACATGGCAAGTTTCCGCATCTACATATTGATGCCCGAGCCATCACATGCCACTGTGTAAGTATCATTGCAGATGCGGGGCATAATTTATAGCTTAAAAGGCTGAGATTATATCCACGGCTTTACTACGAAGCAATTGTTACAGAATTTTCTTGCCCGCATCACTTAGTTCGCCCCTTTATTGTCGGCATTGATGTGCATACATCCAAGGTGCTTCATCGTGATGCAAACCGCATATAATTGACCGTCGCTTGTTTCTTGCAGTTCGAAGAGTGTGCTTTGAAGGCCCGAAAGGATAATATCTGTCGATTGAGTATTGAACAGAAAGGGTCAAAATATGCACTAGGAGAAGATTCAATATGCTAATGAGAACTGTTGAAGGAGGAACCCATAAAGTACCGCAATCATGGCTGACACCATGATCCTGCCCCGACATTTTAATCTCTGTTTATACATTGCGTACCATCAAGGAAAGCTTTCGATGTGACAGCTGCCGTTGCTGCCGTAGGGCTTCACCGCATTTTATTACCATAGCCATCAGCAAATCGCGAACGCTGTGATCATAATAATGCGGAGCCCCTTCCACGATGGAATGCACCTTGCTTTTCGAAAGTGAAAGTGCCCTCATCCACTATCACATCACGTTCCAGCTCTAATATGTCGGCACTATCATCCAGTGATGTAAATCTCATGTCGACCTTGGTGGTGTTATTGGTCTGTTTTAGGTGAAGATCTTGTTTGTATCTTACTCTCATAAGTAGGCAGCCTGGAGACTCTCCCAAATTCTGCCGAGTTTTATTACGCAAGCCGGTGGAGATAGTATCTACGAGAGCTATACTGGGTACCACAGGGGGGTAGAAGATCGATTTGGTGAATGTTGTCCAGTTTTATCCATGGTAATCCCTAGATGGGGAATGGGTGTACAGTTTTATATGCTACATTCATATATTAATCTGTCTTCTGTAGCCGAACCAGAGTCGATATGCCAGTATTAAGCACATAGAAACTTTAGCCTACCCCAAACGCTCTTAGTCCTAAGAAACCTCTTCATAACCTTGTAGAAATTTCAACTTCAAGTGTCTCTGTTTAAAAGGTTTCGATGTATATTCTGAGAGGATTAAATTGAAAGTCAACTCCTAGATACACCCTTAAGTGATGAGTGATGCCGAAGACACGATATCAACACGTTTCTCATTAATGACAAACTTAATTAAACTCGAACTGAGTATCTCTTAGCAGCATGTAAATTTTAAGTGTGTTATCTACTATCTGGGTGTTATTATGGCCTTTCACATTAACTATTTGCGACAATGCTTTAGAGAAAATGCCGTTTTCATCCATCTTCAGGAATTTGCGATGAAGAGAGTACTCTTTCGGCCTAATATTGCGACCCGGAGTATGAAAAGAGATAAAGGATAGCATATAGCATTGTGTTATTTTATAGAGAGAGGATCGTATATGGCCTCCGGCAGTGCGGACAGCTCTGTCTCAATCATAGAAGGACTCCCGTAGTTAGAGACTCGTATGTTGTTACAGGGTATCAACTACATTCATTGTAGGCCTGCAGTATAATGATGTATGATAAAGAAAATTGACATAATGAAAAGAAAAGAAACGAGAACCCTCATCTACAGTCATATAATCTTTCAGGTGAAGGGGTCTTCAGCTTTTTGCCAACTGATCATCTTCCCATTGCGCTGTACAGATGGTTACTGTAGTACTTAATCTTTAGCACCTATCTGGTCGGTTGGTTGACGACAGATTCATCTTATCCGCGTGCAGCAAGGTTAAGATATTATTAATATCAATCAGGCATTGGAACTCGCGTCCTGAGGATGGATGATTAGTGCTCCCGTTTGTGTCAAAGATGATGTATTATATAGTTTAGGAAATCAGTATTCCACTAGTGGCGGTCGGACAGGGCCGTTTCTGGCCGCTGAGAAGATTCGAGATCCATTACAATTTCGATTCGTTGGGCAAATATTGTCGCGCACACAAAAGATACATACATAAAATGTCCATCGATAGAAAGTGGTTGTATCTAAAGGACATCGAAACGCATTTCCTTTGGTATCCTCTTTCATCTCTCTCCTAGAATTAGTACTTTGGTGGTACCGGCACAATGGCTTTCTCTTGCCTAAAGTTTTAATGCATTCCAGGTTACTAACTATGATAGGAGTAATCTATAACTACAGCCTACCTCATAAACTTCAAGGATTCACGTGTTTTACTACAGTCAATAGGTAGCATCATTTTCGGCTCAAGACGAACGTATAATTCCATTTTCTCGTGACTGACTCACTTCCTAACCTACAACGATATCAGATTGACGCATTTTTAGCTCAGACAACTTATATGCTCATATAAGTGGAAGGACTTATGCAAAAGAAAGAAACCCTGCTCTATATACGGAGTTGAGCTTAAATAAACTTCCATCCCTAATGCTAGTGAGGCTACTTAGCGCATCACTAACAGAGGCCGGCGGGGACTTCCAGAGATACGCTAACTGTATGTCAATATAAAACTTCCCGCGTTAGCACATTTGCTCTTTATTCAGGCGATAACATGATGCATACATCTGACCGCGTGCAGATACCTATTTTGGGTATTCTTGCGATGCTTTATTGCAAGCTGAATTTGTTTAGCTGATGGTCAGCCCAATTGAGTTATAATGCATACACACTCTCATGGACGTATTCGCAACTAATGCTTGTTCAACGCCGGACGATACATCAATGGTTTGCGTGATGACCACCTTGCCAAGACAGCACACTATCTAAACCGTGTGCTTGGCTGCATGATTTTGATCGGAAGACATGAAATAAATTCCAGCTCATAGTGGGAGCCGAGGCACAACGCACTCCGGATTGCGGGGTAGGTTTCATGGTGGAAGTTCCAACATCTACTGCCACAACATTATAGACAGAAAGATCGTGTAAAAGACGTGGGGTATCTGTTATTCCCTCCCATTTTGGTAACAATAGACTTGGCTTACAGAAAGCTGCAGCCTATTACAAGCCCTGTCGCGAGGTAATTAGAAATTCGAAGGCGAGCACTATCCCTCTTTTGTTTGAGTGTCGCGAACTGAGAGATGCCAACGGAAATGCCCTTTGCTGCGAGATATTCTCAAGAATTGCCAAATCCATAACTAGCTTGATTTAAAATGCAATCCGAACGTGAAGGATGAGATCTATGAAGAAGATGTTTTCAGATAGAAAACTGGAGCAGGCAGAACATGATGTAGCGACGGTAGTCTTGTATAAATACCCGGTTGGAAACCCGGAGTTCTCCTGATAGACAATCAAGCTCAATCTTAGATCTCAGCACAAGACTACAGATCGCACATTAAAACGTATCTTTTTAGTAACTGCAATGAAGTTGTTTCATCTTTTACCATGTCTGACTCTGGCAGCCGCTGTCCCCGTACAACATGCTACGGAGGACGTTGCCTCTCTCGCCGAGCGCCAACTAAGCACAACACGAAATGAACTTGAATCAGAGAGCTCATCTGCCTGCCCCCGAGTGATCTTCATTTTTGCTCGTGCTTCTACAGAGATTGGTAACATGGTGAGTGTTGCGCATATGACATTCTTCTGAATTTTAGCAGAGATCCCGTAGGGAGCATCCGCTGGTCCTGCCGTCGCAAATGCTCTTGAGAGCCACTACGGTGCCTCTCAAGTGTGGGTTCAGGGCGTTGGTGGCCCTTACACTGCTGAATTGGCTTCGAACTTTCTCCCTGGGGGGACCAGCCAGGCCGCCATTAATGAGGCGAAGCGTCTATTTGACGAGGCAAACCAGAAATGCCCCAACTCAGCAATCGTTGCAGGTGGCTACAGGTGATTATCCTACACATACCATCCTCAAATATTTTGCATTCTAACGCATGACGCATAGTCAAGGTACTGCGGTCATGTCTGGTTCAATTTCTGGCCTGAGTGCCACCGTTCGAAATCAGATCAAAGGTGTTGTACTATTTGGATACACGCAAAATTTCCAAAACGGCGGCAACATCCCCAATTTCCCCAGCTCGAAGCTCGATGTTTTCTGTGCAGCAACTGATGCAGTTTGTTACGGCACCTTGTTTATCCTTCCTGCGCACTTCCTTTATACAGATGAAGCAGCGGATGAGGCTCCCGATTTTCTCATAGGCCGGATCGGTTAGTTCAAGAAATGGAGCCATAGCACTACTTTGATTGCTATTCGGTTGTTGGTTGGTGTGAGGTATGTTAGGAAGACAGACTCCACTTGATCGATGCATATCGAAAATTTTAGGGATATTCATGCATGCGGAGAGGGGATGTGATCAAAATGGTATGCCGAATGAAAATTTGAGACAGCAGATCTACTATAGTAGACTATACTCAATTAGCTCCGAGTACCATTTATGGAATGTAATGGCCACCCAAGAGTGATGATTGTGCTGACTTTTCTCGGTATCGCGTTTCATGTGAATCAACCATGTAATTTCATGCTACGTGAAAACACAACCATTGAAGTAAAAATGTTTACAAAGAGGCGATGTCCCTCTTTCAATATGTATGTGCTTGGTTGTGAGAGTGGACTAGGGACACCATATTTGGGTTGAACGGATGCTCTTATAACGCGAAGATTGCCCTTACCCAAAATAATCAGCATGATACTTGATACTAAGTATTTACTTAAGATATAACATCTAAGGGTGGGAGAAGATTATGAAATATTGTGGTCCAGCGTGAAAATACGGTCTTGCGTATCTTCGTCATAACTGAAATAGATAAGACTTCCTAACGTGACGATTGTATCATTTGCGTTGCTATTGCTTTGCTATAGTGGAAAAAATGCATCCATAAAAATTACGGTCAAAATGCGATTCCTACACCGGATGTCGCGTCTAAATCGTTGGCGTTTGGTGGCTTCGAGTTGTCAAGATACAGCCGCACGGGTGGCGCCTGGAATCAACTTCTGCAAAAGTGCACTAATACCATCACAATACCTAAACAACGAGTAGTCGAACATAATGAGGCAATGTATATACTACGACGGCCAAAGGAGAAAAGAAGAAGAAAACACAATAATTAGGTACACTGCGTTGTGAAGTCCCTAGAATAGACATGATTGTTGGTAATTGTATGTAACCTGGTGAAGAACCAGGAGAACGCAGTACGCTCTCGTCAGGGAATGCCGGAATTCACAGGTGACTGCGGCGGGATATGGGTACATTTGTAGTCGGCATGTTGGCGTGTCAAACAGCAAAGGGATTCCCAGACTTATCCCAAAAGAGCCGCAGTCCATAAAGTTCCGACCGCAAAAGGTTGACAACTTTGAATCGGTTGCTGAGCCAGGTATCATCACGTGTGTGTCAGACCCTGGAATTAGTTGCGGGTGGATCGCTGTCATGCTGGGAGACTTTTCCCCCAGATATCCATGCAGCTTCCCCACAAGGTTGCATTTGAAACCATAACCTCGAGATTATATACTTGTAGAGCTTGGTGAGGCAGGATGCTTTACTTGTGCCACAGTTAAAAATTAAAAATTAAACGATTACCAATACAATTGCATACATACATACATACATATGAGTACACGTTCTACGTTTCAACCTAAGTACGAGTATGCAAGCTAGAGTTGGTTTTTGCTGCAGCTATTTGCTTGGCGAGGAACCAGAAACCAATAGCCAAGTTTGCAAGCTCCAAATGGTTCGGACGAGTTTCTAGCCGTGTTAAAATATTTCATATTGATTGCTCACACTAAATAAGATGATTATATTCAACACAAGCTACTATGTATGTACGCGTTCCGTAACTGTTTCTTCTTGCCGATTGCCCGAGTCAGTTGCTCCGCAGCGCGCGCAGCTTATCGCATTCCCGTTACTCGTATTCGATCCGGGTCGGGATGTGGTAATTCCTACAGGTGTCATCCCCAGTCTTCCCTGGGGTAAAGAAAAACCGTTTGTCATAGATTGGTTGTTATATTACCACTATGCTCTAGCTATACGCACTAACTAGCGATTGACGATGCCTTATTCAATGTTCTGAATTGGAATTGCTCCCGTTTGTTATATAAATTGGATATGTGAGAGAATCCATTCAGCTGGGCCCCCTACCAGAACTTTTAAGTGGGCTACAGTATCCTCATGAAATTTGTCCCACTCGTGATAAGCTCGTCATGCAAATAATTTCTCTCTTCTCTGCTCCATTCGCAGAGCTACAGACTACTAGCACTCGCACCATTAGACGCCACCTCCTTCATCGCTAACGAGGGGACTGAGTAGCGCTGATGTATTTATGGGGGTTCCAGAGCTGATAGGCCCTCTCCCCAGCTGGTTGCGCTCGTTTTAGCAACCATGAGCCCCTCAGCGACCCATCTGTAACGACGGGTTTGTGGGGATATGGGACCATCGCCTGTACAGTAGGTATTTGAGCAGTGGTTTCTTGCTGGGTGAGTGTCGATGAATGTCGATGAATGGGCTGGACACGGGATCGGCGTTTGAACGTTTACGTCAAGACTTTGGGCAGTCGAATGTCACGATGAAAAAGTAGATAATGCACTGCACCACCCGTCGCTTCTTTTGCCCTTATCTAGGCGAGGACTCAACAGGACCAAGTCCGCTTAAATTTCCGTCGCAGATTCTTGAGGGATGGATGGCATCCTGAAATTACGCCAGCAGGAAGAGATGTGATTGCTCGCGACCACTCGGAACGAGTTACCAATCGTCCGATGAACGAGAACTATCACTGAAACAAGCTTCGCCTGATGCAGGGGAAATGATTTATTTCCGAAGCCGGAAGGTCCTGGGCAAACTTCTAGCTCGTCTTCCCATCAATCGGCGTCGTTGGAGGGCGTTCAATCAGCCGCAGTTCCGCCCCGCTCCAAATCAAGGAGTATCGCCGGGGCTAGCACTCGCAGCCATCAATCGAATTCTAGAATGACCGTCTCCCAACGACCACAAGCCAATCTCTAGTGTCTCGAGCCTCGGTCTCTATCAGTCTTATCGGTCTAGTGCGGTGATGGCGTTGTTCCGTTGCAAAGGTCCCGTCAGGGGATGCAGAATTGAGGGCCGATCCCGCAATCTTCAGCAGCGGGCGTGCAGTCCGATTTTGCCAGCGGTTCGTGTGCTAGTGGGCCCTGCAACGATGAATATTTTTCAGGGGAGAGAGTCCAGCTCTGCTCTTGGTATATTTGGAATGGCAAGATTCTTGGTCCAGGGCGGCCCTAAGTAGCACCTCAGGCAATCTAGCCCTTAGCCTATCAACTTGGAATCGTTCCTGACTCAGAACTTCTCTGCCAAGGTGCAGGACCTTGCGCTAACATCGCCCGCTGCGAACGATCTACTGCAGAGACAGGGATCAAATATGGGATGCTACTCAAAAGACGTGATAAGGCGGTTTAGCAAAGGACAAGGGGCCATAATGACGCCAAAAGGGAAATGTCTCGCGCGGCCTTATCCTGCCTTTGAATGCAGCATCCCCACGTGGCGAGTGCATAATATCTGTATGCCTCTTCGCTACTGCTGATCATTCCCTTCTCCCTTGCATCTCTTTTGTAACCTTGTCAGTGCTTTTCCCGGAGCGGTCTTGACCCTACCAAGAGGGGACAGGCAAGAACTCGAAGAAGAAGTCGGGTCCAATGTGCACAGCGCCTATCTCGGAACCAGCAGCACGGACGCAACAAGTATCCCAAGATGGACGCAGAATTCATGGACCAGTTGTGGAGTGAGCGGCACTATGGAACACCGCTCGCCATCATCTTCATGGTTCTGCCAACGGTAGCTGTCGGCCTACGATTGTACGCGAAGATTACGGCTCATCAGCCAATCGAGCTCAGCGACTACTTCTCCATTGCAGCATGGTTGAACACGTCTGCCTTCTTCATATCATTACTGGTGGCTGTGTATCTGCCGCCGTCATATCTTGATAATCCGGATGGCATCGATGTGCCTGTGTCCAAGATTACATTCTCTCTAAACTTATTGTGGGCGGCGGCCTGCTACTGCTGCAAATTGTCGATCCTTTGCCTTTATTACCGCCTCCTCAGCACGCCATCCAGCACATTTCGTCTAGTAGTCAAGATCATGTTTGTTCTCACAGCTTGCGTCGGCATCGCAAGTGTCCTGGGCTTCCTCCTGGTATTCCGAGATATGTCATGGTGGTGGTCGACAGGGATGAAGACACATCCAAGCGCCCAGGCGAATCTAATCAGGATGAACGAGGCCATCGATATCCTGTCGCTTCTGACAGATGCAATTCTGTTCATCATGCCGTTGCCTGTCATCAGAAAGTTGAGTCTCAGCAAAAGCAAAAGGCGACTTCTTATCGGACTCTTCTCCCTCGGATTCTTGTAAGCGACTGCCATTCTGGACCTTGGATGAAGTGGAAAGATGATGCGCTGACACACCCGCTCTAGAACCTGCATTGAGGTTATTGTTCGAATCATTACTACGTACGGCTTCAACGGTGCTTTGGACGCCATCCAGGTTCAAGTCCTGCTAATGGGTATCGAGCCATCCATGGGCATTACACTTTGCTGTTTGCCTGTTTTCCTGAGACTAGTAAGTTTCAAAGTAGACACACCAGGTGTTTATAGATTTGCTAACCGGGTATCTTCAAAACAGTTCCGAAAAGGCCAGCAGAACTCCAGTGGTCCCAACTACGCTTCCGGAGAACGTGGCGGCTTCTACTCTCTTGGCCCGATGAGTGCGAAGCGATCAACAACACGAGATCCTGACGGAGCTCTGCTAGATTCAGCCCTGGGCAAGCCGAAACCAGTTCTAGTACAAACCGAAATCACTATACATTCTTCACGTAGCGGATATAACGACTCCATTGAATCTCAGGAGGGCTACTGGAAATAGAGTCGTTGCCGGTCCTCAGTTTAATTGCTAGACATGTTGAGCAATCCTAAGAGCGAATGATGAATTTGTACGTTAATACAATGATAGTTAAAAGACCTAATGATTGTTAAATTAAATCATGTCTCTGCTCTTCTGCTTTGTACCGTTTCAATCAAAAAGCTGGGAAGAAACCTCTCGCTAAGCTAGTTATCACAACGCTATTGACCTCTAATCCCAGCTACAAACAAAACCTCTATATTGTTTCAAAGTTTGTTTCCTCACTCCAAACAATTCTGCTCCAAGTGTAGAAGAGCCAAACAATCCTTTCGTCATCAACGTAGGAATACATCTACGAGTCCTCCGCAGAATATTGGATATGAACTGTCCTGTGGTTGAATTGGCCGTCTCATCCTCTAGCTTCACAGAGATTTCGCGTATTGATGAGCTACTGGAGATATGCTGCTGCCATAGCAAGTATCCAAATAACATCACATCTAGTAAAACGATGTGTGTATCGACGGCTGCTGCCTGGGTAGTTCTTGTAAGACTGGACCTGATCACAACATCACTTAGCGTATAATCCACAAATGTATACCCACAGATCATACCACTATTAAACTAGGCGGTATATTTACTCGTCAATGATGGGTACATGTGTTCTTTTTGTGATCCATAGTCTTCCGCGTATGTAGAACCGTGGTGGCGATAATTTCTAGCAGTGGTGGACTGCACTCCTCCTTTCTCTCTAGAGGCGGGGCAGCCTCTCATCGATGAACGCTACAGGTACGCTATTTGACCATTAGTGTTCAGCAGCCGTGGCCCCGGAAAGGATTGATTGGAGCCTGTTCTTACCACTGTGGCCTTTGACAATGTCGAAATTACCAGGAATTCCTGTGATCTTGATGTTTAGTGGGTAAGGGCCAAGAGTCAAGGGCACTAACCTGTCGCTTTAACTCCGATAGTGGTGGTGCTCGCATCTTTCTTTTGACTACTCCGTATTAGCAATAGGGATGGGCATAGCTAGCTAATGTACTCCTCTAAAAAAGAAAGAGAGCATACGTATGGCGCAAAGCCTACGGGGTCGATAGATCTAGCGAGAAGCCGCCTCATAAAGTCATCTTAAATGCTTTGAAGATATTTTTATTGGTAACCACCGTATCGATTAGTATCAATTTATTCCCCTTCGCCAAATCATTACTTCGTGGGTCAGGCTCTTTTGGAGAAATTTTATTCCGACTCTGCGGGCCCAAATGACCCGTTAGTCGATCAAGATCTGTGTCGCTGTTGCGTCTGTGAGGAGATGGTATGGCAGAGAAACATCCCTTTAGGTCTACTAAAACACTCTCTCAATCTTCGCGAGTGGTGGTAACCCCGAAACTTATATCGGTCCAGATTCGCCGTCGGAGTTGGCATCTCTGGCAAGGTGCTTTAACCTGTGCGTAGGATTGGTGTTGGGTTGTATTGACTTACTCTTGTGAATGCAGGCCTTGGCAGTAGCTTATGGCGATCTAGGCGCCTGGCCAGCCAAAGAGTCAAAATTCTCCGTAGATGGGCGAATGGGCGAATAAACGCCACAAGATTGATGCTACAGAAACCAGCAACCCTCTTTCCTTACCCTAGATGATAAATTCTATCCGCATTCTACTTCTCAGGTGATGATAAACACCAATAATCACGCATAGGCGAGTGACCCATACTTGAGGGACTGTGCGAAATATCGAGTCCTACCAAGGATTGTGAAGCATTTTAGATATCCAAGTTACTTCTCTAATGTTCTCGTCATCAAGTTGCAGTTTTCCAGCTTCCAACAAGCTAGATGTAAGATTAGGTTCTTCTCTTTGTTGCATGCGCAGCTGATGGCCCGCCAAGCCGTTTCGCTTTTCACCATCCAGGTTTGAATGATCCCCTGTGAAACCCCTCTGACGATACTACCATGCCCTGGGTTGATACTGGGGACGCATTGTTAGAAGATGAAGAACATGGTTCAGGAAATGATCACACAACACCGCAATGAGAATATCTCTTGAGTAATGATAGAGGATATCAGTTCCAAAAAAAAAACCATTCATTTTTTTATGTCGTTATTTTGACCATGTTGGGCTGGGTTTACCTCACGGCCGGATGAATTAGATCTTAGGCGGTCAGAACCTAAAAAGGACTCAGAATTTATCGCCACACGCGGCCCCTGCAAACGAGACTGTCTCTTGAAATGCTGCTTCTGCGTGTCATTTGAATGAGTTACCCCTTTATGAGGGTGATTAAATTAATATGCTCAATTTATCTGCGCTGAGCATGTTGTGCATTGATTGATTCATAAGTATGGTGCTATTACTGACTGAGATAAAATTTATAACTGGAAGAAATCTGTAAACATGGGCCCTAAATGATTCGCCCGGTAAGTGAGCATGGAGTTAGTATCTCATCACCAATGGTTGGAGCTTCAAGGCCATGAAAGAAGCCTAAGAAAGCTGATACTAGATTAACTAGCTGTATCATTTGTGACTATGGTGTAGTAAGGCATGCCTGGACATGCTCTATGGCTAATATAGGGATACTTCGCACAATCTTCCAAGAGCTGCGGCTCCATGAACAGAGTTTGGTAGCAAGGTCTAAAAATAAAGATCGCCTCAAAGAGTTGAATGTCAGATAAGCTCAAATCCAGGCTAATGGAATACGAACTTGGTTGAGTCTCATTCTTTGGGAGGCGTGGCTTCCCGCGTATAAACGGCTTACTCCACTATTTGATCCTTGTTTCATTGTATTAGCATGACCTCTACTCCATAATCGTACCTACGATTGTACAGAGTGTCTGTAAGGCAGACACGTCACAGTACTGATACTGCAAATAAGCTGGATCACTGCCCATGATGATTCACAATAATCAGACAAATTTATGCCTAATTTCGGGGCTGATGGGCTGTATAGGAATTCTTTAGCCAATAAGATCAAACTGCATCCTTAAATAGATGCTGCAGAGACTGGGTTCGGAGACCGGAGTATAAGATTCCATGACATGTACTGGTCTTTAGCTCCGAGCTATATTCCCGGTATTGCTCTGTATGTGGACTGAACATAATTAGATTACTCATAACCCTGGTTCTTGGCATTGTGTAAGGCTCAATGAGAGTAAGCACAGGAAAACTACAATAAGGCTGAATAGTCCAGCTTTTGTTCTGCTATACACAGTCCAAAACCTGGCCAATCCACATTCTTCCTATCTTGATCATCTTTCCCCGAGCCTGGCTAACCACTGCGAAGATGTCACACGCACCTGTCGGAAACTCGCCCTTCCTCAAGCGCGTGCTTGTTCCATTCTGGGTGATACGAATTTTAATTATGGTTGTTGACATTGCCATATATGCCTTCGGAATTGGCATTGTTGCTTCAAACAAAGAAAGGATTGACCAGAGATTCTTTACTGGCTCATTGGCCATCTTCGCCGTTATGGAGGGCATTCTTGTCCTTTGTCTGCTTCTTGATATCATTTGTATTATCAAGCGAGCTCGCCGGACACTCTCACCGAGATTCTTCTTTGCGACAAACCTCGTACAGACAACGATCTTCGTCGTGTTATTCGTCTTGTCTATGCTCGGTGGACAGACAGCGCTCAGCTTGATTCTTAATATTTTTATTGTGTAAGACCACAATTACCTATGACTCCCCCTAGTCACGTATTACATTTCCTCTAAAACAAACCAATACTAGGCTATCATTCATTGGACTTCTTGTATACGCTTCTATTATCTTTCACAAAGATCGCAAGGGAACTCTACGAGGTAGCTACACACCGGCTGCACAATTCGCGGAATCTACCAAACTGTCGACATCAACGCATTATGATTCTTCATATTCAGGACCAAAAAACACAGAAGAAAAGGCTTTTCCCAGCTCAGCTGCATACGAACCTGATCGAACGCGAACGTACTATGATACGCCAGCGCATAGTAGCCCTGCCGATGTACATCAGACAAATCGCCAAGAGGCGCACGAATATGTGTAAATAACACTTTTTCATAGTTATACAGGTGAAGGTGGACATGGGATGTCTATCTGAACAAGGGTTATTCTCCATAAGGTTACTGAGGTATACAAAATGTGAACTTTCAGTTGAACGAAAGCTCTCTAATGAGCTCAGTTGGCTGTGTCGTCGTAGTCGTTCCTTAGATGCTGGTGTAAGTGACCCTGGGTTTCTCTTTTGGGTGGCATTTTATGTTAAAGGCCCGCCACCGATTGTGTCTCATTCATTCGTACTAGCGGATGAAATAAGACTACATTTCATCCTTGGTGGGTACGTGAAGAGGGCGGATGAGAACACTGATGTTATTATTTGTGATGTGAGCCCCTGGCATGCATTAAATTCTGTTTATCACGATTATCATATGAGTTCTGCTTAGATTCTGGGAGTGAAACCATCATCCATAGGCTTTTAATAGAATGTGGGATGAGGAAATAGTCAGGTATGTAGGTGGATGATAGATATATAATTTTAAAGTTAGATGTCTACTAATAAATGGATACTAAGTTTGTAGCATAGGTATTATATGCGAGTACTTCTCTGATATTTTAGCAGTATAACAGAGAGAGAAAAAATGCCGATGCGCGGATTATATCTCACGGAATCAGGGTTTATGGTTCTGACTTTTGCATGGAGGGTGCGGGGGAATTGAATCCCCTACGCTCGCATATTATACCGATAGTTACGATTCGAGTTGCGTCAAGCAACCAGATAAGACAATCAAGCATGTATCTGTAAATAAACGACAGAAACTTGTTGCATTACGATGTCATTTATGATAGGTGCAAAATAACTTTGTGAAAGAAGATCATCAGTCCAAGGTTTTATGCACGTTATATTGTGCGTTGTCATTTGCCCAGGAAGATCTGATATGCTAAAGTGCCAATCAAAGCACATTCAATGTCTCATTATCATTAATGACAGTTATAACCTAGACTTGATCATACATTGTATACGCGTGTAGCTACCTCTTTTATAAAACTTCAATCGGTTCCCCTTGCGTCCCACATAGTAACTCTCTGGTGGTGGCATTGGCTTCTTGCTGAGTTACTGGACAAGGGATTTCTGTTGCTGTACTGCTACAAAGCTACCAGCAGCATTATTTCACTTTTCATGCGCGGTTACGGCGTGGGGGAGATCGCCGTTAAAGTCGTTGAACGAATGATCAACATTACTTCTACCTTATCCTGATCACATTCGTCCCCATTTGCTTTATTTTTCGGGATTCCCGGGATTAAAAACTTCTCAACAATATAATAACCTCTCTCCGATATTTGGTCAAATTCTTGATTGACAGAGTCAATAATGACCGTCTGCGCCTATTTCCTGTTTATTAAAGATATGCAGACTTTTGTATGGAATTGAGACGAAATCGTCGCGACTTCTCAATAAACGACGTCTCAAAGAAATTTGTTCCTTGGATATCTCATTTCAATGCCACATATATTATTCCCCCCCAAAACGATTACTGATCTTGAGCATCAATCAGGAAATATCGAAACCCTCCTTTGACTGTGAGTCTGTGGTTACTATTCTAATTCTGATATTGTGGATTTTGCCGCAGGGTTGGGGGTCAGAGGCACCTGTATATATATCCGTAAGTGATGCATCTGGCATTATTTCTTGCACATATTCCTAAATACGTTGAATAATAACTTACAAATATGGCGCTACTTACTTATATATCCAAAAATGAATGGAGCGCCGAAAACTGCAAGACTGCAGCTCACCGTTTTGTGCGAACCTATCTCCACATGCTTGATGGCGCCGATTGGTCCAATCAAAATTCTCTCCGATTTTACAGTACCTCTTGTATCTTCCATAACCAGAACGGTATCGATCTTGAAGGCTCTCAAAATCTTTGGCGATTCCTACCTAAGCTTTTCGCCCCGGTTCTTAAGATGAGGCACGAGGTGTTGCTTTGTAAACAAATTGAGCAGCCGGAAAAATGATACATTGAAATTGAGCTTCAAGCTGTTCGACATCTCTGGTTTCAAGGGCCGGGTTACAACCATCAAACCCCTACAGTCTCGGTGCCACTACATGCGACAATACCGACAGAATCAGCAGAAAGGGACCTTGGCTATCAAATGAAAGAAATCTGGATCTACTGGGATACGGCTTTATTGTCCCCCTATCTCCAGTCTGAAGCTGTCCTATTTGATACCAATTTTGGATGGGAGTCGGCTAGGTCGATCGAGGCGGTATAATATGTCGCTGAGCACTCCGGTGACAAACCACAATTGTCGCCATTGTTCTTGAAACCGCCTAAACATTCGCTTACTCGACTAATACACTCATTATAAAGACGCATCATATACCAAAGAACTGTTTCATGTAAATAATTACACCAAAGAAACGACGAGCTCTAGGTGCTTATAATATATAGTATCGACATACATTCCTTCAGAAATTGCTCTTGCGAGCTTAAACATGCCACCGCAGATTTGCTTTCGCCTATTACCCTAGCAAGTCCCGCTTATCTCTACTACTGGGAATAAACAACCTATCAACGCCGGTTTTTATACAGAAATACTGTCCCATCATCTGGATATGAACAGTTACCGAAGAAAAGGAAAAGAAAAAGAAAAGAAAAGAAAAGGTCGCATTTTTCGCCGGTATTGGTTCTTCTACTGCCATGGTGATATTATCAATCCATATTAGTTCTTCGATGTAATCAGTACATATGCTGGCTGGACTGGTAGTAAGCTCTTATTAAGGCTTTTGTCATCGGCTAACTCAGTAATGAACTTTAAAAAGGGCTGCAGTGTTGCTTAGCATTGATCTCGCAGTACCTTGGATGATATACGAATGAAAATGTCAAAATGTTTATCTATTTCTAGCTGGGAACGTATTTGTCTTTCAACTAAGGTTTTCTGTCGTGTTTTCTTCCAAAATTGGCGTCATGAGAGCATCGTAACGAATTCGCATGGAATCCTTCAGGTCCACATCTACTGAAGTTGAGGTTCAGAATTGCCGCAGCCAGCGGGGTTGCATAAGCACTACTGCGCAGTGCTCTGGACAATCAATGGCAATTCGCGGCTTTCGCTGAGTAGTACGGAGTATTTGTTGTGAACATGCAAGGAAGCTAGAGCTGGCGGCGGTGTGACCCAACCTTACAGGGGATACTCGTATATATATTGGGCTCCATTCGATCTGCCCCCCACTAACTACAAGTTCAGTTTTTGCTGATGCCCTCGAAACAGAGCCGTGTCATCATATCGGGCAAAACGACTCGAAACATATGTCCGCACCGCGTGTTAAGAATCCGAATTTAATAGAAGCAACCAGCTCCTAAGCATAAAATGCCGGTGTTTGAGAGTTCATCCGACTTTACCGTTCGATCGGGAACATCTTTGGATGAGGTCAAGGATCTTTGGTGGAGCCGGATGAGAGATTTAGGATGGGTAAAGCTCAGATCTTGAATTCATTTACGCGATAAAAGAAGCTAATGGATGATAGAATCGAGATGAATTGGATGCTAAAACGCACTTTACGGTTGCAAAAAATGGCGAAGACTGGCTCATTGTGGTCCCGAAGGACAAAAAGGAGCCTTCTGGGATGGTGATCGGTTTCAAATATCCCAACCAAACCGGATGGATTGGCTTCTTCATAATTAATAAGGAGTATCAAGGCAGAGGATGGGGAGGCATTTTATTCAGAGTAATGCTTGATTCGTACAAGCAGAGTGGCATTCACACCGTCGGCTTGGACGCGGTAAAAGCGCAAGTCGAAACATATGGGAGACGGGGGTTTGTTGAGGCAACGAGGCTCAAGCTTATGACACGCGTATCAGCAACTGAATTACCAGTCAACTACGGAGACAAAGAACCCAATGACGGCTATACGGTAACTGATATAAAGGAAGTTGATGAGAGCAGCCTTGCAGCTCTTGACCATATGCATACTGGCCTCCAGCGACCGGCACTTTGGACAAAAGACGCTTTATTCTCTCGCCCAGATGCTTTCGGTTTTGCTGTTTCAGACAGCTCGAAGAAGCTGCAGGGATTTATTCTTGTTCGCCGTTGCGAACATGGACACCGATTTGGGCCTTTGATAGCAGATTGTATCGATCACGCGTCTCTCTTACTTCAGCTCGCTATGACACATCCGAGCGTGTCGACATCCACTGGAAGCCTAATCGCGGAGGTATTTGGTGCGAACGAAAACGGCATGAGAGTCTTCTCAGAATTAGGCTGGGAGTGGGCAGGGTTGGACTACCATAGGATGTGGCTCAATGGCCGAGTGCCTGCTGAGCAGCAAGAAGGTGGACAGGGACCAAGAGGAATGTTTGCTGTCTTTGATGCGTCTGAAGGCTGATCCTATGGATAATAAAGGCAGGCTGCACTCCAAAGGCAAAATGGAGCATACCCGGTTGGTTGACTAGAAGGGGATCTCTACCCCCCGCCTCTCTAACGTAGAGAGACGGGAACAAAACCCGTATCTTGTGAAGATTTGACGAGTCTATCCTTTGTTTCAAATACAATTTCTTGTTGCTCATGGTCGTCATTGGTTATTCCGGTATATGGGTACATTTAATTTAAATACGAAATCTTAACAAGATAACGAGTACATGCTTCTTAACAACACGCGAGCGGACGTTTGACTGAGAGATGGGCGAGGCAGATTTATTGTTGTCTCTAGTAAATGATTGGCCAAAGGTAGCGTCTATACTTCCATTCAGACTTTCCGTGTAAAATAGTAGGCAGTTTTAGTCGTAGAATAGGCTGCAAACTTCGCTTGGAGTGCGAGCACAAAGGGCAGCGTGAATGTATCCAAGAGTTTGACATGGAACTCAATAGGCTTCTTTTACAGAGACAATAGCCCACGGAGTTCTGTGGAAGACAGAGCGTTTAACTGAGATGCAAGTTGGTGTAAATCTTGAAACTTTTTGGCTGCACTGGGACAATGTATCACGTGTAAAGACTGCGGTCGCATGCGGTGCATCTTCGCCAAGATCACCAACGGGTTTGTCCTTGCAGGATTATAGTTAAGAAAGTAGCTCGTGAAGGAAGAGACGGACATGGAATCAGCATCAGTGGTACTTTTGTCCTCTTCTACATAATCGGAGAGCGACGGGCAGTCATAACTTCCTGGTGAGATTGGAGCTGGAAGTCCACGATCAAGGCATAACTGTAAGGACAACCCAAGCGTTGTTACCCACGACCGCCGGAGAATCTTAACCTCCGGGTCGGCATGTCAAGATCGATAGTAGTGAGGTGTCGATGCGAACCCATCTTAGCCGCTACTCGAGTCGGATCAAGGTCCCTGGTAGATCATAGTGATGTAGTCGAGGCTGCATTGACTAGCCTATATACCGCGACAGGGTGAGGAGACAAATGATTTGTACGGTATCGAGCTCGGCTCTAGGCCCAGTCATAATTTTGCCACCGCTTCCCATACGCAATCGACGCCGACGCCCGTTTTCGCCAGTTGCTGTCATTTAGTTGCTCATGGCCTGTCTCGCTGGCAGCATCGATTCCTGAGCAGACAAAAGCTCATAGAGCGATACATACAACCAGTTTACGGAGAAATGACTCTTCCTAGTCTGCTGGACATAGTGATGAAAGCCTTGTCCAGAAGCGCCTGTAATCGTGAAGAAAGGCTGGCGCATACAAGATACGCGATATTGGCTCAAAGATGGCGAGGTACAAGTATGTCGCAACATTAGTTTCAACATCATCGCGCAGATGTGTCGTCATTCTCATGGTTGCAAGAGAGCAGAGGACTAGATGCGTAGAATTGGTTTCTTTAAAGAGTGAATCCTGCTTGTTAGAGCGTACATGTGAAAGTTGGGAAAACCGAAGAGATACACTGTTGTTAGGCGTGATCATTGTCACTGTATGCGAATGGATGGAACTGAGAATTATTGTAGATACATCCGGTGTTGGGTAGTTTCCTGCATGAGCGGCAAGGTGTCGCACTGTCACATGTAAACCTTTCTGCGTCGATGTTCGATACCCGTTGTGGCTGAACGCCATCGTTTGTAAGTAAAGGGCCTGAATCCATCCCGAAGTGATTACAAATTGACCTAAAAAGAGACTGAAGTAAAACAATGGCTTTTTTGAGGCGTTGCAAGAGTAAGGTTGCCTTCCGAGTTTCTTGGGATTGGCTTCGATGCATTAAGGTTGCTTATTACATTACAGGAAGCCGAAATGAGATCATAACGTTATAGAACCCTGTCCGCTTGTGTGTGCAGCAGCGACATGCACGCAACCCCTGTTTGTTTTTTCACACGTAAAAAATAATAATAATAATAATAATAATAATAATAAATAGCGATGACAATAACGTGAATAATAGTAACAAACAAAACACGTTATATAGATAGGAAGCAAGCATCAACTACCTTATTCCATTAACGAAGTGAAGACTTAACAATCTGTCAGTTTCACCATACCAACCCCGTTTGAAATGTTTGCTCTGGATTGCTGCTGTTTCCCAAACGCATTCAATTAGTGTACGCCCGCTCTTTCGACCGCAATCATCGCGACTCCATAGTTTAAGGTATATACTTATGTACGAGAAGTCGATCTTGATACATAATACCCGAAGTGTCGTTCCAATTGGTGACGTTGTTGGCCTCCTTTAACATTGATCCTCATCTCGTCAAGCTCGCTTCATGCTTCCAAGCTCCATGCCATGCCATGTCTGCAGATCCCCTTACAGCGTCAAAGTTTAGTGCTGATAGTGTCTCCGCCATCCTTCACCCCTGTGTGATACTACCCTACATATTGGGAGGGACCGAGCTGCTCGGCTCGTTAAACCTTAAGCTGAATTGGATAGAATAGTATATACATGTAGCTTGATAGCCGTATTGTTGCACCTTCAAGGGATATGGACCCTGCGGAGTGCACATACGTTGCCGTTTTTGTAGACCTAAGAATACGTAACAATCGTATTGGAGACATAGTATCGGAACTGTAGTCTTGTATTGCGGCACATTAGTACGCCCCATAGCACTGCAAACACCTCGAGGGCTATTAATAGAGCTACCCGGAGGAATTTCCTGCCTATTTTTAATGTCCTGAAATATTAAATGCATTATTTGATATATTGCCTCTAATTTGACTCCTAGGTTGGATATTATAACTAAATCTTTTCTATCTTGCCTTTACAGGAGCACTTCGAAACGTTGATGTGGGCACTCCGTGCGTGTTGCAAGGAGCGGCCGCTTACGGCCGCCGCCCGCCGCGTCATGAGAAGGCAAAAGCCAGGTAGAGCGCCATTGGGCCTACTGAGAATCAAAGTCACTGTACCATGATGACAGCCAGTTGTTAAACTAGTTTTAAAGCATCATAAAGCTGCTAGTTATACTGTAATAATTTATCAGCATTGCAAGTCAGTTTGTCATCTACCAGAATGTAATCAGCATAAGACTGGTGAAAGAATTGGTGCAAAGGAGCTCTAAGGATATAAAAGTATCATAGGTCTCCGTTTAGATTTCATGTGTCGCTCATCAACATTCTTGTGACATCTTTTTGAGAACCAGTTCTCATCTCAACTCAGCTATTACAACACACAGCTATTCCAACCTGGAAAATGCTTCTCAAACCTCTCGCGTTCATGATAGCCATTGGTGGCTCGGCATTAAGCAGTCCTATCTGTTCATCTGGAAATTCCCCAGCACGAGTACTTACTCAAATTCCCACGGAAACCTGGTTGGAAAGCATTGTTGTACGCCGTAATGGCGATATTCTTGCAACGAGCGCCTTCTTCTCCTCGAATATTTTCACAGTAAAGCAACCATCCCTGTACACAGATAGCACGGCCAGAGTTCTCGCCTCCGTTCTGGAGGTGAAGAGCCTCCTCGGAATCACCGAATTGCCTGGATCATACGGCGAAGAGGCTTTCTTCTTTCTTGGTGGCAATTTCACCAGCCTGACGGATTTCACTACAACAGTCGGTTCGTTCAAAGGCTTTAAACTCACCTTTGATCGGGATGGCAAGGCGATTATCCAAAAAGTCAGTGATCTGGCACCAACTTCGTCATTTCCCAATGGTGTCACTGCTATTCCACAGGCCCCTGGGTCTGTGCTTATTGCCGATTCGTTCGTTGGGGCCATCGGCCGTTTGGATGTGTCAACTGGCCACTACGACCCTAGAGCTTTTGCATTTCAAGAAATGGCTGTACCCGAGGGGGCACAGCTACCGATTGGTGTGAGCGCTATGAGGATGAAAGGGTCTTATCTTTACTTCGGAAACCCTTCGACTCAGTCAATCTACAAGGTCAAGGTTGATTCCAAAGGATATCTTGTCAACGGAGCTCAGCCCTCCTTGGTTGCAAACATTTCATCTGTGGCACCTGGTCTTGACGATTTTATATTCGACTCGCACGACAATATTCTTCTTGCCACGAATAGCCCCGAGAACGCAATTGTTCACGTTGACGTTAAGACTGGAGCAAGCAAGCGTATAATTGGAGGTCCGACCGATCCTTTGATGCCTGATTCAACATGTCTAGCCTTTGGACGAGGAACTTTTGACACCAATACATTCTATGTCTCCACGGGAAAGAATATCTCGGATCCAAATGCTTCGGCTAGGATCGTCGCAGTTAATGCTAGCCTGTTACATTATTAGGCAGAATGTCATGTATGAAAACACCTTTCCAATTACCATACTATTCCGTTCTGAATAAACATGGCGAATTTTATTCCTCTTGCTAAATGAAATCTTCTTTCATTTCCCCCCCACCTAGGCAGAAATATCTTTGTATTCGTCATATAAGAATGGATAACTGAATATGCCGTCCAACACTTGAGAGGCGGAAGGGTACTACATAGATTCGAGTCGCAGAGCTGGCTGCAGCTGGCCCAATAGGATTTATTATATATGTTAGACTGATTCCAGAATAGTTACAATTGACTTTATAAAATAATTCTAAACTGAATCATTTATCACTATTGTGACTTTGGATGTCGTTATAGAAGTCTAGACTAGCCAGCTCCATCTCGTCCCTGCCAAGATCTACCCTCAATCCCGCTCTAGCTAATATCGTTGCTATACTGAGGAGCTGAGTTTCAGCTTCTGGGTGCTTTGTAAATGATTTTAGATGAGTCAATAACGTAACTCGACCCGACTGGGTATCAAGGTGTAGACCATGGTTGACAAGCATCTGTACCACATCAAAGCGGGACTCGAAATTTTTAAAAGGCATCTTCCCCTGACATAAATAAGTAATAATTAGAGGACTGTTGACATCTGCTCCGGCAGCAATGAGTTCTCTGAGCGCTGCCATTTCTTTCTCGCCGTATTGGTCGTTTTTGGCATAAGCGCCCTTCACCAAAGGCGTGGGAGTATGAGAGCCGCAAATCAAAGACAATACGGTGAAACTGAGATCACAATCGGTAGTCTTGATATGGTACCGCCGATTGACATCTACTGCAGCGGATGCCAGTATCTTGATCATTTCAAAAGACGTAGGTCTAAGACGGCCTTGATGGCAGACGACCATCAAGGGTGAAGATGTACCTTCAACAAGGCGCTCTTCCGTGACTTCTTTGCCGTTCTCCAAGGTTATCCTAACTCGATATTTTGTTTTTCTTTTGATCTCTATATCTGCATCATTCTCCACAAGCAGCATAGTGGAGGGGACATCTTCCCGCGCCATCGCATGCAGCAGAGGGGTGAAACCAGATGAGTTACTTCGCGACACATCTGCGCCGAGTTCAATAAGCGCTTTAGTTGTATCTCCTCTCAATAAGAACAAGGGAGGCATTTGAGCACCATAGTCGATTCCACTAGGATCATTCACATCTGCACCATGATTGACAAGCAAACGGACCAAATCCGCCGACCCAGAGACAGAGGCGCAATGAATCGCGGCGCAAACTTCGGGCAAATCAGGATCCATACGAGTCTTGTCAAGACTCATATCTGATTTATATGCCAAATTAATATCGGCACCTTCATTGAGAAGAAACTGTGTGATAGCAAATCGGCCACAGATGATGGCAGCTCCGAGAGGGGGTAAGCCCAGCTGCTGAGTACTGATTTATCGAAACGCCTGCTTTATTGGCTTGCTTTACGCCAGAAAGGTTATCGGCTTCGATCTGGCGGCACAAGTTGTCGATCGTAGTAGATGCCATAGAGGAAATTGAGATAAGAAACGGGTTAGGGATCCACTAGCATACAAATATTGATTGATTCAAATATGCTGCTTAACAGGGAGACGTATATACTCGCAATATGAAATGCGTGAGGCTACATATAGGCAACGTAAGCATTGGTTCAAAAACAATGTGCGGAGACTGGAAAGTAGCTGCTTGTAAGTATGGCGTTAATGGATTGAGACTCGGCAAATTGTTGCCGATGTTAACCTTGACGATGGAGGTTGTCCGGTGTTGTTGGTTCAGGCTCTTCACCATTGCAAAATGAAGGTCCATGATGCTCCCTGAACCCTCGTATACTTTTAAGAGATAGATGAGATTGCCCTGGCCGAGCTTTATTAACCACTCACCACTGTGTCGCAATGCTTAAAATTATTGTCGCTTAAAGTGTCAGCGGCTTCAATTAGATCCGAGATGTGCTTGTTGGGACGATGGGCTTTTTGTCCACCCCACCGTCTGCTACACAAGGTATCATTCCTTCAACGAAGAATCGTAATCTGGACCAACACGCAGGCTGCTTGGACAAACAGAGCTAATAAATGACGGGGACATATGCAATGCTACGTAGAACCCTAATTTGTACTCGGTAGGCTGCGAAGTAGGAAACGTGCCGTGATGTCGGACGGCTCTGCGATGAACCAGAGATGGTGGAACCATCTGTGGGATTTTGGAATAAGCGATTATCGTCAAGGGGAGATTTTTGACTTAAAGCAGAAGATAATGGTAGCCAGGCGGGTATAAGGAAGTTCTGTAATCTAACAAGGACGCATTTATAAATCTAGACTGATAATGTTGCATACTGCATAACTTGCCTTGTATAGAAGTCTTGCCAACAACTACAATACTCCAAGTAACCATGACAGCTTGAGCTGACTTCGGCCATTATGGAAATGGCTTATGCCGTAATTCATTTATAAGTCATGATTAGTTCGAAGATAGATGATGAATATATCGGGTCTTCCGGCCTGCACTTTGTGCCTGGCCACTCTTCGGACTATCGTAGCCTCGAGGGTTGTCGTCTTTGCGACATTGCTCACTTACGTACATATCCGACTATACTATCTTATATTAGCCACAGTTTGAGAAACAAGCTTAGTAGGATTATCTCTTCATTTGACCGGCAGGAATTGTCATGTAAAAACATTATCTAGGAGCGCAACATTACCCGTTAAGCGCGACTGCTCGATTATTTAATATTTTATGCAAACCGAGTGAGGGTTAATTGGAAACGTCAAGATCTTCCCGAGGTCACTTGTGCTTTGGGAAGATTGAACCCCCTTTGCACATAAATTTTGGTCTCTGTGGTCGAAAGCTTTTCCCTTGCCCAAGCTATTCAATTGAAAGTCTTCATTTATGCGGGTCTCCCGCCATCAGATTTCTTCATTCCGCCATAGATATTGCCGCGTCAATAATGGGCGATAGAAAGACTACTGGTATATCCCTTACCTCTGCCTGCCTTCACAAGAGAAGATTTGCTGGAGCGCGCCATTGCAGTACAAGAGCGCCTTCGTCAGGAGTCCGGATTGGTCCGAATCTGAACTCGATTTGAAGCTCTCCTCGGGATGGTATAAACCAGCATTTGACCTATCGCAAGTCTTGAATGTATGGATTTTAATCTGCAGCATCTATATCTTATTTACTCCACCATTTCAATAACAACTGTGGCCATAGGAATCCGTACCAAATGATATACAAGACAAACTTATGGCCGCGTGTCGAGAGCTTATTGCAGCGAAATATTCTCGCACGGCATTGGACAGGCTTTTAATTGAGGCCCGAGCTCTGTTGGCAAGTCATGGGGAGGCACTCCAGTTGGTTGAAGATACGATTTGGAAGAAGCCTAGTATATGGGATCAAATGCATGAATACTTTACAGTTGGGGCGAGGGGTGATAATATGGAGTCGTAGAAAATAACACTCTGGATGGAATGTGTGTTTTGCTATTCTGCGGATAGCCAATGGCAAGTCTTCTTTTCAATACATGCAGACATATAGGGCTGCTTTTTGATTGTTGTAACATCTATTTGAGCTTAAATACCTGTAACGTTCCTTTGCAAGGCGGCCCCTTACACACGGTAATTGTTAACTCTGAAAGGTTGTAAATGACAAATGCCACCGTCATATTCTGCTTTGAGGTATAACCTGTGAGAACGGCACTGGGCAAGTTTTTCTGCTTGGGATTCGGATGGTTGCATAAACTCTCGGGGTATGCCAAATGGTCTGAGAACGCTGTCTTGATCTTTTCAGGGGTCAGTTGCCCTGCAGAACAGTCTGCTCTCACACCCTTTTCGGCCTGCAAACATCTAAACCAGCTGCTACCGCCAGGATAGCGGTCAAAAATGTTGTCGCGACTGAGAAATTCGGGACTAAGGAAGTGATTACTGTGAATCAGGTACTGGTCGTCAATTTTGCCATAGAATTTGTAGATACGGTCAGGCGCGACCTCCATTGCCATTGCAAATCCGTCTGCCGTCGAGACGTGCAGGTTTCCTGAGACATGGCGTGGAAAGGCATTGATAGCCACAAGGCCTTCAGCGTAGTTGCTGTATTCAAAAAAGATGCGCCTAGCCACAGAGAGAGGGAGAACAGGTGTTGGGTCGGCGACTTTATGGTAAACTCCGTCGCGGTCGATATGGGAGACGGGCACGTAATCTTGACTTGAGAGCAATGAATTTGCCGTAACCGAAAGGCCGGCGGAGTTCATTCCGCTGCGAATGAGTTGACCAGCTTCTGTAAGGATAAACATCGATGGACGGTCTTCGGACGAGTCTGGATGCACCTCAAGGTAGATTATGAGGTCCTGGTTGTAGAGGTGGCTGGACATGTCCCAGTTGTGTACGGCTAGAGCATGTCCAGACTCAACTGCTTTCTGGGGGAAAAATCCGCTTGTACATTCGTCATGCCCGTCAGAGTCCTGCGGAGTCTCCCCACCGTTTTGAAGCCGATACATGCATCTACCCAAGTCGTAACGAGCATTGAGCATGACAACTTCCTCGACCGTCACGCCGGCGCCGTCTGCAATTCCATTGATCTCTTCGAGCCCGGTTGGATAGAACTTTTCAAAGGCCGGGATGTAAACTGTCTGGATGATTTTGGAACATATAGACCTGTATTCCTGGGGTTACTTCATGTTTTTTACTTCAACTCAGTGGTGAAATGCTATGCTTACCAATGCGGTAGTTTCCCTGGAAGCTTATAATACTCGATATTGGCACGAACCTTCTCACTTGCCTGTCTTCCATGCGACAAGCCTCTCTTGTATGGCGTACCCTCCACAACAATGTGCTGGTAGCACGACGGACCAGGGCCTCGCGTGATGGGGGTTTCTAAAGAAGGCATATTATGAGAGCCCATCGGCGTCGTGCAGTGAACACCGAGGAATAAAGAATTTGGTCGCTGGATAATGCATTAATTTAAAGAGAATGCAGACTGTTTTCGGGGGTTCTTATTAAAGGTTATATATTCAAGAGGCATCCCAGTTATCCACCTGATTCAGCTAAGCCTTCAGACTGTACTACTGCCTAGACCACGTTCAAGTTGTTGACAGCCCGTTGTTATGTTGCTTAGCGGTCGCGCTATTATCCCAAATAGTGCAAATCGGCGACCGACGCGCTGCTTCTTCTCGCGAAACCGGTCGTTTGCGGTTCCAGCGCTATCAACAAAGTTTGTCATACGACAAAGTCATCGCCCATATCCTCGGCGATCTGATGAAGATTACTACGACGCCCCGTTGCCTCCTCGGTGGCATGTACCGTTTCGACAAATGCACAGGCATTGACAAAATGCTTACCCGCACTGTAGTAGCTCTTCATCTGTTGCAGCGCCCAGTCTCTGTAGATCCAGTCCTTTGCCTCAATTGCGGCCATGATCAGAGGCACTGGCCATATCTTAGTCGGGGGCGCTTCCGTTCTTGGCCGCTTCAGCCTTCGGTAGAAGTGGCTGGTAATGGTTATGATCTTTTCTGCATGGGTACTCTTTGTGTACATTGATTCAGTGGGCTGGTAGACTCTCGATGCGTATATTTCTACTGCATGAAAAAGCGCACTTGTGGTGAGGTAGGTAGAAAACACCCTATCTTCAGCGGCTTTTACTTCACTGATGCCTTCGATACTCTGATAAAAGTCAATCAATTAATGCCGTCCCTCCGATTATCATCATGGGTTCGACTTACTCGCTGAATATCGCACAAGGATGCCATGACTTGGCACTCGTCTGTTCTGTCGCCGCCATTCCGAGACAGTTTTCCTAGAAGAGCTACTAAGCGACATGTTGCGACGTACAGGGGCTGATGAGCCTCATCCCGCCGCCGTTCTTCCTCAGGGTATAGAAGACTGTATTCTTGCTGCAGAAAGTCATATGACGCTTCCACGGCTCTCATCAAGCCCATATCGTCTCCCATGGATTGAATAATACGGTCGTTGCCTTGATGAAAGAGCGCAGCGCGTGCGTCGAGAAAGCAGAACCACACAGCCATTCTGACGTAGAGGGTATGTGACTGATCATGACCACCGAGGTCCAGTAAAGTGGCTTCTAGGCTGAGCATCCGTCTCAAAGATGCCCGCCTTGAAAGAAGAAGGTCAGTCCAAGCCAAGAAATACAGGGTCACAGCAACAGCATCCAGGTCATCTTCTCGGGCCAGAAGTTGGAGCCAGGTCTGGCTGGCAATTTCGGTTGCGTCCTCTCCCATCAGATGAATTCCGAGTTGGTCTCTGATGCCCACGAGACTTTTGTCGTAATGCTCCATCGCGCTGGTTTCAGATCCCAATCTTCCGCTCCAGAAAAGGTGGGCAGCTGTCTACGCGTATAGGGACGATACTACAAATGAATGGCTCGAGTTGAAGCGATTAAAGAAATAGGTGTGGTTGTTCCAACCTTGCTCCTTTGAGCTGTATTTTGACGTTAGGCTCTGAGTGTAGTGCTGTGCCAAAACATGATCGGAAACAGTTGAGATTGATTTGGCACCTGGGCTTTGGTAGTCTGAGCCAGGTGTGTTCAACTCAGCAAAGACCTGACTGCTGTACAGGCCACGAATTTGGTGGGGGGATTCATTAGCGACGATAGAGCTGGTGGAAGTGTTCCATAACATAGCCGTGTCTGTCGCTGGATCCCACTGCTCGCCCAGATTTGAGTCAAGCATTGCGTCGATCCAAGGTATGGTCGTCGTGTCGAAGACTGGGAGCGATGGCAGCTCTAGCAGTTCCGGCCCCTCTCTCTGGATGTGTGTTTCATTTTGTTGGCTCAATGATGGAGAATTTGTTTGCTGGGGTATTGTTGTATTTGTAAAACTATTAGTCTTCTTTTTGCGAATCCTTGAGCGGGCTTTGACATCCTCAGTCTCATCCCTAAACTCAAATTCAGCGTGGGATGACGAGTTGTAGATGCATTTGACATGCGACTGGCGGCATGGTGAGCAACGAGGCTTCAGTGTATCACAATGGAGCTTTCTTCTGGTACAAGTGGTGCATGAGCGCATGATGAGTTGTGTTGTAGACTACGGAGAAAATGAAAACGACAAATGTTGGGGTTGTTGATGATAACGAGGTTATTGGATCCAGTCTTGAGATAGTCGCTCGTGGCGGCATCACGTGATAACATGCTTTCGCACCTCAATAACATTGATGTAATAACGCTAACCTTATCTCCATATAGCTGTAGGAGATATGTTAGGATGGAACTCGTGTCTCGGAAGCCTGTATGAGAGGTTTCCATTCGTACCGACACAAGAATACATCCACACTGCTCCAGCAAAATAGACAGTTCATTCCATGTGGTTATATAAACCGATGGTCGATGGTATGGCTGTATCATAGTTATCAAACGGGATGTTTACCTATGCACTATTACATCTGATACATTTCATGTTTACCCAAATGCGAGTAAACTCCAATATTTAGATAAAGTTCATAGACGAAGAAGTATATGAGCAGATCGAAGCCGACTAAAAAAATGATCATGATCAAAGATTTACCGAGAAAGAAGTGAAATCACTGCAATTTTGAAACTGGATTTCTCATTTCCCAACTAAGTTTCTCGTTCACTCAACAGAAACAAGGATCATTCGGAAAGATAGATAGGACTGCTGTATTTGATCCGCGCGTCGGCTACCCGAAGACGTCCTTCCTCCTACGTATCCGTAAGCTTACCAAACATACCTAAATGACGGCTGTTGACAATCAGTCAGGTCTGAATCATTTTCGGTAAAGTTCAAGTTGTTGCGATCTGCTTGTCGGCGATCCCGTCGATGGTTCTGATACCTGATATAAATGCTGATTGAAAGCAGTTAATAGCTGGGCAAAACGATCCAAGCCTGCTGAACTTACACCAGGACAACCTCCAAGAAAATCATGACAGATATGGAGGAATAGAAGCCCCTAAAGGCTGTCTGAAACTTTGGAGCCTGTTTCTCGATGAACAGTTGAGGTCCAGTGAACTGACCGAGACAGTAGCCAAGAAACATCAGAACCTGTAAACATAATCAGGATGAGGTTGAGTCATAGGTAATTGATATATCCGCTTACACTTGCGGTAGACTTTTTGTTAAATCCTGCAATGTTTGACGAAATCATGCTCATGCCCAAGCCAAACGGGACCGTATTCATGTAAATGACTGAGGCTTGTTAGATGCAATTTAGGGCTAGCATTCGAATATGATACTAACGGTAGAAAGACGCAAGTAGACCGCTGTGATTGGAACGCGGAAGATCTATCAAATGATCAGAAACGGCATGCAATTGTCGGTGGTTTACGGCAGGAAATACTCACTGGCGATCAATACCGCACCGATAAGGACGATGCTATTCGTGACGATCATGACGTAGCACCTTGTATTCTTGTAATGGCTACAAAACCAACCGCTAGTGAACATTAGTCGACTGTACAAACGATATAACACCGGCGTTGACCTCACGCAAAGACCACCGAAACGAGGTGGATGGTATTGGATGGCATGCTCATTAGTGTGGCCTGGCGACTGGTGTAGCCAAGAGTTTCGGTTAAAACAATCTTGGAAAACTACGATACCGTCAGTATGCATTAAGCACCGAACTGCGCATATTACTCACCGATGCTAGGCCCTCACCCTGTAGAGATTGGAGAAAGGCATGGATTGCTAGTATCCAAGGCTGCGGGTCGATCAAGCATTCTCGGACTTGGTACCATTTATACTCGGTGTTTTTTATGCCAGTGTGGTTCTTCATGACCTATAAAATGATGAGTTAGCTCTGTCTTTGTCTCAGCGAAACTGTTTCTTACTTGAGCCGCAGCAATCTTCTTCTCTCTCTTGTTAAGGAACCATGCCTCCATTGGCGACGATGGTACCGCAAAAAAGACGATTACGCCCCAGAGCAGTGTCAGCGACCCGAATACGAGATAAATAATCTTCCAGACGGCATATTTGGAATTAGGATGGTCTTTTCCAGAAACACCGTAGGTAATAGAATCAGCAATAAAGGCGCCGATAGCACTGGCCGACCACCACAAGGAGGCACGAAGAGGCTGTTCATCTCGAGTCCAATATTGAGATACGAGGATCGTGAGAATGGGGGACATGCACGATTCAAAAATTCCGAGGAAGACACGGTTGATAGAAAGTGTCGCAAAACCTTTAGTAAACGCCGTTGTAGTTGCAGTAAGGCCCCAGAGGAATATCATGACACCAAAGTAGCGTCCGCTATGGAAACTTAGATTATAGCCTGAACTGATCGAGTCAAAAAGGCGGCTTACATGGGAAGCTTCTGCATTAAGAGCGAGCTAGGATATTGCCATACCAAGTATCCGAGATAGAAGATGGAAGATGACCAGCTGTATTGCTGTCCAACAAGACCCTATGTCTAGTCAGATATGGGGCCAGCTTCCATTAAGCGCTGCATGCTACCCACCAGGTCTTTTTGTAGGCCAAATATGGAGGCCTCGGATAAGGCAACCTTGTCCATATAATTGAGTATGTAAGTAAATGCCATCTATTTCACTGGTAAGCTTGGTATTCTAAGTTTGGTCAAATAATAATGTGGTTATATACCATAGGAAGAAGAATTAGATCAAGTTTCCATCGGATCCGAGTACTCTCCTTGGAGCTGTAGACGAAGTCGCATGGAATGGAGCCTATGCCATCTAGTTGCTTCTCGGCATCGCTAAATCCGTCAATGGGAGCGGGCTTGTGATCATCAACCCTTTCCCCGGCAAATTCGTCCATCACCACATCTGAGTTGGCGGTGGTTACAGGCTTCAAGGCACTTCCCATTGTGGTTTTCCGGCCAGTTCGACTTTTGTGCTGAGAGATGCGGCACACTGAATCCTATGTGGAGTCGAACGTATTGAACATTCTCGGTCCATAACGAAGTGCGATATGCTGTTTTATTATGTCTTGAAGGTTTTGCTCAGATAAGAACTCAACTGCATATCAGAAGCTGGGGCTGAGGCATCCTAGCACAGAAGTGGAGATGAAGGCTCGCTCAGCAGGCCAAAACAGGAACAAGCCAGTCTCGGCTCGCCCCGTCTGCCATATTTGGACGATTCCGCGGGTGGCAAATGCCAATGTGAATTGCAGATTCGACCCGATAGCGGGGTCATCCCCAAATGAACAGAATCTGGAGAAGGCCGACATCTGAATGCCATATTGAGAGCTCTAAAACTGCGCGCATGTCACTCAGAGCTCGCTTCTGCCGTGGACCTGAATCCAAAATAGAACAACTTTCCCAATCCATTCCATTAGCACATCGGTTTTACGAAGTGGCCAAGAAGCAAGCGAATAGACTAGGAAATTGTGGCCCGCCATCAAAGCCACATGTTTAGAGAAACCACATGCGATCAGAGGGTATAAACGGTCAGACAAGTGAAATTACACTTGCTGTCTTGAATCCTAGGTATTTACACGTTTTACTAATACTCTCGTCTGTCCTTTGTTGACCAAATCTCCTGGGGGGTATAAACTTAACCCTCACACGTATAGGTTCAATGATAAACCACATCAATTGCAGAATCCTCGAGCAGCCAATCACTTGATAAGAATGTTATGGTATTATTGAAGAATAATTGGAGAGTTCACTAAGGATACTGTGGTGTTACCCCCCTGACAGTTGCATTGGGGCTGGACTTGGCGGTAACCATCATTCCGTACCCAACATAACTACGAGCCCAGTCATACTTTTTGACGGCCTTTTGCGCTCTATCAGGCGATATTGAGAAAAGAAGCCCACTTAGTGAACCCATTCATGAGTCTAGACTCTTCAAGTTGCTGGTGATTGGATATTAGTACGGCCAACTCATGCAATCATGCTGCTAGTAGGCGCCAGTTTCCAACATTAGTGTTATGTGCTTTACCTGGCCTCGACTAGCTACATGTACCGATGATTCAACAACCACAACCTCACATCCAAGCGATCATCTCAAAGCCAGAGCAGAGACTATATGCACCTGAGTATACAAACATCATCAAGATGCCTCAGCAAAGTCTAAATGCCCCTTCTAAACAAGGACGAAGATTGTCGTACGATGAATCAATTCCACAATGAAACTTCTGGGCTGACAATCAATAGGTGCAAGCGATGCCAATATCGGAAGGTATGACGCCTATGGAGACCTGAACGCACTTATTCACCCAAAGCAAAATTTAACACACCATAGTTTAGATGTTCTCGTACAGAACCTTGCGAAAAATGCACAACTGCCGATGTGAAATGCGAATACTCTGTGATTGACCGCAAACGTACTCCAGCGTCCGCCGAGTACGCCCTAAGCCTTGAGAGACGAGTCCAGTCGCTTGAGTCTTTCATCATGAATCTTAAAAGTGCCTCTCACAAAGAGCGGGAACACATGCTTCTCTCTATGACAGCTGACCAACTTTCCAACGTCCCACCTGGCAATCGGATGGAACGAGAGGTATTGAAAATAAACGAGCTCAACTCCACAAACCTCGAACTCGACATAGATGGTGCTCTCATCTTCCACGGTGCAACGAGCATCTACCGTGTCGAGCCTCACGGATACTCTCAAAGTCGACACAACCCTATGCTCTCCTGGGCTGGACAAACCGGAAGTGTGGTTACTAACTTCGAACACGTCATGGAGCACTTCGGTATCAGCTCAGAAGGTGACGTCGTAATCCGCGCCCTTACTGATTTCTTTCGGTGGCAATACCCCTACTTTATGTTTGTCTACCGTGAGGCTTTCTTACGGGACCATTTTGGGGATAGAAAAAATTGCAACTACTGGTCAGCAGCGCTACTCATGGCACTCTGTGCGCTCGGGGCGATGGTGGCTTCTGACGATAAACAAAGACGGCTCAGCGACCAGTTCTTCCTAGCGGCTGAGAGCATCATCATGGTCTCTGGGCTTGCAAAGCCTTCCATCCCGACAGTTCAGGCATTTCTATGTCTCGCATTCTACGAGATTGGCCGAGGTAACCTGTCTAAAGGCTGGAGTTTCTCCGGGATTGCCTTCCGCATGGCACAGGATCTTGGATTCCAGCGCGACCCAGATAATTGGGTGCCTCACAATGCCTCACTAGGCACTCATGAAGACAGCGAGATTCGCAGACGTATTTACTGGGGTTGCTATAATTCTGATAAGCTCATCAGCCTCATCCTAGGCAGGCCGGTTCACCTTGTATACGATGCCGCTGAAGTTGATGCATTGAAGATATTGCCGTGAGATAGCTTCATCCCACTTTGAACGCATGTGATCTGACCTAAATCTGACAGCGATGGACCGGCAATGGAGTATTGGCGTCCTGTGGGCTTCGAAGCCAACGGTGATCACACGATAAGAGACACCATCTCTAACATACCTTTTGTCCAGGAGCAGATACGCCTATCTCGGATCGTAGAAAGCATGATGACTGTCCTCTTTCCCGTTCGGATCAACCAGGATGCTGTCTATCGTACATCCAATCTAAACAAACTCAATCTAGAATTATTACGGTGGCATGAATCTCTGCCAACTTTTGCAAAATGGACTCGCTGGGACATGACCAATCTCAGCGCAGTGCCAGGGCTAATAGCGGTTCAGTAAGTTTATCATCCGACCAAAGGGCGAATGGACCATTAATCCGGTCAGCTTGTTCTATAACAGTGCTCGTATTGCCTTGAATCACGACAATGCCGTCACTGGCCATCAAGAGATTGAGCGAAACTCTTCTTGCCAGTACTGCGTCACCTCAGCCCAGAATATCATTACCCTCGTACGCATCTACCGCGTCAGGTACGATCTGCGACATTCGCCTCTTGTGCTCGTCTACGCTTGTGTACAGGCTATTCGTGTCGTTAGTATACTTGGAACATCGGAGGAAGAAGAGTACCTTACTCAAGCACTAGGCGAGTGCTCGGGGACCTGGGCCCTCGCCAACCAGATACAGCTACGCCTCGCCATCATGTCACCATAATAGACCAAATAAGATCCACATTCATATGTATAGTTTATCAGTACTTCCTAACTAATATTTGCTGCCTCATCAATATTGCTTTCTTTTTTCTCTCGATTTCGGTCTACGCCAATGGAATCCCCTGGGCTATGCCGGCTCTGAGAACATCTGCCAACCTATCAATATCTACCACGTTGTTGTAGAACCCAAAGGACACTCTGATTCCCGTCGCCAATTTCGTCACAATCACGCCAGCTTCTCGCATGTGCGCATACCACCTATCGTCCTGCAACTGCAGAACATACAAATGTGGCGAATGCTGCTTCTTATTTTGCGGTCCGATAATCTCGATCCCCAATGCCTTGCAGGTCCGTCTTAAATGATCCCCAATGGCGTACAGATGATTCTCTACATTCTTCGGACCCATCACATCAAGGTAAAATTCCATAAAGGCTCGTCCACACACAGCGTTTATCCACCCCATATTCGTATGTTCGTACCGGCGAGCCGTGGGATGAAACTCAATCGGCCCTTCAATTAGAGGCGCATCTTCGGACATGTTGGCTATACCGCCGTATCCGACGAGCGGTGGGACAGGATCCAGCTCCGCCACGACCTCAGGATCCATATACAGCACCGCGATGCCTGTAGGCGTGTTTAGGCCCTTGTGCATACTAAACGACGCAGCTGAGACACCTAAGCTTGCAATATTGACATCAGCAAAGCCAACTTCCTGCGTTAAGTCGGCCAGGACATGAATCCCCTGCGGGCGGAATTTGGCGCATACATCCGCCACATCATTACGCTGCCCACTATGAAACATGACGGAACTAAGGCCAATCGCCTTTGTTTTACCGTCGACATAAGGAGCGAAGGTGTTTGCGTTGGCAGCCTCAATATGCCCTGTCTTCGCAACCATGGCCATAGTCGGCACGAGTCTGACCTGTAGCCCCTTCTCACGAAGTGACAGCCATCCGTATAATTGATTCGGGTGCTCGCAGTCAATAACAACAACATTGTCACCCTTTTCGAACCGGAGGCCGTGCATGAACGAGCCCAAGCCCTCTGTAGTATCGCGGACAAATGCCAGCGAGGAGGGCTCGGTCTGGAGATAGCGTGCTAAAAGACTACGCAGCTGCTCCGTGTCTTGTTTCCATAGCGGCTTGGGCGACTCATGGTAAAGGGATTCTGAGCAGAAACGGCTTATAGCATCCCCAACCACCATGTTAGAGGGTGGCATGAAGCCTGCGTTGAGGTGAATGATTTTGCCATTGGAGACGAGAGGCACGAGCCGACGAAATATTGTGAAAAGGGATTCCTTTTCTGGTGCAGAAGTCAAAGGCTGGGAAGTGCTGAATTGGCAGTTGATGAGATGGGTGTTTGGAGTTTCAAAATCTTGCGTATTAGAAGGTGCCATGGTAGGGGTATGTTTGTCTATGCGTGTACTTTTTTATTGAGTATCTTGGGATTTGGTAAACAAATTGATGGTCCAATCGATGGTCCGCGCCTCTTAAATAGCTGGTGGTGAACTTTAGAGCGATACAATCTGTATTATGATTCTAAGACATAATCAGCGGGAAAAGTGAGTTCTTATATAGAGGAGTAACCCATATCATATATCTGAGTTGTAGACAATTATCGCAAATAGATTTGCACGTAAAGGAGAATTGAAATGTTACTTGGCAACTTGGCAACTTGGCAATGGACGGAGTTGCATCTCCATTACTAAATGTAGTTTACCCCACAAGCTCAAATAAATCTGGTACTAAGAACGGAGTTACAACTCCATTATAATCACTTAACGTATGAGCTATACATTTGTATATCTGAATTAGGGCAGCTTATACTCTGTTGTGAGAGACTAGTATCTCATTGCATGCTCAATATATTTGTAAATCAGATTAGAGCAAAAGAGGTCGTATCAATCCTGCAGTCGGGGCTTATCCGGTCCATTGATTATCTGACCGAGGAGATGACGGCAGCGCTACCCAGATTATCGCATTGAGACAACTTCCCCTCTGAACATCTCAAAAATATGCAATGCTTTAAAACGCAAACAAATCGATGACTAATGGTAGTTTTGCAACGAGCAAAGTGCAAATGAAGACATAACTAGCAATCTCAAGCTACTATCTCGTGGGCCCGTGTAGCTTGTCTTTGTGAAACTTCCTCACTACCCTGGAACATACTCTTCCTGATATCCGCCTGATGGTTTTCTTCTCATGGTCCGGTAGTGACGCTGCTATTTTGTAATTGATATCCAATAGAATTGTTTTCCGGAAGTTAACTTTCGATTTCGATATTGTTTGATGAGTGGTCACTCGATAGTCAAATAATGATACCCATGGAACGTATGATGATTAAATCTGTAGCGCATTATTTGGTAAATTTCCTCAAGTGTGCGCAAAGCAATTTTAAATTGTAAACAGCCAAGATTGTCTATACAATGATCTATATCTATAATTTATCTTATTCTACCAAGTACTTCCTGAACCAAGCATATCGACGAGCTTCAATATCTTTCAAGCTTGAACCTTTAGCAAAGATGTGGCCTTCGCCTTCATACAGCACCACTTCTGCAACTCCACCTGTTTGCTTAACTGTTTCCACAAATGCGTTTGCTTGATTTTGAGGTACAATAGGATCTTCTGTTCCATTGAAACACAAAATAGGCCTTTGGATTTTAGCGCAGTGATGTATCGGGCTTCTTTCTAGAAGAATTCGTTCTTGCTCCTCTGTAGATGTTCCATTGGGCCAGCACAGGGGTTGCAGATACCGGCACTCAAATTTGTGTGTATCCTCCATCAGCCTCTTTAGGTCCGAAATGCCACTCTCAGCAACGGCTGTCCTCCAAACATTCGGATAGCGCACCATGCCTTGCATAGTCAAAAATCCACCGGCTGAGTGTCCTGTCAAACCGACCCTCTGTCTGTCAATTAAACCTTGACGAGCAAGATAATCGACAGCGCTAACTGCATCTGCAATGTCACTGACTCCCCATTGTCCATCGAGTAATTGCCGATATTTCTTTCCGTATCCAGTGGAGCCAACGTAGTTAACTTGCAGTACGGCATAACCACGAGTCGTCAAAGCCTGATCACGTAGATAAAAGCCAGGCCCAGCTTGGCATGTTGGCCCACCATGAACTGACACAATCAACGGGGGAAGGGACTGATCCCACTTGTACTTGGGGTTTTTGGGCGGCAGGAAGAGTCCATGAGCCTCTCCTCCTTCAGAATTAGCTACACGGGGGAATGTAACGTGAGTCGCATGGGAAACATAATCTTCTGGTAACTGAGTAGCAGCCGAATGTTTCAGTACCTGACCAAGTCCTCCCTCGTTGATGTCCACCACTGTAAGCACTTGGGGTGATGATGCGGTGGAGCCGATGATGGCTACGGCCGTCGAACTCACCGCCTTGATGGCACATGTGAGGATATCAGATATGGGGCATTGGAGTCCTCGATAGTTGCAGGTTTTTGTATCAATGACGATGCTTGTGTACGTCCCATTCTTGGTGTAAAAGGAAACAATGGTGTCCGGCGATAATGGTGTGTATGATGCAGCGCCGAGAAAAAAGTCTGTAAAGCAGAACTCCGCATCTTCCAGGCCGCTTAATTTCAGGTGTCTGCTTTGTCCGTTGGAGTATTCGTAGAGCTGCCAGAATCCTGACCTATCATCGACGTAGTACAGAGTATTATCCGTACCCCAACAAGGTTGAGTAATGCTGGAATTGGTCTCGACTCCGGCAATGCTGGTTATGTTTGTGACTTGACCGTTATCCCAATCGGCCACCAATAGCTGAGTGTTGTCCCACGGCATATTGGGATGATTCCATTGGATCCAGCAAAGCTTTGTTCCATCTAAACTGAACCGTGGAAAGGCGTAAAAGTCGCAGCCACTGGCAAGAATCGTGACCTCTTTAGTAGTAGCGTTGATTGCAACAATTTTATTCTCAACCGCTATAGGATCATCTGTGTGGTGGTTCTCTTGTATCCCAATTATCCATTTATCATCGTTCGGCGGAATGGCAAAGTCAGCATAATAGAGCTTTTTGTCCTCATGAACCAATATGTCGGTATTTCCGGTACTAGGATCAAGATCGTAGACAGCCTTTGTCTCAAAATCCGTGAAAATGATGTGGTTATCGCTATGCCTAGTCACAAAAGAGGCCCCACCATACTCATGCACCTGGGACAAGGCGTTGAAATTGCTCGGGAGTACTTCATTGGCAGTTCCGTCAACATATTCCACAATAGTGCCTCTCCCTTCTTCGGCTGGGCGGACCTCAAGACAGTATATTTTGCCATTAGAGCGCTTAGTTATGTAGTTAGTAATATGAATCGAACAGAGATCTATACCATTATTTCTTACGTTAACGTCCAACTGGTCAAGGATCACAGAGCCTGAGGCAAAATGATCTGGGGTAATTGGACTTTCCCAGGTTCCATATGGAGCCTGTTGAACTTGATCCATGGGAGCGATGCTGCTAATTTCGTGGCGAGAGACGGTCAGAATGACTGCACGATATATCCTTGGCTGAAGAGACTGCGAATAGGCTGTTGGGAGACGGTAGGCATGATGGAAGTTAAATAACATTCAAGTATTGAAGGTTCCATATTTTCGTTTCCCCGTCTCTTGTTTTCTGATATAAATGTCCGCTATCCTCGGTGTCGTAGTAACGGAATAAAAGTTATCCGAAGGCCGCCATCTGAGTAATTGGTGAAAATGTACTCCGTACAGCTGAGGCGTTAGTGTTTGTATCCTTTCCCAGGGCTCTCGGAGTGGTTCCCGACAATATCGGTTCTACATTCACTCCGAAGATGTCGGCTCGGCTTTCCTTTCTAGTTCAAATGGGTACCTTTCTTATGATTCATTGCATTGAAACAAAGAGGCATGACGTTCCACAAAGACATCTGGCCGTAAGCCGTTATATCCTTCGCCTGGTTCTCGGGACTCGGCGCTCGGCGCTCGGCTCAAATACAGCACATGTTGTGTTGTAGTGCTTTACGATGCACCAAATGGGTAGGTTCCCGGATTCACTTTCGGCAGGGCAGATAATTGTACGGCTCAATACTCAGAGTCACCGTGTGACACACTGGGCGTTTGTTACACTTTGTGAACATTCTCAATGCTAGCAGTCGTTCCATAAAGAAAAACCAACATTTTCTATTGATCTATATGCTTTTAACAAACATACAACTTTGCCATCACTCTTAAAAGATAGCGATAGCATTGGGCGGACTGGCAATTCCACCAGGGTTATTTAGTGGTGCACTGGTAAAGAAGAAAGTCCATCTGTTCTCCTCCTCACATGCCGTAGCCAATGCCTCAAGATCCCATAGTTCTCCGAGGGGCATCCCCCACATAGAGATGGCGTAGTCGTGAAGACCTATCTAAATGTTAACTTGTGTAACTCCATTGGGGATTGAAGCACTAACACCATGGGAAAGTGGGAGGCCAGGCCTCGACTCCAACTGTGTCACTCGCCAGGGCCGCGAAGTGATTATCCCATAACCACGCAAACATCTCCTCATTCCCTTCAATGCCGACATGGTCATTTCCATTCTTTATCTTGGAGCGTCTTTCTTCCTCCTTGTGTTCCTCATACCACTTGACCCACCCAGTTCGAAAAATAAGAATATCTCCACGCTGAAACGTCACGCTTTGCTCCTCGGCCATTTTCAGGATATCAGAGAGAGTAATGCAGTGTCTTGTCACAGGCTCATACTCGATATTATGTCGAGCAGCAAAGGCCACGTAGTCGAGGAGAATACCACGTCCAACTATGCCACCACGCTTGCTCCAATCTGATATGGTTGGGTTTATTAGCATACCTGGATTGAAACGGGAAAGAAAGTGATATTATCTTTATGCAACTCACGTTCAACTCCAAGGTGTGATGTATCAAGGACCGATTCATGTGGAATGCCGTTATAGTACAAGCCAGTAACAGAATGACCCCAATGGCCTAATATGGTATCAGTGGCAACACGTAGCAGCGCATCCATCTTAATAACCTACGTAAGCCGTCCCACTGGCTTCCAGACTGAGTGTTGAGCCTGATTTCATCATCGTAGCAATACCAAGGCCCTCCTTCTTTTTTCCAGTCCTTCACTGTGACGTGCAAATTCGGACGATCAAAGCTAGGTTCATGAACTCTATCAAGAGGCCAGCTATGCAACTCATTATTAGGTTGAATGTCTTGAATGCGGGTAAACTCGTGTCTTACTTGAGAGCAACAGATTTTCCTGTTTTGATCTCTTCGGATGCATTTACAATGGTAGATGGCTGGAGGAGATTGATGGTGCCTACTTCATCCTTGACATTGTTCCGGTCAAAGAGTCCCCAGGCACATCCGTGTGGCATTCCCGGAACAGCCGGCATAGACTTCCATGATGGGAGATTCTGACTATCCATTTTAATGGATGATTCTTCCGGCTATTTTCGATATTGTTCAAGTTCACTCATTATCTGAAGTTACAATGATTGACACTGGGCGGCAGGGGGTCTTTTAAATCTACTCCAACAACCCTTTATCACAGCTACTCATACTCCGTTGCTAGCCGTAAGTTTAATAGCAGAATCTTGTGAAGACCGAGGCCGAAATAGGACTTGCTTCGTGTAAGACGGACAAGGGGCAATCAAGGCTCGTCGCGCCGTTGCCGACATCGCCAACACCCAAGTCGAGTTGCGCTAGTGACGGCATGATAACGCCAACTCCGATGCCAAACCACCACAGATTGTGGTGGAGTCAATAAGACCCCAGTAGGACTTGATGGATATCAGGATAGCTTGTGCGCTTCAAGCCACCTGATATCGTGGCTACAGGCTAACGGTGTCAAGGTGCCAGCCTGACAGCGACGCACAGTTCGGATTCGCTTCTCCTAATGCACGGCGAATATATATAATACCATGTGGACCCTTGCGCAACGCGTATGTTCTCGTAGTAGCCAAATTTGTCTGTTACCTTCATCCATATCGTTAACATTCGTACCTCTTTGATCTGGCCTCCATATAATGATGATACATCCGGATAACATTACAGTTCTAGATGACGACCCCAGCGCCGCAGAAAAGCGGACGCACAGTGGGAATCTTCAAGCTGGCAACGTATTGTCCATGAAAGATTCTGAAATCCCTATTGAAGAGTTTATATACTTCGCCAAACTCTCTCGCGCTCGGGAGTCGGGCAGCTCTTCACAGCCTGGGCATATCATAGCATCTGCTAATGTTGCCAGTTCTGTTGGACATGGTGTTGACCAGTCTGTCAAAGAATCTGGGGGAGGCATGGTTCCCCTCAATTGCGGAGAGGCGGAGCATTTATCGCGAGTCCAATCAAAGAAGAAACCTATGCCCGAAGCATTTGCACCTCTAGATATTTCTGAAGGCGAATGGACTCAGGCTGCTAGGGCGGCTAGAACTGCGACTTGGTGAGTCGGACAGCAACTACATGATACTCGACCACAGCAAAAGTCATTGCTAATGGTTAGTAGGGTATCCATCTTCTACTTGATTACAACCGATGTGCTGGGACCCTTTTCGACTGGTTACGCCTTCTCCCAGATGGGCCTTGCTCCAGGCGTCGTCTTGTATACTGTATTTGGTGCTCTCGCCGGATACAGCGGATTTCTGCTGTGGCGCTTATTTCTCCAACTTGACAGCGACGAACACCCCCTACGAGGGTACAGCGATCTGGCTTTGCGTATATACGGACCGTGGTTTCAGCATGTGTGCAATATTTTGCAATCATTCCAGTTCTTTCTCACCGTCATGGTTATCATGATCACAAACGGGCAGTCCATCAGTCAGTTGTCACAAAACAAATTATGCTTCATAATCTCTGTTTTGGCCAGTGCACTGGCTGGTTGCGTTATAGGACAGATCCGAACTCTTAAAAACTTGGGCTGGGTGGGGTCCGTGAGTGTGTTTCTGAACTTGTTTGTCATCTTCGCAACGTAAGTCTGATGTGTCTTTGATGGCCTTGCCTCTGTCTCAACTTATACTTACCTGTCTACAGAATGGGAGTCATGGCTCACAGTCCACCAAACTACATCCTCTATGCTACAACTCATCCAGAGTTCAATATTCAAGCTCCTGATCCCATTTCTGTTTCTATTACTGCACCACCAGAACTCACATTTGTAGATAATGTGAACGGTCTGATGAATGCCGTATACTCATTTGGCGGTGCGACCATGTTTGTCGAGTTAATGGCTGAAATGCGACGACCCATGGACTTTTGGAAAGGGCTTCTCTGTGCTGACCTTCTCATATTCTTATGTTACATGGTGTATGGTATTTACTGCTACGTGATGTGAGACATTTTGATCTTCTTTAATCTGCATACATGCTGACAATACAACAGGCAGGGACAGTACGCATACATCAATTCCTATCAGGGAATTTCTCCATACAATTGGCAAACAGTCTGCAACGTTATTGAACTGTTGACCAACGTCATCGCCGCAGTTCTATATGCCAACATTGGTATGAAAGTCTTATACAACAGTGTTGGCCGCTACTTCTTTAGACTCCCTGATCTGAATAGTGCATCCGGAAAATGGATCTGGGCCTTTTTTGTTCCAGTCTACTGGATGCTTGCCTGGGTTGTCGCATTGTCTGTACCACAAATAACATCCTGGACAGTTATAGTGGGAGCTGGGGCGCTTCTGCAATTCACATATACTTTTCCGGTTTTCTTGGCACTTGGTTTCAGAGCTCAAAGGGACGCAGCTTTGCCGGAGGAGATTTATAACCCTCTGCATCGCCGAGTGCAGCGAGTAGATCGTGGCCTTAAGCGTTGGGTTCGAGGACTGAGAAAGGAACTGTGGTGGAACATATTTGATGGAGTGATATATGTGGGCTCTCTCGTGACCTGCGTCTTAGGGCTCTATGCAGGCTTCAAAACTCTAGTCGAAGGGTACGCCGATTCACCAAGTTTGGTAGGTTGGCGTTGCTCAAGCCCAACGGGTTGATGACAGAATCTAATGAGCGGGATATATCGTGCAAGAGAGATCCGCGAAGGCTACAAAATGCATGACTGCAGACTATATGCAATGATGTACATGAATAGGTATTTCAAGAGTAATCGGCGTCTACTCTGTATCTAGTTTGTAAGACTAAACGACCAAATCCCAGCTCTAGGTCTGTTAATGGCACTGAATCCAATGTACATCAATAACTGAATACGTTACCTTGGGTGGTAGGTGATGAAATTGTCAGTTCTGGTGCGATATCTACGTTTTACTTTCGTCTCAGGCCAATTTACGCATATAAAAAGCCCAATTTTATATTTATTCTCCTCTGTATCATTATGGCTATCCCTGAGAGATCAGGCTATCAAGTAGTCTCAAATAAAAGTACACCAAATGGGCCACAGAACTGACTTGATGCACTCTTATGCTTTAGACCATCCCTTGACGATATGTACAGAAATGATTGTCTCTCCAGATTTTTTAATATCACATCTATAGACTGAATGACATCCGGATAGCGATCCTCCCTAACACCGTCGATTAGACTCTGCGACATACATCTCCTTTCCGACACTGCAGATGTAGCGAATTAGAGAGTGTTGCAAGATTAGCACATCCAAGGCAATAACATGCTTGACGTAACTCTAAGGGGAAACAGATATTATGCTTACAGCTAAAAATTTCTCTTCTGCTCACGCTCTTGTTGGCGGCCCGGTCGTTTCCATTGAGGATAGCGACAGTTTCACCATCCTCGCTGCCATAGACCAACCATTTAAATTGGGGCTTGTATCCGTTGCATATGATGGATAACTTTAGACAGTTGCTGCATGCAGGTTGCTCCAATGTGCACTTAACGTGCCGTGCGCGACATGTAAGGCAGCCCAGGAGGCTCCGATGGCCTTTTTGGGACGCGTTGCTCCCTAGAGAATTGTCGACCGTTGTCATTAAGCTGTTGCGATATAGGAGATGTATCCAATAAGCCAAAAATTGTAGGAGACAAGCTATTAAGGAGTGGCACAGATACTACCATCTCCCACCTTGATGATGTGAAAGGAAAGTCGAGCCGAAGTCGTGGGGAGGTTTTATAGGTAGAAATAATTGGACGAACGCAGCTCTCCCCCAAGTCCCACCCGATCGGCTCGACTTTCCTGTTGTACAGAGCCAGGGTTTAACTGTTCCAGTCCTTGCGTGGGTTGCGCCGAGCGGTCTTTGACGGCTCAGAACTTTTGGCAGCCATGCAGATTCAATGCTAACACACATCGTACATAAGCCGGGCGGCGCGCCTCACTATCCTCGCTAGCGTACGGAATTCCAGTGGCAGTTTGATTGCCGAACCTGCTGTTATTGTACACTAAAGCCGCTTCGAATCTACTGTGGCGACTTGTGGTTTGGGCGGCGGGATGGGAGAAGTGAGATGCCAGCCCAGCAATCGGAGCTCGGTGCAGTTGATACATCACGGACTGACTCGAGCGCCGAAACCGCACACTTTCCAACAGACTCTAGTTCGTTACTGAGTGCCATAGTTAAGGAAGCGTTCTTCATAGTCCTTGCTACAGCGCAGGAAGAGAACCTACATGTACACCGATGCCGCACATTATTACCCCGCGCCATTACCACAGGCCATGGAGAGAGGACACAGGCTTGTCAGACCACATCTATGCGATTGAAGCCGAATGCTAAGGATGTAGTTGCCAATTGACACATTGAATCGCCGTAGATTCCATGCAATAGACTCGTAAGGAAAGTCGGCCCGCTTCTTCATTTTTACAGGCGTGGCCGAGGGGAAAAGCCGAGCTATCAGAACTTGATTGCTTGAGGTATAAGTAACGTTCCCGACGCTGTACCCTATATAGTGTAGGGAGATTCGACCTTGGCCGTCTCCAGCTCTCTCATTTTCCTTTACATCCGTACCTTTGTTGTGGTGACAAATACCGACCTTATCCCAAAATGAAGTATGAACGGATGCCAATTGAGATTGAATCGCCAGAAGAATATGGTTACGACAAGATCAAGTTCAACCTCTCTGAGAGCTCCATCGCGGACCAATCCTTGAGCTCTCTTGGATTAACCATCCCTGACCTTACTCTCCTCTACAATGAACATAAGGGGAGCACCGAGCTGAGAGCAGCCATTGCTGCCGACGCTGGCCTGATTGCAGACGATGTGCTTATAACCGGTGGTGCTGCTGGAGCTCTCTTTATCATCTCGACATCTCAACTGTCCGCACAGGATCACATTGTTGTGGTTCGACCAAATTATGCAACCAATCTGGAAACACCGAGGGCAATTGGCTGCGACATCACCTTTGTCGATCTCAAGTTTGAAGCAAGCTTCGAACCAGATCTCTCTTTCATCGAACAAGCAATCACGCCAAAGACCAAGATCGTCTCCATCACTTGCCCGCATAACCCAACCGGGACGCTGCTGTCTAGAGAATCTCTAGATCGCCTTGTTACCATCACCAAGCAGAAAAACTGTTTGCTTCTCGTTGACGAGACTTATAGAGACGTCAAGTACGGCCGGCAACTCCCCGTCGCAGCCTCACTCGGTGATCATGTCTTGAGCGTCTGCTCTCTGTCAAAATCATATGGCGTGCCAGGAATTCGACTTGGCTGGGTCATGACCCAGAATAAGAAGCTTCAGGAGACGTTTTTGGCCGCCAAGGAGCAGATAAGCATCAGTGGCAGCGTTATCAATGAATGGATTGCGACGCAGCTGCTCTTGAGAAGAGAAACCATTCTTTCTGCCACAAATGAAGAGATGGCAATTCGCCTGCAAATGGTTCGGTCATGGATTGAGAAAGAGGAACTGCTTGAGTGGGTAGAGCCAGTGGGCGGCGTAGTTTGCTTCCCTCGTATGAAGAAACAGCCCGTGGGCGGCACGGATGCATTCTACGACAGATTGTTGAAGAAACACAAGACATACGTTGGCCCTGGACACTGGTTTGAGATGCCGGATACGCATTTTCGCTTGGGATTTGGTTGGCCCACAAGGGAGGAGCTTCTTGGTGGGATGGATGCGATTTCAAAGGCGCTGCGAGATGCTGGCAACTAGATGAATCACTAGTTTCCGAAAATCAAGGATAGAAGACGAAACAGACGATGATGGGGAAAATGCTACCATTTGTTATAATAAATGGTACAGCCCCAAAACTTTGACCTTGTCGTTTGACTTTGGCATGCCCAAAATAGTCAGATAAGCCAACTGGAGACCAGAGGCCAGAGTAACGCGATTGTTATAGTTGAAGGTTACAATGACACTCCAATGAACTGATTCTATGCCCTACTTATATGTATATTTACTGGTCAACCATGCTATGTATCTCATCTCTGCGACACATAGGTACGTCATACGCTCAGTAAATACAATCGGTCTAGTGACAGGAACCGAGAAGTACCTAAAGATAACGATAAACCTGTTTGAGCTTGTCAATTCCCCATGGATCACTGCCCCCAAATTTGAGGCTCTCCACATCCTCTGGCCGAACATTTTTAGCCGAAGCCTCTTTTATAACACTTCCTTGTCCCTCCCGAAGAAACTGTTGCAAGGCATCCGCGGCAACATGCATTAATACATCCGACTTCTCTACTTTTTTGTCCCCTTGAGGACTCATCTGACCTGCAGCAGTTGCAAGAACAATGCCGGCCGCGAATGGCAAATCATCTGGATTTTTTGACAGAACATTCGGACCGAGGACTTGGGAAAAGCCTTCTTCTAGCCTTCGGAGCAAATTCCATGCCTCGGTGTGCATGGTGAAATAATTAAAAGAGATTCCCGGAATTTCGTTTTGTATAGCCAACGCAAGCTTCCGTATGATCCCGGGAGGGAGAAGCTTGGCAAGTTCAAGCTAGTTTCTGTGTCAGTAAAAGCTCAGAGAGAGATCGCATCTTGGGAAACTAATTGAATGGCTCAACTTGAAGGGAAACAGGTACATACGCTTTCTTTTTCCACGACATCCTTAAACTCAGTTTGGAAATGCTCTCTGCTATCCGTATACTGCTTGCGAACACCCTCAATCAAAATCGCCTCGACCGCGGATGGCGACCACGGCTGACGTGCCCCAGGGTGTTCAAGACGATGGTTGGTTGATAGAGATACGTATCCCGTATACTTCAAATTCCGTCTGTTGGCGCTGTTTATTTTGAGTTTGCTTTTCCGTCTGTTGGGCGCCCAGTTGGTAACAGATGTTCCAATGCTAAGGCAGTAGTTCTTGAAGTAAGCTTCGCGATTTGTCGGTAGGTCGCCAACAAAGAATGACGGATTGCCCTGCAGTTTCCGCAGCGTCTCCAAGTCTTCCCATTCGAGATCCTCGGCTAGCAACTTCTCCTGTCGAAGTGCATGATACAGCTGCGTTACCCCCAGAAGCGCTCCAGGCGTCGCAGCAAACGGCCCACCGGCAGAGTGTAGATTTGAACGCATGTTGTGTATTAAAAGGCCACAATAGAGAGGGTTCCGACGGAGAAACTTGAAGGGTGGTGCAATCGCGTTTGGAAACAAACCGAGGTCGGACATGAGTTTACGAGACATCCAAATTGGGTCATTGTCCCACATGCAGGCAGCATGGAGAACTTTGGACCGTTCTTTGGATGAAGCAGCAATATCGAGCATAGAATGCTTAATGTTGAGACTTTCTTGTTGCATTTCCCGATACCCACAATCACAGTCTGGGCCAAGAAACTGCAAAATATCCACGTAGATTTGAGTAGCCCAAGCTAACCAGAATGGCGGGTCTTGTGTGGTGTTGTTCGCTAAGTATGCCATTCCGCGGGTAATCTCATCCACTACAGTCGTACGGTCAAGTTTCGAAGCCAGAAAGCTCACGTCCGGCATGAACTCAAGCATTGCCGTCATATCTTGGTTCCATTTTTGTCGACGCGTTTGCGCAGAGTCGCCCACTGTTTCATCGTACCAGCCAAAGCTGCCGTTGTAGGATTGGAGATACATTTCAGATGGGTCAGTGGATTGTAGGTAACTAACCAGCAGTGTGAGGCTGTTCATCAGGCACATGTCTGCCAAATCGTATGCATCTAGGTTGTAAGGGTCCTTCGGCTGCTTCTTAGCGTTCATTTCGATGCCAAAGGCCGTGCATAGGGCCGCAAAGTATCGATTAGCAACAAGCCCACCGCCTCCTTCTTTGCTGAGAAGTGAATCTATTTCCTCTTCCATATTGCGGGCCATTTCAAAGGCCACGTTGGTCGCAACAGAAACAGCTGCAAGATCAAGGCTTCCAGAAACGTAGTCGGCCCATAGAGACTTGATCTCGATCCTGAGGCGATGATAGTCATCCAAAAGTGCCGTAAATGCAAAAATGACATCCATGAAGGTGTCTTCCTGTTCTGCCACATATTTGACCTCGGTGGCAGGCGTTGGAACAGCATCTGGAGCATTTTGGAACTCTGTGGACGTGTGGTACACTTCCAAAACGCTAAAGATATTCTTTGCCAATCCGTCAGGTTTGATGTCCGCTTTGGTTGTCTCTTCGCTGTCGGATTGGATAGTTTCGATAGTTGGTCCCAAGATATGACGAACTTTTTCCAGTACCTCAACAAAGAAGGAGTGACGACCTTCGGAGAGCGAGTTTACTTTCAGCCCAGTGGAGGTGAGACGGTCTGCGAATCCCTTTCGCGCTATTGTGGCCATTGTCAGCTCTACTCTGGCCTTATAGAATGAGCGGCTGACCAATTATCACACGATCAAGTGCAGCAACAAAGTATCTGGGGATCTGGGGGCAGGTGTGCCATTTCCCGGACTGCCAGAGGATGCCCCGGAAGATGCCGTCGTCGTCGTTTGAGACGCCTTTGCTGCTCCGGCCTTGGCCAATTTTCGAGCTTTTCCCTTGAGTCTGCCCCCGGTGGCTATCGAACTGGTGACGGCGCCGGCGACATCATAACCATTGGTTTTGGCGGTAACAGCCAACCACTCAGCTACGACGTCTGTATCCGCCTTGTACTTTTGGTAAATGCTTTTGAGCGCCGGGCTTAACATTTTTGCATCACCTTCTTGTTCTACCACAATCTCATGTGTTATTGCAAGATACAAACCCAATCGCGGAGTTTATTATGAAGACTGAGAAGAAAAGAAAAGCCCTGCTCCGCTCCACCGTATATTTGTAGCACTCGATTAGGTAATCCCTAAAGATGTTGGTGGGGTTCTTCGCCGTGCCTTGGGTAGTTGGGTATCAATGCTACTAATCCAAATGACAGTTGGAATTGAACGTATGTAGTGTCACTGTCACGTGTGTACGACGAAAGATGAGCAGGTTGGAGTGCGATTGGCGAGTTATTAGACATACGGAGAACATGCATGACAGGGGATGTGGCGGGAGAAGCCAGAGAAGCCTTCTCCAATACTCCGTACGCAAGAAGATCTAATAGGCTACAGAGTGTGTACACACCCAAACTACTGCCCGAACAAAGTCCACTCCGCGCCATCGCCGGTCACCGAAGCCGCTGTCGGCTTTCTGCATTCTGCCCCCCCAAAACGACCGTCGGGGCTGTTTAGGCTCATCATTGGAGTCACCAGCATCTACCGTCTCACTCACATCGCATTGCTTCACTAAAGTCAATAGACAAGACACTCTCTCAGTATGGGCCTTCGCCCCTCGGGCTGTTGGACATGCCGAATTCGACACCGGAAATGTGATTCGAGAACCCCCACCTGCAAAGAATGCACCGACCGTAACGTCCATTGTCACGGCTACGGGCAGAAGCCGGAGTGGATGGATGGTGCCGCTGAAGAAGAGAAGGAGAAACTGAGGATCAAACAAGCAGTCAAGGAGAACTTCCGTAGCCTAAGGAGAATGCAGAATAGAGCTCGCCAACATCGACGCGATGTCGCATCACGGCTGCATGCAGTGCCGGCTCACCAAGAACAGGATTGGGGGCCCAGTGGATCGATATCCCCGCATCACGGCGGCAATCTCCCTGATTCTGAGCTAGACAGCAGAGATTACGCACCAAACAATGAGTTGAATTCCGAGAGTTCCAACAACACTCGGTCAGCGCACATAGAGTTGGTGCGGCAAGAGTCCGGGCGGATGCCGTGGATCGACTCACACGATGCTATTTTGCTAATGCATTACTTGGACCAAGTATTTACTTGGCAGTTCCCTTACCACTCATACGCCTCTAGGTCAGGAAATCGAGGCTGGCTGCTTTCGCTACTGATACAACAAGGTCCCCTTTATCACGCCATCCTGAGTCTGTCCTCCCTTCACCAGAGTGTGTTACTCGGCCGAGAAGAAGAATATTGCCAGCAATGCATAGCGTTTGACCGCCACTCCCGGGCATTGAGAGAGCTCTGTGCATTTATGAGCTGCAAAGAAGAACAATTATTCAACGATGCAGCGCAAATGACAGAGTTTCTGTCATCCGGCATAATGTTAATTACATTTGAGGTTAGCATATGCCCTTTTGTTCAAGCTGTATCGCTGTTAAACATTGTGTAGGTATTTCGAGGCGGCGAACACGACTGGCAGTTACATCTGAATGCGCTGACTTCTACATTGAGCCAGCTCACAACCCAAAATGGCTTCTCCCCTCAAGACGATCATAACGACTTTCATTGGGACAAAATGCACGATCATCTTAATTTCACGGAAAACAAAGACTGGCAAGGCCTACAATTTCTCATCACTGCGGCACTCTGGTTCGACATCCTCTCGTGTGTCTCAACTGGTGAAGTACCCGCGCTTCCGTACAGTCAATGGCTCAGCATTTCTGGGCTAGACACAGCGGCTATCATGGGCTGTCAAAACTGGATCATGGCATTGATTGGTGATTTGGCCAATCTGAAGCAATGGAAGGACAATGGCATGAAAATTGGATTGCTGAGCACTCGTGATCTGGCAGTCAAGGGCCAGCGAATTGAGACTGCCCTCGAAAACGGTATTGCACAATTGGACATGAATGACAAGGTGAATTTGGTCGCCCCCATGTTCTTGCGGCATGACGTTGACAGATTTGCTTAGGGACTCACAGATGAACAGATGAATGTCTTGTGGGTATCTCGTATGTTTGCTCTCGCAGCACTAGTACTGTTACATACCATCATATCAGGACCCCTGCCGAAACTTCCAGAGATACAAAGTGCTGTTTCGAGAACTATTGCAACACTTCGTACTCGTCCAAAGTCTTGTCCTGCAAATGGTGTTGTGTGGGCAATATGTGTCACAGGTTGTATGGCACAGCCAACGGTACAGCAATCTTTTGAAAGCTGCATGAAAGAAATGTTAGCCGATCACGGCAGGTTTGGGAATTGTTCGACAATTCTCAGGGTAATGAGGAAATGCTGGGAGCTGCAGCAGCATGGTGTTGCTGATTGCAAAACGGCCATGGTGGAAATGGGCATCTGTGCTCTTTTAATTTAGAAAACAGTTTACGTAGGACATTATCTGATCATTATCATTGTGGCAATGGATTGTAACAGCTAGTCCACCAAAGGGCATGTCGAAGCACTGCCTAGAAAGACTAAAACCCCGCGCCCCCAGCCCAAAAAATTAACATGTGGAAAAATTGTTGAGGCTTCTAACATAATTGGAGCATCCAAGGATCAAAGCCAAACAGAGGTGCGCTACCACTTTCATACTGTCGTTGATGGGCCAATGCAGTCCAGTAGCGGTATAAATACACCTGCGTATCGGTAGAGAGGTCATACATGGTAGGATTAAGACGATAGTAGCTAAAGTAATAGGTATTCATCCGCAAATCCAGCAGCAAAATTCTCAAAGCCTTTCTAAGAAAGAGGGGAGACATAAAGCTAATGGGTATCCCGTCAAGACTGAGACTACGGATAAGCCTGAGATAACGCAAGCTCAGAGACTAATTAAAGAAGGTGCAGCAAGTAAAATGAATCTAGTGCTTTAACGTCATTAAATAGATTCAAATTACGAGTAATTCGCGAACACACGGAACCTCTGACGCCAAACCGGCGAACCTGAAGAATCCGCTTCCTAACACTACTACGGATATCATCTATTCTAACTTGCGTATGAGCGTTGGGTTACCATGGAATCTTATCATTCTGGAACTTGATTGGCAGCTTGATTAGTATCTCGTCATCGCATATCTCTTCAAAAGTGACCCAACTAAGCTTCGATGCGGGAACCGCAGTGGTTAAGCAGATACGAAGAGAAAATCATGTTGTCGAAGTGCCAAACACTGGCGATTTGCCCAAAAAGGAGCCCAAGTCATACGAAACTCACTGGCTTCAAAGAGGTGACATAGGGGCAAGAAATTACAATACCTAAAACCCCACGATAGACGCGACCTAGATCATATAAGAGCAAGGGTTTTGCATCATAACCTAGGGAATAATTTTCAGACCGCTATTTTATATACCACCAATGCGTTGACAAAAGCATACCTAATGTATTTTTTGGTCAAGTTTGTCTCCTATCCAATTGCTGATCCATAGTCTAGCTCAACTTCTCCTAGGATGGCTTCGGGACGTCTTGATCGCTAGAGCTCCTGGGGCGGTAGATCGACAAGTAACTCCAACTTTCTTCGTCATGATAATTTCTCTCTTGGGACAGTTGTACGGCAGGCATCCAATGGATATACACCATAGCCTAATGACTCTGTGGTTAGAAAGAAAGAAGCCAGTAATCTAGCATATAAACTTGACACTTTCATCTCACTAGAGGTCTTCCCCAAGTTATCAACGACATTTGGAATCATAAAAAGAAGAAGAAGAGAAGCTAACGCACACAATGTTCCGCACGCTCAGCCCTCTTAGCCTTCTCTTCGGCCTTCATGCCATTGCAGTCACTGCCAACCAATCCTGATAATCCAAGGCCCAATCACAACGGGGGTCAAAGTCCATCCATTTAGTGCGTATGCCGGACATCCCTCCTCTATAGGCCACGTCGAAGAAGAGTTTTTTTCTCAGCGGGGATGCTGTTTGATGCAATGTTGTTGGTAACTTGACAAGTGATGGTCATTGGACATAATTTCACAACAGTATTGCCTCATACAAAACCCGTATGCTCCTCCAACGCCCGTTAGATCATAAAAGGTTCAACGGCGATGTTCTTGTCGAGTGGATCAACGTCACCGGTGGTTTCAACATTGCTTCTACCGATTTTTCAGGTCTCTATCAAGCAACAGATATGATTAAGTATCAATTTATATTTACATATCATACAGCTTGTGTTTGTTTACTAAAAACTCAATTATATGGATAAGCTACCCCCACCCTATATCACCTCAGCCCAAACCCAGCACAGGTCAGCTCTGCTGCACTTGAAAAGATTACCTCGGCCCGTCGGCTCAGGCTCAGGTGACATAGGGGGGGGGGACTCAGCTTGTCAACGTAGTTATCGCAGTCAAGCTGTATATTACACAGCTCGTGTTTTTTACCGTAAAAGGTAATTCATACACTCTACGTAAAAGGGTTACACAGGTCACTTATGTTTAGCTTGTCTGTTACGACCCAGTCAATTGCAATAGTACATTCCTTTATGAGCAGTTGGTTCCGTCATAGTCACTGCTACAGATGAGATTATTGGCTTAATATTTTGCCCAGTTGGCGCTATGACAGAATGTAGTATTGTCTTACTACTCCACTGTATCGTATTGCTTATTGTATACTCCGTAAGTGGACCGAATTTAAATTAGGATTTCAGAGTAACAACTAGCGGTGTAATGTGTTTGTCCAGTCGCCTAGCAATACTATTACATGTATAAGAGTGAGAGTTCACTAAATATTAATCTATTAAACTTATAAATACTCTTCTTAATCCCCTTAAACCTTATAATTATAAGATATCACTATTAACAATTAAGATAACCAGTCTTCTTTTCAACCCCACGACTAACAAACCGATAATATGAAGGTCTTTACCTCTATCCTTACGCTTACTGCTGTTCTGGCCAGCACAGTTTCAGGATGCAATAGTTGCAACGTATGTGTCTTCACTATTTTAACTCTGCTTGTCATAACTATATAATTAACAGTTATATAGGACTGCCCTGGTGATCAAGTTTGCTTTTTCGCTGGGAGCCCCGGTAATGCTCCTTCTGGCGCATGTGTTGAGCCCAACGACCCCTCTTGCTCCGGCTTCGAGGGATTCTGCGATACCCTCACCTGTGATTAAACTGCATTATGGAATGGGGTTGTGTCACGACCCCACTATTATGGTCGTGGCCGACGGACCGATGGACAAATGCGGAATAGATCATGAGATGCTACGATGGATCATTTGGAACATAAAATAATCCAGCCCAGCCAACTGCATATATAAGTTCACTTCATGTCACTCATTAGAACACTTAGATAGCCAGTTGTTATGACAGCGCACAGCATTTACAATATGATCACATTAAATCCCAGACATTTTCCCCTCTTCGTATTACTAGCTGGTGATGAGATTGCCCGTTTACCGACTTGATCGTTCCGCCCACAGAAACCTAAAACCTATCAGTTTATCTTTGGAAACAGCGAACCCTATAGTACTTATACAACCTAGTTGATCACCCATGCCGGAATAAGTAACACTCTTTTTATATTAAATGACATATTTTGTATTCGCCTTCCTACCAGGCCTTCCCCCCTATTGGAAGCCCTGATAAAAAAAATATAATATAAGTATAGAAAACTACCGCAATATGCTAATTACAATATACTATTACCAGATGGGTATTTATATCAGTCCTCTAGCTGGCTGGCTGGCTACTTAGTCTATCCATATATCAGGGAAGCCGGTAGAGTAGGCCTTGGGCAAATCGAATTCCGCTTACCAGAAGACAATGCCTGAGGTAGTGTAGGCTCATTTCGCGCAGGACGCTATTTTCTCAGCAATCATCCACAACGTTGTATGCTGGAGAATTAACCTAAATGAGGTGGCTACAAGTAGTTTCAACTACTTGTCACTATTCTATCAACAGAATGCTACGCCTTGGACTGACCCAAACGATCTTCTCGCATCAGCCAATCTACCAATGACCAGCACGATACCAGCGAATATCCGTCCCACGTTGAGCCAGCTGCTTATTCCTCGCCATGCCAGCCTAGACCTCATCACACTCCCGCTCATTCGCGAACGGGCAATCATGCTCTAGGCTCCCATGCCTTTTGCATACAATTTGGCGGAATTTAATACAGATATCTTTGTGCGAGGAGGTCTCATGGTCTGGTCTTCATCCGCAACAAAACTCAATAATGCAGTGATAAATACGAAGAGAAGTTACTCATAGCCATAGGACAGCGAAGATCAACATCTCCGGTGGTTTCGACATTATATCCACCGATCTTCCAGGCGTCTATGAAGCGGGCTACATATGGGCCAGAATTGGCGCTCAAGCTAAAGGGGTCGAAGGCGGAGCAACAAATCCCCAAGGCCACATTCAATGGGACCCATTGCGCTATGGCACGCTGAACATTCCCAAAAATGCCATTTGATATGATATTGTCAGTCAAGACGCCAGCGTTCTGCGCAGTGGCAATGTCACTGGAGATCAAATATCCGAGCATGTCAACCTTGTTGGGGCTTCTCAATCTGGTAGCTGAGTTTTGGGTTATACAAATGGTGTCCAGCCATTGAATAGCCCATATGATGCCATCATTCCGGTTATCTGCGGTGGAGCTTCTTCTGACTTCAGTCCTGTTCCTGCTCACCCCACTCCTAGCCAGCATGGTCGCACTGTCTTTACAAAAGTGCGAACCGATCTTAAAGTCCCTGTCTTTATGATGGATTCTGTAACCGAGTCATTACACTATGCTCAAAATCATCTTCGACAGCCCAACACATATAAGATTCGCGAGTGGGAAGTTACAGGAGCATCACATGCCAACCTCAGAAACCTAATTTGGCTCACGTCTCAAAGGGAAGTAGATGAAATGCCTATTCCTCTTCCAGACACGACTAATATCAGCACCGTCAACTAGCAACCTACTCTTGACGCAATCTATCGTCACGTTTCCCTCTGGATCCGTGATCCTACCTATTATCCTCTTACAGTTCCTTTTATGGAGGTGGCCACAGACTCAAGTGGAGTGATGGACTACGTGGGAGATGACGATGGTAATACCAAGGGCGGAATTCGTCTTCTAGAACTTGTCGTGGCCGTAGCCAGGTACAACGGTTACAACAACGGTCTCTCGGGCAACACATACCCCTTTTTCTAAATCCAAGTTGAATGCTTGTATCCAACTCACCAAGAGTATGTTGCCAAGGTTAAGGCAGCTGCTTATGCGTCTTTATATAAAAAGGCCACTTTGGAATACTAGGTCAAGAATTACACACGTGCAGCGGAAGTCGCCAACGTTCCTCCGCACTTCGCTAGCTCTTAGTTCATTTTACTTTTCCCCTGCGATGAGGGTATGTCTGCTTTACTCGACTTCATTTTGTTCGATTTCCATGTATTAAATACTTTGCATACTCTACTAGTATCAACTTGAAACTGATATTATATCAAGACTTATGCGTCACGCTCTGGGCAATACCAGCTTTTTTAGCTAGGCAAGGCCGTGGAACCCTGACACTCTCACCTTTATCTGACGTAATAGATAGTGAATAAGAGTACAATGAACCCTCATGTTCCAACCCGCCTCGGGCCGCATCATGACCAGGCAATCTGGGACCTCTGGCTCCAATGAGATATACGCATCGAGCGATATCTTTCAAGGTCTCCGGAAAGAAGATGAATCTATCCGTTGTTCTTTCCACACTCCACAGCAAGATGTGGCTGTGTACAGACAAACAGAACTACGGTGATACCATAGTACTGGTAGCTTTGTGGTAAGCTTCCCCACAGGAGCTTACATTCACGGGTCGTGTCCGGTAATAAGGCCAAATACGAACACGATCAACTATGGATAAGCAGGAGGGCGTGAAGTGCAAAATACGAGCTTGACACACAATTTGTCCGTCCTCTGTGGCCTCGCATTTACTCGTGGGTCCCGAATGCCTAGCTTGAGGATGTGACGATTCTTGTACCAATTGATGGCTCAGCTACGTCAGTCATTATCTAATGACTTTTTGAGAGTTGCGATTGTTATTTTTGGAATGCTTCGGTATCTAAAAGAAAATGATTCCAAACATCTTCTGAACCAAAAGGGCTATATAAAGATCACAATCTGCAGCTGTACTTCGTTCCATAGAGACAATATTATAACACACAAAACGAGTTCATTGCACCTTTTTATCGTATTATCATGGAATCAGAATCGGACACCCATAAGTTTTGCATTATTGTTGGCGCTGGTGCAGGCGGTCTGATCCAGGCAGCGGAGTTGTTGCGAAAGAAAGACCTGCAGCTGCAAGATATACAAATCCTCGAGCGAAACAGTGATTACGGTGGTGTATGGAAGGCTGCAACTTACCCCGGGGCGGCTTGCGACGTATTCAGTTGCACCTACCAGGTAAGCTGGCACCGAAATCCAGGTATTTAAACTGAACAGTCCAAATCTTTGCCTTCACACATAAGCTAATTTTTGTATTTACCAGACTGGAACTATCTTTTCCCCACGGCCTCGGAACTTGTCCAATACTATAAAAACTTTGCAGAATATTTTGGGATTCCGGATTGCACTACATTCAGTCAGAGCGTCACGCAGGCAACTTGGTCTGAAGAACGGTCATTATGGGTTTTAGATGTACTAGATGGAAGATCTGGGACGCGCAAACGTTGGACTTGTCGCGTCTTAGTTCAGGCTGCCGGAACGTACAACCGGAAATCCACACCTCAAATTCCCGGGATAGATCGTTTCAAGGGCGACATGTGGCATGCCTCGGAATGGCCAATGCATTATGATTTCACTGGCAAGATCGTTGCATATGTGGGCACTGGACCAACGTCTGTTCAGGTGCTGCCATATATCCAAGCACAAGCCAAATCGGTCAAAGTGTTCTGTCGAAGCATGACCTACTGCCATCCGTTCAACAACTTCAAGTACCCAGCCTCGGTTAAATGGATATTTCGTTGGGCCCCTGGAGTTCTCGCTTTATACGCATTCCTGGTTGCGAATCTGTTTGCGATCTGGGCATATTTTGCCTTTCGACCTGAATCATGGGTTGCAAAGAACACAGAACGGTACTGTCGTCGGCATTTAAAAGAACAGGTCTCTGATCCTATTCTCCTCCAACAGTTGATTCCTACTGGACGATTTGGGTCTAAGACCACTGGTCTCACTCTCGGGTTTCTTTGAGACCATCCAGAAGAACAACGTTGAGGTAATCAGCGACCCCATTATTGCTGTGGATGACGCTGGTATTATCAGGAAACGGCCGCATACAGGTGATGTCGTGTTACAGATTGATGAACCAGACAGAGATGGCGACTCATCCACAGAATCTCAGACAAAAGAGCAAGACTCGCATATCGAAGCAGATGTTCTTATCTGGGGAACTGGATTCAAAATGCAAGGCTGGGGCGGAGCAGTACCTACGATGGGCCGTAATGGCCAACTTCTTAGCGAGCACTGGAGAGACTCCCCCAATGCGTTATACGGTAAGCACATGAATATTTCCCAATTATCACGTGAAGCCTCTAATTAAATAATCATGGCAGGAACTATGACATCTTCATTTCCCAATCTCATCTTTGTGAATGGTCCTAATACAACAACGCCTTGGGGAAGCTTAATTCAAGGGCTGGAGATGCAGGCTGCTTTCAATCGCAAGGTCATCCGACTCATTCACAAAAAGTCGATTACGAATCCTTGCTATACCCTAGAGCCCCGTCAAGAGATGGAAGAAGCATGGACGACGTCTATGCAAGCAGAGCTAAACAAACTAGCTACCAGTCCGGAATTTGGTCCAGCCTTTTATTACTTGAACGAAAAAGGACAAAATACGTTCTTTTTTCCGTGGACCCAGCAATACTACCGATGGAAGACAAGAACACTAGACATTGCTCAGTACATTGAGTCGGGGGTCGCAGAGTGCTAAGGCTTTGTTTGTTTTAACTTGTAAAATGATTTATTCCGAATACGGAGATAATTTCTTTTTTAAATAATATACTTTACGTTGAATAAAATAATTTCTTTTGTTCTAATTAAAAATATGTAACAGCGCCGTAGGAGCTCCCTAGGGCCTGTAGGTCAGAGACCTTATAGCTGTTGTAAAGGGCAGTGCTAGCATAGCTTGCTAGCATTGGCGGATCTTTTTGGTCTATTGGCTCAATTGGCACCCTTTCCGATTGCTGTTACAAAATAATAATGTAAAATATTTTAATATTTTTAGATCATTATTTAAATCTCATTAATGTTATAATTATTTATATATAATCAATTTAATTTTTATAGGCAATTTATATCACTTATGAACAGCTTTCTTTTTCTTCTCTTTCTTTTTTTCCCCCCTGCCTTTATCTTTTCTCCCCTCTGGTTTTTCTTTTCTTTTCTGCATTTCCTGCATATGGTAACATTCAACAACAAATACTGAATGAAATGAGCGGTTCATCAGCAAACGAGTATGAAGGCCAATACTCTTCAATGCAATGTTGCAAACATTGTATAAAAAGAAAGCAGTCGTTTCTTAAAATCTTTTGTCTCTTACAAATCTTTCTAATTTTATTTCTGGTCTTTGGTTATAAAGCGAAAAACATCCTGATACTGCAAGGCAGCATTGCAGTGGTTGATCCTTGTGAGTAACTTGTCGTAAACAAGGGAGCATTCGCTGAAATCCGTCTGATATTAGACTGGAAGCTTTGGGATTACAACTCTACCTTCTTCTTTTACGGACTTGAGGGGTCAGCAGATAACACACAAGCGAATGCTCGGCTATGGAGCGATCTTCAGTTGGGTAAATACTTCTCTATTTTGCTTCGCGCTGCTCCCGCTTGTTAATACTGAGGCTAGAAGACGGCATTGTCGCTGTTGACTCATCATGGGCGCGAGAACAAGGAGTCGCCGCTTCAAATCCGCATCCAGCTCACCCGGAACTGAGCGTGTATCAGGTTGACGTCTATCATGCACTTCATTGCTTGCATCGCGTTCGAAATAGAATTATATCACACCTTTCTATGAAAGAAATCCCGCGGGATGACCCGCATACGTTGCATTGTATCGACTACGTCCGCGAGCAATTGATGTGCCACGCAGATACAACACTACAGGCCACAAATGACTATGTCCATTATCATACTAATAATGGACACAAGTGTAGAGACTATTCTGCGATACAGGAATGGGTTGACAAACACAAGTGGCCAGAGCATCGCAGCTATATTGACGCATGGCTCAGTGAACATAAAAATGAGATTATTTAGGCAACTGTGCATGGTACGATGGGAAACTCAAAATATCACTTAACGGCAAAAGTCTAACAAGAACTGTGAGAAACATTTAGTATGTTATATCCATTCATCATCGAAAGCGTGCAAGAACAATGTTTCTCTTTACACTCTATGTTATTCATGAGAGTGTGGCGTTTAAGACTTGATGAAAGGTAGTTATACAATAGCTCTTGCCTCTGCTGAAAGCCAATTTACTAATAGGCTGTTTAAACACGCATTTCAGAAGTAAAGTTTGTTCCCCTGATAATAACTGTCGTATCAAAGCCTGTTTGTAAATAAATGGGACGGTATGAGAAGAAGATTTGCTTCCACATATTACATTCCCTGATGCTGCATTATTGCCCTATTATCGTCCCTTTCAATTTTTGATCTATCAACTTACGTTCAATTCACTTTTCGATACGTCACTTACAAATTTCCGCTATCTTTAGAATATACTGCTTTAGAAAGTGATTATTAATCCTAGCTTGTTTGCATTGGGATATGCTAGCCTTTTGCATCCAGTAAAGGCATTGATGCGGCAAGCCAGAATAAGTAGCTCCCTTCTTTGTATTAGTCCATGCATTTATGTTAGCTTTTCTAATCGGCCCTTCCTCTTATTGAAAGTCTACATGAAGATACCTATGAGAGGATCAAGGAGAACTGCCGCAACATGTCCAATCTATGTACTATTACTACGGAGTAGATGGGCATTTATATCAGTCTTCCAGCTGCCTGGCATGGCTGGCATGGCCGGCTACTTGGTCTCTTTATATGTGAGAGAATCAGGTAGAATAGGCCACGGGCATATCAGATTCCGCCTATCAGAAGACAATTCATACGATAGTGAATGGACTTCTGAAATTGGGGGCGGAATACTCCGTATTTCATCTGGCATACGTAGTTTCAAATGTGTAGGTAAGACGGGCATTATCCTCCTGATTCCGCCAGTTGATGGGATTAACAATCAGTAGTTATAGCAATCCCAGGGTTTCCCCTATTAGTCTCTTGCCGATCGTACTTATGAAGAAGGCCAGCCAAGTACCGCTCTCGCTATATTGATAATAGTTTTACTAAGTTTTAGAATACCCCGAGTCCGATGTCTTTTAGCGGATCTTATATGATAATTGTATATATAAGTGGTTGTGACCCTCACGTTGCGAAGTAATTATGCAGATCTTTACAAAGCACAATACATGCAATACTCCTTTTAAATATCTCTATTTACTCTACCAAAATGCACTTTAAATTGTCTCTCGCAGCTGCCAGTGTAATAGTTCAATCACTGGTGGGTGCAATTCCATTCAGCAGTCTCCCATCAACGGATATCGACCCTACAATCAAGGATAAAGACTTTGTCAATGCCCAAGGGAACGACATTATCACAGATGTCCCTCGCGGCTGACGCAAATGGTATGTACGGCGACATATTCATTGTAACACTTTCCCGTGCTAACATTGATGACTTTGAAGTAGCAAAGTTGCCACAGACTACATGTGCGCGACAGCCAATCTATGCCAGATAGTATACGATAGCTTATGAAGGTGTTAAACCGGGTGGTAGTTTCTGTCGAGGCAGGATTCAATGAGCAATGGTATTATATGGCTGGTAGTTGAAAACAATGATCAATGTTGTTGCTATACTCATGACTGGTGGGACGACTACACCACAGGCACATCTACAGCTTGTGGAGGAATGATGTCTTCTCAAATCTAAAGGGGAAAAAGCTAGCCAGCAACTCAGCCCAGTAAGCCATTGACCAACCTGCCAGTATCACAGGATTTCTTATCGAGACCGTAAGCCAATTTATTAACGGGTTTAACCTTGGTATATGGAGTACATAGCCTAGCCGGTACGGCTCGGAGAAACACTCGGATAAGTATCCGTAAAACATTTTGAAATATCGCAAGCGGAGATATGACAGAGACTTGAAACATACTACAGATACATTCTTCTATTTCATTTCTTTATTATCGCTCTCCTCCCGCGGGATAATAGCAGCTACGGTGTAAGCCACTAGATCTACTAACTATTTCATGTTCCACCTATCCAGCTGTTTATTATTTTAAGCCGAGGTATGATAATCCATGCCAAGACCTCATACATCGGAAATAACCAGAACTATTCGGACATCCGTCAACCGTTTTTCTGTTCAATCACATCACCCAGGTGCGATAACGTACTCTCACAACACCGCTATGTCTACGTAGGGTTATGACATGACTATACCACGAAACTTGCACGGCTGTTACCGCTCATCTTCTTCGTTAGCCCCATCCCTATGTCTATTAGACCCTGCAAACCTCTCCTTGTGGGCAGAGATTACGCCTGAGATCTATGTTCTCCATTGTCTATTGGAGTAGCGGCCTTGAAATCTGTAGCAATATAATTATCGCCTCACTATACAATTGCGCTTTCGGTTACCTTGTAAAGTCATGCTATTCATACGTCTAAGATTTCGTACTTTGTCTTTTCTGTTTTGAAAGCTCTAATTTTCTTCCCACTCTTGATATCAAAAAACACGACATATCGAGCTTGAATCATGACAAGTCCCTTAGAACAGACGCTGCTTATCATCGGGGCGAACGGTTTTCTTGCTGGCCATGTTATTAAAGAGGCATTGGAGCAAGGCTACGGCGTCCGAGGCACGGTTCGCTCGCCAGTATCTGCTAAAAAGGTTCGATATCTTTTTGCAGAGTACAGCGAAAGATTTTCAGTATTTGTTATTCAAGGTTTTACTCAGAAAGAGAATTACGAAATCGCATTTATGGGGGTGCCTAAACACATCACTGGTGTCATCAGTGTTGCCGCGCCCTTTACACTAAAAGTCGAGGATAATTGCCGGCAGCTTCTCGATCCAGCAATACAAGACGGTATTGCAATGCTTGAGGCTGTCAAACTTTATGGCCCTAGCGTACAACGCGTAGTAACAATTTCGTCGTTCACGGCCATTATTGACCTACAATCATGCTCTCGGCTGCTATGCCCTTCGTAGACAATTTGACAGAGGTTAAAACAGATATGCTCGTGTGAGGAGGTCTAATGGTCTTTCTTCGTCTGCAACAAAACTAAACAATGCAATAACAAATATAAAGGGAAGTTACTTATAGCTATAGGACCGCGAATGCTGGGAGGCTGCTATCTAGTCCCTTAAAAAATAGAGCATTATTGTTAATAGGCAGTAAGGTAAGCTTAGAAGGCGGAGTCTACGGTGGACGAATTTACAAGGGGTCTAGAACAATAGACAAAAGTTAGTATCTCCAAACTATTTAAAGACGCAAAAGACCTAGGCCTAAGTTAGCTATAGTGCATATAGCGTTAGCTTTAAAGAATTAAAAATATACCTTATCGAAGTATTATAACCGCTTATATATATCCAAGGCTTATTACAGTTTAATTCCTTAATACAGTAGCCAACAGTTATCGGATAGTTTACGCAATATATTATTCATAAAGGGACCTGCTATATCTCACAGCATACACATAGCGTAGCTCCTACTAGTCCAATGCTAATAGTCTCATAGACTCTCCTAACCATAGCCCTTAAATTTACTCCATTACTCTCCGCTTAAGGGGTGATTAAATCAGGGTGCCGACCCTAGGAGCTGCCCAGTCTCGTTTCATCACAATATCGTTGATTCTTGCCTTACAATTCTCCCGTACCTTTCTCTATCTTTCTTGGTACCTAGCCCCTCTCCTATTCGCATCGAATGCTCCTCAACATAAACTTCCATATTCTTTGCGCTCGGTTGCAACCCTCATCATCGCTTATTAATCTGATCTCCGTTGATTGTGATCGATGAGAAAGAAACGTGGCACTCCCAAACAACTCAGTTCATTCAACATGTTAGAATGTCGGAAGAAGACGGCATCCATCAACTTAATCGCAGCTATAGCCCAGCTCTCAACCTAGTCCCTGCGAACTCCAAGTCTACATGGTATGACGATGCGTTGGCCTACTTTCGAGCGATCCCATGGTGTGCAGAGCTGCTAGGGGTTTCTGGTACTTATTACTTTCTCCCTAACTGCCGTAACTCAGCTTCGGATCACCGAGACCAATTTTTTAGCACGACGCTGGCTACACAAACTACTCTAAAACACGTCGTGCGCCTTTTTGTGGCAGAGGACCGAGATGTGCTACAGGATACATCAACGCCCATTGCCAGAGTGCAGACACTTTACGCTCTTGAGGAAGGTCTCGGCGGTGTCGGATCAATGGTGCACGGTGGAATGATCATGGCCTTGCTTGATGAGTCCTCAAATGTACTGCTTGAGATCAACACTGTAATGAACAAACAAGGTACCATGTTTGAAGCAGGAAGTGTCACGGGTGGGATGGAAATTCAATTTATGAGACCTGTTCTCATTGGTCAAACAGTTCTAGCTACAGCCAGCATCGATGTAATTGAAGGACGTAAGATGAGGGTCAAGTGCGACATCCGCGACGAAGATGGGATAATATTAGCTAGGGCATCCAGCACATGGATTGTCGTAAACATCATCTTTAAGGCGTAAATACGCTGAAGAAATTTCCTATAACAAAACCAAAGAGTTCCTAACGCCACCCGAGATTGTGACAAGACGATGACTGTTCCCCGATGTCAAACAAAATGACGACTAGGAGCAAATTAAATTCTACGTTACTGAGAAATGAACTATGTGTCAATTGCTCAAGGTTCAAAAATTGTCACCTCAAGGAAGCGATTATCTGGGTAGCATAATTGATTCTCTTGGTACCTCCAGTTGAATACTAACTAGACTTAATGCCGAATCGTTTCCCCCATAAATAAACATAACGATACAAATGGTTTCCCTTGTCATCCAATAGCTCTGTTTATAACCAGATAAATTTTATGACGACTACAAGGGCCTTGTTGGGACTCTAATAGTTCATTGACTCCTGCCAGGAGCCCAATGGTTGAGAAAATCGCAGCACAACACGCCGCTCATCACCAGCATAGACAGATATGCCCTGGACTCTCGCCTCAGCTGGTATATCATTTGAGCATCCAACGATAACAGTGCCTTCTTCCAAATTAATAAGTCTCTTTGCGGCCTTGACCACCAAAGCGCTGTTCCATAGACCTTCCTGCATTGGGTTCCAGGTCATTAGCTCTATGGCTCTCCTCCTGATGAAGGGGTCACGGCATCTGGTGATGATGGCGAATAGAATAGGTAAAACACCAGTATCCATGTGAAAGCGGGGATGTTTGTTCGATGTCGCCTCCGAGTCATGAATTTGCATTGATGCCTCGGCAAAGTCGAGCATCTCGTTGAATTGGCTCGAGTATTCATCCCACACGATTTCATCGTCATCTCCTCCGGGGTCAATGGTAGACAAGTGAGTGGCTAGGTACCGTTTCTGCAGCTCAAGCAGTGTGAGAGCCCTCATATTCGAAGCACTTGCAAGTAACTGACTGTTTTCCTGTTTGAATATATCGAACGCGCGGCACCATTCTGCAAAGCAGTTGGCCAGGGCACCCACCGCTTCTTGACCTGCGGGTCTGTCGAGCATCCACTCCAAAGCAATACCATGGATTGCCTCTCTAGCTTCTGAAAGTTGTTGGAATGCAAATCCAGGCCTGTTTAACTTTTTACTTTCAGGTATGGTGTAACTCATATCCAGCAACCCTTCTCTCGAGTTCCCAAAAATCTATATATACCATATGTTAGAGTTTCCATCTAGTCCATTAAAGAGGTACGAAAACCTGCCCATGATATCTGAAGTGTGAGGCGATTAAAAAACCCCACAATGAGGTGGAGGAGATGATCGCCAGCCGATATGGTCGGCTGTATTTCTCTCATCATTCTGCAACCGGATGTGTAAAGCCTTATGGCGGATCTGATATGTCCTCGAAGAATCTGGGTGAATCAGCAGCCGCCGAAATGGGAAAACTGAGAAAGCAATATACCTCAACACAAATAAATATGATGCATGATACCAGGTGTATCAATGACAGGCCGTGTCGGACGCTAGAGAGGCTATTAATGGCAAAATTGTAATGACGCAAAGCAAACGAGGCATCCCCACCGGGACTGCAATCTATGTATCTCTCATGGTATGTGGATAGAGCGACAAGTGCATGCCAAATGCAGGATTCTGAGTAGGCCAACTGTAGGACCCTTGTACTCCAAAATTCATCCGGGAAGAACATTGAAAGCTGCTGTATTGTTTTTTCGGTGAAGAACTGTATGGACCGAGCCACACGAGGGACATCATGGTTCTGCACATGTATCGTCATCCATCTCAGCTGCGGAGCCGGAGATGGGTTGGACGATGATTTGGTAGTAACCCGGTAGCCGTCGCAGGGGAAGCCGGATGTGGTGCCTACTCAGGTGAGCATTCATATGAAGCATACATAATACCTTACTTGTAAGTGCTAACTCAAAGGATATGGCCTTACATCTCATGCAGGATGGGCGGGCCTCGTCACACTTGAGCCTCCGAACTATAAGTAGAGTAAGTCATGGCCGTTGCTGTTTGCTACACTGGGACCTGACTGACTTCTGCAAATCTCGGCGTTAGCATCTTCAGTGCGCCTACCAGGACCCGCAACCGGCTGGACAAAGGGCTGATGAATCGCTTACTTGCATGTTTGGCAGCCTGTCCGGACTTTCGGTGCTCTTACTCTTCGACGGTGACCTGGCTTTACACGTGTCATTGAGGCTCTGACTTGATACTAGTGGTGTATAGGGAGGAAGTTTCTCAACATGCCCACGACAAGATGGTGTAGAATCTTCCCTCTCAACGAGTGCGACATTATATCCGGAGACACAGGGGCTCACCAGATGAAAGTTGCGTATAGCACTAGTACTAGATGGGAAATGTCCTTACGGCTCGGCCAATCGGGAATCCCATAACATCAGCGGCCCCATTGATCTCATAACTAAAGCCTGATAGAGTGACCCCGACGCCATATGAGCAGTGTGAAGACAATTAATTACCTAAATATACTCCGTATATACCTATATAAATATACATCTTGAACTAATTTATAAACTGCAAAGGAGGGAGTGGGAAGAAAGAAGTCCATTTACATCCACATTTCTCTCAGTTCTTATCTTCTTCTCTACAATACCAAACACAAGATGGCGCAACAAGGGGATGCCGAGTCCACGTCCATGTGGCAACTCTCTCCCTCACTTGGCGCCTCCATTACCTTTCTCATCCTCTTTGTTCTAACAACCGCCATTCACCTTGGGCAGGCAGTTTACTACAAGCAGAAATACTGCTGGGTCATTATCATGTCAGGCATATGGCAGGTCTTGACGTACATCTTCCGCACAGTCAGCATCCAGCAACCCGACTCCTTCAACTACTACGCTACTTGGTTTGTCCTCATTCTCATTGCGCCACTTTGGACAAACGCCTTTGTCTACATGGTGTTCGGCCGCATGGTCTGGAACTACACAGACGATCGTCGCGTGTGGCGAGTAAAGGCGCAGCATTTTGGCTTCGTGTTTGTACTCTTGGACATTGTATCATTCGTCATCCAAGTGTACGGTGCTGCCAAAGCCACAGCAAAAGACGCGCCGACGGACAAGGTGCTTCAGGGACTGCATATATACATGGCCGGTGTTGGGATACAACAACTCTTCATTCTCATCTTCTGCTTGTTTGCTTTACGACTTTTATTCCTGGTATGCAAGCAAAGTAACGAGAAGGCTAAGTCAATACAGCTAAGCCCCGGTGTGCTGCTCCTTTATACTCAATTTGTTGTACTGGCTTTAATCTCAGTAAGTATCCATATCTGTGCCCAGGAATCTTTTGAGAATTCATATCCTAACAACTGGTGTCAGCTTCGAATTATCTTCCGCATTTGCGAATACGCGCAAGGACTCGACAGCTCGATACCACTACACGAAGCTTACCAGTATGCGTTAGACTCGCTGCCCATGCTTCTTGCGCTTGTTGCCTTCAACGCTATTCATCCGGGACGAATCATGCGCGGCAGTAAATCTGACCTGCCGTCATTTCGGATGCAAGAAAATCGCACGCAACTCGGAAGTGCAGATGCTGGCCAACCTAGTCGTTTTGAATAGCTTCAGAGTGAAAACACATAACATCTACTAGCAAAAGAGAAGCGTTTGTACAGTCAGCGACCTCTCTGGTATAGGATTAATTGTTTGAGAGTAGCTTGGTGCTATAAAGATAATTTTGTTTCGTTGGGCGTAGAAAATATATAGACCTTTATTAAGATGGACATGGGATGGGAACGTGTTTGCCCAAGGTACTTAGTTATTGGGTTTAAATAGATCGCAACTAATGGATGGTTACAGAGATTGGTTATTTTGAAGAACGTTACTACCTTCGTACTGATCCGAAGGCGACTTGGTTCTAGACCGGAACAGTCCAACGCTGGAGTATCAGAAAGCTCAGTTCTACATCACGGCGCTGATTTAAATATTTACCAAGCTTCTAGGTCAACGAATTACCAAAGTAATAGGTAGGTAGTCGATCATCCAGAGGTAAGTAAATTAACATTTGTGACTCCTTTGCTTGACAATGCCATATTTCTGGTAGTGTTACCCTTTGGCTTCCCATATCAGTGTGGATACTTCAAATACACACAACTACCCAACCCCCCCTATCATAGCCCTGCCACCTTGATCAGAACTGACTTCGTCTCCATGAATGTCTCCATACTATGGATATAACTCTCCCTTTGCACTCCACTCCCCTTTTGCCCACCAAATGGCATGTCATCACCCTTCGTCGGACTTGTGCAGTTAACTCCCACTGTTCCGGCCTCTAGCCTCGAGGCAACTCTCATCGCCCGATCCAGATCTTTCGTATACACCGCTGCGTACAGACCGTGTTCGGTGTTGTTCGCGTTTGCTACTGCTTCCGCTTCCGTGTCGAATGTGTTTATGATCACCACTGGCCCAAAGATCTCCTCCTTCATGATCTGGGCATCCTCAGGGACGTCGGTGAATATCGTAGGGTTGATGTACAAGCCCGAAGCGGACTGCTCGTCGGTTATCAACTTGCCCGTCTTCTTGCCCAGCTCAATATACCGCAGTACTGTCGCGTGCTGAATCTTATCTGCCTGCGGCCCGTGGTTGATCTGGGGGTCTGTCGGATCACCCAGTCGAGCAGACGTGAAGGCAACCTTAAACTTCTCGACAAACGATTCAGCGATGGAGCGCTGCACATAGATGCGAGAATTTGCCATGCACGTCTGTCCGCTAATCAGCTGGATGCTAAACTGGGTCTCTCGCACCGCGGCATCAATATCGGCGTCTTCAAAAATGATGGCGGGCGACTTCCCCCCAAGTTCGAATATCAAGTTTTTCAAGTTGGAATCGGCGGCCATCTTGGCGATTAACTTTCCCGTGCGGTTGGAGCCAGTGAATGTCAAGGCCCGGACGTCCATATGCGACGCGAGAGCTGCGCCCGAGACGGGCCCGTGGCCAGAGAGAACGTTGAGGACGCCAGGGGGGAATCCAGCTTTTTGAGCGAGCATAGCGACGTACAGAGACTGCGGAAGTTTTAGAATGGGAAGCAGATGCGAAGGGTATCAGAGAGATAACTGACAGTCAGTGGCGCTTTCTCGCTACTCTTGAGAACGACAGCATTGCCGGCGGCTAACGCTGGTGCCAGCTTTTTAGAAAAGAAGATGAGAGGTGCGTTCCAAGGAATAATCGCCGCAACGACTCCTACAGGCTGCTTCAAAGTAATATTCACAAATCCCGGAGTATTCAAGCTCGAACCCCCTTGAGGATATGCTGCCTCGGAGAAGTAGCGGAAGTACTTGGCACCCGCGGTCGCATCAAAGTACGTTGACACAGGTCTACCCATAGACTCAGCCTCTAGATGGGCTAGATCTGCACTGGCTTCCAGGATGAGGTCGGCGAGCCGCACGAGATATCTGCCTCTTTCGTACGGTGAAAGACTGGCCCACGCTGGAAAGGCGGCTTTGGCTGCCGCTACAGCGTCGTCTACATCCTCCTTGGTCGCTTCATATACTGTTTCACGGCCGTGTCAGAACCCACGTCGGCCGAACCTAAATGTTGATCGAGCCATACCTTTTGCCAGTAATGAACCAGTTTTTGCGGAAAGAAGATCAAATGTCTCATTGTTCGAGGACGGCCGGAACTGTGGCATGTGAGTGAGGGGAAAAGGCCATTTCGCAGTCTTTTCATACCTTGCCGTTAATGAACAGCCGCGTTTCAATAGAAGTGGAACCCATTGCGTCTTACAAAGCGTTATCACGCAAATGCTGAAATAGTATATAATGTAAGGGTCTTCTATCGTTTCTGCTGCCGTGTTGCGACCTCCAAATCAGCAAAGGAAAGGTGCAATTGAAATGCTCGTCTCAACAGGGCTGCTGCTTGAAAGGCCGCGGGTTGCACATGGTGAATGATTCAGCTCGACTGGCCTAACCTGAATCCGGGAACCATCGCGGTTTGATTCGGACCGCGAGGCATTTATAATCACAGTCTGTTGCATGGTATGTACGACCAACATATTACATATCCCATGCAATGTTTCATCGGGTGCCAAGGTATGCCGTCAAGAGGGAACATCCTCTCCACCACGAGCTCAGAAATAACCTATTAAAGCTTGGAACTTTTAATATGTGGGCTGGCGTATAAGCCGCAGGGTTAAAAGTCGGTAGCGCTTATGCATCCCGAGCGAGTCGAACGAAGTCGAGCAGCTATGAGTAGCCAGGTAGCTTCAAGGGGTATGCTCTACGCTAGGGACCAACCGCATAAGTGGAGATGTCAAACTGGATGCCACAATCTCCTTTGCCCTTCAACGGAAAGGTTCAATGTTCTCGGCGCCATTAGGTACCTCCATAAGAGTAAAGTGGCAGTACTATCTAGGTACCGTATGACTACGGAGTACTGGGTACCTCTTATCTCGTAGGGATGTAGGGAATCTTGCATGGATGATGGACTCGTAAAACTGAATACCTATGAATTATAAGAGTTTAGCGAGTGAAGGCAAGGTTTATATTAGATTCTTCAGGAGAAGAGTAGAATTAGTTACCGTGTTGCTTTTCATAAAAGTCGTATCCTCCTCCCGTGTCCGCATGCATGCAGTGATCTATAAGATGTATCTAAAGTGCTCTTGGTCCTCCACATTCTCACCCCCATCCCGATGCTTCCGGTCAAACCGTCTATTATGCCATGCCAAGGCCCCCGTCACCAAAAGTATACTCACAGTCGCGAGCGTGGCGAATCCAACACCCGTGGCAAAGCCAGTAGGGTATTTGGGCGCCTGTTTCGTGATGAATACATTGCTCGCCACAAAGTTGGCACAATTACCCATCCCTAGCTGAACGGCACTCGCGACGGCCTGCTGGGGGCGACCACGTAGGTTACTGTTGAGCCAGCCGATGAGGATGGGGAACTGCATGAATGAACCAAAAGCAATAATGTACAAAGCAAAGTAGCGCACCGCTGGTGGCTGGACCTGGGTGTACTGTATACACCAGCCGATGAGAGAGAAGATGGCGCCAGTGAGCACAAACGGCCAGCGGAGGGAGAGCTTCCCAGACGCGTAGGAAGTAGACAGAGTGACGACGATGCCGACCATCCAGATGGGAATGCTCATTACTTGGGCTCGTGAGGCGCTCCAACCGAGCTGGGCAAGGATGGTTGGGGTGAAGGATGAGATGGATGCAGCGCCCATGTCGGCACAGAAATAAATAAGGGTGAACGACCAGATCTTCCAGTCAGTAAGTAGCTTGATCCAATTGATTCCCTTGAAGTCAACCCTCTCCCTCCCACGATCGTGGCGCAGGCGGGCGAGAAGCATGGCTCGCTCATCGTCGCTGAGGAAGGCCGCCTCTTGCGGGAAGGCGGGGATGATGAACCATGCTGCGAGTCCAAAGGCAAAGGTGAAGAGGCCCTCGAGGATGAAAATCCATCGCCAGGCCTCATATCCATGCATCCCATTCATGTGTTCGATGGCGTAGGCGAGGAGCTGAGCTTCGTCAGCGATGTTACTCTGACATGGGGGGGATATAAGACGTACGCCGCTGAAAGCGCTACCGAGCAGAGCAAAGCAGATGAAGTATGAGAAGCGGATATAAAACTCACTGCGTCTATAGTATTGCCCAATAAGAAGAGCGGCCCCTGGAGGCATCAGTTACGGAACCCTCGAAAGGATAATAGGTTGATACATACCTGGCGGCAGACCAGCCTCCATGATGCCCATGATAAATCTACAAGCAAGAAGCCCACCATAGCTCCTCGTAAGTCCCTGGCACATTGAAACAATACCTACATATGGTTAGAAAATACTTCCCAAATCACACAATTCTTCAACACATGCCAAGAATCAGCATTGCTCCCGCAAGCCAGTGGTTGGGCTTGATTTTATTCAAACTCATAAACAAGTTACTTGGGATCTCTACGATCACGAAAGGAAGGTAGAAAATCCACAGGCAAGTGTTAAACCCCGTCGAGGGCATATGAAGCGACTTCTCCAGCCCGAAAAGCCGCGCATTGGCAATGTTTGAGCGGTCCAAGAAAGACACGAGATATAAGCATCCCAAGATGGGGATCAGGCGGATGTCGCATTTGATAAGGAGTCGCCGGGCAGCCTTGGGGTCTTCATAAAACTCGCTACCATCGTCAGAGTCCTTGGGCGTGGAACTACGATCGGCAGCGGCCACTTCCTCGTTGGCAATGCTGGTGTGGCTCGACTTCTCAGTGCTTGTCGGCACATTGATGATGTTGTCGTCCACAACCGCCATGATGGTTGGATACGGAGGCTTGGATGAGTGATGAATGAGAGAGAAATCTGCAGCACATCTATTAGGTAGTGATAAATAAAAGACTTCGGACTTTACCCGCTTGTTGCACACTCGGCGGGGCCTGTGGTCAACCAACAGAGACGTTTGCTCCAAGCTGGGTTCGCGCACTTTGCTGGCATGTGGTTCTCCGACTAGCACTCAATTTCGACATCGGCGCAGTAGCGTAAAACAAACCCTTGCCCCGGGTTCTGAGCCGGCTTCGGTGTGTACGAGTAGCTCCACGCATGCAGTTGCGCTATGGCCATGTCCGAGTACTACAATCCCATGTTCATAGTCAGCAAGGCGCCCATGCCATCCCTAATCATGTAGGATTCTTCTTCCACATACTGTATCGAGTTTGAAGTATAGGTAGGCGTAGTAGCTAGTTTGAAGCGTAGGGAGAGAGGAAGATCATGACTGTCTTTTCCTCCTCTTTCAACTCGGTGATCGTGATCCATCGATAGGCCGTCGTCAAGATGCCAGAATCCAGGGTCGCCCTCTTTCTCGGAGTTGACATTTCCATCACCGTTCTAGCCTTATCCGTCGTCGTGCTAAGAGTCTGGCATCGATGGTCGCAAAGCCGGCTCACAATTTCAGATTACCTCGTCAGCACGGCTATGGTGAGTTGAGCGTCTTGTGGCAAAAGCAAAATCTTGTATTTGACTGACTGTACCTCAGCTAGCTGCCGTCATACATCTGATTCTTGATATTACCAGTGCGCAGAGGCAATCCTTTCATGTTTCTTTATCGGCTCAAAATTCTAACGTCTCCCAGTCACGGCTGCATTTGGCTATGGCCGCCACCAAAGGGATCTCCCGCCAGATCTCCAAGGGTCCTACAAGACCAACCTCGTATGTCCCATTGAACTCTGCTACCGGATTTTCGCATTATTAAACAGCAGCAGATGTTCTGGCTCATCCAAATCTTCACCAAACTTCCACTACTGTTCAGTAAACTCTCCCTAACGTTTGTCTATCGCGACCTCATGATCCTCGTCGATCACCCCCTCGTCAAATTCTCTCGTGCTGTCAACTATACCCTCATGGTGGTTCTCGCGGGTTTCTTTACAGCTGCTACGCTCGTGAGCATGTTCGCCTGCGACCCGGTATATAAGAGTTGGCTACCCAAGGTCCCGGGGCACTGCATTGATACGACAGTCATGTTCAACTATGTTACGGGCTCCGTCAACGTGTCCACTAGTATATGCCTGATTTGCATACCGTTACCAGTGTTATATCTGGCCAAGAACAAGCGTATTGAGGTGAAGCAACTGACTGCTCTGATCCTCTTTGGTTTGATGTACATACAAATTCGCCCCCCGGATTTACAGACTATTATTGACTTTTCCTAGCGATACTATAATATCTATAGTCCGCCTCTACATGATTACCGATCTCTACAACGTCAAAACAGACTTCACTTGTGCGTCTTTCCATCCGATCCGCAAAATATCTCCTGACATATCTAATATTCTTCACACTCAGGGCTAATCATCCCGACACATATCATGATCGTCGTCGAAATGAATATCACCATCATTGCTGCCTCCTTGGTTGTCATGCGTCCTTGCTTTCAAGCCATTTTCGACATCGCATTTCCGACATCCCTCTATGCTAGTCACAATACATCCAGCCGTGGAGAATCTACCTACCACAGCAGGAGATCGGACGGATACATCATGAGTCTAGATGACAACGATGGCGCAGTCCAGCGCGAAGAGTCCATTGGTAAGCGTGGAACTGGGGAAAGAATATTAAAGACAGTAGACATCGAATTGGCGAGTAAGGATGCGAGCACGGAGGACATACTTAAAGGTGAGATATTTTCTTGGGTCTGGAAAATGTCGGCTGCGTCGTTTATATACTGGTTTACTTACCTTGTGTACTAGAAACCCGATTACGAAATCCAACTGATCGACCAGAATGGCATAACAAATAACTTGGGCATTGCTCTAGAGTCAAGAAAGGAATGAACCCAAGGTGCGAGAAATCTCGAGACTGTCACCTAGGCAAGTTATATGGACGCCGTTTCTTTGATGTCCAAACGTTTCCGGGAGAGTGCCAAAAGCCGAATTTCACAAGAATATTGCAATATTAGCGACATAATACAAAGATATTTACATGGTGTTTGTTGTGGAGACAAGCTGTGATGAGTTTTTGTGAAACACCACGTAGTTAACAAGAGGGTATTTAGTTTGACTTGCGTCGTCCATACAGCGAGATGCAATTTGAGATTTAAGCATGCATACAAACACCGTTTATGTTACTTATTATGAATTGCGAGTTTGCATTTCCTTCGACCAGTTTATTACGGTATCCCAATTACCCTCTCTAAAATTGCCATATCTAAAGTCGCGGTGCAGATATTAGTCTCTTACAAGGCTGTTACTTTAAACTATATGTGATAACAAACCAGATCTACACGTGAAGACCCAGACGGGGCCACAATTTAAGCAGATCACCTACTGTGGATGATATCCAAGGGGGAGATGGCATGGGTACGCCCTGCCTGGGAGGAGTCATATCGCTTTCGGGATTCATCAATTATGAATATTCGTATGCAGTCACTTTTGGCGTTGTACAGGCTCCAATGTTCTGAATGATCATACGCATGCTACTGCTAAATGACCTATTCCGAAGGGCTATGCACGTTTTGTATGCTACGTAAGAGAAGATACAAGCCTCCACATGCAAAGTGTCGCATACAAAATCCAAGACTCCTGATCCATGGTTGCCATTTATGACTGGGCATCCACCATGGACGTGACTATACACAACCCTGCACCAAGCGTCCTCCAAACTCAGCCTTGTCGGTTGTTCTCGACGAGAAATAGATACAAGCAGCAATCAAAGAATGTCAGAATGTATTGCCTCAGTCTCCTTCCATCGCCGACTATGCCTTTCCATATACAAATCTTTGTGCCATTCGCGGTCCGCAAACTTGTCTGCGCTAGTATGTAAGTAACCCTACCGACCATTCGTCCTTCAATTGGCAACTTTTGTACAAGTGAAACTCACTCTTCAAACAAACTCTCCACATCAGTTTTGTTTTTACAGTCCATCCCAGCGTCAGAATTCCTGCACTTTCTGATTGTTCGAATGCCCGTCACTCAATGGAATTGCCCTCGCGCCAGACCTGCGTAATACGAGCATCCAGTCTACATAGCGCATGATATGTTGTAGCAAGATCCATGTACAGTGACAGCTAACATTTATTAAAGAATTCTCGGACCAGAATCCAAAAGCTCTCCCCTAATAGTAATCGACTTTTTTTCAGTCGATGCAATGGCGCGAAGCATGTTCATGCAATGCACCTGGTGGAACGCGTCCAGAAGCCGAGGTGCTGCTGTTTCTTGTGGATACAGAGGGCAGGGGACCAAATGCCGTATCAATAGGAGTCATTTGACCTCTCTTCCAAGATGTTCAAGAACAATTTAGCTTGCAAGTAAAGTCGACCGAGTCCATTCAACGATATGAGACGGTTGGCTTCATTTCATGTTCGATGCAGAGCGATTGGTTGAATGATGAAAAGGTGAAACTGTCTCTTCATTCATGGGTTAAATTAATTCCGCTGTTGTCGTGATGCTACTCACCAAGAGGCGGATTTTAGACAGATGCGGTGTCACTGCGGAGACACAACCTCAATCCTACCCTAAGTTATGGGGCTTCAATGGTACTTTTGTTACGAGATCATCATGGCCAACACAACCCACAAGTGGCTCCCTTTAGCAGGGTCATGACCCCCTGGCTAAATTCGGCAATCGCCCGTTCAAGGTTTAGATGGTATTCTGAGCTGTGCCAGATATTATAGGGTAGATTTTGAGTAGCATTCGATCGGATATAGTTCATATCACGGTGAGGGTGATTACTTCGCAGTTCTAAATGAGTGGCCAAAATGAAAACACCCATCTTAAGCTTATGTTCAACGCGTCCAAAAGTGATCTGCTCATATATTTAGGCTCGTAATCCGTAGTAGATGAGAGTATATAACACATCACTCATAGCGCACCTGGTCTTTGGTCTACACATATGCATCGCACAATTCTGCACTTTCATCGAAGATCTTTATGTGAACTTCAATATTACTCACATATTACACAGAGCACATATTATTTAGTGTATCTAAGCCTATATATCTTTACGTATAATAAATAATAATCGGGGTGTCTTCCCGAAGGTGTCTTGGCTCTTCACTCTCAAGACAGCGATGTCACTTTAATAATTCTTACTACTTCTATCGCACCTAAAGCTGGTGCTCTACCATAACCAATCGCTTCCATTAAGCTTGTTGCAACTTCATGGAGTTCTGATTTAAAGACGACGATGCAAGCCGTAGCTCCTTGCATTCTTTTGTCAGTAGTTTAAGATTGATCGTCTTGTGTTGCATCATCTGTTGGTTCTCGCCTACTTGAGCCTAGCACCGAGGAAACTCACCATCAGCGCCGACAACTCTGTCGCAGCTGAACAAATCCACATCCACAGCTGAGGGCCTCATTATGAACCCGAATCTCAAATGAAGAAATGAGGCACGAAGAACCGCTCCAGCGGAGATTTTGTCAATATGGCTGTGACGTCTCGTAATATACAGTTCTAGTGGCCCCTATGATACCTGCGCAATTAGCAGCAGTGTTTAAAGAACATGGGGCAATGTTAGAGCTGAAAGATATCATAGCTCATTCTACCAATTCGAAGCGAATTCGTTTATTTGGTGGACGTTCTCAGGTGTATTTAATCTAGGATTACTGCTTTGGTGTACTGTATAGTACCCATCATAAACGCGCGTTCTTACCCGTATTATACCTATTTTGATGATAGCTAGAAACATATTTCTAACCCAATTCTAACAATTTATCATTCCAACGATGTAGCCGTAAAAACTGAATGCTGTGAATGATACGAGAACATTAACATGATGAAGTTACTGAATCAACACCAGTGTTAGTCCAATACCCCCATACATCTGCGCTAATTTCACCTCTGCTTTAACCACTTTATTGAGCTGATGAATACTCTTGCCGATCAAAAGACTGAAGAGTAATTGGTTCAAAAGCAGCAGAGCGACCCTTCCACCAATGAATTTTGGACGAAGGAAAACTGCTCCCGGGCCCCTTTAGAACTATCCCAGGATGCACCAGATTCAGAGAAGCCAGAGCAAGAAGCATGGGTAACGCATCAAGATACAACTGATAAGCTTCATGACGCAGTATTTCATTAGACGAAGACACGCCGCCGCTAAACTCGATAAGTCGAAATATAATTCGCTCCTAGTGGGTGTAAGTACGCGATGTGGTGTAGGCAGTGGGAGTATACGGACAACAATAAGAATAAGAACAAGAAATATGACGAGAATAAGAGGACGTATCCACCTATTACGATTTTTTAGCGTACCGGTACGGATATCAAGCGATACTTGTCGGTAAAAGGATGTAACGACAACGACAAATATCAGCACAAAGAAGAGCTGCACCCCCACACCCGCCATGTAAATCTTTCTTCCGAGGCTTGCATTCTCTGTGCTGTGTTGATCTGCCATGAGTGCACCGCCAGCAGCTTGAACGATGAAGGAAATAATGTCAGCCGCCACGAAGCCTTTTGCAAGCCAGCGAGCTGGGATCCTGAGCGCTGTTTGTTTTGGGTGGAGGAAGTAAATTAGGCGCGAGACGACCATATATGCAAAGGCATTTATCCCTGGAGATGGACTATTAGAACACAGTTAAAGCTGTTTGAAGATGATGGCGTCTTACACAGTGGGGCGAGAAGAAATAATAAAGTTGAAAGGGTCACATATGTAGAGTTTTGCTGATCCTTTGCGCCCAACGTGCGTAAAATGAAGCAAAAGCATTCCCATAGTGCACCCATGATGATGACCCAGCAGAATGACTAAAAAGAGTCAATAGGCGGATAGTAGTCGGGGATCATTGTTTCTGAACCTTCTTCAAAGTAATTGCCTGTGCAAGATGAGCACACGTAGTCAACCCAAATGCAATCGCAAAGGCGGCATTATCTTCCCACCGAGGGTAAAAGCCATAGTTGGCATTGCACGCGTTTGGAGGAACATAGCCGTTGGTGTCGGGGACTGCAGTTGTACAAGTTGCAGTAAGAGTCGAAGGGGCTCTTAACAAGAGAGTGGTCGTGGGGGTAATCATCACCATGCTGGTTTTTTATGCTGAGATAAAGGAGTTGCAATGATTTCAAGAAGATGTCGCCGGTCTCAGTCCCAGCTGGGGACATATATTTATAAGAGAATGCGAATATGTATTTGCCTTGCCCGGCGCGCTTTTAAGATAATCGTCGCCATCTTGACACGGGAAATGGCTACCGCCCCTTTTCTTGCGGGTATTGTACACGGCCACCATCGTTTTTGCGAGGACGTAAACGATGCACATTCGCAATAGACACGGTTTATTCTTTGGCAAGGCTGAATGAAGTTTACTCCTAAGATAGATCACCCCCGATGTGCCCGGTATTCTAGACTTGAAAAGCTTCTTACACAGGTCCCGCTGACTGCTCATTGGCTCGGACCATCGCTTTCGTCGCTTTGGCAAGCCTTGAAAAACGACAATGTCCCACTCGGCGCGAATCCGGACGGCTCCTCCACCTTGAATGATGGCATGCCCAGCCCCATCAGACACGCAGAAAACATGATGGCACCCTGCTAGAGGTTCGGCCTCTGTGTGTGAATTGGGATATATTACTCTACCTAATGAATGCAAGACAGAATGCAAGCCGCTTATACGAAACGTATCCATTTTCGTTTACCATGTTCTAAGCATGCCATTCGTTTATAATTTGGAGACTAGTTCTATGACTTTTTTTTTTTTTTTTTTTAACTTCATCACGTCTTCATTGAGCCAGTCGCTATTCCCAGCGGCCACATCATGTGCTGCTGAAACCTGAAAGGCAGTCCTGCAGCTACCCTAACAACCCACGCAGTACTAATCTCCTTGCAAAACGCAAAGTGGTTTGGCTTGGGGCTTAGAAAATGCTGCTCTAAAGCGTAATTCAGCATTAGAAAATGCGACAGTAGAACACGCGCGCAGCTGTTGGACGGCTCTGTGAATGCCTTGAACTCCTCTTCCGTCATCTTATTTGTTAACCCATAGCAAGGCACAATCTCTAAAAACGCTGTAATAGGTTAATGTATGCACTTATTCATGATCCAGATAGAACGTACCCTCAATGGGAGACTGCTCGGCCAAGCGACCCAGCCTTTCCAGTGCAGAGAGATACTTGATCTCTGCGGTTCCCTGGCACAACGCCCGAACAACTTTGAGAGAGGCAAGATAGTCATCTAGCATAATTGCGCTCTTGTTGGTCAGCTGCTGGGCGATATGTTGCTTCATACTGCCTACAAATGCGTCCCTCGTAAAGTTACGGAACATGGACATTTCGAGATCTGGAACCACTTTTGTCTGGATAAACATCCACCCTCGCAGCATCGTTATGAATTCCATCATTGCATCTGGCATATAGGCAGATTGGTAAGTCAATGCTATAATAGCGGCGTATTGAGCATCGGCGCCAATGGTCGTCAGACATGGCTGTGACAAGGCTTCGTTGAGGCCATTGATGGCGGCGACTCGCAGATCTAGTGCCTGTATGGAGTAGTCTGCGCCATGGAACAAGGTGAGATGTTGAGCAGAAAGACCGAGTATGGCGTTGGCAAGGAACTCGTACTGTCGTAGGTGTTCACAGGTTAGTTTAAGCTGGCGTCTTTGAGATTTTGGTAGAGCCACTTACCTCGTGAGACATGGCGGCAACGTTGTGCCAGACTGGTTCTGCACCATGCGGCGCAGGAGGGTAAGCTTCCAGCAGGAAATGATGGTAGAACTGCAGGTGGTTGAGGTTCACGCATGATTTTAAACTTGAGCAAGTTGTGTTGTCTGATCTTTGGAGTGTAGGCCGTGGAGTCTCCGGATATACGCAGAATAGCCCCATGCGACCGCAGCTACAGCATTCCGGTTTCGCCTCTGAGCACTTGACTCTGCGTCGCTTGCAGTTGTAACAACCTTGTCGCGACTTGTTGAAGCCTTTGCCGGGCACAGGTTTCCTCTTCCCTTTGAGAGGCGGTGACTTGTTGCTTTCGGCATCCATAGTTTCTTTCTCGTCTGCCGTGGGTCTTATGGAAGAGTCCGTATCGATCGAGACGGGCGTTTGTTTGCGAGGAATTGTAAAAGAGGTTATGATATCGCCGTCTGCTGTGGGGGATACGCTGGAGGCAACCATATGATTCGAAGGCTTCCTCAAATTTGCATTCTTAATATTAGGGAGACGGAAGGGCATAACGCTCATGGATGTGGATAGAATCACGAGTCAAGCTGCCTGAGTTTCCAAGGTTCTCAATTCCAATCCGGCAGTGACTGCATCGTATAAGCTTAAACTGGTGGGTTGCCCAAACTGCGGCTGAGCGAGATGACGCAGCAAGGCGCTAATAATACAGAGGATTACGTACCTCAACGGGCAGCTCAATTGCGGCACTCAGTGAACCAACGGCGATAAGTGATAGATCCTAAGGAGGTTTCGTAGTGCTCTATGGCATGAGTGAAGGGGTTCGGGTTCATGATTTGGTCGCTGGCAACCCATTCGTCAGGTATCCGCGTAGTTAGAGGAGTGCTGTGTCTATTTGTACATTCTATCTCGTTCTAAAAGTTTGGAAATATCTTCCACGTCCTTCCCCCATCACCACCACGATCATCAACCACGCTTCTTGAGGGCGCCTCCTTCGTCTGCCATGTATAATTTACACCCCTCATAACAGCCTAGGTATAATCCAGCGCCAAACACGCTTGCTAAAAATGTAAAAGTCAGCCCGCGAAACAGGCCTCTTACACCCTCGGTCCGAAGAATATTCTTCGCTATATCCACGGGGCTCTGCACGACTATTTTTGCACTGGAACTGGCCGGGGTGTTGCCGCCAGCCGCCAGTCTCATTCTCGTCTTGACAACATCTACCGGAACAAATATGCACGAAGCGCAGCCAGCCGCGATGGCAGCACTCACAGCGCTGACCTTCGCCTGGTACTGAATGTCACGAGTCAGGTCACTGTCCCTCGCCGCCGTCAATCTCTGCTTAAGCCATTCGTACAAGCTAAATGTCAGACTAGTCCCTGGTAGAGAACTGGCCACTAACATGGTATAACCTGTCCATAGCTGTGTGGGTTGCCGTGAAAACGCCTTCATGGCCTGCATTAGATGCGAACGCTGTTTAAGAGATGAGTTCCTTTGCCAGGAGACTTGTGCATTCTGCTTAAGCACCTCGGCCGGATTGATGATGGCACAGGCCACGAGATCCGCGGCCGCACCACTGATTGCATGTGCAACAGGAAGAGGGATTAATTGCAAATGGCCTGATTTCTGTGCGTTTTCAAAGACGTTCTTCGAGCCCTCGTAGATTGCAAAGAAGCCAGCGGATGATGGTATTCCAGCTATCAAAGTTGGCCCAAAGCCTTGGTAGAGCCCTTGAAACAGATTGCGGTGGAACAGGCCGTTCAGCTGCCGGTAGTGTGTCTTGTAAGCGGGCGATTGGATTCTTGTAATGATGGTGTCCATGGGATGCACCGTTACATCCACCACTACTGTGGCAACTGCCGCAGCCTAGTGGTAATTATTCGTTAATCGGACGTACTAGTGTTTTCTTTGAATTATCGTGACGCACCGAGAGAATGTCGCCGCTGCCGAAGGAAGGCATGGCTGTAGTAGAATATTTCCGAGAGTAGGATTGTTGGGTATGGTAGATATGTCGCTATATAGGCCATATATATCGTATATGTGGACCAAAAGATGAATCGATTTGATGCTTCTGCCTGCTGGGTACCTCAGGTATCCAAGGCAACATCTTCTGGCCGTCAGTAGCTGAAAGGTTCGTGCCCTAGAATAGAAACAGACCAACTAGTCATGTACATGAACCCAGTCCTGAGCAGCTTTTATGTACAAACAACCAAAACTCTAGACCCAATTGCCTGCCTCTCGGGTAATCGAAATGGAGTCCTTAGCGGTTTATCCCTTGAGAAAACTTCTATACGTTCTTAGCCCTGATAATGTAGGTATGCGGTTTACTACGACGTCACAGCATCCCGTTCTACCGTCTGTAGCGTCGTCGTGTGCGCATTGACGGTATCTTATTGTACAAACAGGCTAGTTGGCATACTGTTGTCGATACAACATCAGTAAAGTCCATACTAAACTAACGTGCTGAAAGCCCTGTGAATGTACTAAACTGCGGGGTTAGGCCACTTTGCTGTTTACTATTTGTCTCCAAACGTAAACTGATGTCTTTTGAATGCTGTCAACTGCCCCCATTCGTATTTTGCCGTTCTCTTCAAGCCGATGTCTGCGATGCAGCTAATCTAGATATGGAAGTCGTTGCGCCAATGTCTGCAAAATGAGCTGTCAGAGCGGGGCGGCGTCCGCGGCAAGACTTCTTGCTTGGCTATGCGCGTTCTCATTCTGTCATATGGAAACTTGAAAGCTGATTGATTACGTCGTCCCGCTGGTCTTCCCATCATCTGCACAAAACCTGCCCCACCGAATTACGCACTCTCTGGATAGCCAGCCCCCTATAGGTAGTAGTTGTAAGACAATCCGGAAGATTGGATTCTTTCCTTTCTGATAGAAGGACTGCTGGCGCTCATCTAGAATTCAAAGTATCAATGGATTCCGCACTCCTCATACATTCACATGAAGAGATTGCTATACTTTCCCATCCCTGTGCGTTAGTGTGGCGTGCTGATTGTTCCCAGTCTTTATGCACACAGCGGCACTTAGACGTCGCTCAAGCCCACTTGTCTTTGCGCGTAACTTCTTGGAGGTTATAGGCAGATGCTGGCCTGTGATGGGCAGCTTACTTATCTTGATGAGGCCATTTTACCATAACTTATAGACGGTAGTTTGAAAATAAGCGATAAAACAGCAATTTTCTCTTTTCTGTCTCGACTAGCTGAGTGATTGTCTCACAAACCATTTCTACCATCATCTACACCCTACGCGCGGATAGTGAAATACAAAATCTAGTCTAAGTGGCCCTTATAGTTTACTTAAGGCCACCCACCATCCCCGCCATGGGCGATAATGGTCTTGACGAATCGATTGCGCAGAGAGGCACCGTTTCCTGCGCATCGATCTTCCTGGATCGCCTCACAAGAAACCACTGCATCGTCATCGCAGCCATTGCCCTATTGCAGACAAAAACAAGCACCATGCCCGGCGAAAATACCCATGAATCTAACAGGACGGCCGTGTCGCAGAGGCTCATGACTGCAAAGTCGTCGATGCCGTCGGGAAGTACGAAGCTCGATATCATGAGGATGGCTTGGCAAAGCGCAACGTCGGTATAGTGGATATATCTGACATGGCGAGGTATGGACTCGAAAATCGACAATCCCCTACTCATCCGCCGCAGGAAGAAGTAAATTATCACGTCGACGTTTGTCAGGGACACGGTAACGAGGCCCACAATCTGCGCACTGGTTGTTAAATTACGCAACGAGGCTGTAACGAATGAACACTTACACTATGCTCTGAACTAAAATGATCTGCTGTCCCCTTGGCAAGAATGCCAGTAACCATGCCTCCAGCCACAAATGGCGCGAAAATACAAAGCTGGAGAATCGTCTGCCACTTATCGACAACTTTCTTATTCACAGGACGGCCAATTAGATGACATAAAACAGTTGCCGAAGCCAGTAGAAGAATAATGGGATAGACGAGAAAGAAAGCAAGTGTCATGCAAGTACCTGGTGTTCCGTTAGCCGAAGTGGAAGCGTTGGATGGGATTGAGAATTAGGCTCACGGTGTATCAAACCGAGAATGATGAACGTCGACTCCGATACGCCATTGACGAGAAACTCGCCTGTTACGAAACCGATGGAGAAGACGTTGCCAGAGCTAGTGATGTTCCGTATGCCCAATGTGAAATGCATTATCGAGGCAGGAGGCTGCGAAATGTTCCCCCGCAGCAGGATTCTTAAGCCGGTGACACCAGGCTGGAGCCGCACTGTTGGTCGGATGACGGAGTGACTAGTTGGTCTTGCAAGAAGCTGGTAATGTAAAAGTCATCCTGCACGATCGACGCATGTGCTAGAGTCTTTATTCTTGTCTCGTGCTCCGACCTGTCGACTGGAGGCTTGATGCAGTTGGCCGATAACATAAACAAGATCAACGCCCATCGGAGGGGCTGATGCCATCGCTGCTGAAGTTGGCTGTATAAGAGCAATTGATATTGAGTAATTTGGCAAGTTTGAACACACGCCCCAGTTGTTTGATGAGAGAATGTGGCGTCGGTATTCTGATACACTCCGAGTTCCTAACGCTATAGCTTGCGGCGGTAGTTCAAGTTGGAGCTTGGGTTTTTATACATCACCGCGAACCATCAACTCCCAGCACATCCCGTACTTTACGCGCGTCATCGATGATTTCCTATTATAGCATTTGAGCACGGCCATGTAATAAGACCGACAATCTCAGAGCAAAACAAGGGTCACAATTGCATGCAACCCATTCCATGGCGCGCAAAGCAGGTAAGGCAACAAGGTCGCTGACTCTATAAGTAATGTTGTCAGAGTTGGTTGTTACTATTCGTTACTCCGTATTCCTTACGACTTGCTGGGTAAGTAAGCCCTAATGAGTTGCTAGGCTCCGCCATGCACCCTTTCCACTGCAATGTGTGCTTTATGTACGTTATATACGTTTCTATTGCCCAGCACCGGCAAGTATTTGCCATGGCGGGGTTCATCTGCGAGATGCCACGGCATCCGTGGGCCCCGCAAGCACAGACAGAGACAGATATATAGGCTAGCCGTAGGCAGTGTCGTATTTTGCAATAATGATGACCATTCTGCGCGGTGAGACATCTTGGACTTGGGAAAATGTGGCATGTACTGTAATTCAGTGTTTCTTCAGGTGCCTGATATTAAATGCTGCTGCACCCGTAGAACGTGAGCCGTGAGAAAGTGTCTCGCCAGTATCATCTCGCGACCATGAAACTTATTGCCCATGGGCTACGATAGAAAGGTTCAATTGAGCCAGTTGCTTTGAAGTTCTATAACCATCGAAAGTCTTTAAATCCCATTTAAATTGCCTTCTTCTCGTCACTAGACAACTCTTTCGCCATTGGTCTCTTTATCCAAAAAGTCAACCTCGCCGTGTATCTGGAGTACGCGGGCTATTAAGGCTGCTTGTAAGATGCCCGTCTCAATCCCCAATTCCTTCAGCTGCGATAGACCAATCACGGTAGAGCTTCGAGGTCCATGGAACTGCTGAGACCACGTATAATGGCCACAGTAAGAAGCCGCCCCTGGCAATAAAGTTTGCTTCCTGCCGGTCTCTGTCCGTGAACAAAAGAACACTGGCGCAGACCTCAACTATAAGGGTGTGGACAACATGCTGCGAGCGCAAGCGTTGATAGTCCACAGTAGTTTCTCCTTTCGCCTGATCGAGCGTGTTTAGAATAAGCTCATTAGTGAGGATGCGGAGGGTGTGGCAGTTGAGCGCGTTTGATACATGTATATCGGAATAAGAATTTATACGGGTGCTGGATTTGGCGTGTCTCTCGCTGCAAGACTTTTGTCAATTGCAATCCCATGTTTAATAGATAATCTTCTTGACCAGTCTGCGAATTTCTCATCCAGAGCCGAAGCCCTGGAGATGGTTGTAGGCCTATCCGTGAGTAGTCCGTCGTCAACAGAAGCTCGCAAAGAGCATAGATCTATGGCTAAATGGTGAAGCTGATCCTCGAAAGCATCGCTGGTGCTTTGCAATTCTAGCGTCTTAGTAGACCATTGCTGAATCTCGTCAGGAATATGCTGGGATCGTTGAAGAGCCTGGATTATCTAGGACACGCACTGGTTAGCGAGACTACAATTAGGGCACGGATGTTGAACAAACAGCTGCATACCGCATGTGAGCGAAGATGTGAAAAGATGCGTATTCCAACAGCATCCATTAGTTGTTGCTGAGCGAACTGAGAAATAAGCGCCGTAGCCCCTGTGACATGATTCGACCAGATACGCAGCGATTGTGGCGAGCAACAAGATATCGTCTCAAGAACGTTGTTTGTTTACAAGCCTTGAGAATAAAATGAAGCATGTTAGAGGAGAGCACCCACAATCGGACAAGAATTATCTCTATAAGCTCAGCCCAACCTGGGCAACGTTATAAAGCTATTACGTGTATCAATTGATATATAGTCTTGACTAATTATTACTTGAGAGATCTGAAGTAATTCGTTGTAAATGAGTTAGTAATATATCATAAATCTTCGAAGATTTATGTGACTAGTATAGCTTTTCCTCTGCCCCATGAGATATACCTTTGCCCAAGGAATATTTTTACGATGTTGTTGATATTAATGAGTACACTAGCATTAAATCCTGCTTCCAGATACCTATTGCAATTAATGAGACTATTTCTTTCTTGGAAACAGTTTTCGCCGAAGGGACCAGCTTATAGTAAATCAGCGTGAGCAGCGTCAAGGGCATATAAGCAACCGAAAATAGAGCTTGTGGTGACTCTTTGTTTCATGTTGTTCACACTGAGAAACATCAAGACTTTGAGATAAATATTCTTCCTACTACACACGACGTAGTAGAATGATCATTGAATAGACAGCCCGTACGATTGGGTAAAGACCAGTCTGTTGCATTCTTACGAAGGGTTCTTTAGATTGTAGTGAGCTATATATTTACAGATATACTTATAAGCGATTCGACATATTCAGATGAACGGCCTTTATGATAGAGTAAGGTGCCAATCCAGACTCGCCCAACTCAGATCCAATTCCGCTTTGCTTCACTCCTCCAAAAGGGACTTGATCGTCACAATCTTGACTGGAGTTGATCCAAACCATACCTGCTTCAAGCCTCCTGGCAACTCGGTGAGCCCGCGTCAGATTTTCAGTGAAAATAGCAGCTCCAAGCCCATATTCCGTATCGTTGGCCATCTCCAAGGCCTCGTCCTCAGTTCTAAACTTGACGACAACTGCAACAGGACCGAAAATTTCTTCGCGGTATATTCTCATTGTAGATGTTACGCCTGTAAAAACCGTCGGGGCGATAAAGAAGCCTTTGCCGTCGCCAACAGTCTTTACTGCATTCCCCCCAGTTATTACGCTGGCCCCTTCGTTTGTACCGATTTCGATGTATGATAATATGCGGTCGTACTGTGCCTTTGATACTTGAGGCCCCTGGAAAGTCCCTTCGGCAAATGGATCTCCCACCTGCATTGACTCTACTCGTGCTTTGAATGCCGCAAGAAACTCATTATATATCCCTTCTTGAACAAGAATTCGGGAGGTCGCTGTACAAATCTGACCGTTATTCCACATAACACCACCATGGGCCCACTTGACAACTTGGTCCAGGTCTGCGTCATTGAAGACCAGCAATGGGCTTTTACCGCCAGTCTCTAGGGTTATGTTTTTCATATTGAGGCTCGCATATTTCATAATCTCTTTGCCTGTAGCGGTACTTCCTGTAAATGCAATCTTATCAACGCCCATATGCTTAGCGAGAGCCGCGCCAGCGACTCTGCCATGCCCGTTGATAATGTTAATCACGCCTGGCGGAAACCCAGCCTCTTTCACAAGACTTGCGAAATACAGGATAGACAGCGGAGTTTGTTCGGCCGCCTTCAAGATCACGGTATTTCCGCAAGCTAGAGCCGGGCCTAGCTTCCATCCAGCCATCTGGAGAGGATAGTTCCACCTAGCGAGATCAGTAAAACTGTGGCTGAAAGATGGGAATAGAGAAATCTCAACAATGTCGCCTCCGAATCCTACTTACGGAATGATTTGCCCACAGACGCCAATTGGCTCTCGGATCGTGTATGCAAATTTTGCGGGACCAGTTCCCAGGACAGATCCATTAATTTTATCTGCATATCCAGCGTAATATTTGATCACTGCTGCAGTGGCCGGGACGTCTTCGCCAACAGAAACGCTATACGGCTTTCCATTATTCCATGTTTCGATGGTGGCAAGGGTTTCCAGGTTTTGTTCAATTAGCTGGCTTAGTTTAAGCATTAAATTGCCCCGTTTGGTTGGTGAAAGCTCGCTCCAGCTGGGATCTTTAAATGCTCTTCGCGCAGCCCGTACTGCATGATCAACGTCATCCTCAGAAGCAGTATAAACAGAGGCAATTATTGACTCGTCGCTGAAAATTATCAGTACATGCTTTGTGTCTGTCAGAGCAAAAAAGATGGTATGAAAATGCAGGTAACATACGCTGGATTAAACACGTCGAGCGTTTCGTTGTTGGAAGACTTGACAAACTCATTGTTGATAAACAGGCCAAGAGGCTGGATGTATTTGAGGCCATTTGGTGCCGTGAGTTCTTTGAATAGATCTGACATCTTTGAATAGCCGAAATCTGATATTGGGTCGCAAATACTTGAGAAGGTAGATGCCACAAGATATATGTACGTTTCATATGCCCATTTCTTTTGCCATGATCACATAACTGGAGCTGTGACGCTAACATCGCGATGCATTGCCGAAGCCGTGTTAGCGCCAATAGAGAATACAAACATAGGTGCCTACGGAGTGGAGTTGGTATTTCCAAACTACCTGCTTAACCTACTGGCCAGGTCATATCTCTGATATTATTACCTCAGAACAACCAAGAACGAAAGGCCTAGTTTTCATCAAATGAGACTCTTTGGCCACCGCCTTATAGCTTAAGCCATTTTTGAGCACACTAGCAATCCAAGATACAGATTTATTTGCCGAGAGAAGCCGCGATTTCCGAACTTCTCATGAAATGTTTTTCGAGCGACATCGGATCGAGGTACGTAATGGCTAGAATCAACGCAAAACACCAAGCACAATCTCACCCACACATTTAATCACTTGAAAAGTAAATGCCATAGAAGTTTTGACGAAATTGAATTCTATTCTAGATGAATTTAAAGTATACTTTCAAGAAAGTAAGCAGTGCACCTGAGGGTGAAGTAGCCATACCACATCCTAAGGTGTTGCACTTTGAATGCGAGTCGGAGTGTAGGCCCGGAGTTGGTTGTTAATTACCACATGGTTCCTATGAAATAGCACACATCGAAATATGGTCTTTCGATGCGGAAATGGCAATTAGGGTCACTATTCTTCAACAGTTAAAACAGGCTCCGTGCCAAGATGATCCGGAGATACTGTCAATTTTTGAGCTTATGCTACAACAAGGCCCGAAGACCTTGAGAAGATTGTACAATCGATGTCCAGCGGGTGTTTAAATGTTCCATCCTTTCCGTCGTGATGAGATACTGCTCTGGTAGCCATGAACTAACATCCTTCTTCAAGATCATTTGTGCTGTTGCTCTACCACAGAGCCAGGCGTTAACCATGCCGTACCCGTTGTACCCAGCGCTAATCCACTCAGCTGCATTATGGCTACCACTAGGGCGATCAAGTGCTGCTTGCGGGAGCTTTCCAACCAGTGGAAGACCGTCAAGTGGTGTACACATTATGCCCGTCCATGAAGATTTTACTTCAAGCCCCCGAGGGTTATGTTCTGCTGAAGAGGGGGCTCTTTTGAGAATGGATGGCAAAATGCCCACCAGGTGAGCCTTTGCTACCACGTTTTCCTTCTCATCCGACGATTCACCTAGCTGGGAGAGATATGCATCTTCTCCGATGTCGCCCCCACCAAGAAATACGTCGCCCGTCCGTGAATTCTGGCTTAGGTAGTCGAAGCCGTTCTCAAAGTAGAAGCTCCAAGATCTCCGGCCGTCCAGAGCAGGATATTCCGGCCCGGGAGCCTGTACTGTCATCTGGCCTCGTCGTGGAAAGACGAGACCTCGAAGTCGAGGAAGCAAATGGCCTACATGACCTTCAGTGCAGTGAACAACGTGCTTTGCCTTGATGCAGCCTCTAGGTGTGTTGACAAGGTAAGGGTACTCATTGGATTGGACCCTCGTTATTGATATGGCTGGCGTAGATGGTTCGACCGAGAAACGCTCATGATGTTTTTCGAGGAGGGAGCTGAATATTCCCAGGATGAGCCGATATGGCCAAGCTGCCCCTGCGTGGCCAATGAGTGCGCCAGCTGCGCCAATGAGGCCATACTTCTTGATTCACGTCAGAAGACACAGGTATATGGAGGCATATATATATATGTCTTACTTTGGTGGCCTCTTCTGGCCCGCAAATCCTCCATTGGCCTTTTAGATCAGGGAATGCTTTATCAAATTGCTCAAGCATGGTAGTCATTTCAGTCATCTTTGTCTGGCTCAATATTGCGGAGACGGTTTGCACCTCTCTAATCTCAGAGTCCTCAAATATACGATTCCCGAACTCCCGAGCTGTGGAAGCTATACTTTCGAAGTGGGAGAGCGAGAAACGCACCATCTTGACTGCTGCATCATGGCCGTACTTTCGCGAGAGACGATCGTAATCTTGCACAGCAACACATCTTATGTGTCCACCATTCCGCCCGGTGGCTCCAGAACAGATGCCTCGAGCATCCAAAACCGTGATTGAGATGTCATCGTCTTCTTTTAGTAACCATTGTGCAACACTGCATCCTGTGATGCCAGAACCAATGATGACCACGTCTCTCGTTTCTGGTAGGGGCTCTGACCGCGTAGTTTCCACGTGTGGACGGGAGGAGGATTGCCAAAAGGATGTGGTTGGATTGGGGGCCGGTAAACCGGGATCCGCCATCAGCCGTTGAAGTTTGTGGTCTATGCAACATTAGCTCTAATGATGGTGATCGCATGAGACTTTAGCCAATCTTTGGACCTATCATTGTATATCACAGAGTCTGCCCGGAAACTTTGCTCACAGAGTTTCAGCTTAGATATGACAGTGAAACTACTGGAACATACCTGGAAGAGCTTACGGTAGATCATATAGCTATCCAAAACGTTCCTGCATTTCTGGGCAAGGCCGCACTAAACACGCGGATACACAAATTCACGTAGGCTACCGCGATGATTTGCCCGGATCGGCCAAGTATTGGTTGGAGGCGATGCGGGGGAAGACATTCTTAGCCGATCTAGCAGCAGTGGCAAGATATCACTTCCGCCCATTATCCAATAGATAAGCACGTCTCCAAAACTCATCGCCATGATTTACCTAAGTAAGACTAGTAGCTTGGTGGAGACTCTCTCCGCATAACAAGGGCTACTCCAAGGACGTTGCCAAGAAGAAGAAAAAATTGGATTGTGAAGCAAACGGTGACACGCTAATCTTCATCGTCCTGATAGAATGCGGGGAGATCGGTATAATCAAAAGGAACCTTACTCTCGGTAACGGCGGAAACCTTAGCAATGGCTGAAGCTGGTGGATACTGCATCTATCAGAGCCACTGATCTGCTATCGAAAAGACCAAGATTTAGAGATAGTAATCGCCATGACATGCCTAAATTAGACTAATGCATCTGTGGATACTCGATACTGCAAGACTAAGGACCTGATCCGGGGTATAAGCACGGTCAGTCCCATAAAAGCCATCCGGATGCCTCTTGTTGCATACAACATGCAAGCATGTCGACAGCCAACAATCGCTGGAACTGATCTAGGGGATAAGCAGGATCGTTTATATTTAATCGAGCCCCTGCATCCAGAATCATAACACAGTCACCATTGCTCCCTAGACTCACAAACAATACCTACCCTACAGCGTGCTCGAGGAGAGCCTCGCGTACGGCTTCACGATGGCCACCGAGAAGAGGGACTCAATGACAATTAGTCAGAGTCATGATTCACCAAGCGACTTTCCCTCGAAATCTCTGTCTAGCGATGAATTTCAGCTAGCACAGCTGGGATACAAACAAGGTATCCGTCTTCTCATGATGAACTGCTGTTGGAAACTCTCTAACCTTTCGAAGAATTCTTCCGCACCCTGGGGCTTTTTGAGAACTGGGCAGCGACGTTCACTGTTTGTCACCTGAACCTCCATCTTAGCGACATAGATTCTAACAGTCAGGCAGACCATGAACTTTATCTCTGGCATTCCCATGATGTTTGCCTTTGTGATGTCCACTGGTGGTCCTGAAGCGGCGTTTGCAAACTGGACAATGGTTGGGGGCTTCTCGTTTATTGTGTCACTAGCCATGGCTGAGATCGCCTCCGCCCTTCCTGTCGCTGGCGGCATCTACTACTGGAGTTTTTACCTCGGTGGCAAGGAATGGGGACCATTTTTGAGTTGGATGACTGCTGTAAGATCTCATTCTCTTCCAAACCCACACATCCAGAGCTGACCACGTTCCTTCGTGGAGTGGTGGAATTGGGCAGGCTGGATAACTGTTCCTTGCGGTGTCCAGCAAGGCGCAACCAACTTTCTCATATCTGCTCTCGAAATACAATATCCCAACGCCGAAGTCTTGACGAAAGGATGGTTCTCTTGGATATTAACTTCTGTGGGAATACTGATCGCTATGCTTCCAAATATTATTAGCCCACGAGTCTTGTAAGTTTCTGTGCGCGGGTTTGCCCCCAGGTCAGCATCACTTACAAAGTTTGTATAGGCAACTCTACTTCCGTTTTGCCATTCTAATATTCTTTTCCCTATTTTTTGCGTACTGGATATGGTTCCCAACAAAGGCAAGGGTCAAGCATCTTCTTTTTAGTACTTTTGCTGACAGTTTGCATTTAGGCCAGCGGACATTTCCAACCGTCGTCCGGGGTGTTTCAACATTTTTTTAACAATATCAATGAGGGTGACAAAAACCAAGCTTCAGACGGATACTGCTGGGTTATATCGACACTTTTCGTAAGTCTTTACCCATAGAACTTGGCATTCCAACCGTTACTGAAACAGCTTTTGCGAAGGGAGCGTGGATATTCTTTGGGTACGTTCTTTCACACCGGCGCTTTTGTATCAAAAATTATTTTGCTCTCTTCTAACAAAGTGTTACAGCTATGATGCGTCTGCACATTTAGCCGAGGAGACAAAAGAGGCTTCGGCAGTCGTGGCAAAAGGAATGTGGATGGCAACACTATCTGGTTGGCTTCTCTCTATCCCAACCTTGATCCTGATTCTCTTTTGCATTCAAGACTTTGATGGCATCATTGCCGGTATGACTAGTACCCCCTTCTACAAAGACACCCACTAACCTCAAGCTCAGCAACGTACGCGAACAACTGGGCTGAGTATCTTATGCAGCTTATCGGCCCTGCAGGTTCCACGGCTATCCTTGTCCTCTTGTGGGTCGACAGCACCTGCGCAACGGCATCGGCCTTTATGTCTGCACAGGTAACATACTGGACATCTTTTACAGTTGACTGTGGCTTCAACTAATTGCTTCCAGCGCGTAACATATGCCATATCTCGTGACAATGTCCTACCTTTCTCACGATACTTTCGGAAACTCACTTCTACCCATCGCATGCCCCTCCATGCTGCGTTCCTTGTCGCCGCAATCTCTATTGCCATTTCCACCGCTGTTATTGGTTCGTCTGTCGCATTTTCTGCTATTACGGCCATGTCCACCATAGCCACCAATGTCAGCTACCTCTTCCCCATCATAGCTCGCCAAACCGTCGGCGCTGCGGTTTTTGTACCAGCCAAATGGAATTTGGGCCGGGCTAGCGCAGTAATCGCTACAATCTCAAGTGTTTGGATTTGTTATCTCTTTGTTGTTCTATTGTTGCCGCAGGTGTATCCTGTTACTGGGGTGAGCTTACATTTCCCCTCCGTGTGTCCAGCGTAACTGACAAAATTTCGAAGACGACATTGAACTATGCACCGGTTATGATTGGAGCTATCACTCTAATTTCCTTGGTGGGTTGGGTATTCCCATTTGGACTTGGTGGGAAATATTGGTTCAAAGGCCCACAGACGACCATTACAGATGAAGATGTATTGGAGGCCACGACACCAGAAATGAGCTAAGATTTGGCTTTATATCACGGATGGTGTGCAAACATATGTTACATCGTGTCTTTGTAAATCGCTTTTGTGTATTATTTAGCGTCATACATCAAATTATCAGTTGTTTTAAACTAGAGGGTGATTATAACACCAGACTCCCCCTTAAAACCCTACCCAAACATGGTCTCACACTCCATTTCGCGAATAAGATCAATCCAAAAAACTTCTTCTCCCATATCAAGACGCCTATACATCTCCTTGATGACTTGTAACATCAGGTCAACTGGCCGCGAATGGACCAGTGACCGGAGGGATGCCAGCCGGGAAATTGTAAACTGTCGTAAATCCATGACATGGTCGTGCTGTAAAGCCGAACCTGCTTCGAGAGGTGATACATAGTCATCGTGCTGATTGGACCCTTGAATGAATGGATTTGGTATAGCCAGTGAACCGGCGGCGACAAATATTAAAATAGCTTGAACAGACCTGGTGCCAGATGTAATTGGGATCTCTTGTAGGCGATCGAGCACGCTAAACCCGAGAGAGCTTAGAAACGTCGCATTGGAAGTCGCATTGGACAGCGAGTTATACCATTCCGCTATCGGATTGTTTTTGGGCCCTATCGGAGGCCACCCAGCAGATGATATGTACTCTTGACGGTGCAGTAGGACGCCGGGAAACTTGCGATATATTTGATATAAGCTACCAAATAGGTATGCCTCTGCAAGCAGAACGTGGTGGTGTGGTGGCGTGTTAGGATCTCCCGAATCATCAATCTCCGTTATATCTGGCAATGCAACAGACCAGAGAGCTTCTTCTAGTTTCGTTGCGTCTTGGCTGAGTTTCTTGTATCTGAGCAGGCCAGCATCAGAGCGATCATCAACTAGTCTCAACGACCGGATAACCTTTGTGGCTCGGCTGAAGATAGCTTGGATAGGTGATGACACCCCAGTCCATGGATGTGGAGTTATACGAGGCTTGGTGGACTCCCTTGTGTCTATGGTTGCCATGTTGGGACTTTCTTCCGCTATGGCAGCCTCTATGTCGGAACTGAACTCTACTTCATCACTGACGATACTGATAGCCATTTCCCAGTATGTGAGAGCAGACTTGAAGAAGTTGGCCATTGACTGATTGTTCCCCCTTGCGGATATTGAGTTTGATGAGATGGCTCGCTGGGCAGCATGGAAGTGAGCGATGCCAATATCCTTTCCATCGTGCCACGCTGTACTCAATCCTATGAGAAATATTGCGAATAAGGTGTCTTCGCGGACTTTGTTCGTTTGTTTCAGGCTCTCGGCGATACACCTCAAGGCCTGACTCTGATATTGAAGAGCGACAACTTTCAGCTGTGGCTTCTCGTCCGCTAGTCTTGCCGCAGAACCGCTCAGCATTGCATTGAATACAGGCGCAGAGTACGAGAAGACTTGGGAAACGTATGATCGGAACGGATTGAGTTCCGAGTCAAAACTGGAGAAAACTGAACAGACGTTCTTGAAATAATATGTTGCCAAATCTGCGGGAAGATGACTAATGGCCGGCGGGATAGAAGTCTTCCATGGGACAACCGAAGTAGCATCTAGCCACTGGTAATTGTCCTGGTATTGCATCACGCTTTGCAATGATGGAATAGTGTCTGTAAAGCCCACTGAAGCCATGGAGCTATTCGTGTCCAGCAGATAGGCCGAGCCATGACTATTCGGGAGCTTGTAAGACCCGTTTGCGATCGCCGATTTTGGAGTATTCTCTGCTTCGTCGGGCACAATATTATTCTCAGTTGGAAAATACGATATTACATGTGAACATGTTTGTCGAAGACCACTCTCAGTTGTAGGTGCAGGCCTTTCAAGCGAGGGTGGATAAGTGGGGTGGAAGGAAAGATGACTGTTTAGTACCGGTTTTGAAGATGTGTTGCATATGAGGCTTGGATCTGGTACTATTAGAGTCATAGGAGAACGAGGTAGGGGGTCACATCAAACCTTTTACGCTATTGAACACCTCGTGCTTTGTAGACCACCGTATGATCAAGCCTGGATAACCCGGACATGGTAGCTTTCTTGAAATGCAGCGGCTGCAGCTGGGCTTCGCCTCATCGCATTTTACCTATGTGTGGGCCACCATTCAACTGATGTGCTCTGGAGTTTGGAAGTGGGTCGAAATGGACGAGTGCTCACGAACCTTGCTGGATTTACAACGGGCGCAGCCGCTAAAGGTTTTATTGACCGGGCGTCTTTTGCCAGGTATTGAAGGGGGTTGTCGATGAATATGCGTTGCCATGCTAATTTATGAAGGATTCAATTCGTGTACGTCAAGCTTGGCGATAACGGGAGGAGTAATCAAGGGAGGTCACTAGATGAGTATCAATAGATACGGAAATAGGAAGGGTTGGCTTAAAGGCGCCGGAGCAAGAGGCTAAATCTCTCGCAGACGTAACCTATGGCCTCGAGCATCTCATAGAGGCTGTTCGTCATAGGGTTTGCTAAGCAGCGATTGCTAGTAAACATGGAGATGAAGTAGATAAGAGTTGATTCCTCGGATGGATGTCCGCCTGTTGCAATCTAACTCTCACCACAGCGGAATAACAAGGGGGGTACTTCGGAACAACCTAAGACCGACGGATTAATCAAAATCACGTGAATGGTCGTTAATTAGAGTTCCGAATCTAGCCACAAATAGCAAAGAGAAATTCTGTCCCATTGAGTGCGATAAGGTGTCACCTAAGTACCGTATCCACTTTGCTTCTATACTAAGGGGAGAATACTTCAATTTCTGACTCTTTGATTGGCTACAGCTTTGAAGAGTACTTAGGTGGCACCTTATCGCACTCAAAAGGATAATAGTAATTCAAGATGAGAAAGCTCACTTTGTCCCAAATATTGTCACAGCTTGAAGAGCTAATTGTTCCTGAAAAGATCAATACGAAATCGAGATTTAAAGAAATAATAAAGTATGGTAAGTTTGTTTCAATTACCCTGCCCTACCTATCCACCAATAGAGCCCTAGAACTGAGCCTGTCCGTTGGGGCTTGTAGATGTATACCTAATACGAAGTACTCTAGGTGAGTAATTCGTCACACCGCCATCCGCTGAAACCAGGCGTTGAATCAAGAGAAGGAACTAAGTTTTACACACTGTGCAACCACTGTGGGTTAATGGGTCACTTTTGCGTATCCGGTCGTATACGAGTAATAGCTTCTACTGTGGATATCTTAGTATAAGTAAAAACGTCTGGTGAATGAATACGACAAAGATTCTCAGACTTGATTCTCTTTACTCTGAATGTATGTTTCACTTTCGCCATGTCCCTACTGTAAAAAGGAATTTTATATTGCTGCAAAGCACTCCAGCTAGGTTACCTAGCCAGGAAAGTGGCCGTATTATATCCGAAGATATTACGAACATAAATTTCTGCTTTCAGTATTGGCAGCTGTCTGAAACCAACAACTGCGGCAGAATATGAAGAAGCGACACTGAAAGTTACTGCAGCACAAGTAGACAAGTTAACCCTGCAAAGCTGTATGAAGCCTGTTGTGCCGGCAAATGATCTAAACAAGACATATGTGAATTTGGCTCTTTAATTACATCCAAATTTACAGCTCTTCGAAATATTGGGCCCTGATTAAGTAAATTGTCCTGGATCATCGGAACTGAATCTTGATATGTGAAAAATGAAAGCCTTCATTAGATTGGTAATTTGCAAATGACGGGCGCAAGAACCAGTGGAATCACCCCAAGACGTAAGACTCTTCACGCATCAGCTCAGCAATTGGGAGCTTCGACTTCGCTTCGGCGAAGAAATGCTGCACAACAGTCAGTAGGTATCGTCGAGCTACTGTTGAGGTTCTCTTTACAAAGCTTTTGAAGGTAGCTTGTATACTTTTTGAAACATATTTCACGTTACTCAAAAGGTTTTGAGATGCGACTGATTATTGCAGATACTTTGAGATTCCATCTTGGTCGATCAATTCGCTCTACATCATTCTAGATAACGCAGATGATGCTACTCGATCCATTTCAATCGCTCAGGTATATGCTGGCTATGGCGAGAACATTGCGGCCATACCAGCGCCTACCAGGAGTGTCGAGCTTTTTGAATGCCCTGGCCAATTCAATGGTTGGTGTGCAGGCCTCATCAATCTTAGAAGACAAAGTCTGCACTGGCGGCCTATTACCAGTGGCTCTGGTTGATGTCAAAGATGATTTCCTAACCGCGCATGGTTGGGTTATTAAGAGCGACTTTCGTCAGAGCGGAGAACTCATTTTGCCCGGACACAAGTTTTTTGGGGGGTGTACGGTAGCGGTTCTGGATGTCAACCCTGCTATTATGAAGGTTCATAGCGGGCAATACACTTATGTATCGTTATTTTTTTCGCAGAAGGTGATATGCGCGCTACTAACATTGGATGAGGCCTTTAACTCGATACTTATCCACAGGCTTCACTAGGCCGGGCGGTTGGCTGATGGTGGTGGAAGGTCCAACATGTGTGACTCAAGCGATTTCGAAGGAGAGATGAGTTGTTTGAATCAGTGTTGGGGGGGGGGGGGGGGTGATACGTGGCATTGGATCATATAGAGACCATGATACAGATAGCCCGCACTGCGAAGCTGTAGCTAGATCTATTCTCAGATACTTCAGTCGATGGGGATTGAAGAAGCTTGATAACGTTACTATGTCGTTCATTAAAACACATGTATCCATCATTTAGGATTTCTCGAAAGTGACCTTGTACCATCTAAGCTTGGTTAAGCTTAATTGCAAACTCCCACCAACTCATGGTCAGTATATCACCAAGGTGGATGGAAACCAATGATCGAGATGAAATCCAACATATCCGCCGACTTATATCGTAACTCAATTTCTTTACTATATCCAAACTCGTACCAAATTGTTAGGTTTAGTAAGTAATATCAGAGCCGCCCGCAGTCATATACAAAGGGGGGCATCCCCACTACTCCTTTCTCCAACACGATAAATTCCCAATTTCCTTGAAATTTTTCTTGTAATACGAATATCCATAGAAGAGATAATTAGTCAACGCCTCACTACTATAGATCAAAGGTGTAGAGAGCAGGGGGTTGGCCAGTAAAAATGATTCAATCGTAATAGGCCTATGGCTGATATGACTAAGGTCAGATTATGGATGATATGTTACAATATGTTAAGTTATGCCAGTGCTACACCTGATCAGCCGCACCACTTCCCACTGCTTGACTCCATCGATTCGAGTTTGTATCAGCTCTGTAAATAATATCGCTTGTTGTCAGATGGGTCTCTTTCGAATAAACTATTCCATAAAAGGGGAAGCTAGCCTTAGAGAGGCTATATTGGTGTTTTCATTACGGAGCACATAGCTTTCTTGCGTATCGCATTGGCATTAGCGCCATCTAGTAGCTCTATGCAAACAAAGTACGCGTCATCTACTCCATGGAACAATTTTTCTTGCTAAAAATAGTATTGTAATTGATTGGGGAGTTCCTGTCTGTTGAAATAACAGTGCCATAACAAACGAGTCAGTGATGTTTCTTATTACTCGCCTCCAATTTTCCACCTCTTTTTTCGTCGTCTCAGCTCTTACTAGAGCGAGTTTGATACAGTGTTTTCTGCGATGATGTTGCTATCTTCCAAGAGAATAGCAGTTGCTCTGAGTACTGTTGTTATCTTCATTACTCTCACAGCGTACAAAGTCGTTCAGAAGAACTCGTTCTCTAATTCCCTCAGCTCCCTTCACTCCAGTTCAATCCTCAACAACTCGAGTTTACCAATAGAGAAAGAAAGTCCGCGGTTTGCCTATGCACAATACGCCACTGATATAAACTACCTATGCAACACTGTATAGTAGAATCCGTCTTAAGTCACAAATGGTACTGGTCTTTAATGAGCCTTGCAGGTTATTAACTTTAACCGCCTGAAGCGTTCCGGCACTCAACATGACATGGTGTTGATATTCCCAAAGGAATGGGACCATGAAGTGAGACAGCTTATCTTAGTCAAGACACTCGTCTGTTAACCATTTACTCTAGAGTGCCAATACGCGTGAGGCCAAGGTCATCAGGAATCTTCGAGCGAGCGATCTAAACATCGTCTTCCGTCCTTTTGACATTCTCTCCACAGACAAGGGAGACTCGACCTGGCACGACAGTCTTACCAAATTTCATGCTTTTGCCTTGATCGAATACACGAGAATATTAGCCTTCGACTCAGACTCGCTCGTCTTGAATAACATGGACTTCTTATTTCTTTCGCCAGACTCGCCGGTGGCCATGCCACGCGCATACTGGCTGACCGATCGTGAGCATGCGAAACAGATCCTAGGGTCACACCTTATGCTCATCGAGCCTAATACACATCGATACAAAAGAATAATTGACGAGGCTATGCGGAGTGGCGAGTTTGATATGGAGGTGTTGGATGAATTATTCAAAGACTCAGCCATGATCCTCCCTCATCGACGACTTGCATTGTTAACTGGTGAGTTCCGGACCAAAGACCACTCTAAATATCTTGCTCCAGATGAAGAAGAGGAATGGAACGCCATGGTAGAAGCAAGTAGGGCATACCTTGTGCATTTCAGCGACTGGCCCCTGCCAAAGCCATGGAAATCCCATACCGATGCCCAATGGCAGGCAGCCTTGCCAGAGTGTCCAGATGACGATATTGGGAAGCCAGATCGGCCAAGGTGTGCCGACAGGTTGGTGTGGACAAGATTTTATACTGATTACGACAACGATAAGAGAGCTTACTGTGATGTAAACAGTATATGATTCGTCATAATCAAGAAGGAATTGCATATCAGCGTTGTTTAAGGCTGAGCATGATATTATTTTATACCTCCGGATGTAACATCTATATATAGATACATGATATGTAATAATTCTATGGACCAAATGGGGTCTAAATTTCAATTGCTAATTTGAACAAAATCACTAATAAGCAATACATATTGAATCGATTAAAAAGATGAGTCACAGAGCATCTGTATTAGGTTATAAGGTGGAGGAATTGTAACTGCATTGTATACTCCATTCCTCATATACCAACATTAATCATCGTATTTAGTAATTATGTTCCTGCTTTGCTTCGTATGTTACGTGTCTATCTACTCGTCGTCATCAACATCAATCTGAGTCTTTTTCCATTCTCGAGCGGGAACCTTCCGCTTGAACAAGATGTCGATCTCACGGTAGGATCGGTGCTTCATCTCGGGCAAGAAGAAGTATGCCAGAATGTAACAGACCAAACCTGTCGAAGCCCAAACGTAACCACACCTGCCAGCGAGGTTTCCTCCCTGCAACATATGTTAGTCAGCAACTGAACAGAAACGTGTAAAACGGAAGTCGTACCTCTGGGTTGAGCATCCAGCTTGCCAAGAAGATGCAAGGGAATTCGACGATATAATACGCAGCGCGGCCCACTCCAGTTGTCAGAGGCCTAAGGCGGATAGCCGATGTCTCACCAATAATAACCCAGGAAGCAGGAGCAGGTCCCAATGTAAAGAGCACGGAGATAATAAGACCCAGAGAAGCTTGGGCTAGAGAGCTCGAATTACTCTTGCCAACAGACCCAGCAACACCAAGGGCGACGAGGAATATAACATTAATAGCCGAGCCCCAGAGGTAGATAGTTCGTCGGCCAAGGTACGTGGTGAGAATCCAAGAAAGCATAACAAAGATCATCTGCAAAGCCGAGGTGATAAGACCCATGGCAAAAGCGGTTTTATTACTCATACCGGCCTCTACAGGAAGGTTAGCACGTACAGCACCGCGAAAACAGTGATACAAATAACTCACGCTCGAAAAAATACACGGCTTGGTTGGCGATGAGATTGCCCGTGAGATTCTGGGCAGCATATACACCGCACACAATGAGGGTACGATAAAGGTCAGTACCTTTGAAGAGCTCAATGTAGCTGGGTGGCTTAGAGGTGGCCTCAAGCTCAACAACACGGCGCATCATAGCGACGGTCTCACCAGTGTTAAGCCTGGACCTCCGCCCAAGGCGCCCAACGGCGTGCTCTGCCTCTTGCAGACGTCCCTTTCGAACCAGCCACCACGGCGACTCAGGGGCTAGGAATATTAAGATGGCCAGCGGGGTGGGAAACATCCATTGAAGGGCGATGGGGATCCTTTAGATAGGTCACTTCTTGTTAGCCATTCTGCGTGTTCATAAACAGGACGTAGAGCAACCGTACTTATAGGATGTAGATCCCGGAACACCTTGGTAAGTGTAGGTCACAGCACCAACAACAATACTGCCAATAGCCCAGAACATCTGAAGCATCTGGGTACAGGGGGCTCGGAGAGGGATAGGCACAATTTCACTGCAGTATGCCGGCGCATTGGCAATAAAGATGCCCCATGGGATGCCCTCGAGAATTTGGGCCGCGAAGATGACGGGCATTGATTCGGCGTAATAAAAGGCGAAGATGAAGACGTTTAGGAGCATCAGACCGGTCAGGGTTGCGTAGCGATATCCGAGCCAGCTGGTGAGGTAGCCCGCGAGACAGACGCCAATAAGGGCGCCGAGCTGCCCAGACACTGAAAGCGCAGACTGCCACTTGGTGACGATGACATTGTTCTCTGGGATATCATCGACGGGCTGGCCGTACTTTGCTCTGAATGCACCTAGAGCGAGGAAGTTGTTGCAAAGGAAGACATCGTACGACTCCATGATCTGTTCATAGTGTAGTCAGCACATGTGGCTTTGGGTCACAATCCTGAGGGAAATCCTTGATATCGAGCAAGGGGGTATATAGTCGAGCGAGACAAGGCAAAAAACCTTACAATAGTGAAAGACATAACAAACGCCCAAAAGGAAGCCATGGGATACGCGCGAACAGCCTCGAGCACTGTCATGTTATGCTCCGCGTTCTCTGCTTCGATAGCATCCGCCTTATAATCGGCGACTTTCGCATTTTCGTCGAATTGGTGGTCCGCCTTCTCGTCAATGTTATCCCCGCCAGCATTCTCTACCCGCACCTCTTTCTCCGTGTCTACAGCGCCATCATGCGCCTTGGATTCCGCCGGTTTAGGCTCGACGGGATCACTCATGTTGGGCTAGTATTTGCTGGCGTTATTTCCGGATGAATAGCATGTAGAGAACAGAGAAGAAGAGCATAGGGCAAGGATGGAGAAACAGAACAGAAGAAAGGCCACCGCCAGCTCCCAGCTTTTATGCCATCGTGTTATTCTTATTGTAGTTCTACACGAGATCGGTAAGGGGGGGGAAGACGGTCCGAGCGCATATCTAGCGGGTTAAGTTACACCGAGTGGCGTCCCCCAATCGAGTAATGAGCAATGATGAGCGTGGGGAAACGGGCCCTTTGCAGTAGTCGTATGGAGGGAAATACAAGGACTGTCATTTTCCGACCCAATAGGCGCCATAGGCTGGTACTCGACAACCGCAGTAGTAGATCAGCCTAGGCCAGCTTGTTTTGCGCCCCAATGAACAGCCTGCGTTGGAATAGCCGATAGCCACACCACTGGATGCAAGCTTATTGTCCTAGAAGCGAGCCAATGCCGAGCCAAGTTACGCTGACCCCCTGGCCCGCGAAGGAACGGGCTCAACAGAACGATCTGGAAGCTAACCCCGCATTCTGCTAACGTTCCGACTTACCCTGCTCGTGAATTCTCCAAAATGTCAAGTGATACGTGGTGGCTAATCCAATACGCAGCCTCAGCTCGCCGAAGAGCGCGTTTCACGTATTCGCAGAGAACTAGACTGAGATATCATGGGATAAAGAGTGATTATACACGGAGTTGGGAGCGGTGAAGCTCATCGTCCACGAAGATGGCGACATGGACAAGAGCCACAATCCTGACGGTTCATAGGTTTGCGGTCTGGGGAGCTCAATGGATAACTGCCGAACTTCCAGTATAAGATGGTTTGGTGGCTTGATGCTTCTTGGTCGCCTCTCTTGCCTGCATGCAAAAAACATCTATTAGAGCATCATGTTTGCGAGTCGTTCCCTGGTTCACTATCTACTGGAATTAGCCGGTCAGCTTTATTTGGTGTTCTTTAAAGTCCAAAAATAATAGCTAGGCCGCTACCTTTTGTGCGTCATACGCCTTATGTGCTGCGAGGTCTTAGGCTGCAACGTAATCGCAGACTATGGATGCCCGAGTGTCGCCTCAATTTCCTGACTTTTGAGGAGCTTCGCAGGCGAAATTGTCCATAAAGACCTATATATAAGCGAATGTACTAACTGAGATAGCGGCTCAATAGTTGATCGGAAATGGCCAAGAGATAAAGCATGGAGGGATCGGGCGATCACTACTTACCCAGGTAGTATTCAACATTAGAAGCTGGTGAAGTATTAACCCCTCAGTGTGGGAGTATACTGCAGTAGGTACGCAATTCTCCATAGCAAACCGAATACTACTAGGTAATGAGAGGTAGAGTTACTTTATAATAAAACTCACAGGACACCTGTACTAGGACCTTAGCATTCATGCACCCATATGTTATATTGAAACCGGGGTCTTTAAGTTGAATATTAAATACTCCAAGGCCGCACCGATTATTGTGGCAATTCCTGATGTTAGTAATAACAGTTAGACTGTTTATTTAATTTCTTCTTTGTTTATTTGTGTAAGCTTACCATAAGACTAATACGTTAGAGCAACTTGTATTATTGCGTCTAGGTTAACCTAGCACATGAAGCTATTCTTAATTGAAGTTCATCCCATTAGCAGCTGCGTTAATTGATGTATCTCGACTATAAACAGGGCCGACCCAAATGCCCGCTATCTAAATAAATGGCAGGATTAGTTGGGAGTCGTATTTCCCACCAGTGTAAATTGTATGATTACCAACATTCTCGTTGTTATTATATGACGGCTTTATCCTGTCTGTATCAGGATAGCACATATCATACCCTGCCACACGCAGCATAATGCCCTCACCCGGCGCAAATACCATGCCCATCGGCCATAGAGTAATTTCTAAATCCACAATTTTACCCATCGGAATTGGTTCCCGCCTATTATGTTTATAGACTACCTCTTGGGCTGTTGATAACTCCATATCCTTAGTAACTCGGTGTGAAGCGCGAAGAAAACCCTGAGGACCAAGGCACTTTGCGATGTTGTCATTTCTGACTTCAGAGACCGGTACCGGGCAAGGGTAATTGAGATGTTCGAGTAATCTGCCGTCTGCCGAAATTTTGCGGATCTGAACTGCGACGTCAAGGTCATCATGCTCTTTACACGATATCCAGAGTTTGACCTTTGCATAACCAGCAATTTCCGTTTGTTGCTGAAATTGGATCATAAAATTCTATGCGTGGTTATTAATCTGGATCTTGTATGAAAATGACTGGGATGAAAAACTAGAGCGGAATCTAAGGATGACTTACTGAGCTATCCGTTAGACCTTCGGCAAGGTGCGTGGTTGACCCCTCTATGGCTGGCTTATCCCATACGAGCTGTTTCAATGTGGAATCAAGGTATAATGTCTTGAGCTGTTGTCGGGCCAAGGGCCACTCCTGCTCTGGCCTTTCTTCGATAGAATTGGTGAGACTACCATCCGCTTCGAATCCAAGAAGAGATAAGCGAACAGGAGGAGTATCCTTTTCCCAACCGTTTTTGAAGCCTTTCAAGTATCGGTCGTAGAACTTTTTAAGATCCTCATTTGCCTCTGGCCGATATAAGTCGTACCATTCTTGATAGCGATGGACTCGAAGCCACTTTTGTGATGTCTTGGCTGTGCGGAAAGTATGGAAAGATCCTCGAGTATGGAGTTGGGAGGAGAAAGAGGCCAGCAGGTAGATTGGGACATTGATGTTCTCTGTATGTATATACTTGCTTTCCCAGTAATCGTCAAAAAAGGGCCGTTTGGCGAACATCTCTGGCATATTTTCTACTGAGTTTGGACCAGCAAAGCCAGATAAAAGAAACCTGTGTAGGCCAGGGTTATGTTTTCTACCCCCCCTCCCGAGAGTATCTCGATACATGTCGTGTCGACCTTCCCAGGGGGCCAAAGCTTTAAGTGCTGGATGCTCATGACGCGACGCGAAGTTGATTTGCGTGATGGCTAACCACGAGTTACCGGCCATTCCCACCGAACCGCTGCACCATGACTGCTTAGAAATATAGTCGATGGTATCATAGACATCTTCTGCCTCCTGCGGCCCGTAGAAGACCACGTCACCTTCAGATTTCCCTGCGCCTCTGGCATCAACATTGATTATGGCATATCCATACTGCATCCAAGTCGCAGGGTCAGGGCCCTCAAACTTTTCATATCCGGACGTATCCTCAAGCTTAAGGCCAATACGATGGGGCCCCATGATATCGTAGTTGGGTACACCAGTACCCGTCTTGCCATATGGGCTAAACGCGAGGATTGCAGGGACTTTTTCATCCGCGTCCGTATTTGCCGGGCGGAAGATGTCAGCGTAAATCTTGATACCGTCGCGCATAGGCATAGCCACGTCTTTTTCCAGAACGGTATCGACGGAGAATGGGAGTCGGCCAGGCCAACGAGTATGACCCTTTTCCAGCAAGACTTTTCCATTGGGCTCAAAACCATGCCAAGTGTAGATAGGGTGTTCTTCTTGGAGAAGGTAATTTCTTCCATAGCAGATCAGGGAACTGCCCACGAAGCTTTTCGGAAGTTGTGGCCATGATAGCTAACTTGATGATAACAAGAGAGGCGAATAAATCTTGATTGACGTTGAATTGAAAGGAAAATGATGGTGGTTGTACATGATTGAGATGAACCAGCATGTGGCAATTTATACAATAACCCACCGACTATTTATTGACCAGAAGCCGACTTCAACAGCGCGCTGAAACTTCGGTGCTCATCATTAGACGTTGCTAATGACGTGCCTGTACGACCTTGTGCCTTGTAATTTTCCGCCGTAAGAGGAGTCCACGGGTGGCTTTACGGGAGACCAAATCCAGACGAGGGACAATAACGTGAGGCCCAGAATTGATCCGCGATGAAATTGCACCGCGGCGCGCAGATTCTGATGCAAATTGTAGCGCAATTCCATATGCATACTTTAATGTTCAGTGTACAACTAACCCGAAGCTAGAAACGTTTATTACACCGGCGTGCGTATACTCGGATGCAAATTGTGAAAAAATTGGTTGCTTGATTGAGTAATCAAAGGTGAATATTGTTGCTTTTCGCGCAATCTAGAGTAGATCTTCTGGTAAGAAACGGTGTTTGCGCGTAGAGCTGCATATTTGTTCTAGTATTGCCCGTACGGAAAAATTGCTACTGTATTGATAGCATTCAAGCTGTGAGCAATAACTTGGCGCTATACAGCTACATTTTGCCCATTGCGTCTTCTCCTTCATCCCCGAGCCAGATGCAGCGGTTGATTTCCATGAGCCAAGAATAATGGAATGAACGAATTCACGCGTGCGCCAGTTGTTCTTGTAATACCCCGCGACGCCCCCGCGATGCCCCGGAATGCCCCGCCATACCCCGTATTTACAGCCGTGGCATGTTCAGGTTTTTTGAGAGGTATCAAAATCGTCCGAAAAGTTGTCGGGCATCATATTACCACTATAGCATATAAGAGGGTGGTAACGTCTATCTTGAAAGCAGGATCTACTAGCAATCACTAAGCTTCACAATCCAAATCATCCATCTACTTTGATCTCAGTCCGAATTTCACTATCACTTTCCTGTCTCAAGCAAGATTTCAAATGGAGAACAATAACTCTTATTTTGCACCAGAGAAGAGACCTTCAAACTGGGTACATCTCTTAAATGAGCCCTCGAGACAGGAACGTAAGCTTCGCGTTGTGTGCATTGGTGGCGGTTGGTCTGGAATGACCTTAGCTCACAAGCTCACACACGAGCTAAAATGGAACCATTTCATTGATCTCCAGATTTACGAGAAAAACCCTGATCTTGGTGGTACATGGTTTGAGAACCGGTACCCCGGAGCGGCTTGGTGAGTAGCTCGATCCAGCATCTATGAAAACGGGGTTGACTCTGATCTACAGTGATGTTCCTGCACGTAGGTGCTGTCCATATTCTTTTTGATCGGCAATGAAGCTTACAGCGAGTTTATTAGACATTTACGTCTTCCCGTTTGAACCTAACCCCAACTGGACCACCTTCTACGCCAACAGCCCTGAAATCTGGCAGTATATGAAAGACACTGCGAAGAAATGGGATCTCGAGCGCCACATGCTGTTCAATTCTAAAGTTATCGATTCCGTTTGGGATGAGGGCAGTGGTAAATGGCGACTTAAGATTGACCATCAAGGAGATGTCCTTGAGGATGAATGTGACATTCTAGTGAATGCAACTGGCTTTCTTCAGTAAGTCTCATTTTACATCCTCATGGATATCATAGGGCAACTCTAGTTCTAACAACCCCTAGTAAGTGGTCTTGGCCCAATATTGAAGGCTTACACAACTTCAAGGGGAAGCTTGTTCATACAGCGGATTGGTAAGTAGCGCGAATACGCAATGTGGCAGATTTGGGATGTAGTATTCACGAGTGTTTCAGGGATCAATCGCTGGATTGGACCGGCCAAAGAATGGCCCTCATCGGTAACGGATCATCCGCTATTCAAGTTTTGCCACAGGTTCAGAGGACCTCCAAAAAGGTCACAACATATGTTCGCAGCCCTACCTGGATTGCGGCGAACTTCCTCAATCAGTATTCCGAAGATGGTAGCAAAGTTTTCACTGAAGACCAGAGAAAGGAGTTTAGAGAGAATCCAGAGAGGTTATTCCAACTGCGTAAGAAGTTGGAGCATGGGTATGCGCATGATCCTTTATCATCGTTTTCTTCATCACTTTAACATTGATGGGCATAGGTTTAATGAGCTTTTCAAGGCTATGGTCATCGGTCGACCAGAGCAACAGGAGCTTGATCGTGAGCATAATGAGATTATGCGCCAGCGCCTTCGCCAAAACCCCGAGCTGATTGATCAGTTAATCCCCAGGTTCACCGCGGGATGTCGCCGCCTGACACCAGGTGATGGTTATCTGGAAGCTCTACAAGAAGACAATGTCAAGACCATTTGGAGTCCCATAATCAGAGTAACCGAGAAAGGCATTCTGACAGCCGAAGGCGAAGAAGAATTCGACATCATCGTTACTGCCACAGGCTTTGATGTGAGTTACAAGCCCAACTGGAACCTTGTGGGACGCAATGGCGCTACGTTAAACAAACTCTGGGCGAACGATCCTCTGAGCTATCTTGGGATTGCCGCTCCAGAGCATCCTAACTATTTCATTTTTGCTGGTCCTAACACTCCGGTCGCACACGGTGTATTCCCTGGCTCCTGTGATGCCATGGCTACTTATATCTTGAAGTGGTGCCACAAGATCGCGTCAGAGGACATAAAGTAAGTTTCGAGCTCCCTTGTGTAGACATAAAGGTATCGGAGTTGCTGATGGCATATAAAACAGGTCCGTGTGTTTGTTGCCTGAGGTGGTAGACGACTTGGATGTGTGGTCACAAGAGATGCTGTCTCAGACTGTATGGGCTGCTCCATGCCGTAGCTGGTATAAAAATGGAAGAACCGACGGCCGCATTACTGCTCTACATGCTGGCAGTGTTATACACTACAGAGGTTGGATACAAACCCTCAAGAATATTCTCCCATTAATCTGAGAGCTAACCAGGCTTATTAGAGCTTCTTGAGGAGATCCGAGGCGAAGATTTCCAGATCGAATATCGTTCGCCAAACAGATTCCGCTTCCTTGGAAACGGATTCACTAAGAGGGATATGAATGGAGATGATCTCGGCTACTATCTTCAAGGTCCAGTGGCCATGAGTAACTAAAGATTCCGGCAAGAGGTACCAATATGTTTTTAGATCATAGGCCCTACCTAATGTCCAAAGCCTACATATAGGTTCATATTGTTAGTTCTTGTTTTACCACATCAAGTCCAGTTGAGTTGAGAGAAGGTGGCTCTACAATATTTTCTCGCTTGTCCAAGGTGTGTCCACAAACCAAGGATGCGCATGGCAAAAGCTCGGTGAAGGTTCGTAGTATATTCCAAAGCACTGCGGTGGCAACTAATACGCAGTTTTCTGTCAGAGGGCAAGTTCGCAACTTCAACAACTGGCATCACATTGTTGTGCGTACATTTAGTAGCGTATGCTCTGAAATGAACATTCCTGCAAAGTGGTTTGTCAAAAAGAATAGACAATACCGAGTTTAGAGCTAATATGTTTCAGCATTCCAACTGTCATTCTCCATATCCCATCACCAAACATAAAATTGGTTACTTTTAGGAGCACCTGACAGCATCTTATGGGCATTAACTGAATTGAGATATGCATCTGCTGCTGTAAACGTAAATTTGCATGTATTCATGAATCGTATGTATCATAAGGAAAAATATGTTCAATACCAGCAAAAAAGTCCATATAGTCTATGGAAGCATGTGGTTCGATGCTGCCATCAAGAAGCGGCATGAAAGGCAGCATATTCGAACTCATTGAAGGGTGTGTTATGGAATCGGAGACATTTGTCGAATCAAAAACATTGGATTCTTGGTGAGAGGCCATCATCCCCGATGTCATGAATCCAGCCAAATTTATCGGGCTTCTATCATCGCCTTGTCTTGCGGCTAAGCTTTTCAACAAGGCCTCGACCCCGGCCAATCTACGCTTCAGAATATCCATGCCACACCAGAAAATGATAGATCGATCCATATTGAGGCAGAGGAGCTCATAATTCGATTCCGCCAATTGCTTGTTGAAGGACAAAGGCCCAAAGATGCGGCAGGCGATTTGTGCCGCAGCGGCAATCCATAGCGTGTTGATCATAAAGGGATTGACATATTTGTAGTGCTCACCAGAGCTATTACGTACCATGGTGATAACATCTTCGGCGGCCTTCATATAGTTTGACCATAATGGATGATTAGAAATCTTGTTTTCATTTCCTGTTTTCAGATTGTTTGCGTCAAATCCCGCCATCCAAGGTGCCTCAGCAGCGATCTGATGGTAAAAGATCATGAACTGGACGAGTTGCGTCATAATGTGGATGCAATATATGTCGTTGTGAAACTGGTGACAGCTGATATCTTGTGAAAACCTTCTGGTCTGGAAATCTAGAGCCTGCCCATGATAGGTAAAGTCAGAGGGAAGGGAGTTAGTGGTGCAGTACAGAGAGTTGGCTAGAATGGTCAAATCGGCCATATTTGTCGTTGAATCGGTATAGAGCTTATGATCCGACAGAAGCAACTGGCAATTGTACACAAAGGAGTTGATGACGATGTACCAAGCTTTCGGGCTAAGATTGCCTGACTCCTGCAAGTGTTTCCAGCGGAGATTCGGAGCCACAGCCAGATAACAGCTCTTTTGGGGGCTATCGCTAAACCAGCAGCTGTCTGGAACTGGTAAAAACGTGAAGTTATAGCTCCAGTTGATAGCCATTGGCAGGCGCCTAATGGCACTGGCAAGAACATCCATCTCCCAGATGGCCCACCAAGCTCTTCTTTTCTCTTCCAGCATGGACCAGTGCTCCGCATCGATGCTGTGGTTATCTCCATCTACCCGTTGATTGGATCGAAAATCGACTCGATGAAGGTCCAGCTCGTATGCTAGTCTGACGCAAAGCCCCAGATGCCTCCATGATTTCGACCGGACACTTTGCGTCAATTGGTAAAAGGTTAAGAGAATATAGGCCTGTAGGAGCCATAGTGGAGCCACTGCGTCGTCAAGTTGTTCAAGAACTTCATTCAAGCGTTTTGAGGCGATGCAAGCGAAATGAGAATGTGGAGGGCACTCGGTAGGACGAGATGGCGTACTGAAAGACGAATGAAATCTCGCAGCGAAGGCAAATATCGCGGCTACTAAAGCTTCAGCTTCAGTTACGGATTGCATCCGAGAGAGCTTCTCTTCAATTTTATACGGCTTGAAAAGCGTAAAGGTTGTCATGTTGTCGAAATATGATTCCATCCTGTGTTCACTTGTTAATACGGCGGGATCTATGGTTCATCGCCATAGAAGCGCCCTCAACAACCAGGGCATGCTTGGAAATCTTCTACGAAAAATTGTTGGAGATTAGAATGAGGCTTACAGATAGTGGTACAGATCTTTGGAGATCGCCAGGCCCTCACAAACGCGCCCCACAATCGCTTCTGGGACCATACCTTCAAAAGAAAGGGCAGGCTCTCGTCTTGGTTGAATCTCGTGTGAAGGATGCATGATCTGGGCAAAAGTTGTCACACTCGCAGGAGTGTTATGTCCATCATCACGAGTCGCTATCGGGGGGAACTGTCTCGACAATGAAAGACTCTGGGGGGGTTTTGGAAAAGGCCCTCCAGCTTTGGAAAGAGGCGAATCACTTCCAGGTAAGACATTACTTAAGATGGTGGCATCGGGAGAAGCACCGGGAGAATCACGCGGGGTGGTTTTCCTCGTAGGGCGTCCATTCCGTGCATTGGTGTGCCTACGAGCGTGTTTTTGAGTACTCCCTTTATAACATAAGATTAGTTTTTTTCTTTTTCTTTTTTGGGGGGGTTTCTAAATCAGACGATAACATGTAACAGCATTGGGGCATGAGGTTTGCACCGACCTATTTTAGGACCTGGTTTTTTATGGCAAGTGGGATATTCGCATATGCCGCTTACCCTATCACAGAGGGAGCAGATGGGTAAAGCCCGATTGCTAAAAGAAATGTTAGGCGTATATCCAAGAAGCAAAGGCGATAGCCAGCCCCCAAGATTGTGGCACTAACCACTTCACTTTTCTCCTATATTTTGAGACTGTTAGTAGGCCGATACTTCAGGGCGGGACAAGTTCGTAAGCATACCTTCTACAGGCATTGCACGAAAATTCCGAAACGGACTGAGTAGCTGCTTCATGCATCATTCTGCATGGGCGTCTTGATCGACCACGGGGCAATTTCCAGAAAACTGCAAAAAGAGCAAAGAAGTAGTATAATAACAGCGATGCAGGGTATGGAGGGAAGTAAGAGGCATGGGGAGTTTGAGCGAAGTTTCAGCTTTGTTAAAAGTCGGCGGCATGTCTCCAACTTATTGTGCCGAGTCATGGCTCGCAAGGTCTTCACGGGTCGCGAAGCGGACAACGTCAAAAGTCGCGAAGCGCGAAGTTAGTAAGCAAGCCATCGCTTCTGTGTGTTTTTAAGCATGACGGCCAATTCACAGAGCTAGCCCAGCTAACTTGATGTACCAGTAACGACGTAGTAGCATGTCAAGTCCTTTGCATTTATTATTGCCACACTGCCATTGGACACCAGAGTTTGCCTTCCATATTAGAGAACAAACTATTACCATATGAGAATTAGAGACTTATACTCTGCTGTTAGATTTTAGTACACAGCAGTTGCTCATCTAAAACGTTCATGTGTCTCACGATTGCATAGGTGACTAAGTAACGGTGGAACTTCGTTGAGTCGGCTTCAGAGAACATTGTGAGTTGGGCCGTCTAATTTGTTGTCATGCCGATGTCATCAAAAGAAGCGATGGACCGAATAGAATTACATAAGTGGACTTGTTACTATATAACCACCATGTTAGTGAGCTTTGAACATCTTGTCTTTTCTCAATAAATCTCGCCTGTTTCAGAATAGTCTTCTTGTCTCATAAACACGATAGCCGTTACTATCCACCTTTGTCTTTGAACTATACAAGCTTCTTCAACCATACCGATTTCCACAGATTTGAACTCCGACACAATGGCTACCAAGAAAAATATTGCAGTACTCGGCTCAACCGGCAATCAGGGTGGCTCTGTTGCCAAGATATTTCTGAGCGACCCGAAACTCAAGAAAGATTGGACTGTCCGTGCTATTACGCGAGACGTTACTAAGGCGTCTGCTAAGAAGCTTGAAAGCCAAGGTGCTGAGCTTGTTGCAGTAAGTTGAGAAGAGAAGCCGTCTCTTTCTTCAACCAAAATAAAATGTCTATGAGCCTGGTAACTGACGGCAGTAGGCCGACATCAATGATGGCAAGTCATTAGCCAAGGCCTTCTCTGGTGCCGCAGCAATTTTTGCCGTCACGAACTACTGGGATACTATGAGCAAAGAACGTGAAGAGCAACAAGGCAGGACAATTGTAGATGCGGCAAAGGTTAGCCAAGCTTGTGCATGTCTGAGTGTTTTGGGCTCGAATACTAAGCTATCGGATATAGGATGCTCGAGTACAACATTTTATTTACAGCTCGTTAATCGACGTTGCCAAGGGTAAGCTCCCATTTACCCCCCCCGAAGAGAAATTTCAAGAGATGTTTTAGTTATACTTACTCCATTGGATATGTTAAAGCTACTAATGGTAAATTGCTCAATGTTTATCATTTCGATAGTAAGGCCGTTGTTGAGCAATATGCTCGCGACGCCGGAATTCCAGCGACTTTCTTTCAGCCGGGTTTCTTCATGTCGAATATCCCTGGACAGTTGCTGGCTCAAGAGTCGCCTGAAAAGCCGTGGACACTGGCGGTGCCAACACCAGAAACAGCGCCATTCCCCATGTTTGATGCCGAGGCTGATACGGGAAAGTTCGTCAAGGCCATCATATTGAAGCGTGACGAGGTCCTAGGCAAGCGCGTGCTTGGTGCCACAGCGTACCAGACCCCTGCAGAGATTCTCGTGGACTTCAAGAGCGCCTTCCCTAACGCCAGCAAGGATGCTAAATTCTTCTCCCTCCCTCACGAAATGTTTACAGCTACATTGAAAGGACAAGGCATGCCAGACTTTGCAGCTGAGGAACTATTGCAAAACTTCCGCCTAATGGATGAGGGTGGTTACTACGCTGGAGAGAAGTTGGATTGGAGCTTATCTATTCTCGAGGATAAGCCAACAACTTGGCTAGAACATTTAAAGGCAGCGAAAGCCTTCCAAGGCCTGAATTAGCCATCTCAACAGTAAATGATGGTTTAGCATAACAGCAGATTTGTGCTCATAGAGTATTTTATTGAAGGAGTTAGAAGTAAAGCTATTACTTTGGTGGAAGGTATAAGTGACCAATTTTTCGCCCCGTCAACAAGCTATTATCATCTCATAAATGAATTGAAGTAGATGTAAGATTAACAAAGCAATCTAGGATGAAAAGTCTGACGAGTTTAGTCAATATACTATGATTGTCTAATTCGGACACTCCCGCTTACAGCATGTTAAATAATCCTAGAAATACTACTCTGAGATGCCGAGAGCCGCTGCTGAATTGCGAAAGCGAAAGCCGCTGCTGAGTTGCGGCTTGTTGGGGTAAAAAATCCCGCCGCAGGCCCGGAAGCCAAGTACCTAGGTTGCAGCACACCCCTTGGCCGTATTGTTAGCAGTCTACGGAGTAGCATTCACAAGAAAAAACACAGAGGCAAGTAATCACAATTAAGAATGGTAGAAGTGCACCAGTTGATTGGGTAACACACGATTCAATTCCGAAAGCGATATCTGCATAAGTTTATACAACCGTCTAGAATGGATAGATATTTAATACTTGCACCTAACATTACTGAAATCATCATACAAAGCGCTCTTGTCAGTTTTTAAAATCTGTCTCGCATGGCTGAATTAGGCCGGCGTGTCATATGCGCGTTGACTTCGGACAAACTTCATCGGTGGACAACTTCGGCGCGGCTGGATTTATACAATAAAAGTCAACTATATATATTGCTTTCGGGATCGAATGGAACAAATCCGATCTGAGCTACACATCGCCTGCATCTATTTAGATTTGAAACTAAAATAGAATAAAAGACTGTCACAGCGCATATCTCGTTGTGGTTCACGTTCACGCGGCTCAAGATGGTTATAACTAAGAAAGAGGGCGAGTATGTTCCTGTAGACCCTAACTTTAGGCCTCTACCGAAGTTCGGCCATTTCAGCGAGTCTGATCAAGAGTACGCAAATCTCAGGCCGATGCTGAATAGCATGATGGAGGGCTTGTGGCCGCCTGAGACGTCTTTGGAAGATTTTCGCAAAGCCTGGCTCAACAACCCACCGACGCCTGAAGAATGCCCTATAGAGGCCAAGGACGTCCTTACTGAGACACGGATGATCGCAACTCGCGACGGTGCCGAGATCGAGATTAAGTTGTATGTGGCTAAAAACAAGCGTCCTGGATCTGCAATGGTGTTGCGCTACCACGGCGGAGGGTGGGTTGTTGGTGGGCATTGTACTGAACATTCCGAAAATCTCATGATTGCCGGTTGGACAAATTCAGTTGTGGTCAGTGTTGATTATAGACAGTAAGTGGAATAGGAAGGTGAAAGAATATGGATGGCTTATTTATTAACCATGGAATAGGGCCCTCGAGCACAGATTTCCGTATGCAGCTAACGACTGCTTTGATGCACTGAAATGGGTAGGTGATATGTATATATCATGTTGTGATACAGAAATCGCTCAAGCGTAGATTCTGGGCTAACGTGATGTAGTGCAGCAAAAATGCTACTTCTCTCGGGGGCGATGCATCGAAAATTATCCTCAACGGAAGTAGTGCTGGTGGAAACCTAGTAAGTCACGATGTGAAGCATGAACTTCCTCTACAGTGGCTTCAAATCTTGGGACGCGTTAACTAAGGTAACCACTTATGAAAGGCTAGTGTTGTGGCCATCATGGCCCGAGACGAAGGATTCCAGGGTATCATAGCGCAAATTCTTACGTTCCCGGTAACGTGCCATCCCAAATTCTTTCCCACAGAGGCGTATGAAATGGGTAGTTATCAGCAAAATTCCAAGGACAGCGTTGTTACTGCCGCGCGGATGGAATGGTTTTGGGATGCGTACATGCCGGAGCCGACAGCCGACTGGCGCTCCTCGCCGTTACTTGCACAGTCCCTGAAACAGTTGCCACCAACGTGTAAGTCACTGATCATTCAGTCCTATTTTGAAGATTCTGGGCTGGAGAATTATCTTTAGCTAATAACCCTGGATTCTACAGTAATCATAGCTGCAGGGTGCGATATTCATCGGGATGAGGCAATCGCCTACGCAGAGAGATTGCAAAACGAGGGTGTTGACACACAGTTAAAGATATATAAGGGAATGCCTCACTGTTTCTATATGCTTCAGACGCATCCAGAGACAAAAGGCTACTATAAAAGAATAGTAGAGTTTGTCGGGAAATTTTCTAGCTGAGCCTAAGCAGTTAGACACCTCATGATGATTAGGATGCTATGGCTATTCACAACACACTGTGTATGTAGAACGAACTAAGTCTGAATGCGACTCATCTAGACAAACGCTGAACCTAGCCGCTATTTTGAGCGCAGAATTCCGAATGGGAATTAGAGTGTGGCTTCTGGCAGAATATGACAATGCATAATAGCGAGGGCTCTGGACTCATATTATCTCGAAGAGCACAACAATCATGAGAGACGCGAAGGCCAATTATTTCTTCAGTCCAACCCGAGATTTCACACTTCTGCTGTCTCGCAAATCCTACTAGCAGCAACGGTAGTTCGGTTGAGTATGCTGAGTTCCGCTCTTTGACCAACAATCCTCAATGTCTCCAGCCGCAAGGCATGACATTACACTGAAGGTTGACTGTACTTGCTGCGAAAAAAGAGCATGCGGCATTATTTTACGCTTGAGATCTCTCTGTCACGAAACAATGCAACTGCGCAATTTCCTGTTGTGAATTGTGATGCCATTGCTTTAAATATTTAATGATTCAAAATGTATTTTTCATCTCGCCTTGCCACCAGACTGAATCATAAACCAAGTGTGTTCGTGCTGCTTCATTAGGAGGTTTCCCCAACGGCGGCACAAAGAGCAGTGTGGTTTCGGGGTACGAAATATGATTTGAAGCGAGGAGGCAGAGCGACCAGGCTCTTGGGGTCTGCGTTTCCAGTGACAGGATGACAGTCCACATCGTCATGCTTCTTGATATGGAAGCTATTGAGCAAGCGTATGAAGACGAGGTAAAGCTCGCGATTGGCTAAGAGAGAGCCAGCACACATACGATAGCCGACACCATATGTGAACAATGGTGCATCGGGTTGCTCAAACCATCTTTCAGGACGAAAGACTTCAGGATCAGTCCAAATTTTCTCATCTGTCACATCCATTAGCGTATCTGCAATGGACGATTCTAACCATGGTATGAGTGAGGATTCACTTACCCATGTTGCAAGCCCACGCGTTGAGAAATACCATTGTACCCTTGGGGATAATAGTGCCTTGGTATGGCAAATCCTTCACGGAAGCGCGAGGAAGAGCCAGACGGAGAACTGTGTAATACCGAAGAGCCTCTTTGACAAGAGCAACGACATATGCACACTTGTGGTCATCATTCTCGTCACACATAGGCTGGTCTGCATCGTAATGCTTGCGAATTTCTACGATGGCTTTATCTTGGATCTCGGGATGCTGAGAGAGTAGCGCAACAAACCAAGCGACCTGCGTGGTGACAGTGTCTAGACCGCCTGAAAGCATCGTTAGGCTGATTGAAGTGAGCTCATCCTTGCTCAGCTTTGCTTCCTTGTCAAGAATAACATTAGCTTGAATACAGGGCTGATGAGTTCCTGCTGCAATGCGCTCATCAAGATCGTTGTTGAGATCTGTCAAGTACCTATCGCGGCGATCTCGCATTTCACGCGCCTTGGATGTGTGAAAGTTGACGGGATTCAGGCGCAGAATAGGAATATAGTCTTGTAAATTTCCAGTGGTAGATCGGAATTTGCTGATCTCTTCTTCCACGTGGGTAATTTCTCCGAATAGGTCGTCTTTCTGAGTTTTTAGTCGCGTTCCCCAGTTAAGGGTCAGGGCGAGGGAAAGCGAAAATCGCTGAATCATTGGCATAGGATCCACTGGTGTCTGTCCAGCGTTGCCATACTCGAAAAGTTCTTTAATAAAATCCCTACTTTCCACCTCAAGGTGAGGAACGTAGGTTGCCACAGAAGGTCGATTGAGTGCTGAGGCTGCGCCTTTTCTTCGCCGCTTCAACGAGTCGCTGTATGGGGAAGTACCAATAGTTGTGCCAGCTGTGTCGGACAGCACCTTTGAGTAGAGCAAGTTAATATTTGCAATGTTACAGTTGGGAAAGTGGTCGGCCTCTTGCACGATTCAAGGTAATACGCGTTATTGCAACATTCCCGGTTTGCCTCACTAACCTTATGAAATGTGTACAGCTCTGGCCTGGAACTTAATGTCTGGGCATTTGAACCAAACACCGACTTAGCAGCTGAAGCTGAGTTGACAACGACAACAGGAATATTCCCAAGCATGATTTGGTAGACGTCACCGTACTGCTTAGCCCATTGCCGATACTTTTCGGCAGCATTGATACGGATATCCCAAATGTTACCCAGCAAAGGAAGACCTTGAGGTCCATTCATATGAGGAATTCTAGCATTTGTGCGAATTAATTCGTTCACCAGAACGTAAATGACAGGGAGGGAGAGAGCGCCAATGAGGAGATGTTGCACTGAGCCCTGCAGAATTCCCTCTAGCAAGGCCGCAGAGATTGTTGAACTTGGCATTATGGCCGGTTGTCGAACTGCCTGAGAGAGATTTTCTTATTTTTATTGAAGAGAAGAGAAGAAATAATTGAGATTTCACAGGGATCAAATACGGAATTAGGGTTATATGGCGACAGCACGATACCCTAAGAGATTATCTTATATACTAGGGTCTTTGCCCATCACGGCATTGAGACGCTGAGGCCGAGGTAGGCATAGCTCTGAGAGACGAAGGAGATGGGCCTAGTACATACGACTCTAAGATGGACTTCCCCACACGGAATCGGACTGTTCATGGTGTGCTCGGAATCGATCCCGAGATTCCGAGCCAGCCTTTATTATGTGCATAGTCTGCTATTATTCTAGTACCATTCTCAGGACGACGGAATCAAGGCCCGTCTCCTTCTTCAGTTCTCACCAACCCTCCATATCCTGCTCACTACACTCGGCTCTTCCGCTCCGCACGCCGCTGCCAATACGTGCTCGCGTGTTGTACGCTCCTCTCTCACTCTCACTTTTGTCATGTCAGACTACAAAGCCACAGAGCACGAAGACCAGGACTCAACTGAAGAACGGCCTGCGCCCCCGACTAAACGCAGAAAATACACTGCCGTAGCCTGGTACGCTCCACACTCTAACTGAGAACCCAACTCCTTTATCTGTCGCTCTTTCTTGTGCTTCTCCAAATCGGCCTGTTCTTTCGGGATCGCATTATCGACTAAGAAGCGGACAAAAGATATGGGCAAAGATGAACAACTTGACTACAGCTGACTTTACTTCATTCTTATAGTGATGAATGCAGGCGTCGTAAACTGAAGTGTGTCCCGGGCCAGACCGAAGATTGCTGCCAGAGATGTGCTTCCAAGGGTCTTGCCACGTGCAGCTACAAGGCTCTTCGTCGTGACTTTGCAGATCGACCGACGTGTGGGAATGAGTGAGTGAGCTCCCATTCCAAGATTCCCCCATCGTCGTGTTGATCCCCGTAGCTGGAAGACGAAATTGATCTTATTCTCAAATCGCAGTGTAGTATCGGCGCTCAGTCAAGATGTCAAGATTCTGAAAGATACGATGGACGAGTGGATGGCAGTGGTCAAACAGCTCACCGCGAATGGAGCTGCCGAACTTTCTCGGCGTCCCTCCGGCGCCATCCTAACATCGGATAACTCCCTACCACAAGAGTCTTATGACTCCACTTTACCGCAAGGCATATCTGTATCTGGCTCTGAAGCATTAGCATCCACCTCAGTGATCAATCCTGTGATGGTAAGGCTTTTCCCCTCAGCCTTCAAATTGCTTAAGTTAGATGACACCTTCCTAACCTGAGCAGACTCGCCAAACGACTTCGCCTCATCTCGGTCAAAATGTACTGGAGGAGCCTCATTTTATCGATCCCACCAGCTCTGCCCATGGAATAGAAGTGGAAGAACAGGTATCATCGCGGATAGGAATCCCTCAAGTCGAATTGCCTCCTCCGAACGGACAGCAGTCCTGTTCCTGGTCTCCTAAAGGGCCGTGTCGGCAATTTGACATAGATTTCTGGAAAGAATGCAACGCTTCTGAGTTTTCACGTTTAATTCGCGTCTTCCAAGAAGAGGTGGAGTCGGTATATCCATGTCTAGACACAAATTATCTCATCTGTAACGCGCCTGAGGTTATTAGGTTAGGCAAGTTATCTAAGGACGCTACTCGGGGTATCACTGACAAAGAGGATTCGTGTGTCGGCTTCAAGGATTTACAGCTAGCCAGAATTGCCATTGCCACTGCGATGGTAATTGAAGGACATGGGAAGAGTGATAAAAGCACGATAATGGTTACCGCAGTTGAAGCAAGTGTCATGAGCATACTAAGGCCAAGTTCAGGCTTGAAAGACTTGCAGTTGCTTATTCTTCTGGTCAGAACATCTCATTTGCCCTTTATTCGATATGAGATAAGAATAACTGACATGCCTTTGTCTATTAGAGTATATACTACTTCCATATTGACGAGGACCTACTCGCCTGGCGAACCATAGGCCTGGCGTGTCGTGAAGCACTTGTCCTGGGCTTGCATCGGCGAATCACGCTATTTGAAGCTTTTCCTTCTAAGGAGCATCGCGAATTGGCTGTGAGAGTCTTTTGGACTATCTATGTGCTTGACCGGCGCTGGAGCTTTGGCACCAACCTTTCATTCGCATTGGTGGACCGCGATATTGACATGGAACTGCCAGAACCGGTAAGAATTATCCAAGAGACCAATAACGAACTCGGGAATTGTTTTGCTCTCTCTATTTTCAGGCTAACAGCTTCTATAGGGCCAGGATTTTGCGTACCTCCAATGCATGGTAGGATATGGACGCCTATGTTCGACTATGTGGGATGCACTGATGCCCTCTGGGTTTCACGCCAATGAGAACCCCGAACAAAAAACGATGGAGCTTGATAAGAAGATACAAGAATGGCTTGAGTCAGTTCCTGTGCAACTCCGGCTCTGTCACCCCCGACTCGGTCTGGCTACCCGAGCACAGCCTCCCGTCTTGCACAGATTGCGAGCCTTGCTCTACTTACGAGGCAACCATTTTCGCATTTTGATATACAGATACTATCTCCTTGGGCCAAATCGTATCAAGAACTCGTACCGCAACGCATGGTTGGCTGTCGAAATTGCGCAAGACAGCATTCAAGTGCTAGTCCATCTCAACGATTCCTCGGACATTTATCGACGTCAGCAGGCTGCTTTCAATTACTTCTTGCTTAGCGCCCTAGCAATTCTTTTTCTAGCCGTTTGCAATGACCCCGAAACTTTTGCTGCGCCGTGTAAGAAATCGTTTCATTCAGCTATTGAGCTCTTGCGTCATTTCTCTAGCCAGAGTAGGGGGAGTCGCAGGCTGTGGAGCAGCGTCAGAGGCATCATCCCCCGGCTTCGTCGGCTTGAGATTCGCAGAACCGAGGACGCCAGCCACCAGGAAGAAGCCGATTCTCAGGTAGAAGACGACAGTGCTACTGAAAGATCTTCAGACACAGTCCCGGCATTGCGGCTACCCCCAAAGATGGGGCCTACAGTAGATACCAGTGCTCTCAATGAGCCTGCATCGAACGGATGGAGATCTCAGAGCTTTGACAACTGCTCAAGACCTCCCCCAGGATACAATGTGAACTCGGAGATGATCCCCGATTTGAATACACCAGATTTCATCAGCATGAGTAATGAACTTATGGGGCTCTTTGAGACATTCGAACAAGGTCCATATCCTCATCCGCAGGCTGATATCACAGGCTGTTGGGAGGACAACATTTACGCTCCAAATTTTCTTAGCGAAGATCAGGGGGAGATCTCATGGCATTTCAACGAGTTGATCCAGTAGCACAGAATGTGTTTACACGTAATAACAAGAATTAAGGAGATCCAGAAAGTTCTCTATACCCGTTAAGCCTTTGGCGGTGAAGTACAAAACTGAATGAGATCTATTGGGGTTTTGCCCAAAGAAAGTATAGCGCTTCTCACTTTGAAACTGGGTGTATTGCAAATTAACTCTGTAGTTGGTTCTCGAAGTATACCATCATAACCCCCTCATGCACCAACTTAGCAAAAGCCTTCAACTCTGCGTGAGCGACGCATTCATTATCGTAGTAGACCATATCATCCAATGAGGCGAATTGTGAATGGGCTGCTACGGTATAGCCTTGCGAACGTTGATCGGGCTTGGTAGGTCCCGCAGTGACTGAGAGAATGTACGGTTTATTGTCCTTCAGGCAGAGCGAACATGAGCAAGGGCTTCCCCAGAACTAATGCCTGAAAATCTGGTTGCAAGTTATGCGACACCAAAATAAAGCCTGTCAACGTACCTTCAACGCTTTAGTAGACACATTTCGGTAAATGTCTATCAGTTTCTCTTGGTCAACTGTGTTTGGGATTTTAAACAAGGTCACGCGATGGATGCGTCTGTCTGCCATAATTCAGAGGGTAATCCTGAGCAAAAAGAGCTAATAGGGGACAGGTAATTCGAGCCGCTTTGATTCGAATCAGTCAATGGTGGACAAGCAGTCCTTAATATATAAAATCACGACTCACTAAGGAAAAGAGTAGGTAATGCGCCGAGGGGGGGTAGTGGCGGTCGCAGTCGGAAGCGGAAATCTCCAATTCCGAGTTGTCAGGTGGATTTATAGATTAGAGTCCAGCTCGCATCCCAATAATGTGGTGCTGACACGTCGGGCTACTCCGTTGAAATGCTTCTATAGAGTACTAGTATTCTTTCCAATGTCAAATACGGCGAGTGGAGATTCTCGAGACTGCCCTGGCCCTCTTCCGTCTCTGCAATCTTGTCGAACTAGTCAACCGCTCTACTAGTCGGCTCATGATCACAGCAGTCACCGGGATGAGCTTGACCGGGTCAAGATAGAAACCTAGTCGAGATTATCAAGGTCGTAGTCATCCAAGTCTACAACTATCGTCCTTGCTACTGGACACTGAAGTAGTTGGAGACTGTGCTTTGACCTGACTCGTGCTATTTGAGAAGAATGGCTGGACAAGGTTGCAAAGCCATTGCGTGTTGCAGAGACGAAATTAGCTAGCGATAAAAGCCAAGCCCAGGTCAATGCTGTATCATCTATCGACAGGTCCATGTTTGCATATTTCGTGGCAACGCTATGTAAGTGGGAAGGAACCAAGAAGCAAAGAAATTGATGGTAGATGCTTAAAACCCCCTGTCTCCGCGTAGGCCTAAATATTTCAGTACGATATGATCAATTCTTCATCTTCTTTGCTAAATTCCAAAGTTTCTCAATGCTGTCTTGTCGAGTGGCTCGCGATCATGGCATGATCGGAATGTTCCGAACAGCCTCAGCCTCAGGGGTCGGTTAGCGCTATGCAAAGACAGTACCCGCCATCTAGGCCGGAATGGGATGTCTGTCGAGTAATGAGTCTCGGAGAGCTCGAATTCCGAACTTTGAAAGCAGTGATAGAGAGCTTCTCAGCGTTTTTGCAGCTTCTAAGGCGAATTCGCGCCCATTGACAACGCGTCTCTGGTTAATCCAGCTCTATATCACGTAGCGTTGGTCCGTATCTTGTACGGTTGACTCTCAATATTTTATGCATGGTTGGTAATTGAACACAAAGGTAGGCATAAACTTGTTTGAGTAAGATGAAAACTACAAAATAACCTTGTGATGAGTGGGACGTATCCGTGAAATGATCTGAATCTGCCTGCATGTAGTCAAGTGAGCATATTTGCCGAATACAGTAAAAGTCATAGCGGACATGATGTAATTCGTGCACGTACTCCGTAGGTAGTCCGCAAAAGGCCAGAACAACGCAAGAAGAGGCGACCTAGGCTTTCAGTTACAATAGCGAAGCCCCCCCCCCCCCCCGGCGCTCTGCTTGGCACTGTATTTATTAGCTTCCTGCTTACTACTACTTGATGAGACGGTAGGCAGGTGTACACACGTTTACGAGCCATTATTATATTGGTGATGCGACTTTCGGAACATCGGAAGGATCCCGAATCGTTCCAAGTGCAGTGCTCCTCTGAGCTCTGATGCTTGGTCCCTGCGCAAATCGTTTCGGGTGTGAAAGTAGCACAGATTCCGTCAACTGCCTTGTTCACTGGCTCCGACGTACCTAGCTGATACACTCTGTAATTCTGCTGCGAAACCAGTCTTCAAGCCTGGGAGAGGCTCGACTTTGACTTTGAACTGGGCATGTTTCGTAGCCAAAGCAACAACCTCGGACAGCCCACCATGGTCGATCACGCAGAAAGTACATCTTTTGCTATGTTTTACCAGACTATCTAAGCATGAAGTGCATTCTACTTAGGCCGTTCAATGTCAAATATCCCGGCACGACTATCAGCACATGAGTTGTACTTACAGTTGCCCTAGACCCGATAAAGGCGGCTGGTCTACGCAACAATATAGATTTAGAAGAGCATCCACGAGAAGTCAAATAAGAGAAATATTCTCAACAGTGCCTCTGTGCAGTAGGAACATAAACTATCACTCACACGTCCCGCTGTTCACTTTCGACGCTAACGGGGTAACTCTAACAATGCTGTGGCAGCGCAAGGGATCTTACAGTCACCCAAACTTTGTCTCGGCAGTTACTGTGGTCGTGGTCCTAGACTATTTCCTCTCACGATATTTCACCATGTCATTATAGGCTTCTGTGAGGCCCGCGGTTCAAGTTCTACATGGCTCAGTGTTTGATGTTTAAGAATTTGTTATAGATATGTATCATGCTATATACGTGTTCAAGTATAGACAATAGAAGTATAAGATATATACCGACAGCTGCCCACGACAATGGCCCAGCGAGTCAACCCCTTGTGTTTCCATATGGCTCATAGCGCATCTCTGTTGCCTTATGCCAGAGCTTCTTTTGGCGTTACTCTCGGTATTACTGGCAAGATGCCCACCAAACACTGCTAACAACGCACGTGTAAGGCGCCTGGCACTGGGTAGGGCCGGTATACCCTTGGCCTCCACACTGACCCCATTGCGGCACAGAGCCGCCGCCAGTTGGGCCGGTAGAACCACCACTTGTAGACGTAGGCTTGGAACCGCCAGTAGAACTGGTAGCCGGCGGGGTTGAACCAGGGGCAGCAAGATCACTGACAACCTGGTCCAGGAAGCCGGAATTTTTGTACAACTGGGACATGTCCCACATCATGATACCCGCAAAGCTTGAGTATTGCTTGGTAAATGAAATCACCGCAGAAAGTTGCGTTCCGGACACGTATCCACTAGCAGCACCAGTGTTGGCGGCGATGCCGAGCAGAATCTTGACGTTAGGGTTCTTGCTGACGGTGTGTGCCCAGTTGTCCCAGACATCAAAGTTGTAGTTCCATTGCGTCGCCGCTCCTGGGACATAGCTGCTGACTCCGCATCCGTTGTTATAATACTGGATCATGATGAAGTCGAAAGAGACAGTACCGTTTAGGGCTGGGTTATCGGCGAAATCGGGATAGACGCACTGTGGCGCCGCAGACAGGTAGAACTTCCTGTTTGCGGAAGATGCAGAAGCGTCCATCAAACTTCGCAACTCAGTGGCAAAAGTGGCCAAATTATTGACGCCAGACTCAAAATCAAAGTCGACGCCATCCACCACTGCTGATCCAAATGGGCGGTCTACATTGCTGTTTGGATTAACAGGGCCAAACATGTTCCAAACCGTCTGAGCCGCAGCTGTGGCTACGCTAGTGGATGAAAAACCGCCTTGTGTATAAGATCCACCTCCCAGTGAAATTAGGATGGTCTTGCCATACGTTTGCTGGCATGTAATGATGTCCTCCCTAAAGAAGATCTAAGCCTCGGACATTGGGGGAGTGCGCTGCGAGACGGAGTACAACTTACTCGATTTGAGGGCAATCAAGTGCATTCTTATTGTCAGGAAAGGCCGTGCAGTTGTTGCCCGCATTGGCGAAGTTGGTAATGACCGGGCTGATGCCATTCAGAAACCCAATCGGGATGATCTATGAGATGGAAGTTAGCCAGGCTACTAAGTGACATTCAAGTCATCTGTAATGCCCACATCTATTTCAGCATCTAGGAAAATTCGTTAGCTTTCATCAATTGACCAAAGTCGATTTTGACCTTACTGGCGCAATAGGTAGACAAGCGCTGCTGAGAGTCTGCTTGATTTGCTGAATTTTGGCCTGCACACAAGTTAATAAGAAGCTGAAGCCTAGAGAGTCCATTGAGCTCACCCCAGTACACGGCAATGTTTTGCGTCGAGCTAGCGTTGAAACCGGCTCGTACCGAAGGCAGAGCGGCCAGCAAGGCTCCTAGATAAGCCCATGACTGAACCATGTTGGCCTATGTAATAGTATGTAGAGCAGAAAATAACGTGTTAGTGGTATCCCACAGATGGAATGATAATGGATGCCAATCTGTGAAATGCTACTTCCTCTTATATATAATCAGCCCGTGTATAGAAGCTCAACACTAAAAGCCTAGATTGTGAGGTGGTATTGAGCAACTGTAGATGCTCCAAGCTTTACTTCACAAGGATAGGTGGGGCGGGAAGTACCACGTTTCGAAATAGCAACCCACGATATCAGCACAACGTTGTATCTGGGGAAGACGGCGATGGGTAGTGGAAAAGTTCCCAGCAAGTAGGAACTCAAAGCAAGTTTATACTCAACCCATGTGCCAGCAGGTTGCACGCCAGGTGACTTGTTTGGTCAAGTGATGCGGGCCATAGGATGGCTGGAGAGGGCGACGGGAATGAGACCCAGCCGTGGATTCAGAAACGTGCACCCTAAATTCGCAGCTATAGCAGCCGTCAATCGCGGGTTGGTGTGCTGGTGAGACACACAAAGTTCCAGGGCATCATGATGGCAGATATGGTCGCATCTGTGATTAGGTACAGTTCAGGGACGGTGGATTTGCGCGGTTGACAGCCTTGCTAGGTTACAATTTGCTTGCTGATTGTAATAATTGTGATACTGTAACGTGAGAGATTTGGGTCACGTTTAGGCTATGTTGCGTCCAAATTAATCTATCAGTTCATTTACTAGTTTGCTCCTGCGAGTCCCCTGACTCCGATAACTATTTAATCGCGGCGCCAGGCACTTGCCAACTGCCTATAGTAGCAATTCCCGGCAATACGGAAGTAATAGTCTGCCGACTGACCAATTGTGTTGAGCGGTACCTGTGCTACGATTCCGTAATTGCCTAATCGGTACTGTGAGCACCGGACGCAAAGCTGTGGGTTTTAGCGGTATTTCATTATGGCCTCTGTGGTCGTAACAAAGATATTGAGCGCTTATTCGAAGTCTTGCAAATTTATGCAACGATCCAGTCGAAACTGAGTGGAGCAGCTTCTATCAGAAACGCAAAGTAGGTGTCTATGCATCCCACACCTACAATGAGGGGTCGAAATTCACTCTGATAAGCACTGTCAGGGAGGGATAAGTAGGCTTGGCGCAAAGCAGGGTATCGAGGTAGGATACTGATCTTCTTTAAACCTTTTCATAATGCCTGTATTTATATCCATCCGCTCTCCTCGTACCACTTTAAGTTGAAGCAGTACTATTTCTCATCTAAAGTTAGCGTAATATGGCAACTAAGAAGCTGTGCCACGCTGACATGAACATTAATTAAGTCAGCAAGTCAAGCATTCATAGCAAAGCCGCTAGTATGGACGCTTTTGCTAATCAGAAAGGTTATAGTAAACTCGTACGATGGACTTTATGTGATTCATTGTGTTTACTTGATCTATTTCTCTTTTATTATGAACCCACACTGAGATTTAAAGTTAAATCTTCGTTCGCTGTAATATCGTAATCATGACAACTTTTTTTCCCGTAGCAGGAGGTTTGTAAAATAGGATGGGGAATGGAGATATAAGCACCATACGGAAGCGGACAGTCCGCACATATCTACCACACTGAATATATCTAGCATAGCGAGTGTATTCTCTTTAAACATGCACATATTCATTTTTGTAAATCGTTAGTGTAGGTTAGGCCACGCAAAATACATCTGGGGGTATTTAGTCATCTAAGATTAGTGTCCAATTGTTGACAACTGCACCGGGTTAACGTAACTCCGTTCTTCCCCGCCAAACTAACTTATGGGGATATAGTGGGATAACCATCGACTCAGTGCATGGGGTAATCAACTCCAGCTCCTTTCTTTGGACTATCACCTGTTGTCTTACAATAGCTGGGCCAGTCGGCGGTCCAGTCGTGTATCGGTTGCGTATGATTCTATGTTGCTATGCATCAACATTCCTGGCCTTTTCTCTATTCTCATCCTGACCATCTGAATTCTCACCATGACAACTGCAACGGACACAAATGACAACCCAGATCTTCATGATGGAGCTTGCTCTACATGCCGCCGCAAGAAACAGAAATGCTCTCGTGAAGAACCTTGCCGAGCTTGCATTTCAAGTGGCTCTGAGTGCATTTATGAGCACGCTCAGCGTCGCGGCGCTAAGCCTGGATATATAGACTCCCTCATCAAACGCATGGACACACTTGAGGCGTTGGTTTTGGGACAATCAATGCTGCTTGGGCCTGCCATAGCTCCCGCCAAGGATGCGTCAGATGATCCGCCAGACTTGGGTGACATGCTGCAATCGGTTCGGCAACGGCTACTTCAGCAAAACAAAAAACGACGGCGGACTCATAGCGCTTCCAACTGCTCGTCGCCATCGGGTACATCTGTTGTGGTCCCGCTGAACCACTCCAAAGTCTCCAAAGGGCGCGGTAATGTCGATGCCTCAGCGGTACACTTGTTGGGGAACTCTCCCAAGCCGTCTGTTCCGCCACTCCCCATGATGCGAGAACTTGTCAATATTTACTTTAATCGTATACACCCGTGGATACCCATTTTACACAGGCCAGATATTGAGGCAGCGTTGGAAACCCAAAATGGAGGCCTCCCTGATATTGTGCTGCTGGCTATGACTGCGGTCAGCATCCGATTCTACACTTCTGACCGCCAAATCCAAGACCTGTACAGTCGTCGATGCCATGACGCTGTGGTTCTTGCCTGCATGGATCGTTTCTCGGTGCAAACGCTACAGGCAAGTATCATCCTCGCCTTCAACACAATCGGCAGTGGTAAAGGACCCACGAGTTGGTCCATTGTTTCGTCTGCAACTCGAATCGTGGAACAGCTAGGATTGGCCGTGGAAGACGAAGGAATGTCGCAGAACAAGCTTCTTAATCGCATAGGGTTTCTACCGCCGGCGAGGAATTGGACGGAAAAAGAATCTCTCCGAAGAATATTTTGGTGCATCTTCCTCTTGGATCGGTTTTGCTCTGTCGCTACCGGCTGGAATACTGGATTATCTATCGACCACATCAAGAGGCGTCTCCCTGTCGAGGGGTGCTTCTGGAGAGACCAAGTGAATAAAACCGCGAAATTTTTTGACATTGACAGCAACAAAGTAGAGGCAGACGTCGATACAGATGCCATGGGGGGATTGGCCTACCTCATCGAAGCATCCGAGTGCCTGAATCGTGTGGCAACATTTCTTCTACAAGAGTCCGTCGATCTTTCCGACAGTGAAAGTTTACGCCAGTGGTTTGAGAGGTTCCAATCACTGGATGCCATGCTTATACGTTGGAAAACTTTCCTCCCTACGCGATGGCAGGTTGCTGGCATTGACGCGACTGGCAAAATGGATGAAAATCTCACGCTCGCCCATATCACGCACAACACCAGTGTCATCATGCTGCACCAGGTCATGGCGTATCCGGACGCCGTTTTGCGTAGCCGCTTGCCGACCGAGAATGCTGCCAAGACGTGCATATTTGCGGCTGGCGAGATTGCAACAATCGCCGCCAAATTTATAGCCAACACAGTCGTGGTCATACCACCGACGCTGAGTTTTTGTCTGTTTATTGCCGCAAGGGCTTTGCTCGCTGATGCCAACCATTCAAACACAACGGTGGATGCTAACTTCGAGATACTGCTCCAAGCTCTTCAAGAGGGCTCATCCCGGTGGGTTGGCCCTGGCGGCTCCACTGAGAGAGACAACTTGGCAGGCCAATTTGCCGACAGACTCGACGCTGCTTGGAAGTCTCGGTCACCAGTTAATATCCGTACGGTCGCTTTTGAAGACGACCATAGCACGTTCCCCATATCCTTTGCGAGTCCGCCGATACCGGACATATTTCGCGATGCTTCCGCTAACCTCTCGTCCACGTTTGGTGCAATGGTGCCAGAGTCTTACAACGACCCGGAAATGGACTTTCAAAGCTTCGATCGTATCTTTACTTGGACAGACGAAATGATTGACAACGGTCTTAATTTGCCATAACCACACCCTCTGGCAAGGCGAACAACTGTGGCAATGTCGATACGTATCTATCTGTAATTACACTTTGATGTTATCAACCTAATGTAGTACAATAATAAAACTAAAGCCTTAGAGTCACCGACTTTACTTCATAATACGATTCCAGCCCCATGCGACCGTTCTCTCTGCCAGTGCCGGACTCTTTCCAGCCACCAAAGGGCAGGTCATACGGACCCGCTTCACTGCTGCAGTTCACCGTGATCATACCCGCCTCAAAGGCCTTCACTAGCCGAAACGCCCGCGACACGTCTCGTGTGAACACGGTACCATGGAGACCATACTGCGTGTCGTTACACTCCGCTATCACTTCGTCTTCCGTGTCAAACTGCTGGATGGCAACAACTGGCCCAAAGACTTCCGTTTTCAGAATGTTCGCACTTTTTGGAACTTGAACGAAGATCGTAGGCTGGATATAATAGCCTTTATCCTTGGCTCGACAACCTCCTGAGATTAAGGAAGCACCGTCGTGCTTTGCCTCATCAATAAGTGTGAGAATATTGTCAAACTGTGCCTTATCTACTTGTGGACCGAAGTTTGTCGATTCAAGAGACGGGTCGCCCACAGTGATATCCAGAAATTTAGGCTTAAAAGTGTCCACAAACTTGGTGAATACTCCTCTTTGAACATATATCCGCGAGTTTGAAACGCATATCTGTCCAGAGTTGAACTTGATGCTGGCTGCGACAGACTCGGCGGCCTTTTCTAAATCTGCATCGTCGAAAATGACGGCTGGATTCTTGCCTCCGGTTTCGACACAGACTCTCTTCATGTTACTCTTTACGGCCGCCTCCATGACCATTTTCGCCGCGCGAGTCGAACCTGTGAAGGAGATCTTGCGAATCTGCATGTGGCTTGACAATGCATGCCCGGCCGTATGACCAAACCCAGACAGCACATTGACGACACCTGGAGGGAAGCCAGCTTCGGCTGCTAGGGCTGCGAACTTCAGGGATGTCAAAGGTGCTTTCTCTGAAGACTTCAACACAATGGTGTTTCCTGCCACCACGCACGGAATCACCTTACCGCACCACATAACGATGGGCACGTTCCAAGGAATAATGGCTGCACAAACGCCAAAGGGCTGTCGTAGAGTAAAGGTCACAAACCCCGGAGTGTTCAAGCTTGTTTCTCCGTGGATATCGTGTGCTAAACCAGTCGCATGTTTGATACCGTCGATGGCGCCGGATATGCATGGCAAATAGGATGATATCGGTATTCCCATGTTTGATGCTTCTAGCTGCGCAATCTCATTCTTGTCCCGGTCAATGAGTTCAGCCAACTTGAGGCACTTTGATATTCTCTCAAACACAGACAGGTCTCTCCATGCCGTGAACGCAGCCGCGGCTGCTTGGACTGCTAGATCTACATCGCGCTCGTCTGCTTCGTGGACATCGACGATCTTTTCCTCAGTTGTGGGGTTAAACACTGGGAATGTCCTGCCGGATTTTCCAGGAATCCATTCCCCATTAATGTGAAGACGTGTCTCAATGTTTCCAAGACTCATGTTGCCGAGTTCCGCAGGTGTTGGAAGACTTGGTGAATGGGAGTGTGAATTAAGGTTGGTTACTGTATGAGACCGGTTTGCGGCAAGCGGTAAGCAATTGCTGTGTATAGATGACTCGGAATTCAAAGTTCAATTCCTTAGATCATTTATGCTCTACAATGTAAAGTTATTAGTACCCGTTTACCACTGAGCAACTCAGGCGTGGTGTGCGAGAACACGCGACGTCCATGAGGTGGGGAAGACGGGGATCGGTCCGTCGATATCACCGCCCCGGCGCCATTGTACACGTATGTAACTCCTTTTGTCTAGCCACGTGTAGTCTCCACACGTACCTGCGGATACCCCATGGGGAACATGGAGAATCTAAACCAAAAACAAGGCTAGTATTGCGAGAAATCGCAGGCTGATGCATCAACCCCAAACTCAGAGTTTTATAAAAGTCGCGAGATCTGATCTCTATTCAAATCAGTTGAGCATGAAGCTCTCCAATTTCTGAGATCATAATTTACTACCTCATTGCTCAATCTTATCAGCCTTCACTGAAACTATGGCCCAGGCCGACGAAAAGCTGGGCTCTGCAGGGAATGTCCACCATCGGTCCTATACCGAGGACGTGGACGACACTGTCCATGTCACGCAGTTGCTGGATGATGCCAAGCCCAAGTTGTGGACTAAACGCATGTTCCGCCTCTACGGTATCCTCTTGCTCGGATATCTCTGTATTGTCTTGCAAGGATATGATGGCTCTTTGATGGGTGCCATCAATGCAATGGTGCGAATCAAGGCGTTTGTTGCTTTGTTATTCTCCAAAGTATTCGTAACTAACTACTAGAGTAGCCGCAGTATCAGCAATTCTTTGGGTTGTGAGTCACGCGTGTAAAACCTGGATGACTCGCTTGCTGACGATCTCGAATTTAGAAAATCTGCCGGATCGTCCACAGGATTAGTTTTCGCCATCTTCAACATTGGAAGTCTCTCTGCCCTTCCATTCGCAGGTCCAGTCAACGACTATTGCGGTCGACGATGGGGAATAATGGTCGGTTGCGGCCTCGTCATCGTCGGAACATGCATTCAAGCCCCGTCGCTCAATTCACGAATGTTCCTCGGTGGCCGTTTTCTTTGTGGCTTTGGACAAGGCTTCGTAAATGTCTCTGCCCCGACTTTCGTTGCCGAAATGGCTCATCCGCATTGGCGTGGCCCCCTATCTGGCTTGATGCAGACGAATTATTTTGTTGGCTCCATCATCGCCAGCTGGATTACTTACGGCACAGCGTTTATCAATGGAGAAGGGTCATTCAGGATCCCTCTGTGGCTACAGATGGTCAGCTCTGGTATTGTCTTCCTCGGTATCATGTTTAGCCCTGAAACACCCCGTTGGCTCATGGCACATGGGAAAGCCTCCGAGGCTGAGCGTGTTTTGGCGGAGCTCCATGGAGAGGGCTCCGTGGAAAGTCCCTTTGTGAAGCTCCAGATGGCTGAAATGAACTCACAAATCGGTCACGACGGTTCCGACAAGCGCTGGTGGGACTATAGAGACTTGTTCAACACGCACGCTGCTAGACGCCGAATGATTTGTGTCGCTGGCATGTCGTGGTTCGGTCAGTACTCGGGAAATGCCCTTGTGAGCTACTACTTTCCGGTCATTGTAGCACAAACTGGTATTACCAATCCTCACACGCAGCTGCTTCTCAACGCGTTAAACCCTGTTGTTTCCTGGTTTGCCGCCATTTCTGGAGCCATGCTCCTCGACAGAGTTGGCCGTCGTCCCTTACTCATGGGTGGCGTGTTGGGAATGGCAGTTTGCCTGGCCGTTGTCACGGGCTGTACGAAGCTCTCTGTTGATACGGCTAACAAAGCTGCCGGCAATACGGGTATTTTCTTTATTTACCTATTCAGCGTCATCTTCTCAATCGGTCTTGTCCCCTTACTTCCATTCTACATTGCCGAGACTCTTCCGACAGAGACTCGTGCCAAGGGCACGGCCGTTGGGGCCGTTGTCTCATCTTCGGCTAGTATTCTCGGACAGTACACTAGCGCTGTGGCTATTGAGAAGATTGGCTATTACTATTATATTGTGTTTATTGTCTGGGATGTCATTGAGTGTTTGATTATTTACTTCTTCTTTGTGGAGACAAAGAATCGGACCTTGGAGGAGATGAATGACATTTTTGCGTCTCCAAACCCTGTCAAGGCTTCTTTGAAGAAACGAAATACGGTGGAAGTGGTCCAGGAGACTATCAAGGGAGTTGAATAGCCGTTTGGCATGGGTTTTACGACGACGTGCCCCAGTGGGCACAAACTTATTACTTACACCTCTGTTGATGGACTCTTGCGATATATAATGGTGTACGTCAGGATTAATAGTATGCCCAAATTAATGTGCTTTTATAATTAACAGCTTTTTGAACATGTGAACTTCACGTAAGTGTTGTCTTGACTGATAGATTTCATTGAACCGTGCTCGATGATTTGCTAATAGCAATATTCGCCCAAACCCAGTCGTTCCAGATATTAGCTGGCAGATTGCTTTCACCCATTTAAATGTCTCTCCATGTTAATTTGATGTTATGTTTTTGTCAGGAGATGATGCAGAATATGTTTGTGAGATTATATCGGGAACGGGAAATAGGTACGATATGTTTGGAGCCCCCTCTCCGCCATCTAGCAGGGCGAACTCCAAAGAATTCAACTTCTCCCAAGTCAAAAGCACTATGCATCTGCGATTAATACTTGCTCAATATAGGATTCATTCGTTCAAAATAGCTGGAGCGTGTTTAAATACAGCCCATCTTTACTTTGTCCATTTGTATGCAACAGTCTTACTTCAACAGTTGATAGCCATGGTAGGGGAATTAATTGTTAACACATACCCCGCGAGATTCCCAGTTGTGATTCAGTTTCACTGTATTATCTACTCCTAGGTTTCTTCCAGTCAAGTGACAACGACATTCTTACATCAAGTCCCTTCGTTCAATTCTCATAGCGGCAGCGAATACCTAGCATCCTGCTTCAAATAGTATATCAAGGAGTGACTTGGAGAAGCACAAAACGGACCTTATCACTACCACTTTTGTAATCGTTGCTAAAGCACTAGGATGTTGCATAATCACCCAGTCGCCTCATACCTATTTTATTCTTTTCCTTCATCTACCGCGGGAGATTCGTTTTCTCATGTGATGTCTAGGGCTCAATCTTGTACAGCATGAACAATCGCGGTTGTCTTGATTAACCCAGCAAAAGAATTACCTATGGACAAAGTCCGCTAAGGTCGGGGGGATAGTCAATGATTGAGAAATGGATGTCGTGCTGAAATGGCCTAGTAAACTGACGAACTGCTGTTAACCCTGGAGATTTCCCAACTGCGACTTTCACTAACCCTTTGCCTGGACAGTTACTACATGTACCAACGGGCATATCATCGCGCCGCTCCATGTGTTGTAGCTTCGTAGTACTGGACCGGCGAAATTTCCGGGCCGCGTCCGGTTATTGTTATCACTAGTTCAAAGAAAGTCGGAGGGGTCAATAGCAATGAGGACATCAACTAACCTATAATTTAACACAGAGCACGCCTATAGTGAGGAGACGCTGCTCTTCTATACACGGAACATCCAATTCATTTGATCATCTGCATTTCAAAGAAAGATTCCTTTTTTTCTAAAAGTCACTGCGCTCAACATGCTTGAAAATATCACCATCCTTAGTCAATTGGCACAACCTGATAAGGGGATTTTGACGGACCAACACGTCCCTACGAGCCGTCAGGCGGGCTTGCAGCAGCTCTGTAGTGATGTCTTTGATCACATCACCGCCGCAAAAATTATGCGAGTGGCATTACGTCCGCCACCCATCAACGGCTACTTCCCACATCGAACGGAAAGCACTCAGTTTCTCTATCGTTATGAGCCATCTCACTGGTGGACTTCGGGGTTCTTCCCCGGATCCCTTTGGCTGCTTTACGAGCGCTCATTGCGTACCAATCTTTCTTTCTCATCCGATGAGATCCTTGCGCAGGCACTGAAGTGGCAAAAGAGCATGGAAAAGGAACAATATAACAAGGAAACGCACGACCTTGGCTTCATGATTCTTCCCGCATTCTATCAACATTACAAGCACTTCGAAAATGCTGCTAGCAAACAGATTATCATCAATGCTGGCACTTCACTTGCCTCGAGATGGAGCGAAAAGGTGCAGTGCTTGCGCTCATGGGACACATGTCATACCAAACGGTTCAATTTTGAGAACACAAACAAAGATTTTTTGGTTATAATTGACAACATGATGAATCTTGATCTTTTATATATTTGCTCAGAATTGACGGGAGATGATGAGTTTCGGAGAATCGCAACCGCTCATGCTCACACAACGCTGCAAAACCACCTACGAGTAGACAGCTCAACTTACCATCTTGTCAATTATAACCCGGAAACGGGCGAAATAAAGGGTCGGTACACAATCCAGGGCTACGATGATGATAGCTGTTGGAGTCGTGGCCAGGCTTGGGCGCTGTACGGTTATGCAACCGTCTACAAGTACACAAAGGACAAGAAGTTCTTAGATGCAGCAAATAATTGTACAAAATACTTTTGTGGCCGCATTGGAAACAATCACGGTGCTGTAGTCTGGGACTTCGATGCGCCACGCTTTCCAGCCATTCTAGACACATCAGCTGCAGCTATTGCGTGTTCAGGAATACTACTGCTGTATGAACTGACAGGCGACAGCCAATATCTACCATGGGTAGCACAGATGATGAAATATTGTTTGTCACAAACATTAGCCCCCGACAGTAGCGATACAGTTCTCCGAGACGCCACTATTAACAATAATAGAGACGCCATTGAACAATCTTCACAGACAGGGCTGGTATATGCTGATTATTATTTGTTAGAAGCTGGGAATAGGTTGCTCAACATAGAACTGGAATAGACACAATACATCGAGCTGAATCATTAATAGGCTATAAACGAACAACGAAATGCATTAATATAAACCCAAGCTGCAAGTGCCTTGATTTCAACTCTTATTCTATGCTACCTGGAATACTTTATGTTGCATCAAGTATACTTTAAAGCAAAGTAATGCTTAATGGCCGACTAATCAACTATTGTCAATACCCCCGTGACTGATATATCAATACTAGGATTGATATATAGTGCCGTCTTTTAAGATAGACCCATTTGCCAGGAAAGCCGCAATTGCACCAGCCGTGTCGCCCTGGAGCGAGAAGCTCGTGTGGCCGCTACCGTTTCTGTAGATGCTGAACGCGGTTGGTATGTTTGCTCGCATACCAAGGCCCCAGGGTGAAACCGTAGCTTCATCGTAGAATGAATTGACTAGCATCACTGGAGGAAGAGTCTTTTGTCTTGTCAGGCTGAAACCTCTTGGTGGATTCAATGGCTTTACTGGCCAGCCGGCGCAGACAGTGAGTGCCTGAGAAACAATCCCCATACCACGAGAGTGAGGCGCTATAAGAGGTGTGACTGTCCAAATATTTCGAAAATCCTCAACGCTGAGTACTCGATCAGATCTATCGGAGCATGTGATAGCTAGCTCAGAGAATACTGCAGTACTGGCTGGCGGTGGATTATTCTGAAAGATAACACCTGACCTTTCCGAATAGGTGTAATTGAGCGCATAAGAGACAGCCTGATAGTTGATTTTGCTAGTTGGATCAATGTGCGCGCCGTCATGCAAAGAAGTCTCTATAGCAAGCATAATGAGCCAGTCGGAGACCACACTGCCATCGCCGCAGACACCGAGTAAGTCATTGCAACCCGCCGAGAACAACTGGCCCTTTGCCGCTGTGTCAATTATCCAATCGAGGATAGCGGCCTGATCTTGACCGTAAAGTGCAGACGTTGTTGTTGCATTACATCATCTGAAGAAGTCAGCAAGAACGGCGTCGAGTCCTGCTGCGAAGGTCGTCATCCGGTCTTCTTCATGCATGTGACGGTTAGTCACACCATCCAACACCATTCAATCAACGTGGTCTGGGTACATATCTGAGTACTCAGATCCAATCTGTGTGCCATAGGAAAGGCCTAAATAATTGAACTTGTCGTGCTCAAGGGCCTGTCGAACCATTTCGTAATCGTTAATAGCCTGATCAGTCCCCAAATGGTTTATCAAGGGACCAGTCATGTTGACACAGGTCTCACCCCATTCTTTGGCTCTCGCAATTGTTTCATCATAAGTTTGATGATCTTTAATCATTGGCCACTGCACCGTTGTGTACAGATCCTTGTCGCATTGAACTGGATTGCTCTTACCAGTTCCTCTCATATCTACACCGATGATGTCATAATTTTGTACCAACGGCAACCAATGCCTTAGGTTGCCCCCTGCCGATAACGCGTTTGGTTCGCCGGGCCCGCCATTCTCGCTATTGCCAGTTTGTTAGTTTATAGAATAAATGTACTCCCACTGTCCATGGCTTAAAATGCCAATGTGAAGATGGTTGAAGGCATTCATTTACTAAGTGGTATTTGAAACTTACATATAAAGTCCTTGCCTGGGACCACAACCTGGATTATTAGCTTGAAGACGGGTGAGACTAAAAGTAATAGTCTCTCCATCAGGAGATGCGTGATCCAAAGGCACTTGGATCTGTCCACACTCAACAGGGCTGGTAACACCGACCGGGCATTTGATCCATTCGACTGTAGGATTGTAGGCCCACGCAGTCATTGAAAAGCTCAGAGTGAGCGCAATTTTGAATAGAATAGGCCTTGCTCTAGCCATGTTGAGAATTCATAAGACATTCAAAATTGAAATATTAAGGAGCTTAATTGGACGTGTGGCTGATCATATCAGTATTAATGCTTCATTGCAGCGGCGACCTCATTATATGGGCATCGAGGTCCAGGGGGAGAACTACGTCATTTTGCTATTTGACCAGCGTCAATAGGCTTACGAAACACCTTTCTAAAATCTATCATTCGCCCTCCCTCTGAGCCAAGATACTCCCAGTTTCATGACATCAAGACTCTGCCAGCGCATCTCTTACCAAAATGGCCTTAGGTGGAGTAGGCGGCAGGACCACAAGCTGATGGCACTGCAGTATACGCAAGGCATAGTTGGGTGTGCCTGGAAGAACGGAATAATTAGACGCTACGGTACCTCAAGGATCGCGAGTATCAGGTGAAACAAACTCCCGGGGGTTGAACATTAGAAGATCTCCATCAGTTTACGCTCCTGGCTTACTCTGGCGGCTTACAGGACAAATAGGAGACGAGATGGGGGTAAATGGTTTTCTTCTACAATCTTAGGGTCAGCCCATCTTGCGGATACCTAGCAAACACCAGAATCTACAATGGGCAGTCTAGCGACAAAGGTTAATAACACCCCCCTTTCGACTACATTAGGTCGCAACAAGTACAAAGTTGAACACTGCAGTTTCTATAGTCTTAGCTCCTAGAAACACCGGTGTATTAGTTCACTTGATAAATACTAATAACAGAGCAAACCAAAAAAGGAGCGAGTTCATGAGGTAGATCGGTAAAGATGTCAGGGTTTGTACTTCAATGTAGTGATTATTCATGGATCCTTACGAAACAACAAGAAAGAAATTTTGCCACACAGTTCAGTTTGAAGAGTTACGAAGAGAAGGGCAATGAGAGAAAGATTTCGTGTCAGAAAGCTCCTCAATTACTTTCGTAATTGAAGTGTTTTTGGTTGCCAGTGTGTTGCACACAAGAGGTGATATCATAGAATATGGACAGTTATACTAATAAGGCGGTCGATAACAGACTCGCTTAATACGTTAATTCATAAATATATACATGAACAGCGAATGTCTTGCCGAATCAGTTAGAGAAGCTCATTTGAAAATCTATTAGGTTGCTGCCAAGAATGGATAAGGAGCAATTATTTCGGATAGAATAAGGACCTGCCAACGTGCCACTAAGTTGAATCTAATGAAGGGATATTGTTACCTCTATTTACGTAATGTTTAATGATCCTTAGGTAGCGTATTTACTTGATCCCAATACGGAGTTTGTAAGCGCTAGTCTGTGAAAGAGAGAGTTCGATATCTAATTGGATGAGCGGAGGCCTGAGGACTAGAGCGCACCTTATTCCTAATCAGACCACTGAATCTCTTAGTAGGGCATATTCCAGTTTACTCTCCAAGCTGAATGATATCCTTGGTTTTGGGCATTTTCCATTTGATTGGAAGACGAGGGCTAATTCTCATACATGGATACAGGGTTTGAGAATTTTGACGCAACTCATTCGTCGGTGGAATGATCTCATGGGTAATTGTTACAGTAAGAGCCATTTTGGATGCTGGTCGTCGTTGAGTGTCGTATCTGGAAAGACATGCGCGCTTGGTTAATTGTTGCTGGGAGCAATATGGCAATCTTTCGTAGGTCCGTAAGAATGAGAAAGTCACAAAGTTCATATGCCTACAAAAAGTACCCTCTTAACAGCCCCTTATTTTCTTTGTATATAGGTATATATATATATGTCCAGCTAATACTTATAAATACGTTATCTTGTGTTTTGCTTATTTCAGCAAGAGTTTTATTCTTGTACTTGGATTGTGGATTAATTACTGAATGCTGATATCTGACTTATCTCCCGGTTATTGTCCTCGCCCAATTCACGATTCTTTCTACGCTCTATTGATCTCGTAATTGATCTTTGCGATTCTCAAACTTATATAGCGCGTTTATAATGAATTCTCTTGCTTGTCCGTTACATGCTTCGAACGCAAGTACCAGTGGTACTACTATTCCAGCACCTTTAAGAGGCTTGAATTTACGGAAATATCTGATGCATTTTGCTATTCGATGGCTTAGCCCGGTTATTTCTAATTCAACCACGGGGTCCTAAATGGCAGTGATTGATATAACTTGATTAGCAACGCGGGAAATACCTATTCGTACCGTAGCGTATAACACAAAGCATAGTGCGTCCTCCGGGTTTGGGAATTGGTATTATGTGAGAAACGGGGATGACGGATCAACCTGTTTAACTGGGACCCCGCGACCTCGCATTTCTGTAACTTTCAGATGATCGAGCGTTCGTACACTGTTTATCTCCAACGTGGTTTCATTGCTAATATCCGCTGCAAGCGCAAACGCTTTTCGTGAGTTTTTAGTCTGTTGGGCTCTCCTCAGCTTGGCGACTAATCCACACCAGCGGCCAAGCCTGGCTGATAAACGAAAGACCTCTGTTGTACTGTTGCTTTCAATCATGTGACAATCTAATGCTTTACTCATATTGGTTTGCCACTCGGACGTGTGGTATACATTTGGCCATCCACAAAGTAGAGAATGCATGTTCTGCCATTTTTTCAAATAAGATAAGGCTTACAAAAACTCTAAGAAATCTAATCTCATTGACATACCAGTAAGCGAAAGTTATCGAACATTAAAGAAACATTGAGGTTATCGTCTAAATTTGGCGGGCCTCGGGCAGCCATGATTGCATTTATTCCTTCTAGGTGTTTGTTGTGGCTTATTTCTGGTTCTGGTTCGTATGTAGCCTGCAAGAGTAGAGTGTTAACCTCGAAGGCAGCACCAACAATAATTACACTTACCACAACTCTGTGAATTATGGATATAGCTGCTAGGGCCGGCGTAGTAACTCTTTTGCTAGGAGTTTGTAATGATTGAGCCAGGGACTTTAATGCTTGACTGTATGCTCTTTGATCGAATAACTCCTGTGGGAATATGCCACGCTGATGATTTGTATAACACGATACTATTAACCTCACTGCATCGCCTAGTACCTGAT